AACAGATGTGTTCATTATCCATTTGACATTTCGAGAAATTGAGAAAGAATTAAGAACTTTATAAACCAAAGAATCTAAATGTAACATACATCAATCATTCTATATGTTCATGCTATACAGTACCTTATACACAAAGTACAATACCTTCGCTCTTTTGAGCCTTCTTGGTGTCATTTGGTAGTAATGGAGTCTTCTCGTTCGTCTCTTTATCCATTGAGATATGCAAGGCCCGATCGCCTACATTTTGGTCGTCGTGGTCACCATGTTTTAATGAATACAAAAGCTCTGTTATCGTTGCAAAGATGGACAAGCCAACCAAAATTCCACAAAATATTCTTAGAGAGGAAAAAAAAAGCTTTGCCTTTCTGAGTTATATCAATATTTTATTGGTTTTTATACACTGTTTAAAAGTCTCATGTAATTTCTTCTATTTGAAGTTTCTATCATGAAAAAATGATCAGTTACGATACTTTTGTTACGTACATTGTTAAGATAACGGATGTCGTGTACTCAGGATTCTCAGAACACTGAACTTGGAGATAAGTTGTAAACGGTGAAACTGAACTGATGTCTGAAACTAAAGCAGAAAAAAACGTCATTTATGCATGAGGGGGTATATATGTGTTTTATTAATGTTTTGAAATTAGTTGATTAACGATGTTTTTGGTATCTTTTAAATGTTATCCAGTGAACAATTATTAGCTAAGTATTTCAAAAACATAATTTTGTTTCAAAAAACACGAAAAAAACATGCATGGGTAGAATAGCAAACAGTGAATAGTCCAAAATATATAATCTTTCATAAAAATTTTGTTTGATATAATTTTTACTTACCATTATGAAAAAGATATAAGAAATGTTCTTTGATGTCGTTACTTGTACAAGACTTAGGAACACAAACACCCCACTCAAAATGATAAGTCTGAAAAGTTTAAATTGAACTAGAAAGTATAATAATGGGTCTAAACAAAGGGGCAGATGTAGGATTTCTGTTAGGGGCGGGGGAGGAATACTGAGCGATTTCATTTGGAGAGGTTTCAGACAACACTAATCAATTTTGTCACAAATTTAAGCTTTAGAAAAAGGCCAATAGGTTTAATAATTTTTCTACTATAATGCTTCTCAGAATGTTATCTTAACAAAACTGTCTGTTTTGGTCTGTTTACGTTTCATCTCAAAACTTATCAATTTATGGTTATTAGCTATTAAAATTGCCTTTTTCACGTTTTTATGCCGTTATGTTTTTGCAGTAAGTAAATTCACACATTCAACGTTAAGATTACTCGCACTCGCAGACGCGCTCTTATAACGATATTCGATCGATATTTAATATCTTATCTAAATTATATTTGCTAGAAATGCAAATTCAAATATACCACAAAAAACATTTAAAGTGCCCCTTTCGGCAGAAATTTTTAATAGCGACATTAAATTTAACTGTGATTTTCGACGTATTAGTGAAAAAAGTTTTTCAGTTTGTCAAATCATTCCATTTTTATTGCTATTTAAAGTTAGCAAAAATGTTCATTTTAATGGACCTTATCCGTCGTTCAAAAAGCCTGGAACGACTTACCTTTGTGACGTCATGCAAGGGATTCCTCAATACAAGATATATATACCAACTACCTTGGATCACGTCAGAATTTGGCTAGACCCAGACTTCATGCGACAACGGACAAGGTCCATTGAAAGGCAAATTTAAACCTCCATAACAAGAAGACAATTTGACCACATTGAAAAAATTTTTCCACCGAAACGTTAGATATTTCACCAAGTTTTGATATCACTAATAAACGTTTTTGCCGATAGGGACACTTTAATGGTCTTATAAAATTTTGACCTAAGATGATGAGGTGACTAGCCACCTTCTCCACCCTTCCGCCCCCAGCAAATCCGTCTCAACATTTCTTGAAAAGCAATTTATTCAACTTTTAGTGAAATAACTTAGACCTAGTTTAAACGTCGAACTTTACATGAAGTGAACGCATTAAAACAAAAGATAATGAGGAAGTTCATCTTATTTTTATTTGTCTTTAGTAATTTCGGTGCATGTAAAGTTCGACGTTTGAAACAGGACTTATTCAACATTGTCCCCATTCTGGTTGAAAGATCACCTAACAGAAACATGCACTATGTTTAGGCATGAATATTTTTTCAAGAACTTTTATACCACACAAAAACAAAATTGAGTATCCGTAAAATAAGAGTAGATTAATGATAAACCATCTCCAATACTTAGCAATACTACAATTATTGGGTTTCTTACAATGTCTAGCATATATAATGTGGTTCGTAATTAATTATATAGCTAATATTAAAAGTTCTGCAAGATTTCAAATCGTTATATAAATAATGGTGGAATGGTAATTTTCAAATTGTATGAAATTAATTATTAAATGCGATGTACTTGATTGACGAGAGTTTGCCACATAAACAAATTCTCATGAAGACAATAACAATAGTCTTAATGAATAATAAATTTTCAAAACTATTAGCATTGATTTATTTTGTTCCTTAAGAAATAAGAGAAATTTTTCGTATTCTTAACATCCAGGATGATCACATAATTACGGTTGAAAACGCATGAAAATCACTGCCAAGCCAACCCTTCTCCTCGTTGGTGTCGTATTTTGCTTACACCTCTACAATACGACGAACATGTTGTTCTGTTTTCTATATTCGTTTCAGATAGGTTTGACCACATTTTTAATTGATATATTTTTAAAAGGAATTGTTTTCTCTTATTTACCTCTGCTTTGTTTTGGTAAAGTGTCATATTCCCAGGAAATATTGTCAAACAGTACCGCGAGTCAGGTAGTTTGTTACATTCATCAAACGACCCATACCACAAAGTATTGCCTCCATAAACTCCACTTTCTCGTCTACCACTAGCATCCACGTCTGTTCAATTATAAAAGAACAAGGACAAGGAATAAGAATGTATTTTAAAATCACTAGCCTGTTCGCATCTTGAATTTTTCGCTCATCACTTTATCTCAGGAGCATAAAAAGTTGCACAGGCAAAGATGTGCAGTGCTCATTCTCAATAGCTGCTTTCCAAATTTTAGAATAGAGTTGTCTATTTTTTAATCAACCTGTTGATAAGAAAGTAAAATTACTTACATCTGGCATATTGTTCTTGTGTCAGTGCGTCGTACCGCTGTTGACAACTATCCAACACGCGTATGGTAGTGTTTTTATTCCTTTTAGTCCTTTCAGTTGAGCTTCTGAGTCAGACTTTCAAAACTAATCAAAAGTACAATGAAAAAGTAATTACTAAATCTCATGATTTTGTACAAATTTGGACTGGTAGTATCTAAAATTTACAAGTGTGACTGTGTGAGACTGTACATGGCTGATGATTGAAGAAATTTACATATTGATTTCAAACGCCCACGCATAAGCTTTGCTCTGTTACCTGTCTTTCGAGTCGATTAATAAACCTATGAATTACGAGGTGAAAAATTTTAAAAAATATTGCTGTGTCGGTGACTAATGCCATACCATTGATTTCAAAAAATTACAAAAAGAATCCAACCTTTTTTGTGTTATTGTGTTATTTTAGACCAAGTTTGGAAGGATAGGGTAGAGAGAGAGAGTTGTCTCTTGGGATTTACGGCTTACGTTCCTAAAGCGATGCTGAACTACGAAGCGTACCATTGGTGAGCTTAAAATATATGTTTCATAAATTGTCGCTATACATGTTTGTAGATATTTAGTTCGTCCAGGTTAGTATCACTTGTTTCTGAAGATGACTGTACCTAAGGGTACATTCCATATGTACCTCTTCTTAACGTTAGTCAACATCATGTGGTCATCAAAGAACAGAGAACTCTCATTTTGTGTCACAGGACTCAACAGGATCCAGTGGATCCAGCAAACCGTTTAATTTATGCGCACACACAAGCATGAAATATGAAATATGATCGTTTCGTTTACAGGGAACATTGTCCAGCAATAGAAGGAGTACTCCGGCAATTTTATCACATTCACTGAACCATCTATATTATAAAGTGTTACCACCATTAATATTACTTTCTTGTCTACCACTTGCGTCCACATCTATAAATCCATATCATAGCATAGCGTATAAAGTTATTACAAAAAAAGTAAAAAGCGCCAGTTGGGTTTTGCTGTGTATCAGCACGCCGTTCAAGCCCACAAACAACACTCACTGGAAAATTTAACATGTACCAAGTCTTTCTCTTCAAAATATAAATCATTTTTCAACGGGTAAAACTTATACTTTTCAGGTGAGATGAAATACTTATATCTGGTATTTTACTTTTGTGTGAGTGTTTGATACCGTTGTCGATAGCTATCTAACATAGATCACCGAGGTGGTTTCATATTTTTGCAGTGCTTTTTCTTGAAACACTAATAATACAAATCACAGAATAGATATCCACTCGTGTCGGAATCTTTGATGTTCATGTCCCCTACTTTTCTGAAGCAAATTCTAAAGCAGATACACCTTCCAGCAAGATACTTCCGCTAGATTGCAATAGAAAATATAGATGTTTTGACAAATATATCGTCGTTTTGCACTACAAAAGCTTGAAACCTTATCGACTTCTCAAGATGATAAAATTTTGTAAAAATTTCGGCAAACTTTTGCTTTAAATGTGAATTTTAGTTAAATAGTTAAATAGTATCTTTCTGGGAAGTCACGCATGCGTAGTGAAAAAATACGCCACGATTTTAGCCGAGTTGGCCTTCTGTTGGATGTCTATTTTGTGTACAAATTATACAACAATACACTACAAAGGCGCTTTAGTCTTAAAGAAGCTATAAATTTCATGCGTCTGTACAAAGGAGCCGATCTAGTGTAAATCCGACAAACAATTACAGCGCCTATGAGCAAGAGTTACAAGACATTAATTAAATTCATAAACACGACCCAGACACATACACCGCGCGAACACGCCCACAATAATTTCCCAGAATGCCTCTAGTTTTTGTACCGGTACCAGTGTCACACGTGTTACGTAACATTGATATACTCAAACAGCATCAGATTTTAATGTTTGCTTGACGTATAAAAGTAGTTTTACATTCAACTTTTTGAAAAACGTTTTAGTGAGCTTGGCATGCATTTAAGTGGATTATAATATGTATTATACATATAAGATAATGTTATCATTGCATTGAAGCAAATTGCATTTAAAATGAAATATATTATGTAAATCACAAGTACATAGCTGGTTTAGACCTCATAACGGAAAAGATTACAAGCACCAAATTATCCTGTTTGGGAAAGAATGGGTATTGAAAAAACTGAATACTAAATACTGAATAAGTAGCTCATCATGTAATACGTGAAATAGATGTTGACAGTTAATTCAAATCATGTGACGTAATTTTATAGAATGAGCACAACTGCCCATAGAATTGAAGAAATAAGCATAAATGTAGAATAAAGTAAAGTTGAAGAGCTGGCAACAATGTTTCGAGTAACTGTTGATGCAAACTCAAGATTCAAATCTTTCGCACTACTATCTGGCCACAGATTCATGCAGTCCCTTCCAGGTTTACCAGAAGTGTATATGAATGTGTGATCAAATATTTTGTTGCAGAACATCATGGAATTTGTAAAGTAATCTTTGAAAGGCATACATTTTTGTTTGTCGCATTTGTCGTTATCAGTCCACTTCCAGGTATCACTCCAATCATTGGAACACGTCATATCATTCTTGCAAGCATCAAACCAGGCATCACAATCATCGGAACAAAGTGGTATGCTTTTAAATTTTTCTGTTCTCGTCGAACCACCCATTGGATCATTGACAATCCAAGGTGCCAGATTTGGGGAGCATGAATAGAAGCATGTATTCTTGATGAAAAATTCTCGACATTTATCCGAGAGCTTACCACAATGGTTCCACTTTCTGTTGAACAATGTCAAAGCTCCATCTTTCTTGATAGCAGAAGTTGTATTTGCACTGCAGCATCCATGACTTCTCCATGGAACACATTCTTTAGAGTCATACTCAGGCCCTGGTTTCTTCTTATGGTTGCTTGTTGCAATACATCGATCTAAATAATCGACAACCTTCTTGCTGATGGCAGCTGACCACTTACGTGACTGCTGAGAAATTCTTGCTACCAGTTCGTTTGGATTACGACCATCCTTGTCTACATTTGGCCACATTTTAAAACAGTCCTGTCCAGGAACACCATTTGCGTACTTAAATGTCCCACCAAAACATTTTTACAAAACGTCACAGAGTTATTGAAATATTCTTTAAATGTTCTGCATTCTTTAAGACACTTGTTGCCCTGCCTTGTCCAATTCCATTTCAGAAAATTATCGGTGCATGTCAGGTCGTCTTTACAAGCATTAAACCAGTCATCGCAGTCGCTTGCACAGAGAGGCACATCTACTATCCTTTCCCTTCGAGTTACCCTCGATCTTTTGTCTACAACAATATAAGGACCAACGTTTGGTGAACATTCATAAAAACATGTATCCCTCAAGAACCACTCTCTACAAGCTTTGCTAAGATTACGACTGCAGTGATCCCATTTCATGTTATACAACGTCAATACGCCGTCCCTCTCGATACTCTGCGATGTTTTATTGGTACAACACGATCTTTTGGCCCAAGGTGTGCAAAATCTGAAGTTCTCAAACTCCATTCCAGGAGTTTCTTTATGATGCCTCGAATCTAAGCATCGGTTTAGATTATTCACTTTTACGTCTTCACCAAACACGGCATGAATGTACAAAATTGCAATAAAAACCAGCAAATTTCTATCGGCAAAATGCATTTCTTCTGACAGTCACCGATGTAAGCACTAACCACAGACACAGCAATGACAGAAATGTGAAATTTCAGATTGCACAATCGTATTAAAACCAATTGCTTTTGTAATGAGAATATCTTAAATACCTAATTAAATATCATGCATATCCCGTATTTTCAGTTCAAAGTGTAATATTTTGCACGATTGTTGGGAGGCAACGAACCTCAAAAATTTTCATCGGAAGAGGCTCTTTAAATGTTAGCATTTATAGGGGGTACTTTGTTCATTGTATCACAAAGATATGTAGATATTATATTCATGAATACTTTCGGCCTGTTTAGCTGTTGTAAGACACAAAATGGTACATTTTCGTTTGTTCATAAATCAGCTATACGTCCTGACACATATAATATCTATTTCATGAAAGCCTTGGTGTGGCCATTGCTTTTTCCCATGTAAACATTCTTTACGGGTTCTCTCCATGTCAACTTGCTCACGTGTGTTTTATTGTGAAACATTCTGCTGTATGAAAGCCAGGGTGTCGCCATTGCTTTATCCCTTTTAACATTCATAACATTTTTTGGGTCCTCTCCATGCCGACTAGCTTATGTGTGCCTTATTGCGAAACAATTTAAACGTTACATCACTTGCAAACGGCTTTCGTGTAAACTGGCTATAATTGATTTAAACACAGAAATTGACAAACCTCGAAATATCTTCAAAGAGCAATAAACAGACATTTTGAAGAATGTAACAGACACAAAATAAATATCAAAAATTTCTGGCAAATTACAATAGCATTTAACAACAGTGCATTAAGGAATTTTGAATTCGTTTCGTTTGTACTTCGAGAAATGAAATGTGGAACTCACTCAAGCAACCAATAATTCATGAAAATTGACGAGAAGACTGTAATAAGGGCAGCAAGTGCTGATATCATTATGATGTTCACGAGTAATTTGACAATTACGTCATTTGTAAACTACCTAACATTTATAATGAACAATTGACCATGCATGTCCAAGAAACGCTTCTTGTCATACGCCAAAAGGCAGCAATTATTTATCTTTATGTTTTGTTTTTCAAAAGGAAATGTTTCAAAAGTTGCAAGAACCGTAGAAAAAGGGGCCAACGTTGAGCTATTTATGTATAGTAGTGCTAATTTACGCTATAGCTGACAAATATTCTTTCTCAAATCTTTGAAAAACCAAGACTAGAGATATCTAACGTAGAGAGGGATCAAGTTCGTGACTTTCACCATAAAAAAGATCACGCAAGCGAAGGATACATAGATGGTCTGTCTGCATAAGATGAGAACTGACAATGTTAGCACAATTGGGAAAAATTTGTTGACGACCATAAGGTATCTATGATTAATTTGTGTTAGGCAAATAACACAATTTTTGGTAGCTATGTCGTTTTCCAATTTACATGTTTTTTTTACTTACATATGTTCTCGCTAAAATCAAATTAAATTTCTCTATATCATGTAAGTATATAACTCTAATTTATCAACAATCAACACATTTGAACAAATATTGGCAAGTTTGTAGCATAAAAACTAAAATTAACATGATGTTAAAACGTTTAAATTAGGAAACAATCGAGCACAGATATATAATATACATTTCAGAAACGTTTCAATAGCTGAAGAAGAATGCAAGCAGTCATTACAAACATGTTGCAAAGAAAGTCCTCTACAGTTTTAAAGCATCCTTACTTTAAGACATTAAAAAATTATGCAACATAGGCACTTCAATAATTATATCAAAGTAAAACTTAATTATGGTCGGTATATCTTACGTAACGAACAAGGTTAATGTTGGTCTTTAAAGAAGCTATTCGAGCAATAGCTAATATATATTTGAGCGACGCACAATTTCTAGCAAAAGTTTGTTGTTTGCGTTACGCCGTAAGAAATACATTCATGGATGTTTATAATTGCCTTGTGAAGTTTAACCCGAAATGTTAGACGTCTGGCTTGATATTTCAAAACTTAGATTCTCAAAACTCAATATGTCTTTTGCTTACGTATGACAAAGCCACATGTGCAAGGACCACATCTACCAACCACACTCCATAAAACCACAAATTTCAACTATAGCGTGACATAACGACATGTGACACCTTTTAATTAGATCTTCACTTCAATGGCTAAAAGGCTTGAAATGAAAACATAGTTGGTCATAAAATGAAACCAAATTTCATCTGTCGGTTGTTCTAAACAACATTCTATTCATAGTCAATTCACCCACCACAGTTTTATACAAATTTTTGGCATTTCCTTCAATAATGTTACTCGAACAAACTCTGCATTCCCAACAAAAACGAATAGCTATTATAATTTGTTTTATGTCATGCTTCTCAATTCAACGAGGACCAACAATGAAATGCAAGAAATATTGCTGAGCTTATAAAATATCTACGTTGATTATGATAATATTTGCAAGGTTTGTTGAAAAATTGCCGCTGAGTTTTGCACGCTCCTGTTGCAAGGACTGTATGGCATTTTATCATTATTAAAGTTTCGTCAGATAATTAAGATAAAGTTCAATGTAACGAAATCTGCCAACGGTATTCAGCAAACTGTTGAAATCAAATATCACACCCCCCATCACCACAGACAAAACAGAACTTTCTCATGTCGCGGTAACAATTATGAGGTAATACTATGCAATATTTACACAAGAAGCCTAATCAATGCACCCTTATTGTTAACAACTATCCTAAAGCGTTTTTCCTTCTACTTACAATAGAGATAACCACAGGTAGCCTTACTCACGCTGGTGTATCCTATCAACCATGCATGACAAACACGTGCTCTTGCATTTGCTAAACAAAAATATTACATTTACAAATAACTGTAACATGCAGTGCACAGTTTTGCTGTTCTAAAAATATACATCAACAGGGAATAATGACAAGTACTGTAAAATCATTGAAAGTATAAAATGGAATTTGCACTTGCAACGTATTCGCATGATAACTACGTAAGTTTAAAAAACAATACCCAACGGCAAAAATAACAAAAATACGCTCAACTTATATATGAAAGGTATTTAAATATTCAACATAAAACCATTTAACCTTTTCAGTTGACATACTTATAAATATCAATGGCAAATCGTTCTTGCTTGAGTGTTTGCTATGAATCTGACAACCATCTAAGAGAAGAACGTGGTTGTCTGTGTTGTTTTTTTCCGGCCTTTCATTGCCTTTTAGACGTAAGACTTCCTATTGTGAATCATATAAAAATAGAGCTTCATGTATCTCATGCATCTACGTACGCATAGTTGCCAATTCAATGTAGAATTCATGAACAATAATTTATTTCACATACGAACATTTTTTCCAAAAACTGTATTTCACATTCCTACATCACAATTCCTATGACATATTTTTAGTTAGGCAACACATTTTTTTAAGCTTATACTTTTAGATTTTATTAATTTGTACCGTACATAAGGCTATGTATGGTATGAAAAATATGGCTAAACCTACAATTGAAAACTACATTTACACAAGCCAATGTCATAGTTAATAATGGAAAATGAAATGATTAAAGGCAGCAAATTTTATACCAGCAATGCTTATATAACTGAGTATATGATGTGTTTTATGACAGTTGCAAAATTTTAAATGTACCACATTCAAAATCCCTTTCGTTTTATACAGTTAAAACAACTGCCCATAGAATTGACGAAATAAGCATGAATGCTGGATAAAGTAAAGTTGAAGAGCTGGCAATAATGTTTCGAGTAACTGTTGATGCAAACTCAAGATTCAAATCTTCGCACCACTATCTGGCCATAGATTCATGCAGTCCCTTCCAGGCTTACCAGAAGTGTATTTGTATGTGTGATCGAATATCTTGTTACAGAACATCATGGAATTTGTAAAATAATCTTTGAAAGACGTACATTTTTGTTTGTCGCATTTGTCGTTATCAGTCCACTTCCAGGTATCACTCCAATCATTTGAACACGTCATATCATTCTTGCAAGCATCAAACCAGGCATCACAATCATCAGAACAAAGTGGTATGCTCTTAAATTTTTCTGTTCTCGTCAAACCACCCATTGGATCATTGACAATCCAAGGTGCCAGATTTGGGGAGCAAGAGTAGAAGCATGTATTCTTGATGAAAAACTCTCGACATTTATCCGAGAGATTACCACAATGGTTCCACTTTCTGTTGAACAATGTCAAAGCTCCATCTTTCTTGATAGCAGAAGTTGTATTTGCACTGCAGCATCCATGACTTCTCCATGGAACACATTCTTTAGAGTCATACTCAGGCCCTGGTTTCTTCTTATGGTTGCTTGTTGCAATACATCGATCTAAGTAATCGACAACCTTCTTGCTGACGGAAGCTGACCACTTAGGTGAATGTAAAGAAATTCTTGCGACCAGTTCGTTAGGATTACGACCATCCTTGTCTACATTTGGCCACATTCTAAAACAGTCCTGTCCTGGAACACCTTTGGTGTACACAAATGACCCATCAAAAATATTTTTACAAAAATTTTCGGCGTTATTGAAATGCTCTTTAAATGTCTTGCATTCTTTATCGCACAGGTCGCCCTTCTTTGTCTTTATCCAACTTTTCAAAAAACTATCTGAGCAGAGGAAGTCGTCTTTGCAAGCATTATACCAGTCATCGCAGTCGCTTGCACATAAAGGCACATCTACTATCCTTTCCCTTCGAGTGACCTTAGATCTTTTGTCTACAACAATGTATAAACCAATGTTCGGTGAACATTCATAAAAACATGTATCCCTCAAGAACCACTCTCTACAAGCTTTGCTAACATTACGACTGCAGTGATCCCATTTCATGTTATACAACGTTAACATTCCGTCTCTCTCGATACTTTGAGACGTTTTGTTGGTACAACACGATCTTTTGCTCCATGGCGAACAATATTTGAGTCCACCGGGTTCCATTTCAGGAGTTTTTTTATGATGCTTAGCATCTAAACATCGGTTTAACACGTCCACTTCAACGTCTAAGTCTGCGCTGCCCACTGCATGAAAACATGAAGTAATCATCAAAAGCAGCAAATGTCTACCAGTATAATGCATCTTGTCGGGCCGGCGTTTGCTATATTAACAGAGTTTGTAAAAAAAGCAATCTAATTCAATCATGTGAAATACAGAGGTAATCGTACTGATTACATTGACCAAGAGAATATATCCAAGTCGAAGTATCACTGGAAATACCACGTGGAAATTAACTTCACGTGCATGCAATTCAAAATAATTAGTTCGCAGTTTATGCAAATTTATTTGTCTATTGTAATAAACATAACATCGAGGCTCAAAGTTTACACTACTTTGTGATTTGAGGTACCATTGAATTCTGTGAGTCATATCTTTCAATTTATCTGTCCGACATATTAATCGATTAGGATACGACAACCTAAGCATTGCCATTTGTTGCGCAATCGTGTACGTCACAGCGTGTGTAATGTAACCTTGTAAATGTGAGAGCAGATTTACAAGCATATTTTGTGGAATATAGAACTGCCTTGGCTAAAAGTACACTCATTGGCATTTTAAAGTTTTTCGCATAGCAAACTACACCGGCTCCACAATATCCTAAAACTTTTCCATTATTTCCAAACTTTATTGAAGTATACATGAAACAAAATTAATAAGCCCTTTATGACCGAGCGCGAGGTCTTTACGGAGAAATAACGGACTGAGGTGTTTTTGTACAGACCGAACCCGTAGGGCGAGGTTTGTACAAAAAGACAGAGACTCGAAAAATACCGAGATTCGAAATCTAAAATTATTAGCTCTACCCTCTAACTTACTCCAGGCTCTGATAGCAATTTATCATATACTGATCACATATTTGAAAATTATCCCAAGACACATTTTAGAAACCACTGCATGGAGCGATATTAGGCGGCGCAAAGTACTTATATTTATGATGTGCAATCAATAAAAGAAACAAACACCCCCCAAAATGGGCATCTTATATTTGAGATTTGACCTTTAACCAACTCCCATTTTCTAAAGTTCATACATTCACACATGTAAATACAAAAAACGTTTTCCTTTAAAATGAACTAAAAGCCATTGCTTAATGACGCGTTTTCCTACATATATGACCGATGGATCAATCTCCCATGGCTGAATGAGAATTGAAACTTGGAATCCAAGAACACAACTGGAAAGACCACGCAAAATTTTGAGGAACTCTAGCAGAAAGTATTCCAAGAAAGATAATAGTATGGCTTCCGTGCAATTTGAAAAAAAAAAACATTCAAAAATCGAAATAAGAAATCCTGGCATTACGGATCTTTACACACTCACAAAACAAAAACAATCCACATCATGCACACAGCAGAAAATCAACGAAACAAACTGCACAATTTCCAACAATAGTCATTCACAATAATTTACACTGCGTGTGATTACATAATTTTGCACTCTTATTTTAAAAAAATCCACACTTTTATAGACTTTTGCCGTCACAGCCGAGAATCATTTGCTACTGCTATACAAAACATATAAATGTAAAACACAGCCGCGAGGCCAAAATCATAAAACAAAAAACGATTGACACTCCGTAAAAGGTAACTTGGCTACTTTGCTACATAGAACAAGATCAGATGATGACATGCAATACTTGTCGAAATGTTTAGAATAAATGTTTACTTTTTTACCCAGTGTCAATCGTTGGGTTTTTAAAAGCCGCGAGGCTCGAAAATATTACGTTGCTACATATAGTTTGGTATGCTGTGAGAATATTTAGTTCCAAGGAAATGGAAGATGATTGTCACCGTAATTTATGTTAATAAAAAAGAGTAAGTTCGAAATGCCCAAGTTGGTTGTCAAAGTCAATCTTGATGATAAAATCGTCCTCGTCGACGAATTGCTCCACCATTCTGTCGTCCATATTTACTAAAATTCTACAACAGTCGGTAGATGACAACCGTCAAAAACTTATCTCGAAACAAATTAAACGAGGAGAACGGGAAACTTAAGGTTGGATCAATTTCACTTCCCAAAGATAACTGGCTAAGTTTATTGATGACAGCACAAAAAATTAATAAAATGCATATTTGATACAAATAGCCAACAAATGCAGTACTTACCGAAACATATGACAGATGGACAAAAGACAAAGCTTGGAAACAATCAAGGGAGAACGCTGCGCCGAAAGATAGATAACGTGTAGTATCTTACCCTTTCTTGGTCTTCTTATACACCGCTTTTATCATCTCTGGTGGAATATCATATTTCTGAGCTACCTGAAAAAAATGGACGTGTTTTCTATTTGACTTGATTACACCAAACAATACACTAGGTTATCGGCTCTACCATCAGCACATCAGCACATACGCTATCCTGGAAATACCTTACGTCGTTGACTACATAAAGTGCCGCCTAATTAAGTTGAAATTGGATGGAAGAATACTAAGTTTTCATAATTGCTTCATTCGAAGATCTTCCAGATTAAATATGATAAGGATGAGTCCAGGTGAAAGACCGTCACCATGATCACACACACAAGTGCTGCGCAATAGATAAGACGAATAAAGATGAAAGTATGAGAAAATCTTTAGCAACCCTCATTATTGCATGTTAAATAACAGTGATGCATTTTGATGGTCGATTCTTCTAAATTATTATACGTAGAAGTCAATGGATTTGCTGACGTATTAGAAAACACACTATTATCCCAATATAAAACCTACTTTACTACTAAATATCACGCACACGAGTCTTCCAATCACATGATGTCAAAACATTGCAAATACTTCGTGTACACTTACTGCTTCACGGAGGTCAACAACACCAAAGGAATCGAGCATTAGCGCATTGTAAACTTTCTCCTCTTCTTTTTTGACGTATATAGTAACAGCTATAAAAACATAAATCGTGTACATAAAATACGAAGTACACGCAATTTCACTAATACTATAATTTTGTTTCCTTGACATGTTGCGTGGTAGGTATTTTATGTCAGGAAAACCGCCTGACTATTGCGAAATATTGCTTCACCGAGAAGTGCTTTCAATTCCATTCAGGTGTTGAAGAAAGAAGTACCTGGCTGAGGGGGTCTTTGTACCCTTTGAGCTTTGTTTCGTGGTATAAACTCCAAATCAGCAAGCTCATCCTGAATTATAATGAAACCAAATACAATGAAGACACTGTGTGATCACGGAGTTGCACGTAAACAATTATTTCTGAAGGTAAAACGTCCATCAACTCTTTACACCAAAATTAAAAATCAAATTCTGCGCTATACAACCAAGTCATTTTCAGGGATTTTTTCCCAAGCACTAAACGTAATAGCTTCTCCACTGACATGAGAGAATACAGGACACAGAGACAATTTCTCTACCCAACTGGATACATTCAAATTGATAGCAGAAGATTCCAATAAAAATCTATCTATAGAACAATATTCTGTTTCTTACACCGAGTCTCACACTAGTTGAGTGTGTGCGCATGTGTGCAATCAATAACGAAAAGTGCTTGCATTAAATTCAATAGAAACGATCTTCCGTGTGTTAAAAGCCTGTGGTTACATCATTAAGAGGTAAATAAAACGGTGAATTTGAAGCAAACCATGCGCTGAGTCCCAGTCTTTCCAAAGCTATGTATCTTACAAATGAAGATAATATGTATGACTTACATTAGCGATGTCCAAAGAAGCCTTCAATCGTCGTTTGTTCTCGTTTTCCTATGAAGATGTTCTTCATGTAAAATTATCTATCTACTTTTTTCAAGCAGTTTATACATTTCCCAGACACCATGTCTTCAATCTTATTCTTTAACTTACTTTACTGCATGCAGGAAAGTGGCGTTCTGAATTGCGGCTTCATTCAAATGGAAACACTACAGATTGAGAAATACACAGAGTAACAGCAAATCAATTGCACATACGAATATCATAGCCGAAAATTTCACACGTATTGATTGTCAAGAGCATTGAGCTTACTTCGTTTGGACTAAATAGAATTGGCTTAGGTCCTAAAGGTGTCGTAGGAGTTAGCTTCGTAAATTTAGATGGTGTTTGAAATACCGATGGCGAAATCGCAGAATCTAAAAGAAACAACAAAAACGTCAGGCGAATTAGCATATCAAGTAAAAAAGGCTTTCCATAAATAATGTCAAAATCAAAGTAACCAAAAGCGCCTACATCAGACTCAGGGAAACTACTTCTTTAGATAATTAAATTGATTTTAAGATCATTTGCAATATATTTGATAAGTGAAATTTTTTATCTTCGTGAACTTCTGGGGCCTAAAACAGTTGACTCCGCACCCCATAGGAAGTGACGTAAAAAGAAGAAAACGCTCATTTCGTAAAGAACATACACCGTAAAGAACATACACCACAGAGTTTCAGTGGGAAACAGCGTCCAAACAGTTGTACTTTTTAAATGTTTTCCTTGATTATTTGCTCAAACGACGTAGTCAAACTAAACACCGAACGATATCTAAAATTTAAGACTGGTTATAAGAAGACTGGTTAAAACAGCTTTATTATATGGCAAGCGTCACTTCTGGGTAAATGGCGCGCTTTGATTGGCTCAGAAACATTTTTGCCAGTCCATTATTTTCCCGTAATCGACCACGGTCCAAAAGGCATAAATTTACATTCAAATGTAAAGAAACTTTGTAATGCAAAAAGGAAAACGCAAAATAAACGAAACAAAAAACTATTTACGAATGTGATTCGAAGGAAAGACATTTGGAAAACAGTTTAACTATCTAGACGATACAATTTGAAACGATATATTTTTTACGGACGAAAACTAGGAAAGTGAAAGCCAACCAGTTAAAAACAGCTAGGACGAGAAAGAAAGCAATCTTCGTTTCAGGTCAAATAATGCCATATAATAAACCTTTTAATAACAGGTCGCTTTTTCGGTCTTTACTGAGAAATATCGGACCTCTGTCATTTTGTACAAACCTCGCCCTGTACGGGTTCGGTCTGCACAAAAAGACCTCGGTCCGTTATTTCTCCGTAAAGACCTCGAGCTCGGATATCAAGGGCTTATTATTGTTTACCATAAACAAGTACAATGAAGCTATATCTTTAATGCTAGCGTTCTCCTTTTTACGTCACATCCGGCGCGAGGTCACCAACTTTTGGGCCCAAAAAACCCATGAAGATAAATTTTTATAATATCAAATATATTGCAAATGTTTTCAAAATTTACATAACTAAAAGAAAAAGACACTTAAAGACATTACCTATGTATGTAGTGGGCAGTGACATCATTTTTAAGCGGGTCAAACAAACATTTATTTGAAACACCAATGACAATAGAAAAATGAAGTAAACAAACGACAAGATAGCTCATCACCAAACTTTGTAAGGTAAGAGTACATCGCAGATTTTATTGTACACGGATTTTTATCACATGCAATTCCGTGACGACTCATTCTTTCTACGTAGCTAGCTATCACTGAGCCAATCATTCGAATAAAAAAACGAGAACTCAAACATACCCACTAACGAACTGCTTTGCTTCATTAACTTCTGCATTCTCTTTTCAGCACTTCGTGACTCATCCTTGTTTTTTCTTTCTGCACCCTTAAGAGTTAGAAGAAAAATATAAAAAGAAAGCAGGACGACGAAATTCGGGCAGGTTACGCCTGCGAGCGGGTTTACCTTATCTCTGAATATTTTGATTTGACAAAAAGCACGATGGACAGGTTCAGCATCGGGCACATCTACATCTTCATACGTGTCAATTTGAAGATGCAATGGAATGCCCTGTGGAACAGTAAAATTATAAGTTCTGCAAACATCACTGAAACATGTCTACAACTGTATCATTTTACAAAGTTTTGTGCGTATAGAGTAGAAAAATCGATGCATTTAGTAAGAAATTTAGACATGGAGAAATTTACACGAGAATTAACGGTCAAATATACCTTCACTCCTTTTTGTGAAGAGAAATCAGTGCTCAAGCAGTTCATACGTAAAACAATCTGCAAATAAATAAACTACTGTAGACAACACAACACTGATGAATCCAGCGTTACGAATAGTCAATTGCAAAAGCTCATCACATAGTGAGGTTTATTTCTATGGAAATTCATGTAGAGGTTATAAAGGTACTTTGAATTTAAAAGAGTGGCTAAAACCTATTTTGCAAAACCCTGGATACGGTAAGTACAGGTAGAAAAGTGCATGTTTTCATAAGATCTTGATGTAATGTTGAAATCTCAAGCATATGTATGAACTTTATCATACTGTTTTAATCAAACTGATTGCCTCAGTCAAAATCACAGTTAAAGAGATAAATGATTGATTTGCATGGAAAAACCATGTGTTTTTACACGGTAAACTTTACCTTGGCATTCACGTTCATATCCCAGTAAAACGCAGCCGCATTATAAGCAATGTCATCTACATGATCGTCGATGTTTGCACAAGACTTGCGATCTAATAGATAAGAAACAGGCGTGAATTGCCTTAGACATTTCTACTCTTATTCCAGCGTGGAACCGTTGTTATTGAAAACAAATCAATACATATGTACACAGATGCTTACCAATATCAAATGCTCTTTGCTGTGGATTAGCTTGTTGCGCGTGCCAATAACGCCAATGTTGAATCTCGACATTGGGATCTTTTTCATCGCGAAAAACCAAATGCAAGATAGACTGTGAAATAAGAAAACAAATTATAAACCAAAAGCAACGAGTACAGTGAGCCACTTGAATCGCCTACCTTCACTTTTGTGTTTTGAACTCCAGATGACTCGGATACATTTGCTTCAAAGTTAATGGAATAGAACTGTCCTGAAGAAAGGTAAACATCGATTTAATAATTTGCTCGTGTCAAACCTCTTTCTGACTAACATTCTTAAACTAAAAATGAAATGGTCTATTTTTTTTGCTCGAAATACCCTTTGAATCTCCAAAATAAAATATTTGACAAGAAACTGTATAGTCTGAACCTTTGTTTAGATACGTCAAAGAGTCTTCTCCGCGTCTCTGAATGATCGAAGGAGGAGCTTCTAAGGTAAAACAATACCTATAAAAGTAGAAAGCAATTTTTAAAGGCTATATATGGGCCTGAGGAACCAAATACGTCACGATTCAGATTGGACTCACTTTTCCTGCGCAGCAAAAAGCGTCTGTGGCTTCATGGTGGGAACATAACACGTATAGTTGAATCCCTATTCGCAAAGGAAAAATGATTGAGTATTCCACAGAGAACGAGGAAATTGATCATGACAAATATAAAATAAGATCGCAAAGGTCCCGTCAATTGAGTGACGTTTTTTATAAATATTGATAAGTTGAGGTTGGTACGAATAACGAAAAATAAAAATGAATTTACACGCACCTCGTGTCTACGAACTAAAGGGGATATTTCTGTTGAGGAAGCCGGAGATACAGAGCTACCGACTGTCGATGATTGAGCTTCACTTTTTTTACGACAATCTGACGGGCTATACGTAAGAATTTAGGAAACTTATATAATTACTTTCAAAACTTCATCCTTATATGAATCATAACCAATACAACAATAAAAAATAGAGAAAAGGTTATTAATAAACATGCACAGCCGCACTTAAACCTTAAATGCATGATGAAAAATTGTGGCGCATCGTGTACAATTGTGGTAATATGTATTAATGTTGCGTATAACGTACATTGAATGTATACTCGTGGTATATCATGAAGTACACTATATGTATCGTCGTGTTAAAAATTGTTTACCATATGTATCTTCATGCTAAAAAATGTACACTATACAGTATGTATCGTCTTGTTAAAAGATGTAAACTATATGTATCGTCGTGTTAAAAATATGTATCGTCGTGTTCAAAATTGTTTGCCATATGTATCGTCATGCTAAAATATGTACACTATACAGTATGTATCGTCGTGTTAAAAAATGTAAAAAATATGTATCGTCGTGTTAAAAATTGTTTACATATGTATCTTCATGCTAAAAAATGTACACTATACAGTATGTATCGTCTTGTTAAAAGATGTAAACTATATGTATCGTCGTGTTAAAAAATGTAAACTATATCACCATTATGTATAGTGTACATTAAAATGTACACTATATGTACACTATTATGTATACATTAAAAAATGTGAACTATATCGCCATTATGTATAGTGTACATTAAAAAATGTTAACTACATGTATCGTCGTAGTACATAATGTTCTCTCCATTTTTCCACATTACCTAGTTTGTTGCTTCACGATTGATATCGTAACGCCTGCAAAGATGTATGAAAAGTTTATTAAATGCATCAAAATATCCTCCCGCTGTAAACACACTGTTCTTTTCAATTGGAACTGTAGACTTTTGATATGTACTTAGGAAAGTTAAAAAATCGTTATTTTTCACAACGTTTTTTCCAAGACCCTTATCCAGTTTCATTTCCTTCGAAACATTGCACTAAGTGCAGTAAAAAGTAATATCAAAGATCAGAGAACACAACGTTTTTTCCAAGGTCCTTATCCAGTTTTATTTCCTTCGAAACATTACAATAAGCGCAGTAAAAAGTAATATCAAAGATCAGGGAACACAACGTTTTTTCCAAGGTCCTTATCCAGTTTTATTTCCTTCGAAACATTACAATAAGCGCAGTAAAAAGTAATATCAAAGATCAGGGAACACAACGTTTTTTCCAAGGTCCTTATCCAGTTTTATTTCCTTCGAAACATTACAATAAGCGCAGCACAAAGTAATATGAAAGATCAGGGAAACACATGCAAAACAAGCACACGTTAGTTAAGGGATTTGTGCAACTTCACCACGCCTTATCATCATATTCATAATTGAGTTGGCAGTTTTTTTTAAAAAAAAGAACCGAAACCGAAGCAAACCGAGAAAAATTTTCCGGAACCAAACAGCTCTTGCAGACATTATATTGGATTTCGAGAAATCTAAAATCGTGTTGTGTTCATAGTAAATATTTAGAAATAATAATTGTTGCATACCTCAACAGAGGCGGACGTAGATGATCTTGTTTGACTCTGTCTACTCGTACTTCGTCTAATAAACGATAACAAACGCCTTAGTATGGGACGGTCTTCCTCCTTCCCAAAATTAGCTACTATTAACTTATATAAATCGTGATGATAGACTCCTTAGGATGGTGTTGGGAACGCTATAGAAGGTAAGTTCATGGCCAACACACTCACAAGTTTCATATATTTTATCACTCACGGTTTCACATACAGATATGTGTACTCGACTTAATACTCGAAATTACTACCCATCTCTATTAAATATAGTCTCTAAATACCCCTTACTCACGTGATTGTATACTAATCATGATTAACTATATGATTACGTAATTCAAATCGTCTCAGTTCCCTACAGATGGAGGGACAGTCTCCCTCCTTTCCACAATTACCATTCACTTACATAAATTCATGATAATAGAATACCAATGTTTATTTGATGAGGGGTGACAATCATAAACGTAGAAATAATATTACAAAATATTCTGTTGTCAAGAACTATTGGACTTTACATAAATTATATAGCTACAATGTACATCATTTTCTTCTTTGATAAAAAATTCAGAAAGTCTTGATGGAATAACCTAAGTGAGCTTTTGGAAATGCAATATAAGAAACAAGATACGTTTTTCTTGAATTTACCTTGGAGGTTCGCTATCACTGCGCCGCTTTAATTCAGAGATGTTTGATTGAACAACAGTAACGTGAGCCTACAGTACAGACGTATTTGATTGAGCAAGGGTAACATGAGCCTACAGTACAGATATGTTTGATTGAACTAGGGCAACATGAGCCAACAGTACAGAGATGATTGAACTAGGGTAACATGAGCCTACAATACAGACATGTTTGATTGAATTATGGTAACATGAGCTTACAGTACATACATGTTTGATTTAACTATGGTAATGCAAGCCTACAGTACGGCATGTTTAACTATGTAATGTGAGCCTGCAGTACAGAGATGTTTGATTGAACTATGGTACAGTAAGCCTACAGTACAGACATACTTAACTATGGTAACATGAGCCTAAAGTAGAAAGATGTTTGATTTAACAATGGTGACGTGAGCCAATAGGAAAATTGTTACAAATGTACATGTTGAATAACTAAATAATTTTACGACATCACTTGATCAAAGCAATGAGCAAAATATTCTTACGAAATAGTTTAATCACCTCAGTTGGAGTCAGAACATCAGCTAACGTGACACTTCCAGTGCTATCACTGAAAAAGATAAAGTAATGTAGCCAAACAAACACATGTAGCACAAATGTAATTGAGTTAATAATTAAATTTTCTTTTTCCCAATGGCAAAGCCAGTTGGTGAAATGTTCATCGTCTTCACTCACTTTTCAGAAGTGGGTGAAGTGGGTGATCTAGCAGATTCGTGGACATAATAGTCATAGAGTAAACCAAGTGAAGCTGCAACTGATGGATCATCTGCACTAACTTGAGCTAGGAGTGAGGCTGTTAATGCGGAACTTTCTGATGAGTCAGAGGAGAAATATGCCTTGAGGAACTCTTTGCCACGATCTTCTTGTTCAGTAGTGTCTGTTTCAGCATCTTCATCTTTTGATAGACTGCTGGTGGATTTTATTGATGAAGTTTGGCTTTCTTGAAGTGCTACAGCACTTTGTAGCTTTTGTCTATAGGTATGATTAATGAAATTCATATAGTAAATAAAATTATCTTTTCGGTGGTCATAATTTATTAAATTGCCAACCTTACAAATGACAATGATGTATCAAAAATGGGTACGACAAAAAAAACACACTCACAAAAAAAAATTCACTATCTCATGTAGCATACATCAGTTGTTTCATCATTTGCTTCATCAAATACAGTACGATGGTTAAATTATTGAAAAAAATTGCTGTTTAAAAGATATTCAATTCCATTCGTGAAAAGGAATTTAAAATAAAGTGAGAAAGTATTGCGTTCATTACATTGTGTGCTCGCTCAAATGCTGACTCTAAATATGACTAAAAGAAAGGATGTTAAAATGTTATTCACTACCAAAACTAACCTTCATCCTCAGAACTGAAGGAGCTTAGTGTATCAAGATATACACATATACAGATGTCATACACACAAGGAAGTAATTATAGAATACCCTGCCACATACTACCTGCAAGCCTCACCCTAATCATAACCTAGCCAAATTGCTGTTGGCCATCTTTGTATCACTGTATTCTGTAATATTCATCACACAATTAACAAAATAAGCTCTCATAAACTAACTAATGAGCTCAACATTCCACTTCACATAACTTTAATACAACGCTAATTCATCGTGCAGGTACTTTCATGTTTCCATTGCCGATAAAAAGTTTGTCATAAGCGGAATTTCCAGATAAATAAAAAAGTAGAAATTCAAAACGGCGCCAAACGAATACAAAGGATGAAAGGCTTTGAAAAGCTACATATGTATATGAGCCGACACCACTTTTCAATTTCTGAGACAGTTTGTGTTTATACTTTGTCACTATACATCCTGGGCATCTTTTTAAAACAAAAATAGGGTCGTGTTACCTCAAACATAAAAAAAGCACTTATAAAAGGCTAAATACTACATCCATTGATTGACATTGATAAAAAGAAAGATATTAGTAAACAAACGTGAACATTATTGAAGATCGCATTTGTCGCTCTATCACATGATTCTTTGAATTATAAATATTGCATTCACCAAGGTTTACTGAATTCACTTACTTATCATCCATGCAAGATAACTTTAGACGCAGCAATTTAAAGACTTGTATTCCCGTTTGTTCACATCACGTACAGATGTCATGGTAGCCTTGCGCTTGTCATTTTCGCGACGCGTCATCGTTGTTGACTGTTGTGTTTACACATTACATGATCTACTCCCCCCGGAAACACTAATTTTTATTAAATAGCCGTAAAAGAAGGCGCAGGTGGCGAGCTAGAATCCGTTTTTATTCCTGCAGCACATATCTATTGGCGTTCATTCGCGGGGGAAACAATTAGTAAAATTAATGTTTCAAAGAAATAACTATACAAATCTTTTTAAGTTCCTTCTCTGGAAAGACAATGGAGAAAATTGTAAATGTGAAAATCGGGCTGACTTTGCTTATAAATATTGCGGGAAACGCGGAGCAGGGGGAGTGCGTGGAAATACTTTTCTGCCATTTTTGAATTTTAGGAATTTGACTCCAGTGGTAAAAGTAAACACGGGGGGTATGCCCCCCATTATGTACATGGTAAGAGATTTATTGGGTAACATGCATTAATCGCTGTGGTATATTTTCTAAGGAAAACAGACTTTCCTATTGTCACACTTCCAATCTAACAATCTAACAGCCGAAGCATTTTTGAGAAAAAATGCTCATTGTCATCGATACAGAAGAAAAGGGTTAGGATCTCTAATTGATCGCAATAAAATAGAATGACATTTCTTCTCAATTTTAACTTCATGCTATACATATTAAATTAAATGTAGTTGTAAAACAACTGTCCTCTTTTAGGTAAGAAATCAAACAAGGCCGTCCTGTTACGGAAAACATTCTTGAATGTTCCTATTTTCACGTTTTGAAAATACGATGAACAAATAACATGGATTTCGCTTTTGTTGGCATTTAATTAATTAAATTTGAGTTTTGTACTTAGAAATTGTGCTTGAGCAGATTATGGGAGGATCAGAGCCAACAATGTTTTGTCCACTGTATAGCATTTACTTTTATATTTGAAATTTAAATACATAAAAAAAGTAGGAAGTCGCCTATAAATAATTGTGTAACGGCTTTTTTCACAAAATCCGCGGTTCGGTAAACTCACAAGTAATTCTAATCGGATATAACATCAACTTGTTTTTGCAAGTTAGCTTGTTTAACGAAAATCTTCACTTTTTCATGGAGAAATCTCCATCCCAATGCAAGAACATGCAACACAGTCAACACGCTTTGAACATCTCACAGAGGATTTTTCCAACGGAAACGACTTCATAAGATTTTTTAAAAAAGACTTTTTCCACCATTTTTGTGTTGACAGAACGAAGCAATGGCAAAGAAAGAAGAAGCTTTCCGAAGCGAGCGATATGACGAGTTTCGACATTTCTTTGGCAATGTTCGCCAAGGATTATCTGGGCTTGATCTTGCAATTTTTCGATTTCATTCGGGGCTCTTAGTCCGCGAAGTTCTAAAAGATTGAAGTGAAGCTTCACAATAGCTATGATTTAGTAACTGTTAGCAATGAAATATTCAAAGCAACGACTCATCAACTCGTGAAACGATGTAATAAAAGCCCTGCTGTTGATTTTCAATAAAGAAGCATGAAAGTTTACCTGACTTGAAAAGAACCAAGGCCTTGAGGCATGCATATTCAACATCGTCCATCTGAAGTTGATGAAAACGAGCTACAACATTTTGCATCGTTCTCATATCTGTAAGCAATTCTCTTGTTGGTGGAACTGCTTGTGATGGCAACTCGCTCGATGATAACAGTGTGGTGTTATCGACAGGCAAACGATGATGAACGACATTCAGTATGAACAATTCAGTCCAAGATTCCTCAAGTAGAATAGCTTGATCACAAAAAGGCAGATCGGCGAACAACTGAACATTCCGTGCCCAGGTAACTGACATGTAGAGCAACTGAATTGAAGAGTCATAAAGACAACGGTTCATGGAGGTACATGAGAATGGTTCTTGAAATGTTCTATGCTCTTTAACATCAGTAGCATATTTTCTGTCAGCACGATTCTTCGTCATATTGTTGTTATCATTCTCGGCCTCCTTTTCACGTGTTCCTCCTTTTCGGAAGTGACGATTTGCGTTGGTGTCATCGTGTGGCACGGCAAGTTGATTTACATTCAATTGGTAATGGTTCTTTTGGTAATCATAGAGAGACGAGCTCTCGCCATTGACACCATTTTGAATTGTACAACAGTCGAGCTATGATGTCCATTCGCACTTTGTAATGACTGCTCAGTGAGTCTGTTCACGAGGATCTCCTTGCTGTTGGCGCTATTTTGAGAGATCTTAAGATATGCGTTTGGGTAGTTGTAATCAAAGAAAAAACCATTGTCGCCATTTTTCTTAAAGCCAGAGTCAAAATCTGTGAAAACTGTGTCAGTTCTGCTCTCTAACCCGTTCCATTGGTTTTCCGATACTGCGGACGAGTAGGGTGAGTCGGATCCAGAACTTGTCTCATGCTTCACTAGTTTTGCAGCCTTGCTGCCTTTCCGTGAATTACATTTTCTTTTGGCCGCTAATTTCTTGGCGTGCAATATAGACCTGGGAGCTCGTTCATGTTGTACAGCTAACAAAACCATAGAATAAATGGTGTTATTCTTCACAGGCAACGATTTGTCATCACACATTCCCCTAGGCAAATTATTTTAAGTAGCACACAAATGGATCCAAGCTAGTCTCTTAAAGTCAATTGCGATTAAGCTGTTTTGATTCGATGTGAGCAATCTTTATAACTGTTTTACATAATGATAATTACCAATAAATAATGCTACTATTACCAAACGGTGAACGGAACTGATGATACTTCTTGTTAATATTAATTTTAAAATTGGGTATCTTTGAATTCAGACAAGATGCCTCCTTTTTTAAAGCACGAGCTACCCCATTCTTTACAGGGCAGTCAGTAAAATACGGTGCTGTGTTTAATTATGAGAGATTCATTCATTTAGAGATTATATATATACATCTCGGGGAGAGGGGGCAGAATATCTTTTTATGTTGTGTTTATTTCAATTTATCAGGACGAGCACATTAAAACTTAAAAGTTTCAAAGAATATTTTCAAAAAAGAAATTTCATAGTTAACTGAAAATAACTAGACGTTAAGGCTTTGAACAATAATAAAGCCTGCATACTAACACTTTTCCGACCCCCACCCCTCAAGTGAAAAGTAATTGTTTAATCATCAACCAACCATCTGGGTTCATGTTAACTTCATAACATTTCTTCAGCCGACATGATTGGCATTGATTGCGCCTGCTCACATCAATGACACATTCACCAATATTCTTGCAACTGTATTGAAGATTTCGTCGAACGCTTCTCTTGAAAAACCCGCGACAACCGTCACATGATAGCACACCGTAATGTTTCCCGGATGATCGATCCCCACACACCATGCACGAGCTCTGGGACCTACTAGTGAGCTCTGAAAAATCAAACACACATTATAAATAATATAGCTATAGCTATCTACATTGGCGCACGTAGAAAAAATATGTTAGTTGTAAATAAAAAGTATGTAACATAAATTTTATAAGTCCGTAAAAAGATATAATACATAGTTACTCTGGCTAAAAAATGTTATACCGCCTTTGGCCTATGGGTCGTACTATATATATATATGGTATTTATTTCCCAATTCGGACGTTTGGGGTCAGGAGATGACTATTTTTAAGTAAAATAAAGCGCCTTAAAGCACATAGCTGTGCAATTGTCAAGTTTTTGCACAATTTTCAAAACAGGCCAAAACTTTGAAAGTTTGTTGCGTTCACGCAGCGTACGTCGTTTTGCATAGTATAACCAAAATAAACATCAAAAATGACTAAGAAGTGTTCAAAAATTTATGAGTCATCCATAGATTGACGCAGGTACCTGAAATCAAATGATTGTTTCGTTCAATGAAATGAACTTTAGTTCGTCATAGATCCGTGAAGCTTTGTCATTTGACAGTCTTTAGTTATTAAAAGATCGGTCAAAAAACTAACTTGTCTTCAAGAATTAATTCATGATAGAAAATTTGTCAAGCCTTAGTTTCATAAAGAACGGCAGCATTGGCGGCTTGATAAGGGCAAACGTTGACTTGATATAAGTCTCATGTCATGTTTAACATAATTTATGCTATATATATGCAGCTGATGGCTGATTCAACTATTCTGCTATAAGAAGAAACAATTCCGGAAATAAGTTTTCGCATGGTGTTTGTTTACCAACTATAGAACTAGTTTCTTACATAATAAAAAGTTTACCTACCCATCATTCTATTTTCAAAGGTATTTTAAATTAAAGACAGTTAAATATCGTGTATATATGATCTTGAAAAAAAATTAAAGATGGACAAAAGCGATAACATTTTTATTCTACTTTGTAGTCCAAAGAAGATTTTTCAAAAACGTACAGATGGTTGATTAAGTGTATTATCATATAACGGCCGCATGAGCGATGAAACACTATAAGACCAGCTGCTCGCACACCCACAGATTTTAACGTCTACTAACAGGTAGTTCTAAGCCACTCGTGTATGCTAAACGTCCTTCGTAAGCAGGGACTGTCCATTATGATTAAATTTAATCATGTTTTTCAAAGTGCTTTGTTGTTTAGAAAGGTGCTCAATTCCTCTTATTTAAAATACAAATCAAACGTCAATGCTGCAGAAACGCATAGATCAGTTTGATAGCCACGATCCAATGAACTCAATATTATAATAACAAAGTTAAATCTGACGGCAACTATACATTGAACATGCCGTGTAACCCCAAGCAAACTCCGCCATATTTATGTTTTTGCTCTTTTCTCTTATACGCTACGCATTAAAAACATACCGTGAAAACACGGTGATTATTAACGACAGCACACTTTATAACAAGGAAATAATGAGACCAAATAAAAACTACGAGTAAAGATCACTTGCGATCTGCGTATGTATAAAGCATACTACCATAAATTAGGGCATTTTATTCAGCTAGATACCAATCTCATCACAGATTCCTTTGCGACAAAACTTACAATGGAGGTTGACAATTACATTATCTCTTTACTCCACCCAATAAGCGGTGACATAATTCATCGATGATGAACCAGACAAAGCCAAGTATCATGTTGAGTATGTTTAATCATCTAATCACATTTTACCTTGTTTTCGCGAGTAACGTTCTTCAGAGTTCATTGTATTTTTCTGTTGTTTTTTGCGAAAAGAGAGCCAAAATGATTCGAGACTGCTTATACTCGGTGTACAGATCAAGCGTAAAGCTTCAAAATCATTTATACAGCTAACCTTTATGATATGCAGATATCGAATACCTGCTCAAATTGCGGGTAGCGTTTAAAGTAATTCTTCGTTACAATTGGTTGGGAGAAGAACATTGATTGTTAAATATATGTACACGAATTTTTCAGTATGTACGTAGTTATGTATGCATTTTGATCCTTGGATATAGGTAAAGTTCCACATACTTATCGTAGGTCACAATGATCGTACCTTGCCTCATTGACGAAGACCTGCCCGCAATGAAATCATGAATAAGCCGAAAAATTCATAAGCGCATTCCATGACGGAGTTCACAAAAGCAAAGTTTCATTAGTTCTTTATACCAGCCAATGAAGTGGGCGACAAAAAACCGACGCAATACAAGCGCGCGTTGCTTCAACGAAAATGACAGGAGCGTCACCAAGCAATACCAAGCCACTGATGATACCATACGAACACGTTTCGTTTCAAAGGATCCACGACAAGATAAGAAAAGGACTGTGAATGTTTCTTTCCATGCGGATAAATCATTTCCTCGTTACCGTTCTGTAAGTTATATAGGTAAGTTATAACATTTATACTTGAGGGGGGGGGTATTTGGCCACCCCGGCCCTCTTATTGGCCTAGCACTGAAACAAAATTACACCCCCCCCCTTGTAGTTGGTATTTCAAATATTTTGCGGATGACACATTCCTCGATGCTTATTTCACAACATGTCTGTTGCGTTATTGTTAAACTACTCTACAAATGCATAAAATAGCATTTACGAAATTGCAGTTTTTAAAATTTGTATGGGGAAGGGTATTTCTGGGCTCTCTGCCACATGGCTCATGCTTCACAGGCCCTTTTGAGGTTAATGGCCTCTCAGGGCAAAATCTTTACAATATCTCTTGAAGTAAGGAAAATGACAAGTTGGAAATATGACAAGTATGCTCATGGAAAACACATTCTTTTACTATATGCACATATCTTCCCACAAGAAAATATGCAAGAAACAAGCTATCTAAAATATACATATACAAATACAGCTTATACGTACCCATGCAGATATTTTAAAAACATGTGATCGCGTTTTTATTTCTTTAGTCCTTGAATCCTTGGAGACGCTGTACGATCGTAAAAAAACAAAAAGTTGAGTCTTATAGTTGAGAAACAATGACTAAAACCATTGTGAAAGACGTAGATGGTTTAAGCGTGACTTATACGGCGCGGACCAACCACAGAAAAAGAATGTGCGAAGTTTTCGTTCTCTTGTTTGACAAACAAGCATAAACAGTTGGAATTTTGTTGTCTTTGACACACACATACAACGTACCTTATGAGATCTTTATATATTGCTTTCGCCGACTCGAGATACGGATTCACATCATCCTCAAACTGAGAGCAAAGTAATGAATACCAGGTTGAAACAGAGCAAACATAGCTAAACTGCAGAGAATACCCACTTACTTGGCAGACATCTCCACCAAGACATAAATGAGCGAATATTCTGAATATAAACTCGCTTTTCTCAGTATCAGAAAACACATCATAATGATCAGATTCATCCGTCAGATGCATCTACAGTGAATCAAATACTGCAATTAACTGACGTCTTGTCTTCACAGTCTACACTTTTTACAAGTGATTACAACATTTGGCTAATTGTTCGAAAATAAAAACTAACTGCATAAGGCCCGTTCACACGATCCAATTTGACAGATCCGATTGTTTCGATTCCTCTAATTTTTCAAATTGTTGGATCCGACTGTCAGAAACTTACTTTAAATGTGTTCATATGATCCGTTTCTTAGTATTCGTTTTTTAGCATCCGTTTTTTAGCATCCGTTTTTTAGTATTCGTTTTTTAGTATCCGTTTTTTAGTATTTTTAGTAATCGCAACATTTTCCTCGACATTTTTCTTGTAGGCCTTTTTATATTGTTTTATTGATGAGAAAATGAATGAGTACTATTGAGTACCTTGCGTAGCTCGTCTGATATCAAAAATCCTTCGATGTATTCATCAAAACATTTATAGATCATTCCAGAATCACGAACCAAACCTGAAGCAAAGATCTTGCATCCATCGACTTTTTATGAGTATATCCTACCCTTCCCCCCACATACAAACTCTCATTTCTTTCATTCGTTAAATAAGGATGTGTGCCTGGATATATTTAGATCCAGTTCAGAGGAAGGCGCATGTAAATGTAAAGAAACACGGAATAAAAAATACAGAAGGAACATAGCCTTTCTTGTTATTTATATGTATATACGATTGACTTAAGTAAAATGTCCAATTCAATGGCACTTCTCTTCTTTTCAACATATTTTGCTCATCTACCTTGCCTAAAGAGTTTATTGAAAAACTCCATATTCAACACAGAGCAAGGAACAGGATCGACAAAACTTTATCAATATTCAACGCTCCTGAACGAGAAAAACATAATGCAATTATTTGTAAGACCTATACGAGCTTACTATTTAGATTATGATGTAAATTCTTCTATCTTATACAATTTTTCCATTACAGTTTTTCAATATGTACATTTAATATAGTTTGTATGCAGGGCCCCTATGGAGACCAGTTGATAAATGGGCTACCCAGCTAAAAAAGAATTTTTCTTTCCATTTGCTGAAAACCCGTTCTGTGAGCTAATAATTAATGAGTAACATAAAAATCGGCTGCGAGCTTTTTCTTTAATCATACCGAATTGGGTGTAACAGTTATTAAATTAAAATATAACTACTAGAATCATATGTTTCATAATAGCAGACGGCCACCATAAACTGCTAAATATTCAGTGATATTATTGAACTCCCTAATTAGGCGACAGCTAAAACGTACGACAATCTTACCTATAGAAGCCGACGATCCACTTTTGGAAAAAACCTATATACATATATTGTAAAAAACAATGAAACATGCTGGTGTATCATTTTGTAAACTAAAAATCTGTGCTGTATGTATACAACAAGACACGGAAATCTATCTCAAGGTCACGGCAATAACTTCTTGAGATACTTAAATCGATTTTAAGAACATTGACAATGTATTTGATGCGTCGAAAATTTCATCTTCGTTAACTTTTTGGAGCTAGAAGAAGATGATTCCGCGCCGTTAGGAGAAAACGCTCGTTTCGTAAAGATACAATGAGATAGAATTTCGACCAGAGGGAAATATCGTACGGACAGTTTTACTTTATAAATGTTTTCTTTGATTATTCTCTCAAACAATGTAATCAAACTATACACCTTTGCTGCGTCTTAAATTTGAATTGCAACCTTTTAGAAAGATTTGCTGAATAGTTTCATTACTTATATCTAAAAATTGTCCGTGAAAGATGGTTAGTGCGGTCTGAAATCATTTGGGGACAAATTTAAACTTAAAACCAAAACAAAAAAGTTTGTCTTATAAAAGTTTGTCTTAAAAATTCTTGAATAATTTACCTGAAGATTGGCTTGAACGCATGGATCTGTGAGAAAATCCTAAATAGGTAGATGAAACATTTACATCTATGGATACGTTCAATTTGAACAAAATTGATAGCAGAACCAAAGGATGAATTTTACCAAAAAGTTGTGCTATGCCCAACAGAGCTGCATAAGTTTAATTTAATTGAAATTGCTGACAATTTTTACAATAAAAATGCTACATAGTTTACTTACCATAACAAAATCATTTTTTTTATATTGTTGAAAGTGCTTGTCAAAGGTAAACATCTGTAGTTTCATATGATCATACATTCCCCTAGAAAAAATTCCATTAATAGTTCAAGACAGGAGACGGCTACCATTTAAGACAAAACGCCCATCTCATTTACACATGAATGAAGGTGATATAGATCTATTTTGAGAAGTATGATGGCACATGAAATATTGAAATGTTCCATTCTTGAATATTAAAACTACAACAATTAGTCTACAAGGCATCCCATCTCAATCATTGCATTACAAACATGTAGCTTCAACTCAATACTGTAACGATTCAATAACTGTGCCCAGGGTACACACTAGGGATGTTTGAGTTTGAAGGGTAACATGCAACACCCCTAAGCTTTTGTGAAATATAAACAAAATGTCTGTCCACAAAATGAATTGAGGCCAAAAATTAGTTGAGCAAATATTGCAAACACTTGAATCAAATAAAGATACTTCAAAATTCTGTTGCAGAATGTATAATCCCCCTTACACACACACCCTCGCCAGTTCTTTTGGTAGATATTGCGTGCCCAAGTAAAGAGTCAGCAGGCAATTTATAAAAAACATTACAAAATCATGACATGATTCTCTGAGATAAACACCCTTTGTAACAACTACAAACACATTGATGTAGTAAGTGCAATTTTAAAGCAAATTTTATCAAGTAACTGAAATCAATCAATTGCTTCGAAGTATTTTGCTGATTGTATTATAAATGGATTAAAGAATTTCCATAATTTCAGCTAAGTTTTCGGACGACTTTATTCCAAGATCAACAAAATTTTGGGTTGCTCCATTAGAGTGATATGATCATGCTGATATAATTTGGGGGGACACTAGCAATGACATCACTAATGTTTTGTTTGCAAACAATTTCAAGCAGACAGTAAAAACATAATGCACTTATTAGTCAAGATCCATCAATTTTCTGCAGTGAGGTGTTGCAGTAATACATAAGATCACAAAAATAAAACCATTTATATAAAACAAAAATAAAAAATGTTTCACACTTGTCCTAAAACCTGATGATTTCGCTTGTTGTGTCAAGTTAGCGGTGGATATGACAAAAGCGAGTAGCAAAAAATCTTTACATGTTTGTAATTGTAGATCGTCCAGGTTGGTTTGGTCCTGAGAAGGACTGTTTTTGTTGTTGTTGACTGATGTTTCGACAACCTTAGCGGTAGTCATCTTCAGAGTCAAATGAGGAGTAAACGTCAGGTTAGCCGTATTTGTTATCTGGTTCATTGTATTGTGTGTACAGGAAATGTGTATTGTCATTGTGAATTAGTGTGAAGTGAAATATTTTTAGTTGTGAAGTGTGATTTAGGACGATCTACATTTACAAACATGTAACGATACTCCCGGGTTCAAACCATTTACTTTAAAAAATCTTTCACACAACTTGTGAATTCAATTTTTGAGCTCAAGGTTGTCCTTTCTACATACATGACAAACTACATCTCATAAATCTGGCTGGATTCAAAATGTAAGTTTTTAACCTCAAAAATAATTTAGATAAATAGATTTTATTCCATTTTTGAGGCTATCACTATCTATCAGATTATACTATCAGCCGTTCAAATTAAACGACAAATTAAACGACAAATTAAACGACAAATAATAAGCTCAACAACAAATTACGAGAAAATTGATCTAGCTTTTCAATTGCTGCAAAGTCTTTTTACCATTTAGTAAGCAGCTCCTTTAAAACGTTGGATGAAAATGCAGGAAACTTGCGATCGGCTACGTACTGGAAATTAAAGTTTTCCGCCATTTTTAAAGTATGTTTGTTACCTTGACGTGAACAAATACTTCATGTACGTATACTTAATACTTTTCCAAAAAAATGCACATCAGAAACAACATTTTCTTTTTCAGAAAATTGACTTCAGAAAATGATTTCTTGGAAAACTGACTAAGGACGTTTAAATTTTATCAATTTATGCATGCCACTTGCCAAATCTTGACGAGAGATATTAATATAAAGTGTAAAAATAAGACACAAAGAAAGATCACCAAATACGCCAGGAATCCGACAAATTTTCTTGAGTCTCTACCCAAAGTAAAACGATTTTTAAGATCTTCAGTTTACTCTGGGTAAGATTGAGATGTTTGCCTATCTCCAAGAAAAGAAAGCCCAGTAAGAAGAACATCAAAAACAACTAACAACAAGTGCAAATATGGAAAGATCAGTTGATTCACGTTGAAAGTGTAATCTAAGCGATTCCTTGTTCAGTCCGGTTGCACGAAGCATGGATAGCGTTATTCACTGGATAGCAAATTTTTCTGAACGTTCATAAAATCTCTTCTAGGAGAAAAGTATACGATATGAGCTGTGCAATCACTAAAATAAAATATTGTTTCGAAGATTACAAAATTTCTTTGTCGTAAGAAAAATATAAACACCTTTTTTACAAGTTTGAAAATTTTCGCTATCCAACGGATAACGCTATCCAGGCTTCGTGCAACCGGCCCCTGGTCTGTAATTATGTCTGAGGACGAAACTTTATTAAATAATCGTCTAATGCTGTATATCAATGGTCGAGTGTATAGAACACTGAGAAGGATGGTTAAGTCGCACCCAACTTTTCAATGGTGGAGTGTTCCCCAAGATTCCTACAGCATAATTCATAGAGCACACTAGATGAACATTAAGAGCAAAGGACATCTGCAAGGCTGTATGAAGAATTCGACTCACGTAGGTTATGGAGTGGCTGAGAATTGAACTTCTACGTGTAACTTCTGTCAAATCCCATTCTTTACCAAAATCACAAAAATCTGTTTTGTTCTTGAAAATCTGTAGAAGAATACGCTGATTTTAGAAGAATCAAAACTATGAGAAGCTTAGAGGATAAAGTCTAACTTTCCAGCATTACGCATTGAATTCGATGTATTATTTATTAGCTATCTTGTGCACATCTTTTTCCCAAACACTAGTCACCACTGTGGTTAACAGGGGAGCACGTTGTTATGTAGTTACATTTGGTATATATGTTACTGCATATCTTCCCATTTATGTTTGTTTGAATTGTGAAACTCACTCCCGCTATGATGATCAATACCGTCGGTTTTCCTTTAACAACTTACATAAATTCAAGTCAATTCAAAAACAAGGATGCAGCTAATTCCGAAATTTTCGCAAAAACCACACTACGACATTGTAAAAAGCTGCTCTCTGCTGCAACTGTATATACAACCAATCAGATTGCAAGAAATGAAAAAGCAATAGGCATATAATAGTCAAATAAAAAAATAAAAATGGTAATGACTCTACTTGAATGAAATAATGCGTTAAATTGCATACTTGAAATTAAATTCCACTTTCAAATTTGCATAAAATAACATTCTTTTAAAAATATGCACCGAGATGAGAAGATAGAATCATTTAATGACGTGTAGCGATATGTTTGAAATAATCAAAGTTAGTTCACACGAATTGGGCGCAGAGTCTTTTAATTTCTTTTAGGATCAACCGAGAGAACGATACCAATGATTTTACGAAGCGTTTTGAAGTCATTTTTCGTTCTATGTTTCACAATCAAAGTGTTGACGAATGTCAAAGCAAACGTATGCGTTAACGTACCACGAAGCTGCGCTGCGTTATTAAACGTCAGCAACAATACCACCACAACTGGTGATAACAGAACATTGGAAATTATTAATTCTACAATAAAAGCCGTGGAGGAACTGACGACCAACTACGAATGTATTTCAGCCGTACGATATTCGATGTGTTTGTTTGCCGTGAAGCCATGCAACAATACCCATCTGAATTCCACAACATTGAATCATAAAGAGGAACAACAGTGCATGGCAATTCAAAGTAGTTGTCCTAAAGTAGTTGAAAAAGTGTATGGTAGCATGTTTTGTTCGCAAATCGACGGCTTTTCTGATGTAGCTGTAGCTGCGTGTGTCACACTAAATGTTTCGGCCAATGCTTATTGTCCAAATAATATGACGCTTAGGGTAATACATACTCTCATCAGTATTTCACAAACTTATTTTCACAGATCAGATGTTATGTAAATTTAAAATTTTAGGTTTCTTCTAAATTTAAAAATTGCAGCGATCGTGTATTGACGATATGTGTTTGTGAATTCATGGATGTGAACGAATTTCTTTCAGAGAAAGAAGGAAAACTGATTGAAGTGAAATATCGTGATATTAGTGTATACTTTGGTTCACGATTGCCTTTTCCATGCCTTCAGTGAGAACCGACATTATTTTTAAGTGCTTATAATCACTTTCTAAGTAAATATACAGCTATAGCTACTACGTGAGGTGCATATCACGAAATGACGTGATTCTGTGTATATGTCAGAAACTTCAAGCATGTAGTGCCAATATAATGAAGAATATGGAATAAAATTTGCACTGAAAAATGATCCATGAATAAAAGACCATAAAATTTAGTTCACCTTTTAGATTGCAGCGGCAAACATCACGGAGTTTCTTCACAAATCAATTTCTGCAAAAGAGAAACTGGAAGCCAACTCGATCGGGAACATGACGGTTGAATGTTTGGATAAGAACAAAGAATTGCAATGCGCTGGATTTGTACCATCTTGCTCAGAGCATAACGTGACAAGAGAATCATGCAAAAATACGTTGTCGTGGTAAGAAAAAATCTAAAATGCCCGTTTAGTTAGCCAAACGGCTTGCCTGATATTTTTCAATTGACGCAAGTTAGCTGTTGTCATTCATTTTTATGTTAAGATTATGGCAAAAATGTTCAAGTTACTCTGATGGTGAATGTTTAAATCACCGTCTCTCTTCTTCGTCTTCTGTCTCTCTCTTCTTCGTTTGTTTTCTCAAAAACATTTGACATCTCGTTGAATGATTGAACTCCAGCTGACACATCACAAGCAAATCAGGCCCTAACAAGAACCCGCAACTAGTTACACACGTTTTAACTAATTCCAAAAATATTCAAACAATAAATAGCTAGTTATACAACTATTGCACTCTTAACAGATTTTTATCATGTTATTGGATAATCGATGCTTTACAAAAATCACTTCGTATTTTTCACATTTTCATTTATTTTGTAGTTCATTGTCTAACTCATTGTTCAATAAGACAGAAATCTGCAACAAATTTCAGCCAACTCCTCTATCAGGTAAGTATCCTTAAATATACATTTACGAAAAGTATGCACAACGGAGATTCAGTCAAAGAGATTGCCTGCGCAAATCAGTGAACTCTGAAGTGAACTCATAACTAACTTAGTTAGCCTTCCAATTATTATTGAGTTCACTGGCACTTTTCTCAAGGATCATGTGACCCCACTGCCTTTCGAATTCGAAGTTCAACATGTTAAGTCACGTTATTCTGAGTAAAAGTATTCAAACCTCGTACCAGTGCTGTAGAACTAAATTTATCAGATGGGGGGCTCCCTTGACGAAGCTGAAGCAATGAAATTATGAAAAATACCCATTTCAAAGGTAGAAGTGGGGCTCCTCCCCCAAGCGTCCCCCCCCCACATCCACAGCACTGCCTTGAACAGTTAAATTCAGATTTTTGAGGTCGCCATTACCACCCCTGAAGATTCAATATTGTGGTCTAAATTAAATATGGCGCTGAAACCAAAAGAAATTGTTTACTCTTTGCCGTGTAGAAAGCCAAGCAGTGGATGATTTTAGGTGTTTTTTACTTTGCACTTCTAGTGTCAGCCACAACATTGGCTGCAACAATCTTCATCACCCGCACAGCACAAATAGTCACGACATCTTCAACAATAAAAATTCTTCCCTCTTCAGCAATGCCAATTTTTGATTCCTCAAGTTCGCAAAAGCTCACAATTCCGTACGATTTAGCATCTGGGTTCAATGCAACGGTGATGCTGAGGTTGAACTTAAATGAAACGTTCAACACAAACTACACCGTTAAAACAAGCTCAGATTATATCGAATTAGCGAAGAATGTTCGAGAAAGTCTTATAGTGGCTTACCGGGAACTACCGGGTTTCCATGACGTGATCATAGAAGATTTAGCATGCAAGAGGGAAGTCGTTGCAAAGCACGTGGTACTGTCTCGTGAGAAGAACAATGCAAATGTCATAGAAGCGTATCTAATTTTGTCGAATTTAACCAATGGATTTCTCAAAGGAAAAGTAGTTGATGTCAACAAAGTTTGTCTCGCAAGTACGAGTTCGACACGTGTAGTAGACGAAGACAATTACGTTTATATGATTGTGTTTGTATGCGTCACAGCACTACTTTTATTGGCTATGGTAAGCGTTATCTTTTTTAAAATTTTCACTGAAAATGAATTTACACTGCCTAGCTAATTACTGCATGACATGAAAATGAGAACAGTTACGAAATTTCTACCCAACAGTTTTCTGGTTACATTTTAACAACCATTCAAAATAATGCAATAACTTCTTAAATTGAATTGAGTCAGTTTGTTGTTCCCAAGATCTTTTTAAAGTTGTTCATTACACAAAATATCTTTAAGACAATATAAAATTGCTAATTTTAGAAAGCATTCCTTCTGCTGTAGTTGTAAAAAATGTCTTGCTGTGCCACGACCAACTTGCTATAAAATCTGTGAATGTAGTTTACCGAGAAATAATTATCAGATCACCTGATTGATCAACCATATTTCCTTTTACAAAAAACCTCTTCACGCCAATATATGCACTATGTTAATAGATACATTTTTATCTCTTTTGTCAGGTTCTATGCCACAAAAGCAAGTAATACCTTTTTGAAGCAACGTCCTACCTAATGTAACATATTTTGAATACATACCATTGGAAAGAGAACTATTTTTTAAAATTAAACGTTTAGTATTGTATACTTACTTTATATAAACGGAATGGGAAACATTGAAATCATGCAGAAGTACAAAAATCAAAAAATCACGAAAACATAAAATTACGACGAGCACGAAGATTAGAAAACTCAAGGAAAATAAAAAAGTGCCAGCTAAAGCTCAAAAATCCTCTATTGATCTTGTTCACGTTCTAGGAGTAATTTACCCAGTTGCAACTGTCTTAATCCTAATCAATAACTTCTTGTAAAATCAATGATTTCTCGGAATTGTGAAAAAACTGAATGTATTGTTTCAGAAAATAATGGATAGCAATTATAAATCTGACTATAGTTTCAATTTACTTTCTTTTTATATGATTACTGTTGTCATTTACGCCACGGGATGGCCTTTATTTATCTCAATTTTTCGTGAATCTTTTTGGTGAAAACAGATAAATAGAACAATATATGGAATTTCCTTTGAAAATTAAGGAGTTTTGGATATTTTGCTCTTTTCATTTACTCTGTATTTTCTCCTTCTGAATGGATTTTCCCCTCCTCAAAGACAAATGCTGATGAATACATTTTGAGTATTGAATGTATCACAATTTTGCGGTTTGCTCTCACCCAATAAGCACGGCCAGAGTTAGTTACAACAAGGAAATCACACTGTCAGCATGGTAAAATAGCATATACCTGTTTCATCATGTATTTGCTACTGACGTAACAGTGCAATTTAGTTATGAAATTGAAGAAAATCAAATTTTTGTCTCTATAAGCGCACATGCACGTCACAAAAGAATAAGAAAGACAAGAATATTGAAACAAAGGAAAAAACTAATACGTACAAGACACATTAACACAATAATACTTTACATATACCTTAATATAATTGCGTGAATACATGCGGTCCTAACTCACAAATATCTGTAAGGCTGCGAAAGCTAAACATAAAAATGGGTACCTAGCTATTTTTTGCATTTGACTGAGTTTGAATGATTTAATCCTATTGTACGATCTATGCGAGGTTGCAACTACGTAGGTGTATGATTATAATGGTTCAGCTTCTATACGTGAGCTGTAAACAGTGAGATGCATGTGTCACCTTCTGGGATTGTCATCTTCGAGGAATCAGTGCAACTGAGCTATGTAATCCTCTGCTCTTTCATAGTAGTCATTTGAAAGCCAGAAACATTGTAGTGGATCCACCTGGAAAGTTCTATAAACATTATAAAGTAAAACTAGCGGTGATTTTCATCGAAACTGATGAAAATACAAACTCAACAAAAGTCATACTTTTCTTGACCGGTAAATTTCACAGTCAAACTTTTCTCTGTACCACCAGTAATTATTCCAGGCTTGTATAATCCTTTTGCTTAAAAAACAAACGAAAATTAACATGAATTTCACTATTTATATTGAAAGAATCTACTTATGTCACCACAAAAATGTTGGTATTTGTACCAACCGGTATCATTCAAAGCTAAAACTTTATCTCCCTCTGCTAACTGATGTCGTTTGGTATGAGCGCCAAAAATCATGGACGAACTCTGCAAAAAACGAAGGGATAAATTGCGTGGAATGCGAAAGTCATCAAAAACATCATGTTTGTAAGGATCCAAGTTCAACACATTACAGATCCATATATATAGGTCATCACATGGTTATAACATAGGCTAATACGAAGGACGCGCACCTGAACCTGAGAACTCCAGTCAGGCCACTGAACGACATATTGTCGACCATTTCCAACACGAGAACAAACATTTCCTAAACAAACACGAGAAATTACAAAACTTTGCTTTTGTCTTTTGAGAACTGATTTTCACGGTGGAACTAAGTGCCGTAAATTAAGATTGTTCAGTTTTACAGCAGCTAGCAAACCAAAGGGATTTATTCACGAGTAATCAATTGCTTTTGCTTTTCCGTTTGTTATCCCCTTTTACCTCATGTGCACTTTACCAATGGTGATATTTCAGACCGATAAAATTTGTTTTGCAAGAGAGCTATACGAATGCATGCATGAGTCGATTGAAAGTTGATTATTTGATTATATCTTTACGAATGCATGCATGAGTCGATTGAAAGTCGATTATATCATTACGAATGCATGCATCAGTCGATTGAAAGTCGATTATATCATTACGAATGCATGCATGAGTCGATTGAAAGTTGATTATATCATTACGAATGCATGCATGAGTCGATTGAAAGTTGATTATATCGTTACGAATGAATGCATGACTCAATTAAAAGTTGATTATATCATTACGAATGCATGCATGAGTCGATTGAAAGTTGATTATATCATCAAAAGAAAACACTGCAGATGCATAAAAATATCTCGATGAGTTTCGCAAAGCTTACCCAAGTAAAATAAACCATCGCCATCGTTCCTAGCAACAACAGCCTTGCCTACTAGGCTCTCCTCACGACGCACAATATAATCAACATCGAAGGAGAATTTTTCTGGAGCTATAAGGTACAACTCTTCGCGCGGTATGATATTTTCGCGACCGTCGTAGAAGCGAACATTGTAGAGAAGTTGATCTTTTACATCCACTATAATACCTAGGAAACAGAGGAAACAAGTTCTTCAATTATCATTCAAAACAAATCATGACATACTGCAAGAAAGTGAAATGCATTTTCCTTAACTCGAATGATTTCATGAATGCCAAGCAATAAAATTAAGGTAGAATTTATAGCAATGTATCAACCCTGACCTGGTGCATAGCTGAATGAGAAACTTGGGTGTAGGGCGATGACGGCATCGTTCACCTAAATGAAGGAACCCCTTGTTTTCAATAAAGAAATTGACATGTATCATTGACTTTGGAAATGAAGGAACGGGTTTGAAAAAAGAAGGGCAGAATAAGATACAATGGGATGCAACGAAATCGAATAGAAATCAAAAGTATGTAAAATACAAGAAATCGCCAAATGTACGTGCATGGCTTTAATGTCCATGGTGTGTGTGCAGAAAATTATTTGTTACATACATACGCCTGTATACTAAAAGCTAACTCACACTCTCACTCATTTAGTGTGACATAGAAATCGCACTCCCATCAATCAATAAATGGGAAGGTCATTTCTCCATCGATGTCAAGATTTTAGTTCGAACAGTATACATCAAGCAATCGGTGGAATGAAAATGCTGTCTTCTAATAATTATGACGCAATTTCAAAGCCTCACTTGGTGAGTGTGAATGAGTGAGTGTGACGGAGCTTTTAGAACACGAGGGAAAGAACGCACTTTCAATGAATTAGGCGAGTCATCATCGTCAGTGATTATATCCTCCCTGGATATTTCTTCCATGTTTCCAACACTATCTTCGACAAGGTAGTTGCCTCCTTTGTCCTCGTGCACAGTTCCTAAATAAATGAATACTTCAAAACTGTACAAAAATTTCCACAAATTTTCATGCAGGCATTTGTGCAAATATACACACCTCTATAGTACCAGCCATCATCAGACCATCGTGCCAAAACCTCTTCGCCCTTTTGTAAAGTAAGAGGGACACGTCTTTTTGCAACAGCAGGATCTTTTTCCAATGGTGCACGAGCTGCATCAACAGTATTAATAAAGGTATTAATAAATTATATCCATATTAGAAAAACATTATAAAAAACAAAATTTGAATGCAAATCAAATGCTATAAAAGCTTGAGCAAGATTTTTGACAGAGAGGGGTAAAGGAAAAGAGGTTTTACCACAATTGCTCCCCGGACTTTGCATATGAGCTAAATTGTGAACTGCCAATCTAGTGCACACGTGAAGAACTGAAATCAACCCTTTTGGCGCGGCGTATTTTTTCAGAAAGAGTTGATTAAACAAAACTCGTTACCAGCCGCATCTCTATAGTGTATTGTAATTCGCACCAGAGTATTTCACTTATCTTGTCGCAGGCGTTGTGCATTGTTGTGCATGAGTTTCTCATAGCATGTAGGGCATCGTGTTATTATTAAGACGTGCTTAGAAAAAGCACATTGCATGATGGTCCAGGTTGACTACGAGTTATCTGTCAACCAATTACACGCTAAAGTGCATTTACCTCAAATTTATCTCAGAGAGACGGAATTCGTGTCATGTACAAACGCATCATCATTAAAAAGCTTTTAATTTAAATCAGTTCAAATAAACAGATTTCAAAGGAATGCAAGGAAATTCATGCAATATGAACATAAAATGAACTCACAAATAAGTAAACCGTGAGGTCCCTTAGTCCAAAGACAAGCGTCGGATTGAATAGAAAACTTGATTTTCGACGGCATCCCATCATCTTGTGGCTTTGAAAGATTTTTTTCTGCCGGTTGTGAAATCGCAGACTTTTTATTATCCTCGTCTGAAGAAGACCGGTTATTGGAACTGGTGCTATCGTTTGATGAGTTGGATTTTCCTTCAATAATTTTAACGAAATAAAACATAGCTTTAGTGGCCACCTACAATTAGATTATACTTCTATAGATTATACATTTCATGAAAGTTTAGCAATTTTTTCATTAGTTATCAGTTTTATACGAATGATAAATACGAAATCAATAAGAACATTTTCACCAATTACGACTTTCGTTCTGTCACCTTTTGCCATCTTTTTTTCTCTAGAATGTTTCTTCTTTTTCAATTTCTCTGCATTAGAGCTATTTTCAGTTTGATTTTTTGATACTTGGTCCGGGGGATGTACCAACTGCTCGAGCAGTTTATTGTGCTTTTTCAAATCATTCATAATCTCCGCTTGTTTTTCGTCGAAAAGTTTTTTGTATTTACTTACTTCGTCATCAATAACATCACTATTAACAGAAGTGTCGTCAATATTTCTGTTCTTTATTTTGTCATAGTGCCCCTTTAAATTTTCCTGCAACTTGGTCTGTTCATCCATCGTAACTTTTATTTCGCGTTGAAGTTCTTCGAAGCGTTTCTGTTGTTCCTCGATTGACTTCAATTGCAGCTTATGAGTGTCAAACAGCTGCTGTCGTATTGTTGTTAGATCGTCATAGCCAGAATCATGACGTGAATTTAGTGCCTTGTTTTTGGAATCATTATCATTGTCCATTCTTTCTGAATTGGTTTGTTTACCATCTTCACTGATGCTGCTGTTTATAGCAGGACTTCTACTTCTGTTGCTGCTTTCATCTTGATCGTGTTGCTCTTGATCACCATCAACACCGTCGTGTGTTGTACTAAAGATAGGAATTGATGAGCTAAATAATAGAAGAAAAAAAATGATCAATTTGCCGGGTATTTTCCACTGGAGCAAATAAGATTTGCAATTTTCAATTTAGAAATTTTTAAAAAAGATCAGTGCATCAGCTTCGGGTAATACAATGCATTGGCACGAATATGAAATTTGACACATAATGTGGTTCTGCACGATTGGTAAAGAAGAAAAATTCTAGCAAAAAACAGGCATATACTGTATATGTAATATTTAACCACCCATAATTTATGAAACAGCAGTCAGGAATAAATGTCAAATTCATGATTACCTTTCATTAGCAGTCACTTCGCAATCCTTAATGTAGCGACATGAAAAGGCGTATCGAGATTGGGAGATCTTTACAATATCTTTACGGAGTGCTGTAGTCTATATTTAAGACACAATAAAAATGCAAAAAGATCAACAGCAATTTTGAATCGATCTTATTCTTGGTGAAATGTAAAATTAACCCTCTTGAACTGAGCTATAAAGAATATGATTGCTTGACGATGTTTATTTCGGTAAAAATTCGGAAAGTAAATCACAAAGCGCACTACCTTGAAGCGGTTGTAGTGAATAATCGTGTAATACTTAGTTTCTTTGGATTGCCGCAGTGGTACAACGTACACAACACCTGGAACATAACATGATGGACGACCACTTCTAACCAACTTTACGAGAACATAATCGCCAATCTAACAGTATGACAACAAATACAAAATATCATTAAATTTACTTAAAAGTAGCAACAGTTACAATGTCATTCAAGCCTGTTGAACAGCAACAAGGAAAACATTTCGGCGGGGTTGACATAGAAAATTGAGGTACAGTACATAGGTATATAAAATACAGATCGTCATTATAAGAGCGGATGTATATGTGTGTACTAGTGTTGAATTTACAAAGGAAATTAAAGAACACTTTAAGTGTGTAAGATACAGTTATTGCCAGTCATTACAAGGACAAATATGTGTGTACTAGTATACTATTAACAAAAGAAATTAAAGAACATTTAAGAATTTAAACAGTTATACAGGCAGTCGCAAAAAGAGCAGATATGCCAATGTAGGGGTATACAAACAAAATTGAATATAGAGCAGCTTAAGTGTATAACCCAATTCTAGATAATATAAACGTGTTCCTTGGAGGGTTATGATATCCTCATCACAGTTTGGCCACAGTGACTGTTTTTACTAGTTAAATATTGTATTGGTAAACTAATGGAATAGAAAAACTGTAGAGTATGCGGCTGTAAATATAATGTTGAATTAACTGATCACATTTGTATATAGAAGTTAAAAAAGCATTAATCAACATAATCGTTTTCAAGCGACTACCATGCATGCACCATCAACCTACATACATTTCAGCCATGTATACAATAAATATACGAAAGCACCTTTAATGTAGGACAAGGACGAGATCCTTCGTTCGGTATGATATGACGAAGCGAAACAACCTGACTCTCCATACCATTAAAAGACACATCACCGTAGCGAGGATTAATGTTGACTCGAAGTATTCCTGGATAATAGAAGCCGTCTACATTATTTCTTGCTAACACTCGATGATTTCTAACCCATGGCGTTTTTGGCTGGTCTGTCGGCTTTTTTGGTTTCTAAAAAAAGTTGATACAACTCGTTTCCTTCCAAGGTAAAAATGTCAAAATTTTTTCCGACGAACCGAAGAAAACAGCTTACATTAATGCTAGAATCTGTGTTGGCTCTTGTATTTGTTTTATCAACTGTAGGTAGGTTATCTTTAATGCAGGAATGCCTGAAAGATAAGGACAACAAACAAAAATTAATTATTTGCATGTGCATGATGGTAAAAACGTAAAATTTTCATTGCCTGCATGCAATTCGTGGCTCTTGGTTGAATTTTACTTACGGAATGACTTTCCTTCTCGTATCCTTCTTCTGCTTGACTTTGACTGAAATTTAAAAAATGCGAGGTGTGTACTACAACTGTAGCAGACTTCGATTTTAGGCTTGGTTTGTGAAATGATGAATAATGCCCGGGTGTATAATGGTGATCAGTGATGTTACAGCCCACTTATTCAGTCCTGCTGTTCAATTTTTGCTCATCTCACTTATAGTCAACAATAGATTTCTATAGAAATGAGCATTGGTACTGTTCTGTAATTTACATAGCGATGTTAAAACTTGCATGCTGGATACATCACCGGTTCACGTAATCACAACGATATATTTCTTCGCATCAATGCAATTTTTAACGGTATTTCAATGAACATGGTTACACGGGAAACTTATTGTACGAAGCCTGGGTAGCAATTTATAAAGATGTTAATAAGAAGCTACGTTCAGGGAATTATCTGAAAATCAGTGTTTGAGTCACAGGGAATTATCTGAAAATCAGTGTTTAAGTCACAGGTAAGAAGGAAAGAAAGTTTATACCGCAAGTAAAACATTTTTATGTAAATCCTTACGTTTTTTATGCATCTTCTTTTTTTTGTTGTCGTCATCAACTTCTTCCGTAGATTTCGTAATCTGTGCTTTCACCCTATCGTCATCAATTTCCTTCGCAGATTTTTTTGTTTCTTCCTCATCATTAGTATATGATGCTTGCCTGATACTCAAGTCATCATCATCCACGTGATTCTTTTCAATCTTCTTGTCATCTATATCTTCCTCAGATGACGAAAGGTTAACATTCTCAGAACTACTTACGCTATTTTCAACTTTTTTCAGAGTTTTCGTCTTATTTATCCTCCCTACCACACGTGGCTTTGAAGGACGCTCATTCGATTTCAATAATGGTAGCGTACTGGATTGTTTCTTGGTAAGACTGTAATAAAGACGATCGTAAATAAATGATATGATCTTAATTGAAAGCATCTTAGATCTACGAGATAGTAAATCTTGTCCAAAAATCGAAGCACATCGAATCACAAAAAGAAATACCTAGTCAAATTAGGTGGGCTCATGTTCTCTTTCACATTGTTGCTAACCCAATCAAGCTTTGCACACCATTCCCGTAGTCTTGTTAGTCGCTCAAGATCTCGACTTCCTTTATCGATTTCATCTTTGATCAGACGAATATCTTCACTCTGCACAATATATAAATAGACGAGTAAATGACATGGACGAAAATCACGTTTTGATTTACAAACGTTAAAGAAAGCCAGAGGTAAAATAGAATTTATATGCACAGCACCTCGTATGTTTTGACACAATCTTCAGCATCCTCGTCCTCAGAAAAGTAATGGAATCTATAAAAGATCAATGTACTCAAAATGGGAGCAAGAAACAGCCAAGAATGATCAGGAATGTATCTATAATAATAAGAACCACATAAAAAAAATCAACCATCGGTAAAGCTTACCTCGCACGAGTTTGCTCCGATAGTTTACGTAAGAACTCATTTGCTGTTTCATCAGAACAATTGAAAGATATAGTATGAATTGGAATTGGGTCTCGCAAATGAATCTGGGCTAAGATGGTGCTTGTTGGCTAAAAAAATTGAAATGTGTTTAATTGCAAATATATAGCCATTGTGCTGATTTCTGCAACAACGGGATCAACATGAAATGGAAAGATTATGGGAACGGTGAATTTGATACAAAAAGAAAAGCAAAGTTTCATTCCAAGATTTTTTTTAAAATTGCAATGTCAATATAGCCTTTACCGTATGAGTACAATTTATCATTAGATTGTAACAAAAAGATCTTCTCATTGCATTGCCTTACTTGATCAGGTCTGCCATCGGTTAATAAATAAATAGCCTCGCACAGTTCATCAGCTAACGCCAATTTCAAGGCTGCCAACGTGTTCGTGCTACCACCAACTTTCAAACCTTTCACCCACAGCCATGCGTCGCTTATGCTCTGATGAAACAAGTTGACCATTTTTCAGTCGCAACAAATAATTTGAGACACTGTATGTATTAACTTTCACCTTATGGCAGGGGCTCGGGAAGTTTTTGAAAAGGGTGTCCAAATTTTTTGATTACGTTCTCTCTGATAAACAATATTTTTTCCTATTTTAACAACAATTTCTCACCAATATATATTAATCAAAACCTTGTTTTTTATACTATACGCGAAATCCATCTTTCATGGTACAACGGTTAGGAATATCATGGATTAACTCACACAGCTTTTTTTACATTCTATAAATGATCACAAATATTTTCCAAAATGTTTCTGTCGTTGTTCTGTACAAACTAATGCCCTGCAAATTGCATCAATGTCTAATGCACAAAGCAGAAGGACCAGCTGGAAAACACCAATTATTACTTTAAAAAATCAGCAAATTTTACGGGTGTTTTCCTAATATAAGACACCCCCGCTGTTTGAAAAATGGACACACGGACACCCGCTAATATTCACTGAAATATCCCAAGGCATCAGCATTTCATTGTAGCTAACAAACAATGACGATTAAGGACAAGGTAAATCCTGGCAAAAAGTTCATTATACTACAAATTGTTTCAATTTATATACTTAATGGGTATTTACTCCATACAAATTGCAAAAAGACGAACCTGTGGATCGTATCAACACATTCTTACATGCACATGCAAAAGCAATCAACTTCAAAATGTCACCTGTTCTGTGCAATCAACAATACGACTTCGCCATCCTATCGCACTCGAGTCAAAATGAATCAGATTGAACTTTCGTTTGTGCTTGATTTGTTCCTAAATATAAAAATAAAAATTCTTGTATGTATTTTGAAATATTGGTAAAAATGGCATCAATTGATGGTGACAAAAATATCGGAAGTTACAGATGAGCACGAATCTCTGTATGAATACAAGGGACACAAAATATTTTTCCAGGAAAACCTCATACGCAGGAGTCCACTTCTCTCCCACATTGTAAATTCTGAGTTCAACAAATTATAATAATCACGGGGTTTTTTCATGCATACGTATGTCACAATAACTAAAGGCTTCGGTAGAGGATTTTCAATGCCATACCTGAAGAAGTTGATGTAGTTTCTCTTTAACCAAAGAAAGACGCGATCTCATTGATGCCGATGTATCGATCAAAATAGTCACCTAGATGTGTAGATAGAAAGTAGTATGGTATACACATCAGTGCGATGAATTATACAACACAATAAGCTTTGCTCTTATTTTTATGCTTTAATTTCCCAATTAGAGTGATTCTTACTCGAATATACAGTTTAAATAATGAAGACTAAACATCATATCATCATCGAAAATTTCACATGTGCCTAAAGCACAATTGATACAGCAAAGTCATTAAAGATGCAATTCTGAAGTTGACATTAACAGCGAAAAGGAGGATTATTGTATCTTCGATGTTTTGGTAGAGGATAAACATCTTCTATAGTATTCATCTTCTCCGGCCTCCATTTCAAGTGGACAATTTAAGTTCCTTAGCTTTACCTTTAAAACAGCTTGCATATATCAACGTAAAGAATGTGAAGAAAATAAAGCAAACTAACTTTGGATTTTTCTTTCATAGCAATGAGTCGTCAATTTTTTTATAGTTCAACCAAAAAAGAGTATGACTTCAACATTCACCTTTGCTTAGAGATAACACGTAGCCATAATCTTGTACAATTTACCTGATCTTCAATTATCGTTCCAAACAATTCACGACTACCCCTTCGAAGCCATTGGATTCTGAAAGAATCAAAGCAAAATCAAACAAACCATCGGAATATATTACGTGGTTACCTAAAGTTTTATGCATACGTACCAATGCTACTCTGTAATATTTTTTAAATGAGTGTAGATTAAATTCTCAAACCTTTTGTAATACGAGTCGAGCACAGCACTTATTCTACGCTTGTAGTTTTCGTATACTTCAGAAGTGACATGAACGTGACGAATCTCTCCATCCTTCCATCTAAAGGAGAACAAAAATATGGAAGTATGATGGCGTATCTTAGGTAAAAAAAAACAACATCGAGAATATTGATTTGACGCTGTATGAAAGATGCTGCAAAAAAAACTAAAATCATGATTACCATTACCTGACATGAGCAAACTTTTCGCAATATTTAGCATGGACTAACTTCGAAACGGGTGGAGAAATGACACCATCACCATGGTGATTAGGCACGTCAATAACACCGTCGCAGTGCTTAAAGGCCATGTTTTTTAAAACGTCGTAAAATCCGAGCTTTTTCGCATCCAAACTGTGTTTCTAGAAGCATTTAGGTACAGAATATTCAGTTGTTCTTGTCAGTACCAGAACGATTAGATACTAACATACACACCACTTGTTATCTTGTAAGAGATATATACATGTAATTGTGAATTCAAATAAAAAGAAATAAACACCGAAAGAATCCATCAGTCCATAATAAGCACTTGTGGCAGAAAAATATTTTGATGAAAACTTTAAAAACACTACCTTTAACCATTCCTTGGAACCCATGTACGTCTCGCACGGAATCTTTTCCTTATTTTGTTTAGCTTTCTCTTCTTGCTCAGCAGAAGAACCTTAAATTCCCATTTAAATTAAAAGCAATTATGCAATCAAGCAGAATTAAAGTCTTTATAGATTTAGAAACACCTCGATTTGTTTATACCATTGAAGCCATTTATGTATATTTAGTTTTAACAATGCAAATGCTACGTATCAAAAACTACGTTACGAATGAGTCGAAGAAATGAGGCGTCGAGGTTACCATTTGTATGCACATTAAAGTTAAATTAATTAACAGTAAAATTATGGTAAAAATTCATTGAAGTTAAAAAAGTCGAGATAAATACGCATCCTACTTTTTAATGCACGCTGCTGACTGAGATATTGTTGTATTCTTCTCACTGTAGCTAAATTTTCGCGAGTTTTACCGAGTTCCTTTTTCATTTCAATGACATCGACCTGTTTTCCAACTTCAAGTTTGGCCTGCATTTTACTGTGATCAACGATGGTCATGCTTTCTGGTCCACGTTGTCGTTCGTTCATGGGGGCACTACTGTGATCGGATGTTGAAAACTTAAACTTATGAAATCTAGAAATGATTTATAGAGATATGATTAAAATGCAAAATAATCTAATTTGGAGGATATCTTACTCCATGAAATGATATTTATTAGTTTTTTTCATACCTGCCTTGACAGTAAATTGCTGTCTCTCTCAACTCGTGCAAGGCTGATGGTAATTTACAATTCATAGCAATGATATGTACGGGAATGGAAAGATCCTTTACCTAAAAGAACAAATGAATTCGGACATAGAAAACTTAATATATGTGTTTGAAAAGTGACTAGCTACTTCAACCCAAGGTTAGCAACGAGTTAACAACTTGACATAAATCGCATGTCTTAACAAATGCAGATTACATATTTGACATATACATACATTCTTTCTAAAGTTTTCGTCTATTTCTTCAAAGCATGTACCATCAGTGCAAAGGAGAATTGCCTCGACCTTTACAAAAAAGCAAGTTTTGATTGTTATTTTCACATACAAAAAAAAATAAGAAAATACGCAACGATATATATTGTTTTAAATACTCTGCTACTATACTCTGCGTACCTCGTCTTCAGAAGCTTCAACCAAAGCGTCTATGACACATTGCTCATCGTGACTTTGGTTACATGGAATGTCGTAAATCCAATCCAATATTTTCTCGATGCTTTCGAGAGACACTTCAACTGATGCTCGTTGCCATTTTATAGGGAATTGTGCACAGCTACACAACAGTTTTAAAATAGCAGTTTGAAAATGACAAAAAATATATAAAAAGAATACGTATGGGAAATAAAACAGTGCAGAATAAGAGAGGATAGTTGTGCCCTGCAGCTATCTACAAGGGCACGAATACTAGTTGGAGGGTGTCCTCCAATTTGTTTCATGACGGGGTTAGGCCTACTATCGCTACAACCTGCACCACAACCCCCTACTTTTCAAAACGGTCATCTAACGCTTACCTAATGAAATTAAACCGCTTCAAATGAATTAGTTGTTCTTTAACCAAACTGAATAGAGAATATTTGACAACATCTCGATCGACTTCAGTCGAAGTGTGAAAGTCAAGAACTATGGTGACGGTCCGTTCTTCTATCACACCAAACATGAGACGGCTGAAAAAACACCACATTGACTTTGATATATCTGATTGAAATATCTGATTGAAAACGTGTATAAGAACAAGAGATTGAATTGCAAAATAAAAGCAAGCAGAAAATGTTTGAACATTTCTGTTACCAACCTCGATGTTGTTAACCATTTTAGTCGTTCATGATAAAACTCCAAAACTCTTTGCAATTGTGTATCTACTTCTTTCAGTTTGTCGGAGGAATCTAACAACTAAAATAGAAGAAAAGTTTACTCTTAGTTTAAGCTAAATTTAATTCTTTTTCAAGAAATTTCGAGATTTTGAAAAGTTCAATAACTTCACAAGAGTAGCGAAGCCGGCCGGCATGTTTTGGTGTTGCAATGCATGTTCAAACGCTATCATTACTCATTTCCTTTTGTTTTTGGAATGAGTTGTATTTTGAGAACGAGAGGCAAAATGAAGTACTATCTCAGTCTTTGAATTTGTTTGGACAGGAGAGAAACGAACTAAATGCAGACGATGACAAAATCTCTACCGCGAATCAATTTTCACCTCTGCTACATATGCAAATATTCGAGTTTTTACTGTCTGTAAAAACAGTATATATTTCTTATGAAATGAAAAATATTGCTAATGATACAGTATTTATAAACGTGAGTAAATGCACAGGCTGCATGGCTGTGCTAATGGTGACAATTGATGGATTGCTTGTGGAGAAATGCGATCGATAAGATAAGAAAAGTAAAAAGTCGTTCTTTCAAAAAATTAGAGGCAAGAATTGTAGCATTATTTTATTGAAGACGTAATCAAAAACTTAGAGTTAAAACATCATAGTTTAAAGAAATATATAAATTCAACATGAGCCAGCTGTTATGCTTTAATTTTGTATTAAAAGAAAACTGGTTAAAATGAACTATGAACTATGTTCGTGAATTTTTACATAAAAATGTTGAGGCCACTGTTTAAATAAAAATGTTGAATAAAAAAAATAAAATGAAAAAGATAGGGCTAAATTCAGCATCACCTGGTAATCAAAAACAGTTGCGTATACAAAAATTCATCTTGTACATAACAGAGCGTAGGCTATACTCGTTTTATGAGAAATTTCACGAGACAAACTTTAAAATATGATCAACTGAAGGCAATGTGCAAACGCTGTGATATAATCCTTGACAATACTTGCATTGTACTTTGTTCCGTCCTCACATGCGTACTGTGGAAACAATCCTTTTGAATAACTTGCTGAAACAAGTCTTTGAAGAGACTTCACGTAATCTGTAGAAGTTAGCATGCAAAGGATTAGCATTGATAAACTTTAACCACGAATGAGGAAAAGCACCCTGATCAAACTTAGTTGTAAGCATTTGGCAGCATTAGTGAAAATAGAGCGTTTTTTCACTCATTGCGCATTAAGGGATCAAATAACATTGGAGGAGGCAGCAGCCATACTGGCGTTATAGAAACTTTATGCGTAACTTGCTCCTCCAACATGGCAGCTATGACGTGGAATGACACTTACACGTGACGTAGTAAAATCATTTCGTTAAACTCATTTCTTGCATACCGTTATGTACCTACCCTCACTTTGTTTGAATCCAATTTTTGATAAAATCTGTTTCATTTCCAGCTTGTAATTTCGAAGTCCGAACATCTACGGGTAGTTATCGAATTTTCAGAAACAAAATATCAGAGCGGTAATAAATACTTTCATTTCTTTTCCAAGAATAGATATATGTATAGCTAATTAATGTTCCAAAAAGGGAAAGAATTCAATGCGTGACCATACACTATCCCATAAATTATACCAAAAATCTATAGTTACTTTGTGTATGGACTGACCTCGAGCCAACGCGATGATGATACAAGCATATTGACATCAGGAGACCACGTTCGTATACTTTGATCAAAGGAACCATGTTTTATTATTGAATTTGGCTTCATGGATGGTCTGAGTAAGAGAGTCTTGTACTCTGATTTTGCCATTATTTAGCCCTTGTACTGTACAGTATACGTTTAGGGTAATCCTTACATGGTCGACCTATGTAACACAAATCAAACCGAATTTTGGCATGGTTTATGTGGGGTGTCGTGACTAAACATGAAGGTGCGGACAAAATCTAGTTTTTTGTCGGTGACTTGGAGCATCGCTTTTCAAAGAATTTTTGAAAGCAAAATATCATTATTGATAGTTGTCCAGGCAAAGTTTATTTTGTAGTGTATCATAGGCAGTATCATTGGCTATCTATACACGTATATATGACTATAAATAAAGGGGGGGAGTCTTGTACGGTTTTTATGATGTGCTTTCATGAAGTAATTGAGCAGTAAGTTTTCACCAGCAAAGTTACATGGATAAGCAATTAAAGCAAAACACTGTGTTTTTGTTAGGTTGACGCCGAATTTCAATGAAAAACACAACTTTTTCATAAAACAATCAATCCTCGTTTTGAAAAAGAAGAAATGCCGGAAGAGTTATACGTTTTTCAAGTTTCAACACTATTTTTACAGTTGGAAATTTGGAATCGAAAAGAAAATTATCCAGTGAAGAAAAAAACAATGATACTTGAAAGTTTTTTTATTGTAATTGTGACAGAAACAAAGTAAGTAAAATTCTTTCTTTGAGCGTACAACTAGCACATAATTCATAAAGTGTTCTTTCTAATTTCCATCAGTAAAAATACGTCATTGCTGCGTTCTTTTTCACTTTAATGACGCATACGGCTGGTTAGCTTTAAAACTCTGCGTATTTGTTCTTTTTGTTGTATTTTTTTCACGATTTTTTCAATTAATTCATTATGTGTGTATTCCACAAACATTTATAAGTTTCTGAGACTTTAGTTCCTGCAAAAACGTCCAAAAATGAGTGACGTGGGAAACTCATTAATTTTAGGGCACCTATTCATATATGCATGTTTTAATCTGTATAGACAACAACTGATTTCAAAAAACACTTATATGGCAGAACATGAGTATATGAATATGTCCCCCCCCCCAATTATCAAGCTTGCTATGCCACTGAAGGCGGAGAAAAACCAGTAAAAAACACAATTTTAAAAAATATATCAGACCAGCAAATAGCAATGGTTATTATATCTGATCAATTCTGCCAGAAGGAATCAGTATTTGTGCGAAATGTGTGATCTCAGCCCATTACATGAAAGAACCTGCTTTCCAGAAAATGGTGCAATTAAATTATAACCAATATTTCTTTCAATGACTGTTTTATATGTGATTGAGTTATACATAATACACAATTTACTTACCATTATAATTATTCTAACAAGTCTAATCTCAATAATTAGGAGCTAAAATCAAGCTAAAGAAATGGGCTAGCAGCCTAAGATTATATCATCTCACTCAATTTCCAAATTAGAATGTTGCAAATTAAGTATATTTATTGCCTAGCTGGAGGATAACCTTTAATGTAAGTACAGTGAGCGAAATGCATTTTTAAACGTAACACTGCACTAATCAATACCATCTATGCATACATTGCATTTTGATAGTTTATCAAATTTCTATTTGTAATGTTTAAGAAAATGCTTGTTAAATGATTTTGCCTGATAAGGAGGACATTTTGGTTTAATAACATTTGTATTTCCTGAGCATAATCATTGAATCAAGCACAACTTTATAACTGGGTGATTAAAGGCTACTCATTCAGTCATTATGTTCCGTATTACCATGTCTCAAAAATCCAGTTTTGCTCCATACTAATACTTATAATCTACGTAACATTCAAATTAGATCAATAAGCTTACAGTGAGTTTTGCACACACAGATTGAGATTCAAACAACAAGTTACATGTTGTTGTTTTGTTGTCAACTTACTTACATGTCTCAATTTTGTATCCAACAAAGGTTATGATACATATTGCGTGGTTCATCTTTCTGCTTTCCTTTCGCATGATGTTTTTAGTTTGCGTTTCCATGGCATTTGCAGTTGTGACATAGTGAGGCAGAGTCATATGGAGTTATAAAGGGTCTTTATCCGGTCGGTTGAAAGACATAGTCAATGCTTCCCATTATAGCACAATTTAGCCTGAAACAACGTCAGTGCTAAAAAATAGCAAACAATTTCTCTGTAAACACGGACTGTTGTAGCATTTGTCTCTCGAGAAGCAAAAGTGACCGACTGACCTATCCATGAATGCTGTTTACCTGATGAAAAAGTAAGTGAAAATTTTCCGTTGATGTTGATAATTTGTGATTAAAGTCGCTATTTCAATTACACGAAAGATTTATGAATTTCGTAGACATCATCAACTTTCTGATAGATTACGAATTATACGAAAGTCTCTTGCAAGCGTATCATATTACAGTGCTCATACGTTAGCAATTTGAAGTGTCTCAAAACTCGTATTCATTGAAAACGAATCGCGCTGGCATGTATCAATTTGGCGTTCTTATAACTTAAAGCCAATATTTTCGTAATAGCTCACCGTTTTATTGCTAAAAACGAGGAGTTTGTATTTTTAAAAGGTCTTTTTAAAATTTCAACGAATGTTTAAATTGGCTTGCAAAGTATGAGGTAGATTTGGAGCCAAATTTAAATGATTCAAAACATGCGAGAATGGTAAGAATTCACATCCTTACGACGTATGGATGAACAATTACCAGACATCGAACTGAAAGTGATATTCTTCGTATTGCTCAATGTTTTTGGAAGGCAATGCTTTTGCCTAGCTATCGGAAAATCGGATTGGAAAGTTCTAAAGTATTGATTTTACTTTCGACATTCGAGGTTTGTTTTTGTCAGTATGCAAATTTGAAACAGTTTAGCACGCTGCGTTCTCTCACAAGAAAGTCACGCGCAAAACTTTCAAATTGACACATTTTAAAAAGCGAATTCCCTGCCTGGAAATCACGAAATACAAGCTGAAATTGGATGCCACAATCTATGAACAGACGGACATCAGAAATGGGCAAATTTATTGATTGTTATGTGAAGAGGAACCATGTATCGTTCCCATATAGGGCATTGCTGAAAATGTTTGCAATTCTTGACGCAGTACAAAAATATGGCGTCCTTCCATATTTCGTCAATTTAGCTATAAAGACGTTTTTATTGATCTTTTCCAAGAGTCTTTCAGCTTTCGTGCTTTGTATCTTTAACATTAATCTTTTAATTGATTAAATTTGGATGTTAGGTTTTCTTTCCTGTAAACAACTTTTTGGATTGAAATGTCGCAATGACAAATATTTATCTTAGCTTATTGTTTGATGTTATGCGCGTAATTGCGTACCTGCTGACAAATAAATCTCTCCAATGTGGTGTGATATGATTTGGCACATTGCCTTTTGAAAGTGTGGAATGTATTTTCTCGTAGATATACTTGGACTAATATGTTAAGAGTTATTATGAAGGTGGAATATAGCTAATTGTGAAACGTAATTACTGTATAGATTATCATAGTTTGAGTGAAGGATGGTGAATATAAGGTAGTTTGCTTTGTTTTTCAAACGCATTAAATTTTACATGGAAACACGAAACGACTGTGACGCAGCGGAGAACATCGTCATCGAGACACTCACACCGTCATGCGTGAAATTCCAGTCAGTCTTTAAGTTCAGCATAGTCAAACAGTTTCCTATGGTAGTAATACATAAAGTATTTACCTTCAAGAAATTTGTTGAGTGCAGTAAGAATTCATACTTTGAATATGACTTTTATATATCAGAAATCAGAAGTATCGAATATGTTGTTAAATATCCCAACTCTCCTTGCGATCTTTCCAATCGTCACACTAGTGTTCGCACTCTTGATGTTTCCTTTAATAGACAACTTGATCTGTAACACCTTTGGATTATCACAAGCTGCTCGTTTGAGGTGAATAGCTTACCTAGTTGATCCTCTTTGGAGCATTAGCCAAATTGGGATTTGTCCCCGCCTTCTTTATCAATGGTTTTGCAGTTTCAACCAATTTTTTTACTTCACTGTTGCTCCGTAAATGTGTGGGCTCCAACAATGGCTCCAACAATTAACTCTGAAAATCTGACTTATCACTGACTCTTATCCAAAAGCATGATCCCCTAAGTTTTGAGAAACACTGTACATGAACTAATCAGTTATGTTTAAGGAATGAACATTAACATGTTAAATCTGACTTTGGCCCAAGTACAACTTTGAACACGACAATGTGACGTAAATGTTTTATCTTTTGTTTTCATCGTAAGACCGATAAATCAAACTAGTAATATTTAAGTCTGTGTAGGTAAGCATACAATACAATTGCAGATGAGATAGAAAGACTCCACTAATGGCATTTGCTCTCGACAACGTGCAACTTTTCTTTTTGCAACGAGTTAAATGTTTGTCTACCTGTTTTTGGTTTATCTTTCTGCTCAGCAGAACGAACTATCATTTCAAAAACTTCCTTGTATTTTTACTAAGTTAATAACAAGAACGAGTACGTGATCTAAAGGATATTCCTTTATCTCTATTAACCAGGATGAACTCGTCATATGAAGAACATTCTTTTATTTTACATATCGCTTATATTCCACGAGATACAGGAAAATGAAATATTCTAAAAAAATTTTTACTAGTTTTGTTTGGATTTCATCTTGAATATTCCAAAGAAAGCAAGCATTTGATGATTTAGTTGTGGTATAAACCAGTCCTGTTTTGCGTACCATCAATGGTCAATGCTGCCCATATATACAGTACAATTTACCATGAAACAACGTCAGTAGAAAAAATAGCCAACAATTTTTCTATAAACATGCACGGCTGTAAAAATTGCCACTCTGGGTCACTGTTTAATTGATTTTGATCATCGTAAAAGTTCTCACTTTCAACTTTCATTGATTAACGTCAAATATAAGTAAAATGTTATGGATTGCTCCACAGAACTCGATTGCCGGTCCCTCACCTTTCAGATGGTAAATGTGTTTGCGTTACCAAATGGTTTCAAGCAAGCATGAATAACACCGACCATACTTTTTATGAAGCTACGATATTGTTACCAAAGCTGACTGAAGACAATAAGAATGAGAAATCGCACAAAATAGTCTCCACTTTTATTGTTGGCCATCATTTTTGAAGTCAAAAACTATCGTAGAAATCAAAATATGGATCATGGTTGTATCAAACAGGGTATCCAAGATCTTTTGAATGAAAATCGTAAAAAAGACGTTTGCAAACCTTGGAACCTCGTAATCTATGTTGAATTCGAATTTCGTGGCGAATGTTGTGACATTCACGAAGCACGCCCGTTTCACGTGTCATCGGTTGTGGGTGTCATTAAAATTCGGTTTCCTCTTCGGTTTTGTATTTGAGATTATTTTTGTGATGGTATACATAGCGTTCATGTTATATTTGCTCTTACTTGCTCTTTTGAAAATATAACAAGATCTTGTCAATTTCTGGCAATTGCTTCCACAGACACCCAGGTTTGTTGACTTGTAAATACGTACCTGAATGACAATTGGTCGACGTTGTGTGTCATATATTATATAATGTATATATTAGACTATTAGTTAGAGAATGAGAATTCTTCATGTATTTATGTCAGCTTGCACCAACAATTATCATGCCTATGAACCAATTAGCCACTTGGTCACGAATCTTCTTTCGCAGCTACATGTTTTGTTTTATTTTATCGTTATGTAAAATCATAACGAGAATAACATATACTTTTCTAAACCTCGAGCTCCTGTTGTGTGGCGGCCACGTATATATTTTATAACTGTAGCCGAATGACCTGGGAATCTCAAAACCTCATATATTGGGCATTTTTTAACTCATGATCGCCCTACATTAGGGTGTATGAACCTCTGTAGGATTTTATTTACATTTCATTAACTGCTTGTCTGCAAGCAGAGGAAATGCAGAACTCGTCATGCACTTGAATCGATGCATCGATGAAATGCAGAACTCGTCATGCACTTGCTTTATTATCTGGGTTTATTAAGTTATCACCCGTTGTTGTACATCTTCCAGCTTCACAACAGTTCATTATTAAAGGATTCACACAGTTTATTTAACTCCATTGTATCTTCTCTCACAATAAGTCACGTTTTATTATGTATATTAGCCCATTGTGTTAACAGATCCGATCAATTTTTTTTCAATTTCTGGAGAATGACACTTAGACTGACTGACAATGATTGCCGCTTAGCACTTGTGTATGTTGCCTTTACCATGACCTTGCCGGATTGAATAAGAAATATCTCAATAAAGATAAGCTGAATACTATTAGAAGTGACTAATTGCTGTACAAAATAGCAATTAACGACCGCAGATGTGTCGAGCTGAAGTTGGAAGACCTTACCTGTGATTTGATGTGTGCATGTACCATGATTTTGTGAAGCACGGATCAAAGACCAAGGTTTCATTCAAAAGTACACGTTGTCAAGGGGAATTATGTCCGTATGTATCTCCACAAGGATCGAATGATGAAATAATAAGATTGAAGAACAAGAAAGTGATGATTGAGGTGGAGAAATATTTTCAGAGATAGTTGTGTGACATGATCACAAAGAATTTTTGATAGAAGCGTGATTACACCTCCATGCTAGATTCTAATCAATTATTTAATTTTTGGACAACTTTTTGTTTATGATGATTCCCTTAAAGGGTCGTATCTTCCGTCGAACTTTTTCTGTATCATTCAGTAAATAGTGTGGTGTACACCGCTCCATGCAATGTTGGAATATACCATAAAACTGATGATAAAATCTATATTTCATCAATAAAACGGACTGCGGTCACGTGTCTGTCAGTATAACCACAGATGTTGCACCACTATTACCACCGTCAACCCACCCACCATTTCCACTCGATCTTACCCCTTTCTACTCAAGCTACGCCGTGATATGATTAAGCTCATCAATGTGTCATCGTTGCCGGTCGCCGCTTTACTTTTAACATCGATAATTATTTTGTCCTCGGTCTTAGTTCTGAAGACCCTGTTATTTATAAATTAAGAACGTTTGTTCAGCAGACATCATAAATTTGATATCAAATATATAAAAAAGGGGGAGTTAAATCCTAGCCGTTCAAGATAAGTTGATAAGTTAACGAAATGTAAAACTTTACACATTTTACACTGCACGCCCACGGCTGCGGGATTGCTACGAGATATCAACAACATAGCGCAATAACGTAATTGTTTGAGCTCATGAGTATATTGATTCAAACTCCGATTTTGGTTGACGTCGTTTAACTTCGTGTTATTATGGCCCCCTTCCATACACACTCCTCATTATGTCAGCTGGAGGACATCTCACTCGGCATGGCCAGCAGCGAACACAGTTAGTTATTTACGATCTACTACGTAAGTATGTCTGTCTTTGCACCCTGCTATAACAGAAGGTTTCTCGAAAATAAACATTGTCTTAATGTCGTGGAGTTTAAATAGCAGGACTATAATTGCAGAATGGTTACTCTACTCGGCATATTATTGCTAACTCAAGCATGTTAATTATCGCTGCACGGGTTGTGGTCACCTTGGTACGATTATTGAAATGTTATGTTTTTCATGATATCCATCAATGGCGTGGTCTGACTTCCAATAAAAACATTAATCACAGCGGGCGAGACTGGGATTGTTTTTATCTTCTTGAAGATTTGTGATCGTCTTACACGTGAGAACGTTTGTGAGATGTTCGTGAAGTGGTTCGCTGCTTCTTTTTCTTTGACCTGACGCCATTTTTCTTTTGTTGGCTGTTGTCTTTTTACTTGACCTGCATTTCAGTCGACGAGACTCTCCTTTTGAAAAATTGAAAATAAAGTTCGTTTTGTTTTTGAGATAAGGTTACAAAGTTGTCGAACTTCATCACCTGCGAAAGGGTATTTGTGCAAACTTGGCATCTTGAAGGCAGGATATCATTTCATTGACATCCTTACACATATCTTCCACAGGATTGTCTATTGTGTCGGATTTCGTGAACTTATATCGTCGTCGGTCGATGCCAATATTTTATGAGTTAAAGAATTATACTGTTATGATCTAGTGTAACGTTGCATATATGATTTTTATGGAAGTAACTTTGCCGGGGGAATAAGGCATTGAAAGCGAGTATTATGTATTATGTCATGATCGGATTTCACAGTCAAGGTCACAACGTCGTTGGTAATTTGAGCGTGCCCTTGCAGTCTACCATATGCAGATGGTTCATGGATGAAGCCAATTGATTTAAATTGTAAAAGTTGCCAAGTCGATTAATGGATGCAGTTATTGATTCTTGCTCTATGCATATGCTTCGTGCGTTAAAATGTCCACTTGGAAAAAGCGAAGCTTCTTGGTTGGTGGGTTCCAAAGTTGAATTTCCCGGTTCTGGAAAGACCGATATTCTGGTTTGTTGTTTCTATACTTTCCATTGAGGTATCATTATTCAATCTTTCACCATCGCTCGTTTTCCAGCCATCCTACACAGTCATACATAAAAGCTTTGCAGCAATTATAAGATGGAGCCCTCCATCAAGTATATGTTACAACTCTGTAGTAATTTATTTCGTCTGTACCGGTAAACTGAATAAGATAACCGAATAGTCAATTTCGTAATATCCTCACAATTTGCTTAATTTTTTATGCAATGTCGGTGTATTTAGATAAACTGCACAAAAAAGTGTTTCTTTTCATAAAAAAGAAATTCTTAAAAAAAAGCCTATCCTTGGTTGAAATTTGCTTATGTAAACACTTATCGGAAAAGCAATGCAAATTTTATATATATGCATTGGCATCCACCATGCTATGGAGATCAATTCGAACAAATCGCTGTCTGTGCTACGGCCAATAACAATTCGCTTTGATTTCATAAATGAACAGCTGGTTCAATTGCCCACATATATCAGCAGCTGGTCAGCAGCTGGCCCATTTACCCTAGCGTATCAACAGCTGATCCACTCGTTCTCACAAATCAACAGTTGCGACAAGTTCTAAAGAGACAGAAGTTTGGAAAGAAGGCAACTATGAACTATTGTGACCGGTGAAAAACTTGTGTTTGTCTATCGACAAAGCGAGCAAACTTTCAAAGAAGGAACTGCATTCATCGTTTTAAATTATGTTTCCTTTTATGTTCATATGTTTTCATACATTAATATTTAAAAGAATTAACGAGAGTTGCCTACCTAAACTGTTTCTCTTTCATCTGATTGAATAGTCCATCGTGAACAACTTTTTGCAAGCTTGTACTATCTTTACCATTTGCTTTATCTATATGTCTATGTATATATAAATCTTTGTCGTCACCTATCATCATTTCATCACCTACCTAACGTTTCCTCTAAAATTGGAAAAAATAAAAGCAATATTTTTCAATGTTTAGAGTGAACGCTCTTCTTCAAGGGAGTTTTGAACGTTCTTATTTTCCACAATTGATTTTGCTACACCTATTACGTTTCTTTTTTTCGAATGAACTTAGCAGGAAATGATTTGTTTGTTTTTTTTTGTATTGTCCGGAAATAATTCGTGCCTTGTACTCAAACATAATGAAATTTACCGGGGGCTCATGCAACGTAAAGATATAATCAAAGATAAATATGAAATACTGTTTGCTTATTAAATTTCATATTTAAGTAATGCAAGCTCATGTCTTGCAGCTAAATTTCTTCATTTATCTTTTTTTAGTCGATGTCGATGCGATTGACGCACTCTATTTCGGCTGTTCAAGTATTCGACTGTGTTGAAAATGATGATGTAAACTTATTGAACTACAAATTGGAGGAAAAGCCTCATTTGATTGAAGCTCGTGATGAGGTAAGAAATTTTTATGGGGAAATTGTCAAAAATTAAGATTGCTAGGAAAAAATTGACGTTGCTAGTCAAGTCCCCACCTCCTAAAACATTGTAGTCTCACCACCTAAGAAAGTCCCATCACCTAAATCTTTACAGTCCCACGACCTAAAAAAGTCTCACCCACCTAAAACTTTACAGTCCCTACCACCTAAAACTTTACAGTACCATCCGTCTTAAATTTTACTGTCCCACCCACCTAAAACTTTACAGTACCATCCACCTTAACTTTATTGTCCCACCCATCTAAAACATTACAGTCCCACCCACCTAAAACTTTACAGTCCCACCCACCTAAAACATTACAGTCCCACCCACCTAAAACATTACAGCCCACCCACCTAAAATTACAGTCCCACCCACCTAAAACATTACAGTCCCACCCACCTAAAACATTACAGTCCCATCCACCTAAAACATTACAGTCCCATCCACCTAAAACTTTACAGTTCCACCCACCTAAAACATTACAGTCCCACCCACCTAAAACATTACAGTCCCACCCATCTAAAAACTTTACAGTACCACCACCTAAAAAAGTCCCACTCAAAACTTTACAGTCCCCACCTCTAAATGTCTCACCCACTTACAACTTAACAGTCTCCATTACTTAGAAGTCACAGTTACAATTCCCACCATCTAGAAGTCACAATTACAATTCCACTATCTACAAGTCACAATTGCAATTCCCACCATCTAAATGTCCCACTCACCGAAAAATTTACAGTCAAATTTTATTATGTGCCACAGAGAGTCAACATGTGTCACAGTTTAGCATATTTATGAGGAAAACGGTTGTCGCTCATCAATGCATTTTTCTAGGAAGCACAGACGCTTTTAATCGTTGCCGCACAAAAAGGGTGCGTAAACAGCCTTCGTGAATTACTGAAAAAAAATTCCAAAGATGTCAACGAAACTGACAAGGTTTTTTTTACTTTGTATTCAAATGCTATGAAGCCAGAATGATGTACATACTTTTTTCCAAATTTCGTTGTAAAATTACTCAGCATTGATGTATATGCCTGAAAATTTGATTCTTGCAGTTTCAAAAAAAAAACTAGAATCATTTAGTCCATTACTTTTTTGCCATTGGACAGCCCGTTTTGAAACATGCACACTGTTTTCAACCAGCCAATGATCGAGAAATGTAAACGGGGTGTTCCACAGTGATTTGCAGGGTCTTAGCTTGGTAGAACGTTCATTTGGGGTTGGGAGTTATTCAGGTGTACAGTTGTGCCCGACTGCGTTCTGTAGAATGTAGAATGAGAATTAGCTTTCAAAACTAATTAGTTGGGCACAACTGAATACATGAACATTCACCCCCCCCCCCAATTGACGTTCTATCTACGGTTCTGCTGAAAACGATGTTCTCACAAGGATTATGCGTGGGAAAAGGCTAATTTTTTCGCTCATCTTATAAAGCTTCTAATTTTAAATAGAGTATTAAATTTTTGGATCGATCTTTTTCCTGTCTTTCTCTTTCTCTCTCTTAAAAGCATAGCCCGAAATTAGCCGGAAAACATTAGGAAAAGCAAGCTTTTATCATCATGTTACATTTCTTAGGATGAAACCACAGCATTAATTGCTGCAGTGAAAGAAAATCACGAACAGTGCGCGGTTGAACTTTATAAAAATGGTGCTGATCTAACTTTAACAGATAAGGTAAAGAATTTTTGGCTGCAAGAGCTTTTATTAGTGATATCATCACACGTTTTCTGTCTGCTTCATAACCATATCGTATCTACACGCAGTAATAAATTATGATCGTTCTCATTAACGTTGCTTTCTACCAGAATGGTTGGGGACCAGTCACGTGGGCAGCATACAGAGGTCATTTACCTGTTGTAAAAAGATTGCTGCAATGGGGTGGAGACCCAAACGAATCTGGACCGGTGAATATAATTTTTTAATTTTTTTCTTAAATCTATCTTGGGATTGTCTGAATTGGTGAATGCCAACCCCACATTTGTACCACTTCGGTATGTTAAAAAAAATGCCAGTTGAAGTTTATGTTGCACATTCGGAAAACATCCATCTCACATCCTCTTATATTATACATCGATTATTTTGCGTATTTTCCTCGTTGACTCTTATGTTTGGAAGCAACACTACGAGGATATTGTCGTTTACTGTTGATTTCTCGGGCTGTTGATTTCTTGCCAAGAAATCAACAGTTAAAACTCGCTCGCGCGCAATCTTCTCGCTTCACCTTAGCAACGATGCGTCTTTTCGAGGATCAATTGAAAGATATCCTGTTTTTTTATGTAAAAACCAGATGTAAGATACGATCACTATCCACTCTACAATTTTCCTTTTTATGTTACCGTGGTGTTGCATACGACACCTCAAAAATTCAGTCATTAAATTTGGTGATCAATAGATCATTGGTATTTCAACGAAATGTTAGTGAAGTGTAGTTGGAAGTATATGCAAAAGCAGATGACTTCTTCATCAGGAGAGCTAGATTTAATTGAAAAGAGGTGGAATAATATTCATATCCTAGTGCACTGTTCCAAATTGGTGATGGCTCGATTTTGTTTGTTGAACAGAAACGTCATCACGTCAAAATTTGATGTTGTGTTGATAGTTTGGTACTGCTAAAATAACAATTCCCTGACGTGTTTTTTGTCATCGTCATCTTCAATTATAGTGTACATTAATTTTTTGTTCGAATTCGTTATTATAAGAGTTCGAATTTTCATCCTTTAATTGTATATTGCGAATGTTTTCACCCATTTTTTATCAAACTTACTGAAAAGTCTTTTACTTTTGCGTAATCACGTGAGGGTCGTCCAGAATTTGTGAGTAGAAAGTAGTTGAAACTGCCAAAACAGCCTTTATGAGGATTCGAGCGCATACGGATGCAAATTAGCTTTCCAGTTTGCAAAATATGAAGTGAAAAAAATTTGTGAATATTCCGTTTTTCTGTTTCGCCATTTTTCGTCTGTACCCACTCGGCTTTGGTTTTGGCATTCATCTAAAATGCGTCTTTAAATGCAAATTAATAATCTTATACTGTAAATATTTCGACATTCTTGAGAGCTAGCAAAACATTCGTATTTCTTTCTGGAACTTACACGTTTTTAACCACACATGCCGACGTTCTGGATGAGTTTTCAAATTCACAGAAAAGCTACGCATGCGTCATAGTGAATGTGATGAAAGAATTGATCGAAGTAATCATTAGTCAGCTCTGGGCCGTACGAGATAACACCTTAAAATTTTGTCTCTACGCATGCGTCATTGTGAATGTGATGAAAGAATTGATCGAAGTAATCATTAGTCAGCTCTGGGCCGTACGAGATAACACCTTAAAATTTTGTCTCTACGCATGCGTCATTGTGAATGTGATGAAAGAATTGATCGAAGTGACCATTAGTCAGTTCTGGGCCATACGAGATAACACCTTAAAATTTTGTCTCAACATGATCTGCGCCAATATGTTCGATGCAGTTCAAACAACTTGTTATGTCGTTTACCGGCTAAGGGAATCAAACTTTGTTCGATGAAATTGCGCTTGCTGAATGAGAGGATACTATGCAATTGTGACGGGAATGTGTGCTCGCAAAGACGTCAATTCTAACTTAATTGTCAAAGTATGTGCTTTTTTGTGTTTGTTTTTTTCTCATCACTTATGTTTTGGTTTCAATGAAATGGTTCATCATAGTGTCTTATTGACGAGGCGTTTTACAATTTATGTTGTTATGTATGTCTATATTGGTAGCAATGATATCAAAACTTTGACAGAATTATAGTTGGATATACCATTGATGTGTACTACGTTCCTGTCGCTTCCATTAAAGTATTAGCGAAAGGATATTGTTATTCTCCTATATACGTATGTTCACATAAGGATTTGCCGAACATTTATAAATTATGGCGGTGCTACCACATAGATAACAATCAAATTTCGCTCAGTTAAAAGTTTCGTATGTATGTAATATTCAATACAAGTTAGTTTTCCAAACATTTAGTATAAAACTTAAATCTTATACATAGTGCTCGGCGTTTAAAAATAAATTTTGGAATTTTATTTGGAATACTGGTAATTTTTGTAGTTTTTCGTGACATCACCCTTGTCAAGTCGGATTCTATTATTTCCATCGATAAACTGTGAATGACGTATTTGTCTGTCTTGCCTTGGATGGTCTTAGTTGATTTTTCATTGTTTATTAACAAATTAAACCCGTAGACGTTCTCTCTCTTTCTATATCTTAAAAATGTCGAAGATAGAGATACCTGCGTTAAATATTGACATAAAGAAGAGAGTGTTACTACGTACATTTATATATGATTATTCTCTTTCAGCATGGTATGAATCCTGTCATATGGGCTTCCGGTCGTGGACACCAAACGGTCGTTGAGGAGTTTCTTGAAGCTGGTGCCAACCCTAACTCGTGCGATAAGGTATGTTCGAAGTTCTTTCGTAATTCGTAAATAGAAAAATTACACACGTATAACTTTGATTGTTTGAAAACTCACAGCTTCTTAAATCAATGAATTAGATTGTTTCCCATGCATGTAAATATAGGAGTTTGCTAAGATATCTCTTGTTGTACATGAAGTTCGTACCTCACTTCTCGGTATTATATACTTTGGGTTTTTTCTTCAGTACGGAACGTCAGCTCTGGTGTGGGCGGCGCGTAAAGGCCATGTTGGTGTTATTAAAGCACTTCTCGATAAGCAAGCCGACATTAATAAACCTGGAAACGTGAGTGATGAACTTGAAGTATGTTTTGATGTTTGTGGGCATCGTTACTCTTTTCATTGAGCGTTCACACCTGCTCCTCTGCATTTGTGTTGTTTATTGATGTTTCTAATTTGTACCCTCTTGTTCATTGGTCTCTCTGACTTTTTAGAACGGTTGGACGCCTTTAATAATGGCTGCCAAAGAAGGTTTTGAACAAGTCGTGGCTTTGTTACTCGATCGTGGCGCTGATGTGAACTTTCTGGATCATGTGCGACCGTTAATAATTTATTTTTTGTGTTATAGTTATAAAATGCAACGCTTATGTTGGTTTTTCTGTGGTTTAGGAAAAAAATTCCGCATTGATTTTGGCCGTGAAATACGGGCATACTGAGATAGTTCAAAAACTCGCCATTCATGGGGCCTACATTAACATACGAGATAAGGTGAGGAGGGGAAAGGCTGGTCACATGTCTAACATTGGAGATACGTAAGGTTAGGGGTGGGGGACTGGTCACATGTCTACCATGGAAATAAGGTAAGGGGCAGGCTGGTCACATGTCTATCATTCGAGATAAGGTTAGGGGTGTGGACTGGTCACATGAATACCAACGAGATACAGGAAGGGGGAGACTGGTCACATGTCTATCATTTGAGATAAGGTTGGGGGTGGGGACTGGTCAGATGTCTACCATCAAGATAATGTAAGGGGGAGGCTGGTCACACGTCTATAATCCGGGACAAGTTGAAGGGATCAGGTTAGTCATATGTCTACCAGCCGAGCTAATGCTAAGGTACGAGCTGGTCACATGTTTAACATCCTAGATACGGTAAAGGGATAAAGGGAGAGGTCACCAGTCTTAAGGGTCTTAAGGGTCATAGAACATAAATATTAATAAGATTTGCTTAAAACACGTGTCACTCCTATAGACATACGCGCATATAATCATCTAGAGTGTTTCTCTGTTCAATTGATATTCATTTTTTCATGTGTTTCAAAATATTCCAATTCTTGAGTATGACATGAATTGGGGAAATGTTTAGAGTTAAGCATACGACAGTTTTCACTTTTCAGCACATTAGGCATGCAAATCATGCAAGACAATAACTAGAAACCCCCCTTATACAATGCATCAGTCATACAATATTTATGCTTGTAACCGCGTGATATCTTATAGGATGGAATGCCGGTCTTGGTCACTGCATGTAAAGATGGAAATGTAGAAATTGTACGATCATTGTTGAAAAATTATGCCGATGTTGAAGCAGGAGATATGGTAAGCGAGTATAGAACTATAGGGCACTTTGAGATAACACTGTAGTAAAGTGAAATTTTTCGCTTGATATACTGTTGTTTAATTTGTATTTATATGTTGTATGTATTGTTCTTTACGACTCTTATGTTTTTTACAACTTGTCTTTGCTGTTTTGTTTCTGTTTTATCTCTCCACCATATCCTTTTATTTTTAACTTTTTGTGCTCTGAAATGAAATGTGTGTTTCTAGAGTAAATACGACGTATCATCCTTTTCATTTTGAATTGACATTATAGAGCGGAAAGACTGCATTGTGGTACGCTGTTGAAGAAAATAACGTTGATGTTGTTAAAGAACTTTTAGACCACGATGCTTTTACGGAATCTAAACGAAAGGTTTGCCATACAATGTAATCTGTATGTTTTCTAACTGAATGTACCTTTGTCTTGTCAGCATGAGTAGAAACGTCTTCATCAGCATCATTATACATTTAGAAGATATTGAGGCGAGTTTGCGTCAATTGCGTGCCGGTACATGGCGTAGTGCATGGTGAGCATGTCACGTCTTGTTTCCCATACACTTCCGTTAGATTTTTCTTTGAATTGTTTGGGAAATTAATAATTGCCGTTGTTGCTTTGTTGTCTTATCAAGGGTCTTATCAAGGGTCCTATTCATTTAATTGTTCAACTGAAGTGGGTTGCCTTTTAAACATCAGTTCTGTTTTTTATTGAGGATAGTCTTTGGCGCTTTGTTTATGTATAGCTTCTTCGTATTGTTCTACATCGCGCACTCTAAGACGATTGTACCTTTCAATGTTCGGATTTCCGAAGACATTAAATCGAATTTCATGTTAACTGTATCAACGTAATGATTGAATTGTTCATGTTGATAAATGGACACATTTTAAAAAACACGACTTGCTTTGTCAACATAGAACTGGGTTCAAGTACCATCATTAAGTAGTAACTCAGTAACTCATCATTTAGGACGGCGAAACTCCGTTATTGTTGGCTGTAAATAAGCGCCACGTAGAGATCACGTCACTTTTGTTGGAAAAAAGCGCCGACTTGTTTGTCAGCAATAAGGTAAGAGTACGTCATTCAGTTAATGAGCTTTCTCGTGTATGGCAAACGAGACTTATTTAGCGTTTTGTATGGCATGGTATTACAATTTTCGGCCATTTTATGAATACAGTATATTTTCTCGTGCAAGTATGCTATTAGTAAGTAATGTATGTTTTCACAGCCAATTGGGTGGGAGAACAAGCTCTTGTCAGTTTTTGAATAATTTGTGATCTTCTTTAAAAATTAGTCAGTTTTTTTATTTGTCCTCAAAAATTAATCTTTTCCTACCGCATACGGTACGTGTTTGTTTGTTGCATTCCTGCGTGGCAACTTTGAGACATAGCATGTAATTTTAGAGTAATATAACTGTGACTGACTTCTTTCAAACATTTTTTATCCTTGTTGATTTATTTTTTTACCCAGGGGTGTGGTTTATTGCTCTATATACTATATAGGCTTCTAATCACCTTTCCATTCACACGACATGAACTATCCCGGGTTTAACCCTGGTGTTCCTGGTTTAACCTGGGTTGAACCCATCTCAAGTGGTAGGTTGAGTTTAACCAAGGTTGAACCTTGGTTAGTACTTTTTCACCCTATAAAAAAATTAACCTGGGTTAGTTTATGTCGTGTGAATAGGGTTTAAGCCTTTCAAAAACCATTGCCGAAAGCTGTAAGTTATATACGAAATCTGCATACTTCGCTTGACATTTTTGCGCGTTTCATATCCACAGAAGGGAGATACAGCCTTGCATATTGCAGTTCGCAATCGATATCGTCGAATTGCTGAGATAATTCTTAAAGATCCCCGAAGTGCCCGATTGCTTTATCAGACGAACAGAGCTGGGGAGACGCCATACAAAATTGATCAGCATCATAAAAAGAGCGTTTTGAAGCCTTTTTTAGGTATGATTGTAGTAAGAACTAAGAACTATGAAATCTGTCGAGCACAACTGAATACATGAATAAATACCCACTACCCCACCCCAATTATTTCAACAATTGCAATTGAACTTTAACGGTTGTTGAATAAAAGTTTTACTGTTAATTGATGTTCGGTCAACGAAGGCTAAATGAATTTATGTGGCAATCGTGCGTAGTAATTTCAACCTCCCTCCTCCTGGTGTCCGTAATCAACAAATTATGTATCTCTTATTAAGGTATGGTTGATGACGACAGACACTTAACAGGGGAATTACTTGGTCATAATGCGTACGCTACATCATTGGCTGAGTTGCTTAGTGAACCGTGCCTAGAGCTACCTCTTACCGTTGGTGTATACTCAAAATGGGGCAACAACAAAAATTACTTTTTTAAAAAACTTCAACGTAAGTTAATTTTCCTGAATGACTTATAGCAATACATAATATCAGCTTTCATATGATGTATTCACTTTATTTGATATTTACTCTGTTAGTCTGTAGCGGTGGTGTAGCTTTAGCGGTGGCATTTTACATGGACGTGATTTATCCGGTGACATGCAATCCTCTGGAAGGAATTGAGTTTCCAAAAATAATTTCCCAGTTAATTTATTGTTTCTGGGGTGAGATGAGATGTAGTCAACTAGTTATCGCCCCTTGCCTCCCACTTCTAATTTCTTCCTGGATTTTTTGTTTTTATAAGTGTAGTACTTCAGCCAATTGGGAATGCTAAACCTTGCTTGCCCCATTCCCCTGCATTGTCAACGCCACTGGTATAAAGAGTACACTTGAGATAAATAAAAACTTGCTCATAGGAAATAAATTTAACAGATATTTCAATACATTAGTTGAAGTAGAATCTCTCTTCTGCGCATTTTGTAAGAAACGATCATTGCAGTGTATAATCCGATATGTGTGGTTGATTTAAATTCGGATCTCGTAACCATAGCAATGTACTTTTTGCAGAGGAAATACAAGCAATAACTCAAGAAACACATCGTACCAAGCTGCACTTCACAACATTTGGAATATTATCGTGTTTGTTTTTCTGTGGTTTGATTGGTGTTCTATTTTGTGCCCTATTTCATTGGACTGTCGGCGTCGGCGTCGGAAGCATTTTATTTATTGTTTGTGTGGCTGCCTTCTCGTTGGTTCTCGTGTGGGACACTAGATTGTACGAAAGAGGTGATACCTCGTGGATTGGCCAGTTCTTTTATAGATTTTCGAATTATTTTTATTTATTATACTTGATCATTTTCTTCCAACCCCCCACGATAACGTTTTTTCGTTCCTCCCAACCCGTACGTTATGCATTCGTAGATTTTAGCAAACTAACAAGAAACATTAACGAAGCAACAGCGCTTGTCAATATGATTGAAGCATTGAACGACGTGTTAGAAAGGACTTTCGGCCGAGTTCCTTCAAGACTTTACCGTGTACTTCGGCCAGCAGCAGTCGAGTATGTGGGCCTTAAGTATATGCGACCACAGTTTAAGAAATGTTGTTGTTGCGTGCCAAAGTTAGTGATATTTTGCTTCGTTGTTATATGTGGTGCGATCAGTGTTATTTTGTACAGTCTGGATGGATGGAAACATGGCTCCCTTGTTGCTGGTCTACAAATCGCAGGCGCGTGCATCGTAGGTATATTTTTGGTTGTACACATAACGACGTTTTGCTCCGTCATTTATTCGCTGCTCTTCTCGCCTAAACGTCGCGTATCTATTGTTGCCACTCAATTGGGCCTTAAGGAGGAAGGCTTCATCCATGCGCTAAAGCAGGAAGTTGAGCTGCTTACAGAAATCGTGCTGGCGCTGGATAGCTTTAGAAATGTTCAAACTCGAATTATTCTATCACTTGATGGACTCGATATTTCTGAGCAACAGAAGGTAATACATCTTGTGGACTCTATGAACTTGCTTTTCACAGACGCCGACGCTCCATTCGTCTGCATGATCGCTATGGATCCTCGCGTCATGATACGGGCCATCGAACAAAATTTCAGCGATGTATTGCAGGATTCGCACATTACTGCGTTAGATTATCTTCGGAACATTGTTCATATTCCGGTTTTCCTACCTGAACCTAAAACAAACTTTACTGTAAACCTACCTGACGCATTGTTGGTATCTGTCGAGCAATTGCTCCTCCGACAAAGGAGAACAAGTGGCTTCGACTTAGAATGGGAGGGTGAAGTTTTGGAACTGTCGACGCAGCATGCGCATGAGCATCGAAAGGGTAACCGCTTTTCAGAGTCGAATGGCTTCCCACATAGTACCATATTAACTATTGACGACAATGGTGCAGCTGGCTGTCGTTTAAGTAGAAGCTTTATTGATGTCAGTTTTGAGAGATACGAAGAGACGCCTGATTTGACACATGTTCTGGCAAACAATGAGACGCTTACCCCCCTTGGGATACAACGATTACTACATACAACTTCGTTAAGTGGGCGATTACTACGTGCGAAAGGCATTGGTTTTCAATGGAACGCTTTAGCAACTTGGGTCAGCCTGGTGGATGCTTGGCCACACAGGGTCTCTTGGCTTGTGTTGATTTTAGAAGAATTTAACGTATTACCAGACAATTTACCATTAAAGACATTGTTTACGACAACTCAAGCTTGGATGCCAATTTCTATAGGATACGAATATGCAATAGATAACGATCCTGTTTATTTCGAAGCTTACCTTGGTAATCATTACCCAGTGTTGAGGGTTGAAGAAGCGAGGAATTTTCTCCCGGGAACAGTGAATCTTGATCCGGCTATAAGGAACCAGCTATCACAAGGTCTACGACAGAAGCAAAAGTTAACGGTAAACAAGAGCGTCATTGTAGACGATGGTGTTGACTGGGTACGTATTTTCACTATATTTATGTTGTGGATAGTTTAGTCTATCGAAACTGTTATCTTTGTATGCATGATGCAGGTGCACTTGTAAAGATAAGCATGTTTTCCATGCATGATAAAAACATTAATTTATCTGATTGATGAATAAATTGTGTTGATAAAATTTGATTATTTGATGAAAGTTTGATGAAATTTTGATTATTTTTGGCAGTCATACTAAGAATGACGTTGCAGCCAATGACAGCATGTGCGTTTGTCTTTTTACAGTCAATTCTCTTTGCTTCTCAACAGCCAATTGCATTTGTCTTTTAACAGCCAATTGTATTTGTCTTTTTACAGTCAATTGTCTTTGCTTCTCAACAGCCAATTGCATTTGTTATTTAACAGCCAATTGTATTTGTCTTTTTACAGTCAATTGTCTTTGTTTCTTAACAGCCAATTGCATTTGTCTTTTAACAGCCAATTGTATTTGTCTTTTCACAGCTGATTGTATTTGTCTTTTTACAGCCAATTCTATTTGAAATTTAACAGCTAATTGTATTTGTCTTTTAAAAGCCAATTGCATTTGTCTTTTTACAGTCAATTTTGTCTTTTTACAGTCAAATTTTAACAGCCAATTTTATTTGTTTTTTAAAAGCCAATTGTATTTGTCTTTTTACAGCCAATTGTATTTGTCTTTTAATAGCCAATTGCATTTGATTTTTAACAGCCAATTGTATTTGTCTTTCATTAATCAAGGAATCGTGGGACTCAGTGAATATGACGTCACTAAGTGAAGAAGGCGTTTGTATGAAGGTAAAATTTTATGGAACTTCCGAAATACGTTATGTCGTTACGAGTCCAAAAATTTTTATTCATATTCTGCTTAATTCGTCATCATCAAATACTCCCATTTATTGTTTCCTAAACATTAAAAAGTTTAGTAGCTGATCCAGGCTAGGTCAGAATACATCACTGAAAATATGCTTGCATTTTAACAACTTTATAGAGCGAATCCTATTGAGAATATTTCAGTCGTAAATATTCTTTACAAATTTCAAAGCAACACCTTTGTTAGAAAAGTATTTTGAATGAGGTTGTGTACAGTTTATTTTGACTCGCTCTAGATCCGCCATTGCATGAACTTGTTCATCCCACCTTTATCCACAACTACCCAAAATTTTGTACTCCAGGGTTTGTATAACCATATTCGAGCAACTTTTGCATTATCCTTTAAACATTGATTTTGGATTTGAACTTTTCCAAATCCACGACATTGGTATTTCCATGTTTCATAGTTACTTATCGATTAATTTTGGATTTTAACTTTTCCAAATCCACAACATTAATATTTCCATGGTTCATCGTTACTTATCGATTGATTTTGGATTTTAACTTTTCCAAATCCACGGCATTAATATTTCCATGGTTCATCGTTACTTATCGATTGATTTTGGATTTTAACTTTTCCAAATCCACGGCATTAATATTTCTATGGTTCATCGTTACTTATCGATTAATTTTGGATTTTAGCTTTCCCAAATCCACGGCATTAGTATTTCCATGGTTCATAGTTACTTATCGATTAATTTTGGATTTTAGCTTTCCCAAATTCATGGCATTAGTATTTCCTTGGTTCATACTTATCAAACGATTATACGTGAAAACAACATAAACGGTCAAGTATTGCTTGAATGTGACATCCAGGAGTTGAAAGATGTTATGAAGATGAATTTTGGCGATTGGCAATTGTTTCGTGCGTGGATTATGCGTCATCGAGCGACACAACAGACATCGCAATCTTGCGAAGCGTGAGTGCTTTCTTTTATCCTTTTTTGCTTTTGCTTTTGCTGCTGTTATGCTGTTTGATGTTGTATGCAACCTCTACCTCACATGTGTTGCGATTTAACAAATAATACTTGACACTGAAAACAACGAAAATTTCAGAGGATTGTGGGATCTTCTGTATAGTATGTCATATGTTAGTTATTTTGTCTTCTGTATGTGATAGTGGTATAAATAATCCTCAGTCTGTATGTAAATTAAAAAATAAAAGTTGTTTACTGTGTTTGTACAGGCTTTGCAAATCTAGAAGACTTTTCAACTCGAGAGCATCAAATTATTTGTTCGCTAGAACCAAAGAGTTTTTAAAACACCACAGTCCAAATAAACTTAAGTTAGCTTTGTAGCTAATAAAAAATTTTACTGCTCCTTCTAAACTGATTCCACATCTTATAGCTAAGTCTATTCGAAAAGAGAAAAAACTCATAAAGATTCATAAATGCACAATTGACAATTACTCATCCTGTTGGCAATTTGTGGCTAGCGAATTTTGCGTTTTGTGGTTTCAGTCGTGAAGCAATTCTACAATTAAGCAATACGTTTCACTATGTCAAGTTTTGGTGTGCATGTTTTCCGTCTTTTCAATTTTGTGCGTCGAATTTGTATTCATAGCAAATCATGTAGCCCTTAACACGCAACTTTAAATCGAAGAAATACTGTAATATTTACCTTCAGTGACTCACACTAAGCTACATATTTTTTTTCAAAAACATGCATAATCGTCTAACATGTTCCCATAAAACCTGACTAAATATTCAGTATTTTTAATGACTTTTTGCATGATTGTGTCGGATTACTCATTATCTGTACAACATTGTGAATTATGAAGTGGACGAATTCACATTTAATGATCATGTGAACATTTCATATTTTATATTGTAACTGCATGAACAAAGAAAAATTACTTTGTCTGTTTTGAAGACGGCGTATAAACTTGTATACACTCACAGGTCGAATAGAGATTTTATTTTAATTAAACCTTTAACAAACTTTCCTAAGGGAAGATTTGCAATGTATATGTCCCTCATGAGGTACATGATTACATTAGAAAATTTCATCGCAAGGGCCGCTATGGTTATAATGTGTTTTGGTCTAAAGACAGCAAGAAATATACATACAACAGTTATGTTCATGCCATTCAGGCGTTCTTCTGGTAGAGCATAAAAGTTATTTTGCTGCCATAAACATAAATCTGTGAACATCTTGTGCAACTCGACAGCAGCTGTGAGTTTGTCGAAAATCAATTATTCATGAAATTTTCTCAGTTTACTCATTTCATCATGACTTCACGCTACGTTCGCTTCTCGATTTCGCTGTTGGACACTAACATTTGTAATTAGTTGAAATCTTTCGAGCACTTTGTCTGGTTCGTACGGAAATAGCGTCATTTCTTTATCAAAGTTGGCAGACTTAAGACTGGTGTGTTTCTGATGATCCGGCCATTTTTGAAACAGAATTATCATTGTATAAGCACGGATAGGCGAAGTAACATGCATATAATTCATCTGCTATAAGTAAGTGACTTAATCGAGTACATTCAATTTATTTGTATTCATTTGTTTATTCAGTTTCTATGTAGTCATAGGTAGGTTTCATGTCAAATGTAGCTCGATCTAGCTGTATGAAAAAATTAACATCGTGTTCCATAACATAAAGTTGTGGAACACGATACAGTGCGTCTGTTCTAAGCTATGTGTGCTATACTTTTTGGACAGTGATTTGCAGAACTGTGCTTCATTTGTGTTTGAAAATATTTTGGAAAGTCATGAACTGCTCTAGCTATCATTTGCGTTAGTTTTCGCCGATAAATCATTTTGCCCTAATTAGCTACATCTAATTTATTTTGGAGTATAATCATTTGTCATATTTCCTAGATAGAATGAAAACAGAAAAATTTGAGTTAAATCTAAATGCAATTTCTATGTACTAGTAGAAAAATATTAGTCATTGCTGCTCGCATAAACGCCTTTATATATGACGTTATGTATATCTTTATGTTTAAATTAACCTCATTGAAATGGTGTAAATGCCAAAAATATCGTTCCAATTTGCAGAATTGCCATTTTCTAGACATTGCACCCAACATGTAAGATATCTTATTTGACGCTTAAGCTGCTGTAAATTATTTTTGTACATATGCTTTTGGTGTTAATGCAGTGTTTCTCGTAGATGTTTATTGTCGATGCATCCCGTTTATGTGAATTATAGAAACGATATGCCCGAGTTCAGCTGCTTCACTTAATTGTTCAAAGTGCCGTAGATGACGTCGAAGATGTTATCTATATGTGTTGAAGATATTATTGGCAATGTGTTAATTTAGGTTTAGCAATATAGAAGTTTCGGTTTTGTTTTTTATATAAATTGTATATATTGTGTATATTTGTATGTATGCTTGGATGTACAGGCAGAATTAATGATTAGAAGATTTCTTTATCTTAATCCACTGAACAACTAATCAGTCTCAGAAATCTTTGTAAGTGAATTTTGTGACTTAAAGATGGCTCAAAGCACCGAGCCGAAAGCTCAATTTACAGAAATTCCTACTCTACTATATTATAATATGTAATATGTAATATATATATATATATATATATAACATATGTTACATAAACTGTACATCCTGTGGCCCATTTGGTGACAGGTGCAGGAGTCACCATTTTACTATGGTGATAGCCGGGAGTGCACATTGTTATACACTTTGTATATATATATATATCGCTTTAAAGAAATTTACTATTTTTTATTTTTTTACCGATTTTTTACAATAACGATGATTACTGTAGTTTCTAAACATATAAATTATGTTTATATATTTACCAAGTGTATTACTCGTTTGCATCCATTTATAATATGTAATATATGATAAATGATCACTTTAAGTATTCTCAATCATGATTGGTTATTCCGTTTATTTGCATATAATTGCTGGCCAAAACCTTGTGAGCATGCGTGTTAGTTTATAATGTCGTGCAGCTGCAAACACGCAGTGTTTGCAATTAATTTCAATCTATATAACAATGGTTGTTCGTTTTGTCGAACTTCCGACGCTAAGAATTGATTTTGATTGAAAATGTGATGATTCACTTATGCCTATTGTTGAACTCGTTGATCGCAAATTAAGATATGTCGGTGGCGAGCAAATCAATTACTTCCTCGGCCTCAGTAAAAGAGAGTTGCAGTCATGTGTTGGATTTCTTCCAATAGTTTGTAGATGTTTTATAATATATGCAAACATACAACTTCAGTCCTTTTGCCAGACGCAACCAATTACATAGTCATAAACCAAGCGCGCTGCTACCGTGTGAAATACACACTCTAAACAAATGCTCAAACATGATGAATATTGAGCATAAGATTCAATTTGCGCAATGTGCCTTCTTATTTTTCACAATATTATGTTTAATGGCAACTCTTGAACTAAGGCGCAGTGGCAAATTGTGGAAGAGGGGAGGGTTACTTTGAAAAGTTCCAAGAGCAACATGAGTATTTACATCGATATATGTAAATTTTGAGTAGTATAGCTCTAAAGCTAGGACACATTGGTCATGTCTAACGTGTTGATTCTTAAATTCATAAACGCATCGATTAATTCTATTCCGTGAGATATAAATATGCATTATACATATGCATTATGTTGTCATTTGAACTACAAAGTAAAAGGGGGAGGGTATTAGGAAGGATTTATATTCGGGAAAAAAAATGAGAATCATATAATTTTATATGTATTTTCTTTTGCCACTCTGCATTATGCCTCGTGCCTGCTATCTTAATTACAGTCTAAAAGATAGCACGACGACGGTTTGTAAACATTGGCGACCCAAGATATCGTCCACTAAATTCATCAACACGTTTACGAAGCATAACTCGCCAATGTTATAACGTCACATCTTGTTTGAGACTATTTACACTTGTTGATTACATTCAAATGAAATGATGACACCTTCGTTCAAACCTTATGAAAAACAATCAAGCTCTTAAATTACTATAAAGGTGTATACAGAGCTTGTAGAAGAAGATAGAAGTCCGTACGTTTGACTTGTAGCTTATCGTAAAGAAAAGTATAAACGGATTTATTTCTGACAATAATCAGTGAGATTAACGTACGTCCATTAGTCTGATTTGACAAACATCGTGCCATATGTCATTTGTGGATGCACTTCGTTTGTCGATATTATTTGATTGAATGATGAAGTTTGTCGTACGTCAAACAAAATTAATGAATAAATATGGCCGAACTGAATATTCAAAAGAGTGTGCTTCTTGATATGAGCATATAAAATACATAACTGATTACATATATGGTTCAAATTTCATGTTCTTTGTTTTCACAAAAAATTGTTCTCGTTTTTTTCTAGAAAACCGTCATCATCTTGGCCAAGTGGACAGAAACATTGCGAGAGAAAGACTTCTAATGGTGAGGATTGTTTTTTATCCATTTTGTCGTTTTTTCACTCTATTTCTTCGAAAATGTTTTAACTTTGCATTTTTTATATTATACTGCGTCTAAATGCGACCTTTAAAAAAATATTTAGCTAAACATAACTAGCTGTTTGTTTACCATTTGTGTTCAACATTTTTTATTTCACGAAAATAGTATTGAAATATTCATTGTTTTGCTTCATCAATGATAGTGATAGTAGCTATAAACTGCGCGGCGAGAAACTTTAAAAATTGATTTGGTCAAATCATTTAGTGGTGTAAAAATTCACGCCTTCTATCTTGCCCACAAAAGCTGTTTTATTATCCTTCTCAAGGACTGTGATTATTGTGCTCTGCCATAATGATGCATTATCTCGCAAAAAAAGTCTTTGAGCAGCGACTTTTTAATGTAGATGCTGCACATTGTGTGAAAAGTGACTAGTTTGTAGAAATACATTTTAGAGTTATTTTAGAGCGCTATAGAAAACGTGGACGACCCCACGCATATTAACGTATAACTCTGCGGTCAAACTTTGTACGCATGTTCAAAGTCTCATAACAGTGACGATAAGATAATCATCTATAAAATTATTTAGTGTTTCGTGTATGCCAAATTAAGAAACCGTTGGCTATTTTGAAACTTCCTATATTCGGGCACAGCCAGACAACCTCTCAAGTCTCGATGTGCGATCATTGTTTCAAGATTGGGGCATTTGTAAACAGTTGACCGCTGTGCTCATATTTGCCAGAAGCTATTGTATGCAGTTTTTTGAGAAAAACAAGCCGCGTTTTACATGTGCTACTTATCTGTACAGATTGCTGATACAAGGCCCGCGATAGTTTTTGTTTTTGTTTGCAATGAAAACAAATGTTTTCCTCAAAATATCTACAAAAAATGAAATCTCCTGACACAGCTATATATAGCTAGCAAGTTAATGTGCAATCAGAAAGAAATGAAGTTTTTTCGATAACAAAATATTGGGGGCTAATTTTGTTAATAAGTTCTTGTTATGATTTTAGATACCTATCACAAAATGGGAAATCTACCTTGTGGAAATTCGCGAGCAAATGGGAAAAAATACGGCCGTGATGAGAAAAGGACAAACGAGAAGAAAGATGCTGTGAATAATCAACCTATACCGAAGATTATCGTGGATCCTGGCTCCAGCTTTAACAGCCTTCCGGAAACGTAAGCATTTGTGTCTGTAGTTAAATTCCGAAATAGTTTTAATGTCAGCAAAAGGGAAATAAACTGATTGGTTAGTTTATTAAGTTTCTTAGTTGAATGGCCAATGTTTTAACTGTCGGATTTAGAGATCGATGAAAAGATAACAGGAGTGGGTTTAGCTTTTTTACTTGTTAAAATGAATAATTGTGGCGAATTTACGAAAAAGTTTAGCGAATATTTGATCAACATAAAAGTCACTTCAAATGAAGACCGTATAGCTCAAGTGATTTATTGCATTTCCTCGGAATTATATATGGAAGTTGGCTTACTACAATTGTGTTATATTGCTTGCACAGAAGCGTATCCAAGTTTTAATATATGCAATCATAATTTATAATCATAATTTATTATCATAATTTATCATAATTTATCATCGAAGACATTTGTTATTGGTGTTATTTTTATAGTGAGGATGTTGGTGACGTTACCATTGAGAAGATGAGTACTAAGCAAGATAAATGTATTATTGAGAATGAAGAATCCTCAAAAAGCACCGACTCAGACGTTAAGACATCGAATTCAACAGATGTTCAAGATCTCTACACGATAGCACCGCAAGCTAGTTTTATTGACACCAGTGATGAGGAAAATTTTGACGAAGTCAGTCCTCTGACGAAAGGAAAATCATCAACTGTACCTGTTGCGTCTAACAACGGATTTAGCAAACCATCTTCATCGAAACACAAAGTTGCTTTATCGAAAGGGAAAGACCACTATTGTACGGACAAGATGAGATTAATGATAGATCTGATAAAGATGTTAAAGGTAATTCAGTGACGTGTGTTTATTCTCCTTTAGCAAACACTATGAATCCTGTGGAAGATGAAGATGAATCCAAAAGGGTGACGCCTATACTCTTTACATTATCCCCTACCAAGAAAGGTACCAAACAGGTTGTATCTGTTGTTGCAACCCGAGAGTTGCCTGCGTCTTTCTCTCGACCTTCAAGTGTGCCAAGCACACCAGTGACACGCAAACCCAACATTCAGGTTCGCACAGTAAAAAGTCCAAAGTCGTTTCGGGGATTCTTTCCTTGCAGCAGCTCGCAAATAGATGAGAAGAGGGGCACTAGTTCCAGTTCCTACACGTCAAGAAAGAAAGATATTTCGAATGATGAAAAAAGTGTCATGCTTTCGCATACCGACGAGTTGAACTTCACTGAAAACCATTGTGATAAACAATCAAATGATCGCGATTTGAAGATGCACATTTTAGTGAAAGGGGAAGATAAAGAATGTGGAGATCACGGCTTTCCGAAGAACCGACATGAGTCTTCTTTCTCAAGTGGTTCTGATGAAATGCGTACAGTTAAAAAGGACCTTTCCCACATTTCCAGGAATATCGTGATGGTGTATGAATCTGAACCACCACCGAGCCGAGAATCTTTACTATGTCAGAGAAATTCCAAGCATGACAGCTTGAGTGATAAAGGCTCGAACACTAATGAATCTTTTGACGATTCCCCAAACAACAGCGATAAAGGATACGAGTCGGTAGACAACTCCCAATTCGGCGAATCAGATGAAATTAGTTACCGTTTGCGAACGGTGGATGGTTGTGATCGTAACTCTAAACCGCTGAACCAAAGAAATGCTGAAAATTGTGAGCCAAATAAACTTCATAAAATCAACGTCGTTACAAATGTTCCCTCGGATCAGACGCCATCTTTTTGGGTTCCACACCAGGATCAGGGAGCTGTGACTTCTGATAATAATGTAACAGGGAACACGGGCACCAGCCGTCAACTTGAAAATAATGTTCTAAGCCAAACATCGGTGTAGCCATAAGCTGTTGGCTTTAGCCAGAAAGTTGCATGCAACATATGAAAAAGCGTTTACGAAGAAAGTATGAAAAAAAAGAAAAAATCGTCTTTATTTTTTCATATCTGCGATAGTGAGATATATTGGAGGCTTATCGTGATGATCTTTAGTCGGGGTTCAGTGTTTTTCAATTTAAATAATTTATGTAATAATGACATTGTGGGAATTTTTAAAAAATATTTATAAATTGAAACTGTCACTTTGGCTTATTTTTACCTACTTATGAGTTCATTAATGAAAAATATCATAAAGCACCATGTTCAAGAGAGTGTGTTTACATTATTTTTAGTCCGACTTAGCTTAGTAATTGTGTATGTAATGTATTAGCACAGAATAAGAATATACAGAAGAGTCACTCGTGTCGGAAGCTTTGACGTTTTTGGCCTAGCGCTTGTCCTGCCGCGCATGGTGGCCGCCATTATTCCAGTCAGATGATTAGGGTTTTTGACTTTTTCCAAACCTTTAAAATGATCCGAAGTCATTTCTTAAGTCAAAGTATACTGGAATCATTATTAAGTATTGACGTCATGTAATTTTACTGCTTGGAAACAAGTGAGAAATCCTAATAATCTGGCTGAAATAATGGCCCACATGAGGACGGGTTTGATTGACCCTTCTGTATAATCATTATTCTGTGGTATTAGTTAATTCTACACTCAGTTTACATAGAATAAAGTTATTATATAGAATAAATAAATTATTCAATTTTATCATACACTGGATAAATTTATTGTTGCCATCGGAATATCAGTGCTAAATTAAATGGTGAAAGAAGAATTCGTATAGAATAAATCAATATCGTATAAATCAATACAGGAAACCATATATTATAGATTTCGATTGTTTCATTTCTTAATTCTACCGATTTTCAAAGTTCTATACTTCTCACTGTTTTTTATTGTTGCCACGATTTTCAATATACCAGGTTTTGAAATGAACAACGAAACTGGTTCTGGTAAGCTACAGCATATATATAATTAGTACCGACTAGACAGGGATGTAGGAATGTATTCAATATTGAGGAGGTACACACAAAGATAGACACAAAGGTAGACATAAATATAGACATTAAGGTGAACATAAAGGCAAACATAAAGGTAGACATAAAGGTAGACACAAAGATAGACACAAAAGTAGACACATATATAGACATAAAGGTAGACACAAAGATAGACACAAAGGTAGACATAAATATAGACATTAAGGTGAATATAAAGGTAAACATAAAGGTAGATATAAAGGTAGACACAAAGATAGACACAAAAGTAGACATATATATAGACAAAGGTAGACACAAAGATAGACACAAAGGTAGACATAAATATAGACATTAAAGTGAACATAAAGGTAAACATAAAGGTAGACATAAAGATAGTCACAAAGGTAGACAAAGATAGACACAAAGGTAGACATAAAGATAGACACAAAGGTAGACACAAAAGTAGACATAAAGGCATAGACATAAAGGTAGATACATTTCAAGACTTTAGTTTTGCATTACAATTCATGCCATTTTACATAGTTAATTTTCATGCCATTTTCAGACTATAGTTCATTCATTTTCACACATTTTCATTTAAGTTCATGCATTTTCTAAAGTTCATGCATTTTCACACATTTTCATGCCAAAGACTATATAGTTAACGAATTTTCATGCCAGAGACTATAGTTCATGCGTTTTCACACATTTGCATGCCAAAGACTATAGTTCATGCTTTTTTACACAATTTCATACCAAAGACTATAGTTAACGCATTTTCATGCCAAAGACTATAGTTCACGCATTTTCATACCAAGGACTATACTTCAAGCATTTTCATGCCAGAGACTATAGTCTATGCCTTTTCACACATTTTCATCTTAAAGACTATAGTTCACGCATTTCCATGCCAAAGACTTTAGTTCATGCATTTTCACAAATTTTCATGCCAAAGACTATAGTTCACGCATTTTCATGCCAAACACTATAGTTCACGCATTTTCATGCCAGAGACTATAGTTCAAGCATTTCACACATTTTCATGCCAGAAAGTATAGTTGATGCGTTTTCACACATTTTCATGCCAAAGACTTAAGTTCATGTATTTTCACACATTTTATGCCAAAGTATATGAAAAAATTGATAATATATATAATCGAATACACGATAACCATGTAATCGATTATAATGTTACACTGTAATCATATAAATTACTAATTTGTAATCAATTACAATTTCGCACATTTTTATGGAGACTATAATTCACGCATTTTCGTACTTTTTTATGCCAAAGACTATAGTTCACCCATTTTCTTTACGTGAAAATGTGAAAAAAAATATGTAAATTATATTCTTTGCGTGAATTGTAGTCTTTAAGTGGTAATTTAAAAATGTGTAAATTGTATTTTTTGTGTGAAAATCATTAAAAATGTATGAATTAAACAGCCTGCCTTTCATATGCCTAAATATGGTGCGGTATAACCACTGACAAATAGCTTTCTTGGTGGACGTCGTTGTAACTACGCACTGACAGCTTGCAGTGTAAAATGGAGTATTGTTGAGAATCACTTCCAAACTTGACATAATAGTCGTTCTACATGTGGTCTCTCGTAAATATCGGTAAATATTTCAGCTTGATCAAAGCTGCTTCATCTCCAAAATCATCCTTTTCAAGTAATGTTGAAATCACCATTCAATTTTTTTCTTTCTTCTCGTGTATTTCTAATTCGAAATATTTCAGCCATTGCACTTGCTGTTGCTCCATTAATACATAAATCTGAATTCAGCGGTACTTTTAAAGGCTTTGTTGTTAATTATTTATACATAATCTATCACATAAGTTCATGGTATAAGAGATATCTTGAAAACTGTAGTTCTTTTGATTTAGCCAAATTTTAGAAGGTGTGCTAGCACTTCCCTGAGAATGACAGAACAATAAAATATTCGTTGTATTGGATGACATTTTCTTAGTACGAGAGGAAAATCTTTGTCAAAATCGTCCAGGTTGGCGGTCATAACGTACTTGCACCAACTTGCACACACTAAGACCAATTTAGTGCGCAACTCAGACTCCTTTTAAACGTGAACCAAATGTTATTAAATTCAATAGATTTACCTGTCTGAATCGTTATTCAAATTGTGCCTTACAATCAGTGTTGCGTCCAGTCACGTACAGCACAAAAACTATACACATGACGCACAACACAATTTATGAGCAGATCTTTAATGATTTTGAGGCACTGAAAGAAATGGCTCAACTTGAACAAATAAAGTATAAGACATTGAAAAAGTATTTTTCACATAGAAGACGACATATACGACACTCGAAAATGTGTTTTTCTCATAGAAGACAACATGAGCGACATTTGAAAATATATTTTTCACATAGAAAACGACATGAACTACATTTGAAAGTCGTTATTTTACAAGACGACATGAACGACATTTGAAAATGTTTAAATCGTTTAATGTAATCGTGTAATCGATTACAATGTAATTGATTATTAGGTCGTGTAAGAAATTGATAGTATTCAATAACTCTTGAGTGGTCAAGTGCACAGTGTAGTAACATTGTGATGGTAAGTTCATTTCCTCGATGGGTCAGTAAGAACGGTCACAGACTATTTTAGGGATGAGCAAGTAGGTTGAAGATTAAGTTGTGTTTAGATTAAGTAATGTCAAGATGAACTAAGAGGAATGTTGAGTAAGGAATAATAAGAAAGCCTGCGAGTTTTTTAGTAAGAGAAAAAAGAAGTTTGTCTGGTTTGAAATAACAAATTTTTTACTTAATTGCACTGTAATCGTTTACACGATTACATTAGTCGATTTAAAAAATTAATAAATTACTTTGTAATGGATTACATGATTACACTAATTAATTTTGTCGTGCATTTCTTTTCTTTCAAACCAAGTTAACCTGTGTTCATTTTGTCGGTCCATACTTCTAAAATGAAATACAGTCATGGCCTTTATTGCAAGTAAGTACCTTGCAAGTAAGAACAATATTTTATCAAACGCAAAACCATACAATAATAAATTTTAAAACTTCCACAGCAAAATTATTGTTAGCTGAGTAAAATCAATTTTCTTCATGACGCAAACAAAATTAAAACATAATTAAACCTTCATAATTTCCAGACCACGTGATATATAGCAATATATTACCTCCATTATTATTGGTCCTTACACATCAAGTGGAGACTACGTAAATTTAAGCAGACAGACTATGAATTTCAACATGGAAGTGGGGATTTTTTATATACATTATACTGTTTGTAAAAGAATTTAAGAAAGCTTGACATCTTGTAATACGATTTATCTTTTTCACGATACTCTTTTTTGCTTTAAGATACCATGCATTCAATGATAGACTTAAGCCTAAAAATACCCTTTGCTACTTGTATGAAACACTTCATTGAAAATTAGTGATCATTCCTAACGTCATTAATGATGAGTTTTAACAATTGCTATTTATTTTTCAAAACAAATTTGAACTAACCCTTCATCCAAGGACTTTGTCATCTTCATTTGTCCATTCTCAAACATCTTGTACTTCTTCCGGATGTAGTTCAATTTCCTTCTCACCAGCGATTTTCCCGTTGTCCACATACGTTATGTCCTCAATACCGGAGATTCAAAAATTTTGTCAACAATGATGCCATACATTGTTAATGAGTGAAAAAACTCCTTTTCGTAATTCAAAATGTACACGTAATTAGTTTCTGAAAAAATTAATATTTTTTGAAAAATTTCATTGTAGAAGGTGAACACAAAGGTAGACATAAAGGTAGACATAAAGGTAGACACAAAGGTAGACACAAAGGTAGACATAAAGATAGACATAAAAGGTAGACATGAAGGTAAACATAATGATAGACATTAATTGAAAATTCGTTCTAACAAAGTACAAATATTCCTCTAAGGTTAAGCATTTCACGAATGTATTAAATTACGCATATATATTTATAAGATAGTTGTGAAGAATAAATATGAACAATAACATCACGTGATAAATGTTAACTTTTTTTCTTCACGTGGCGTTTAATGTTCTTTTAATAATATCCATAATGCCTTGTTGATGGTCGAGTATCTAGAAAATATAAAAATGGAATATGAAAGGTACAGAAACAGATAAAGACTACTTGTTGACATTACAACATAAATTGATCAATCCATAATTTATTGCAAAAGTATGAAAGATCAATATACCTTTACCGTAGTTTTTTTCGTTTCACCCAATTGTTCGATAACAAGTTGACTTCTCTGTATATTGCCCTGTTGCAAGCAAAAACATATTCATTTATTATTCTTACTATGGTGGGAACGGTTGATGTGTTGAGGATAGGAAGTGAAATTCTTATCTAGAAGAGGGAGAAGAAGAGAGGAGAAAGAGAGGAGGAAGAGAAGTAGAAAAGGGAGAGAAAAGAGAGAGGGGGAGAGATCAAATCTCAAAAATTAATAAAAAAGCCAATTTTCAAGACAATCATTGCTGATATTTAAACATGCACCGATTATTATCTGGTTAACGCAGTTAAATTCGTATAGTTCACCTCCGAGACGATAATGTGCTGAGTCTTTCCTAAAGGTTGGGGTTAGGGTTGAAATTGTTGCAAATACCAAAATTCAATATGAGAGAACTACGAACAAAATACTACATTTCATTTAGACTACGTTTACACTACGCGGAACGAAAAAGTGACGGCAGAATTTGACTGCGTTTACACGGATCCGTTTAAATTCCGCTGCAGTTTGGCGTGTGTTTACACGTAATGTTTCTTGCTGTCAAAATTCGTTAGTTATTTGTGAAAGATGGCGCCGTTTCTTATTTGCAAATTACTAGACGTTTATATTTCTTGACACAAGTCATGAAAAACGTTGATTTTTAATAAGTACAACGAAACTAGTCATTAAAAGCTTTCCAAAAGAATTAAAGAAAACTGTTATCCAAAGTGCAACGAAATATTAACGGTTAGCTGTTTACACGACAATGCGTAGCGCTCCGTTTTTGTTCGACCACGTTTAGAAAGTGTGGTCTTGTCCCTCCGGTAAAAGTGATGTTTTCAAACAGTCCGCTCCGGTGCATTATGAAAACAACCCGGTTCTGTTACTTTTTCGCGCCGTTTTCAGACCCATCCGGAGTAGTGTAAACGTAGTCTTGATGAGCAAACTTACTAAAAGTAATTCGTGAAGCATGACCATGTCTTCGTATCTTTTATGATCAGATTTATATTTTGGCAAACGTTCTCGAAACTCGCACATTTTCAAAAGCACTTCTTCTTCGCAACTTTTCTGAAACAACAAATGAACGCAAGACATATAATCATTGCATGAAATGTATATTTCTTTTCGTGTCAGATATGAATTCAAGTTTGATATTCGAAGTAAATCATAAATAAAGCAGAAAAAGTCAAATAATTATATCGAACATAAGATGACGAATGAACGCGATCACGTAACAATCCTTCGACTGCGAAAAAACAAACATGGCCATCAATTATTGCAATAGTATTATTTCAGGGCATTTTCCACTTTTGAAAAAGTCTGCAAACATATTTTATATGATAAAAACACGCAAATATACATTGATCACTGTTATGCCATGGTAAAGGTTAACACTGATCAACATATTCCCTGCAGAGGCAAGATCAAAAGGACCATTATGACTAAAGCCCGTATCCTAAAAGCTCACTCACAATCACTGAGTACGACATAAAACGACCACTACGCATGACTAACGCCCGTATCCTAAAAGCTCACTCACACTCACTGAGTACGACATAAAACGAACATAACGCATGGCTAACGCTCGTATATTAAAACTCACTCACACTCACTGAGTACGACTTAAAAATCGCGCTCTCTCTAATCAATGGCAAAGTCATTTCTCCGACAATGCGGCAAGATTTTCGGTACAGCATTTCAAATGAAGCAACCAGTTAAGTGAAAATGACGAGTTACTTTATGAGATACTTTTAAAGCCTCCCTCTGTGAGTGTGGGCGTGATTGAGCTTTTAACATGCGGTCATAAAACTAGTACAAAGCTAAACCTTTAGTAGCCCTTCTAAAGTCATCAATGTCCAATGTTTTTTAGCCTTTACTGAATGATGAAAATTTTACGACAGGGAATTTCGTGGATGACTTACTAATTCATCCAATTGAGCAGCAACATGATGAATTTTCCATCCGGTGGCCCTTTCTCTAATACTTCGTTCGTTTGCTATTTCCTGCAACGAGGCCTTCCTTTCATCTAGCAAATGTTAAGATAATGGAGTACATTACATTAGAATCATTGAACGAAAACAAATGTAGTGGGTATAGTCTCAATGTGACGAAGGGTCACCAGTAATATTCACGTTAATCTTAAGGGCTGTTTACATGATCCCGGCTAGCCGGGGTTCAGTGAGGTGTGAAATGATTTTGAGGGATTTAAAGGAGGCAAAACTTCAAGGTTAAAAATAGTAGTAGTAGTTTCGTGTGGTCGTCACTCCTCCATGTGTGTCTCATCAAGCCAGCTTGTGTCTCATCAATCCAGCAGAGGTTGGAGGTGCGGTTCCGAGAGTTAAAAATTACAACTGTTTTTTAAGCGCCACAAATCATTCCTGATGTAATTCTCAAATTGGGCCAAATTGGTTGTTTTAATTTGAAATGTTTTGAGAAGTTATTAAATCGGAATATTGTAAAATTGCTCGAGAAGATTTATCTGATGATAAGTATTGAATCGTTTCCATTCGCCAAAATCATTTAACGCTTGACTGAATCCCGGGTAGCCGAGTTGAAATTTTTGGGCTTCAAGTTTTGACATTTTTAATGCCTCAAAATCCTTTCACGCCTTGCTGAATCTCGGTTAGCCGGGATCATGTAATCAGCCCCTTAGCCTATAACAAGGAGAAGGGAAGTCACAAATAAACAGGGAGCTCTGGTATAAATAAGCAGCAACTGTCTAGAGCCCGGTGATTCTATAATCTTAGACTGTTGCTCTATTACAACAAAATTTGTACTCCAACGGAATATATGAAACATCAACTTCTTTTCGATGACTATGTAGAAGCAATCTTTGACATATGTCACGTGATACCTTTTGGTTTGACATCTGAGTATCTTTCAAAATGATTATGCGCCGCTTTGTTGTTTACTTTGTAACCACCGTAAATTGAGACAGAGCCCCTTCTCAGACGCAAGAACTTTAACTCTTCTTCTGCACAAATGAATAAATAAAATAGCATCGAAGAAATTACGATAGTATACAAGTCGAATACTAGCAAGGATGAACGCAGAATGGCAGGGATATTTCTGCAATTTCCATGTAGAGAACCCAAGTATCAACCAAAGTGTCGTGTCTGTTGCATCATCATTCTATTAAGACATACTTGGCCCAATGCAAAGGATGTTGTGTTTATGCCAATATGAAATGTTTGCTTCTACAGACGTACACGAGAACATACATAATAATTCCCTCATTATGACGTCACAGGATGTTGTTGTGTTGTATTTTCATTTCCGATCATAGACATAATTTTTCACGAGATAAACGTAAAGTAGCAATGGACTCATTCGTACCTTCCTCCTCGTCGATTTTCACATTCACAACGCTCTTTATCTCGTGTATGTCTGACACTTGAGGGGCAAGCTGCCGAACTTATCTTCTGTCGCGACGCTGGAAAACAAAACTCTCTTCATTGAAATAGTTTTTGTGTTGAGCATCTTGCCGGGCGCACGTCAAGCTTTCATTTTAAACGTTATAACTATTCATTTGATTGGTTTTGCGCAAAAGATGTCACAACTACTAAAATTACAAAGCTTTGGCATTTTGACTTACACATTTTGCTTTCGTGGTTTCTTCCTGGGCGACGCACCCGCGTCGTGAGAGACCGATGACAATGAGATGGTGTTGACTGCAGGCGCAACTACATGTTGGGCTGACAACGGAGATGAGAATTCTCGTTTGATTTTTGCTGGCGATAATATTGATGGATGACTTGAACCGTTTTCAACTGCCTTTGTATTTCCTTCCAAAGTGGTAATTACATTTTCACTAAATGAGACAAAAATGTCGATACCAATTATACATAGTTCATCAAAAAAAACTTCAAATAAGCATGACGTTTTGAAAAAAGTATTATTTTCCACCGACTGAAGAACGAAAAAACCTGAAAATGTTTTCTCGATCACTTCTGGGAGCCCAGTGTGGCAGGTGGTGGTGGAGTATATAAATCACTTAAGATATATGTAATTTAGTAATTAAGACTGTTTAGTTAGAAGCTACTCTACGTAGCAATGTCTTTTTAACAACATCAACAAATGTCAAGCAAATGACGTGGGGTTATTTAAAATCTCGAAAGCACTATATATTGAGATCAATGTCGCGGCTAGCAATTAGGATAAGCAGACTCATAAAGGAAAAATAGAGGGAAAACAACATTTATAAAGTGATGGCTAATACATACAATTCTTATTGAGCATCAAAGACAACGAAGGCATTGACATTAAACCACATAAATCATCAAACAGTGTTCTGAACGAGGTTTCTAGACAAGGTGGACGGTTTGAACGCAAGAGTATCGTTCACACCAACAGTCCTTTTAGATTTGCCTAACCTGGACAATCTACATCTACAAACATCAAGTTTTCTAGACATCCACAACAATCTACGTAACTAGAATGAACAACACACCTTTTTGGAGAATTTTGAATGGTAAGTGAGTTGGATTGCAAACCATCTGCTCTAATATTTCCAGTGAGATCATTCGTGGTCGTAATTTGGGAATCGTCAAACGACGGCTGACTTATGGGTTTTCTCAAACTGTAAAATGTTAAAAAAATTACTTGGTATATAGAATATATATCTTAGTAAATAGTAGAGCAGAGCAGAGTAGAGTAGAGTGGAGTGGAGTGGAGCAAAGCAGAGCAGAGTAGAGAAGAACATAGTAGAGTAGAGCAGAGCAGAGCAGAGTAGTGCAGAGCAGGGCAGAGCAGAGCAGAGCAGAACAGCATGGTATTGTATAATAAAGTATAGCACGTATAGTACGTATAGTATAATATAATATAGTATTTTTCAATGTCTTTTCCTTCTCATCTAGTTGAGTGTATACGTAACTTCAAAATACTAACGTATCGGGTCTTTTTCTTAATATACTCGGCCTTGGCGATAGTGAAGTGACGATGTTGGACGAGGAAGAGTTGGAAGAAGACGATTGTGTATTGGATAACATATTTTGAACGCTAAAAATACACGTGGAGTTTGGAAGTGAGGACTTGGTTTGATGATTTTTACTTTCAGCTTCCGACTTCGTTAACTGGACACCTTAAAGATGGATATCAAAAATTATCTAAGAGATCGGATTAGTTAATTTCTTAATATGCAGATTTAAGAACGCAACTAGGAGCAATATATTATCATACATAAATAAAATTCAGAAAATTTACACCAAACGGTAACAAAACCAATTTGCTGATCAAAATGAATCGCTTGACTGTCTTCGGTTAAGACCGCATAGTTCATGTATGTAAACACAAATTTGCACGTACATTTGCAAGAAACATAATAGGATCAAAATATTAGAAATGGGGAAGCAACAACTGTAGAGTTTTAAAGGCTGATCTACTAATACAAGTTTTTGTTCATAAAAATAAAAACAATATGGCCGACCATATAACAAAGATATGGTAGTATAAATCCATTTAAAATTACAATTCAAAGTTTAAACTATCTTGCCAAAATGATTATCGATATTTTTTCGTTAGGTTTTCGTCACACAAAATAGCACACTATACAGATATATTCATATAATGTATACAATCATAGGTATTTATAAACAATTCGAGTGATATCTCGACCTATCACTACCGCCTTTGTACAATATCGATGCAGATAGGACACCTACCCATGTTTACAACAGCAACGGAAACTGGCGAATTGTGAGACACTTTTAACTGAACAGAATTTATTCCTGTGGTCACGTGACCGGTGGAATGTATTTGGGCAATGCTCGTTGGTTTACGAACAACAGATTCGATGGGTGCAATATAAGGCTTGCCGGTCGGTGGTAAGGAAACTAAAAACAATAAATTACACCATTTTATCACAGCGCCATTAACACAGAACGTGAAATAGATCATTTTGAATATGAAATAATTCCACACATGCAATATTAAGAATAACGTTAGTTTCTCAATAGAAGAGACGTTTGAAAGAGAACGTACAATTAAGTTAAAGTAAAATCTTTTTATTCAACCTGATTTTCATCTACAATATGTCAACTAAGAAAATTGAAAATTTCAAATAATTTCATTTAAAATAAGAAAATTTTGAAATGCTGCAAGATGAGTAAGGCAGCGCAAAAAATTCCTCAAAAAGGAAATCAATGTATTTCCCAAACTATTAAATGCCTACCATGCCCATAGTCATGATCAGTTTAACGAGAAAACAATGCGTGTCCTATGATATACCTGTGTGCCCGTCAAAAAATGACGGCATCCTCGGCAGGGGAACAGGAAATTGTCTGTAAAATAGAAAGAAAAATACATAAACACTTATCATATTTTGGCGAACTCATTCCAAGCACTCACAATTCGCATACCTGTTTGCATCTATTCTTGAATTGGAAATACTAGCTACTAAAAATAAAAGAACCACATCACTAACAGCATACCTGCAGGTGTACGTATTTAGGGTTTTTTTTTGGACAGCCGAAAAAAGTTTGCAGTTACGTACGAAAGAAGGTCTGGGCGGCAAAAAGCCGTAGTGCGATCTAGCTGGGCAGGAAGCTCATTCTTTATTCGTATTCATTCTAACTCAATTACTCAAAAATTCTGTTCAAATTCAATTACTCAAAAATTCTGTAAATTTATTGCAAAATATCATGGGGAAATGTCAATTCCATACTTTTCTCAAGGGTGCATAAGGTTTACAATTACAGTAGCTTGAGGCATATGCAGGTAGCACAGCTACATAAGATTTCAACCTAACAATACATTTTAATGGTTCCACTGCAACAAGATTGCTGCAACAATTTTACAACACTTTAAATGTGATTTTTTTCCAGTGTTGGCGATCTCAATTTTTTTTTTGAATATGAATTTGACTCGATAATATATTTAAATATAGGAAAGACTTCCTGAAGTTTTATCCGTGATTAAGTACTATCATTTTAACTATAACTTTTCAGTAAGTATAATTTGAATGTCTCACCTGCTGGGGATGATATAACAGACGCACTAGGAGTAACGTGAGCAGCAAACGAAGCAGTCGACGTTGCACTAGTTGGTTTCAAAAGCCGCGTATGATCTTGTAACTGCAGTGAAAATGTACGTCAATGAAAACACGTTGAATTTCGCAGGGGTATTAAGTGCGAGTGATTATACGTACCTGCGGAGATCTGGTGGTGAATGAAACAGAGGACGGTTGAGAGTAAAGTTGACCTGTAAAAAAGACGATACCTATGTACTGCATCAAAAGAATCATTTTATGAAAACCAGCTGCAAAAAGTACAAATTTTAATATCTATGTAGTATTGTTTTCATATTATGTGTACTCTCACCCATTCCTGTTGGACCAACATTAGCAATCACTTTTGGAACATTAAAATTCGATGAGACTGACGGAATAGGACCACCAATTGTGCTTGAAAAAGAAAACTTTCCAGTATACAAGACAAATAATTCACTCTGATCAAGTTTACCAAAACATGTCATGAGTACAATAGTAACATTATCTATGCACAAACAAAGACAAGTAAAACAATGAGAAAATTATCTATGCAATAACAAAGACAAGTAAAACAATGGAACATTTTCTAATGACAGAGACATGCGTATAATGCCTTCTTTGGATGCACAATTTGGTAATTATTATCTGTGACTGAATATCAAATATTGAGAGTTGAGAAAAATAAAAATAAGCTCATATTAAACAAGATACAATGTAATAAGATTACATGGCTGACACCGAGGTAAAGTCCACCTCAATTTGCTACACTTGCTACGTACACTGCTATGCAAACTTTTTTGTGTTCATTCACTAAAAACTACAAATGAATTTGCTTAGGAAATGAATACCAGTAATAATTTTGCTAAAAACTTGGAATGCCCTTAGCCATTGTCCATTACAAAGGCTTTCTTTCAAAAAATAGCCTCTGCTAAACGTAGCATGTCATAATAAAATACCTTGAAGATGGGATATGGGCTGTTGTTGACATTGGATGCTTTATAAAGCCAGGTGTATTAATAGATGATGCTGTTATACTGGACGTGCTCTTGCCAAGGCCCACAGTCGAAGAGGTTTTTGAATTTGAAGAGCCCAAAACATGATGTGGATTGTAAGTTGGACGTTCCCCCCCTGCTGGACGAGTTTCCACAACGGAATGAGCTTCAGTTGGTGCTGCTTGTGATTTGATATCACCTGCTGTGTAAATTGATGTTAATATAAATCAGTTTGACTCATTCATATCGCCAGCTTTCCAGTCACTATAAAAATGTTTTAGTTTTCACTCACTGGAAAAACAATAGACTACTGTATTTACTCATTTGAGCACAACATTTTCAACATTTTTTAAGGAACACCACTATCAAATAAGCGCCACACTAATCATTACCCAATGCATTATTAATCGAGTTACCAACAAAATCATTGAAAACGCTAACACAAATCTTAAATAAACAGAAATTTCGTTTTCTGGTAAAAACATTATGAAAAGGTTTATTTGTTGTTTCAAATATTCTTGTCATTACACACTATTGAAAGTGAATATCATTAAAGAGCATTGCCACTGATTGAGTACCACATCTCAAGTTCTAAAAATTTAAATGCACCACAACGCTCAAACAAGGAAATACAGTAAAGAAATAAACAATGCCATCTTGCAGGCTAGCTATGCCACTGGTTTCACAAAAATAATAGTTCTTGGGAAGTTGGTGATTCACACATTGAAAAACATAATACAACACTGGATTGTGTATCACAATACATACCAGATGGCTAACCCAGCAAAACATTCTCTTCAAAAGAAAGCGATTAAATTAGGTTCAATTCCCTCAACACACACACAAGATGTGGATGTATGCACGTTGTAATTTCAACAAAACATAGGATTCAATTTAACAAACCTTTCACAACTTCAACAGTTGAAGAGTCAGACAACAGTTTCGGAGATGGTGACCTGGTTTGCTGAAGAGCTTAGATGCAGGACGAACCGGCAAAGTGATACCAGGTATTGCATGTAACGGACCTGGCAAACCAGCTGGTTTCATATGATGGGCAACCACAGCAGGCCTACTTGGTGTTGCCAGTGATGGTCTTGATGAGATATGAACAGCAGCTGCAGCTCCAGATACAGCCAATGTAGGCATATGTCGTTGAAAAGGTAAGAATGCTGGAACAGTGCCAGGGGTATTATGCATCATTACTGGTGGCATTGAAGAATAAATGCCCACACCAAAAGTATGTGGTAGAAAAGCACCAGATGGGTTTAATGATGCAGGAGCAATAGGTCGACTTTGCGAATTCTTCAAGGAAAACATGCAGATGAGCTTTTAGACTAAAGTCAATATACTAGAAAATGTCTCAGCTTCATTTTGATAGCACAGACATGCATCTTTGTATATAGATATACATAAAAATGCATTATACCTTGAAATCATACATCGCCATAGCATCTGAAATAAAAAGAATATTTACTGTAATGGCAATAAAATTATAGGTTGACAATATAAATATACTAGTGAGTGAAATTTTACAATTCAAGTGCTTGGTTGTCAACAGAATGGCAAAAATTCCCCATCTCTGGGGGCATTTCATCATAGATGAAGGGATTCTTCCATGCTCTTTGACATATTTCCCAATTTTGCGATCAATGAGGATTGATGATAGTTAACTTTATGCTAGTATTCATATGAAATTTCTAAACTGAATAATATAATCCTAGCCCTTAGTAAAATATCAAGGAAAAAAAGGCCTTTCCAAAAGTACCATGTTTGCATTGTCACAATCGATCCTGACATTACAACGTGAACAAATAAAATACAATAATTTCAATGGTTTTTTCCTTCAGTTATACTGGAACATGAAGTTGTTGAAATTCTACAATGACTAAACATTTTCATTTTGACATGAATCTCAATCATATACGCTCTATTCTTTATTTCTGACATGAATATCCTACTTTTGACATCGTCATTCCAAAACGAAAATTCCCCCGCCAAATCAGCAAAACTTGGATACATTATTTATAATTCACAATTGAAATACAACCGGCCAATTTTGATATTTCGTATTGACCGCATTCTGGTTTATAAAATTTATACTGAAGGGAATTCTTGCAATATATTTCGGCCATCAAAACACAACACGAGGCTCGCAGGCGCCTATACATATGTTTATATTTACATAACATAGTGGAAAATTTGTTCGTACCAATAGACATTATCAAGGGTGGAAAGTGAACAGATATGTTAACATAAAACACGAAGTCGTCTGTTCTATCATGATCAGACGCATTGTATATAGCCTTACCTGTTGCTTGACTACTCCGTATCAAGTTTTTTTCGTATTTATCTTTGTCCAAGGTAACGCTTGTACATGTTGCAATTCGTGAAGGGTGAACATCCCGTTCGTGCCTGTCGTCTGGCTTATAGCTCATACTGCTCAACAGATCATTGATGTATTGACATATATTTCTACGGAAAATTCTCGTTATACAAGTCAAATGTTTGGCTGGATGAAATGAAGAAATACAACGAGAACAACAGATTTGATTTAGCCTATTCCTACGGATTTTTGTCCTCGTCGTAAAAGGAAGCCCTTGTAAGTGAAATGGTGCGTGCGCAGGTAAAAGGAAGTGCACTTATTTCCGGATCCGGTAGTGGTCATTGTTAATTATTCATTTCAGCCAAGACAAGAAATTAAATAATCTCAAAATGAGAAGAGTCTGAAAATTACTGATGTTTAGCTTCGTAATTCTTTCATACTTGCTATCTTTTCAATTAAATGTGAAACTTAATTTTTGTCTGCAATAAAGTGTTAATTAAACCACCGAAGTGAAAAATGTTTGCGAGAAACACTTTAATAATTATTGTTCAATCATATCAATTTCCCAAAATTAATTGCAAGCACACACACTGAATGTTCGCATCACATAAAACGCTATGTTGTACACATATACAAACTTAAATTAAATTTTCTTTACAAAATATTCCAAGCAACTCGTGTACCATACATTGTACGCATATATGTATATATATATATATAATGAAACATGATATATTACGAAATTTAGTTAACGCCTTGTGAAGGACCAGTCAATTGCAAAGAATAGCCAATCAATGTCAGAATATATGTTGGAACAAAGAATATTTGAAGAATTAACAGTTCTCGGGCACTTGATTGCATCACAACATCAGAAAAGTAGACATCCACGGTTTCTTTCACGGAATGGATTTTCATTTGCTGGTAACTTGTTCAACAACGGATCGTCCAAAGCATTTTGCTCTGCGTATTGTATCAAATCTGTGACACATTCACTGACATTTTTACGTACGATTTTCGATTCAATCTTCAATTGATCCACCTCTCTTTGAGTCTGATAAATATCAAATTGTTTGCTTGCATGATACATTCTTGTCTTTTAAAGTTTTAGAAATGTATGAGTGATATCTTCGAAGAAATGAGGAGAACTTTGCGGGCGGACTTTGAATTTAAAGTCGTAGTTGACTGTGTTTACAGTGTTTCCACTTGAATTATACATATTTTCACTTTGTGGCTACTGATACACTGGCACAACTCAAAGCTGTTATTGTATAAAAAAGGGCCGGATTCCTATGAATGCAGATTTTTATAAAGTTTAGCTTAAAAATTAGAAAAATCAAACCGTTAAATAATTCTAAATTTGCATGCATGATAAATTTCTCAGAATTTATCCTATTTCTTCAAATTCCTTCCATGATGTCATATATTTTTCAATTTCAATTTAATATTTTCAGTTTCAATTTGATTATTATGCTCTCAATTGAAAGTGATGGCACGCAGAAGAGTAGCTGGGTCAACATTTTAAACTTTGTTCCCGTGAAATTTATCACCGTGTGCATAGATTATACGATTGAACTATTTTTTTTCTTATGAATGATGCTATACAATCATTCTGGAAATAATTAATTTTTCCAAATGGTAGCAATAGAATGAATAGATATACCGAGAACTGATCAACCTCGTTCTCGAAACTTTGTTCTGTTTCGGAGAATAAATTATTTCGTCGGGATTGTATGTGTAGTCGGCTAGCAAATAATTTTATCGCCAATTGTGGCTTGTGATGTGTTTCCATCTGTTACTGACGCTGTTACAGAGAATATACAACAATTACAATTTTGTTTCGACTTGATTTTTACTTAATTTTATATGATCGGCCGACAAAGACCGCTGTGCAAAGCTTGAAGCGGAGCTTGCCAAAGTCACAAGTCAGATTACTTTCTCGCATGCGTAGTCTTCACCTCCAATAATAATCTACGACTTCGCCTGTAGAAAATGATATACATGGTATTGTTCAAAATCTTTTTGGGATATCTTGTACTGGAACGTTTTAGTAAGTGTGTTTGTTACTTTTATTGATTATAAAAAAAATGTGCTTGTTGTTAATACGATTAATGGGGCAGGCGTGATTGAAAGTGAACTCAATATCTATATTGGAGATGAACTTTAGCGGTAAAAAATCTAAGTTATTTGACTCATCTTTACCTCTATTGTCATGCATATATACAAGAAAACTTTACAAGTCTAATTTTCCAGTTATTGACTTTCTGAAGATTTATTTGGAAACAATTAGATTGGATTATTGTTTTCGACATAATTTAAATCATTGCATACACTGAAGTGAGTATTTTCTTTGAATGTAGACTTCAAACTCACTTCCGCGTCAAATATATGTGTCAAGGGCAAGAGGTCATGATACTGCGTCATGTGGATCCTATTATATCCCGTGCTACTCTATATCACATGGTGTTTTAGTAGCAGGTAACGCATCAAAAATTCTTATCGATCCTAAGAACACACAAATATCTCCATATGATTGTAAATCATTCCAAAGAAGACACCAAGGTATTTACGTCACGAAGAATTTGACATTTGTTAGTGACGGTCCGTCACTTTGTCGTATTTCATGCAAAAGTGGTTTTAACTGGTTTATAGACGGCAGAGAAAATGCCTCTCCAATGATCATTGGTTTTATCAGAATCTTCTTTGAAAATACACAAGTACATTCAGTGGATTCGTCTGCCATTTTTACTCAGTGCGTGTTTTACAAAACTAAAAACTTGCAGTGAATTTTACAGTATATAATCGGAACCTGACAAGTTTGATTTTTCAAAATGCCCAATTCGAAGCAAATGAAGCATGTATTTCAGTGAAGATGTGCTCAAAGGATATAAACATTCTAAGGAGCAGCATTATATTTAAAAATTCACAATTCATAGGAAATGGCATTAGATGGATTCCAATTTTCATATCGCCTCCTTGGAGTGTTTTAAGCATAGATAACTTTGGAAAACATGCTGTAGAGTTGCACGTAAAAAATACTAGTTTTGTTAATAACTATGTTCGTTCAATGGGAATGATATACGTAAGTACTAATCACTTAAAACTTACTGTAATGGAGAAAAGCAATTTAGTAGATAATGGATTGCAAGACATGACCAACACGTTTACTCACAGCCTCTTTGTTTTAAATACTGAAACGACGTCCATTGTGATAGCAGACACGCAAGTAAAAAGGAACAAACAGCGACTTTTTTCAATCAGCTCAACAAGAACAGAAATCCTTATTACTGACACACAAGTAGATGATTATAGAGTTGACAAAAATCATGGAGGGACATTTTATATAGAAAGTGAAATGATGCAGTTGGTAATGAACAACTGCGTGATAAGTAATGGACGATCGATGTTTCATGGTGGATTTCTCTATGTTCACGCAAGGAATGTTAGTGTACATATTGAAAATTCTAATTTTACAAACTTGAAAACTGGTGGCGATCGTGGTGTGATGTATATATCGACAAGCAAAGTTGCAAATATGTCTGTAACTGTAAAGATAAAGATACTCAGTTCAAATTTTATATCTAATACAGGTAGTTTTGGAGGAGTTCTGTGGCTGCCACAAAAGTTTAAAATCTGGATTCACAACTCTACATTCATTTTAAATAATGCATATTGTGGTGGGGTTGTATCCTCCGACAACCTTTTATATGCAAAAATACACATCGATAAATCATTGTTTCACAAGAACCGTGTAACAGATGCGGGTGGATGCATATATGTTGAAAGTATTAAAAAAAATAGTTATTTATTTTTAAGTGGAAATAACTCAAATTTTACGGAAAATAAAGCTGGATATGATGGAGGTGTGTTCTCGTTGGCATCATCAGCCGTTTACTTGGAGCTCTCGTGTTCAATATTTGAGTACAATCTTGCAGAAAAAGGCCACGGAGGCGCCATTTCAATTATTATATTTTTAAACTACTCAGTTACATTGTTAGCCAATCACACAAAATTTACTGGAAATAGCGCCTTGGTTGGTGGCAAGAACAAGAACAATGATTCTTATGAATAATGTCTCTTTTTCTCATAATTCTTCATCCTATGGACAAGCAGGAGGAGGTGGGATTTGTATTCAAAATGAAGGAATACAGACTTTAGTGTCGTTTTCAATTTCAATAGAAAGAAGCATTTTCGAGAAAAATCGTGGGAATTCTGGAGGTGCCATATATTTACAGAGTTTTAATGGCGAATTTTTGTGCAAGCATTCAGTTTTTAAATCAAACAATGCGATTCTTCAAGGTGGAGCATTCTACTTCTTAATTTCCAATTCAACGATAAACATATTCAACACAACCTTTAAAAATAACACAAGTATTGATTGAGGGGCAATGTATCTAGAAATCAACAATGGAAGTACGATTCATGTCGATGAGTCAGTATTTAAATACAATGAAGCAAATTATAACATGGGTGGTGGCATGGCGATAATTACTGAAGGTAATAATTTGAAAAATCCTCAATGTAAACAAGATACTGTGCGCTTATGGGATTACAACAATTCTGTAACGATAAGGAACACGAAGTTTATTGAAAATATTGCCCAAAATGGTGGTGCAGTCTCCATGAAAAACGGAATAATATATTTCAATAATTGTCACTTTGTTAACAATTTTGCACATGGTCATATTAACTATGATGGACCGCACAGCGAAGGACCGTTCATTTTACACAATACTACCGCATTACAAGAAATACAGTCATATAATCCTTTGGTCTTGATTGCAAATGGCGGGATAGTGGATTTTGATAATTTTACAATGTTGCGTTGCCCAGTTGGATCAAAGATGGAAATGTTGAATCTCTCTTATAACAAATGGATAAATAGTTCTTGTACATACCACGTCACTAAACTTCGCTTTGTATGTAAACAATGTGATGAAGGCACGTATAGCTTACAGCAGGGTCACACATTAGGATTGAGACCAGTTCATTCATTTTCTTGTCTACCTTGTCCAAATGGAGCCGACTGCTTTACAACCATCAAATCAAAGCCAAACTTCTGGGGATATTTGAGCAAGAAAAATAAGCCATCTTTAAAATTTATCAGATGTCCTGATGGTTATTGTCGTGAAGGCTTTACAAACCCAAAACACGACAGCTACAACATGTGCCAAAGAAAGCGTAAAGGTTGGATTTGCGGTCATTGCTCTCCCGGTTACAGTGAAACTGTATTCTCAACAAATTGTAAATTGACAAAAAACTGTTTTCATTATTCGTTTTGGATTGTGTATATCGTATTGGCGTTCAGCATGGCTTTGTTTTTTATATTTCAACCACCGATTGTCACTTTTCTAGTAAAACAGATATTGTGGTTCAAAAATGAAAGAAAAAAAACTAAACACCTGAGCGAGAACACCAGAAGATCATTACGGTCAACAGAGATGCAGAGAAGCGATTCTCCGTTTGTTCTCTCCACTGAAGAAATTGAAAACGAAAAGATTGATTCCGTAGGATTTCTTAAAATTATTTTTTATTTCTATCAGATTTCTTACTTACTGCAAACAGATACAAACATAAAGCACCTTTTGAAAACAAAAATAATTAATCCTGTTCAGAGATTTTTCAATTTTCAGGGAGTTCATTTCGAAGGTGTATGTCCAATACCTGGTCTCACAGCAACTGGAAAACATTTGTTTGATGTTGCACCTGTATTTGGAACTTTACTGGCCATATACTTTATCTACAGTCTTCACTTTTTCATAAGTAAGATCTTTCGTGCATACACTCCAAAATTTAAACAATACCTGGGGGCAACAATGCAAACCATTCTCCTAGGATATATAAAAATTGCCAACGTTAGTCTTGCACTAATTCATTGCGTTCCCATAAACTCTGACTATCGTTGGTTTTATGATGGTAACATATTATGCTTCAAATGGTGGCAGATTCTGTTCTTTGCATTTGACGTTGTTGTATTATTTCCCTTCATTCTGGTGTTACCCTGGTTTGCCGTGAAATTGCACAATGGAATGATTTCAACAAAGCAATTCTTTCTCGCTTGTGTTGTACCATTTCCTTTTCTCATTTTTTGGTCTATGCAGTATCTCTTGCAAAGGTGTAGTATTTATCGAAGTCCTGTAAACAGGACAGTAAACACTACTGAGTATACAGATACGCTGAAATCCATCTTTCTCGCTCCATTTCGCAAGCCTAAAGAGGGAAAGTCAGGTGTTGTCTATTGGCAGAGCGTTCTTATTGCACGACGTTTTCTCTTGACATTACTTAGTTGTTTTATCACTCATGTGCATGGCAATCATCTGTGTGCTGGCGTTATTACATCATAAATGTGTGAAACCGTTCCAAAACCCTCGTGCCAACAAAGCAGAAACCATTTCTCTACTAAGTCTTGCAGTAATGGCTATCATTAATATGTGCAAATCAATTTTCAGATTTTCCATAGAAGATGATAGTTACGGATGGATAATTTCAACACTTGATATCATCGAGATGATAATGTTAGGTTTCATACCTGGAATATCTATTCTTTTGTTTGTATTAGGGATATCATCATTGGTGGTACGTTTGGTTTTCATGGCCATCACCACCATACGTAGAAAAATGCACCGCCATGACCCAACATACGATGAACTGTTGAACGATAACCATGAGGAAAACTTAAAGGAAGACTTTGTATTTTAAAATTAGAGTACAACGATGAATTTAAGCGCGATGATTCATGACTTTACTCAATGATTTAACTGTACTTGTGCAATTTATATAATTACTTATGATTTTACTATATTTAATGGTTTGACTATATACTTAGGCTTAATGAATTGACTATGTACTAAAATTTGTTCAAATAGCTTTAAATTGTGTTTTTGATCATTTTCATTTTTAATGAACATTGTTGATGCAAACTAACAATGTTAATTACAGGTTTGAGGATTCAGTGAAGTAGAAATGTTGATAACAGTTAGTTGTAAAGGAGGAAAAAATAATCAAAATAATTTAATCGAACCTTACATCAAGCATATAAATAAGAAAACCCAGATTGAAAGATAACAAATACTTTTTTCTTAACCAATTGCAGGTGCAGAGTAAGTCAGAATACAAACTCAAAATAGCTACAACTCAACATAACTGCACATTACAAATTCAAAATACTACAAGTGCTGAAAAATTTAAATGTACTCTGACTTGCCTTATAACTTCCTTCAGTAGTAATTTAGTTTCCTTTCAAGCCTTGGAGTCATGCTTCTTGAGATGCGGAATGCAATGGAACGATTTTGTTGATCGTAGTTTTTGAACTTTAGGTGTTTGATTTCGTAGAAGATATTCTCGATTCAAAGTCTTTGTTGGCTTCACTGATTCAAGGCGACGTAATATAGCCTAAGTAAAATATGAAAGATCATAAAGTTTCACGAGTGCTACAGTCATACAACTAGTTTCCTTTTATCATAAAGAACAATGCTAGACTACGAAAATATTGCGCTATTCTTTTTTGTCCCCCAAAAAAATTAATGTTTACCTGATTTTCCTCGTCTATTCTTCTTTGAAACTTCTTTCTGTTGACTTCAGAATCGCATTGAAATTTAAAAACTCGTCCACGTTCAACACGATCAATTTTTTCTATTTCTCTTCTGCCTGTAGGCCCAATTTTCAGATAATCTTTATCGCTACTGTGGGATAAAGTCGGAAGTAACTTGTATTTTGATGGCTTTGGTTAGCAGCCATCTTAGTTTTACGTCATGTTGCTATGGTAATTAGTTACCATGGTAACTGATGTATAGTGAAGTAGAAAGTGTGTACTGTTTGTACCAGTGGTTTGTACAGTTAATACTGTTCCTGCTTCGCCGATTCTTTTTTATTTTAAGCACATAAATGATCCGCGATTCATGTGGACACTGCATATATAGCAAGTGGTTTCTCTAATTCATGTAAAATTACATGGCTTACGAATTTTCTTTCGGCGCTGGTAAAGAAGCATACAATTACGGAAAAAATCTCACACTGACACATAAATGATCATTCTGTACATTTTTAAAAATATATGTTCTGGGAACATTCAAGAATCATACATATGGAACATTGAAGAACCTAAGAATATTCAAAAAATGTGCCTTTCTGTTTTACTGTTTTTGTCGCATCCGTGTGCCCCACAACAATGACACCGTGAACTGTTTTATTGGCGGTAGTAACTTGACTTATTTCACCAGGTGGACGGAGAGGGGTGAAGGGTGACATCTGTGGTTTGATCGACGAACACGTAACTATAGTCCTCCGTGTGCTTTTCAGACGCAGTCTTTTTCTGTCTTCAGGTTTTGGGGGGGGAGGTGGATTTTAGATGAAAATTTGCCCTTTGTACTTGTTTTTAGTAAGTGCTTATTCTTCTAACCAATTTTTATAAAACTTTGCATTATTCCTTGAAGTATCTAGAATTTAGGCTGTAGCCAAGGAATGTAGTTACCTATGTAAAAGCGTCAATAAATGTGAAAGGTGGAGGTCGAAGAAAAAAGATGGGATCTGTCTCTGAAGTTAATGTTTAGCGTGAAGGGCATATGGCATAATTGCTTTTATCGGTACAGATGAGTTCTTCATTTTTTGTATGCAAGTACTGAATAAAGCGTGCACACTGGATATTTGCAAATGTTAATCGTCACTGAGCACCCAAAATTGCTCGCTTATAACTTTTCAGTTAACAATTGTGCTACACTCCAATTTACGTTTTTAATCAATTTTGTCGTGCCTTAAATTTTTGCTAATAGATTGAAATGCATTCGCCTCATAACATTCTTAAACTTGTGGGTTAGCAAACTTAATAATTGCTAATAACTTACTCCGAACTGCCAGTCGGTATACTATACGTATTAAGGAGAAATGCACGTTTCCTATTTCAATTTTTTTGAGAATTGTAAACTATACAACTACTCAAGTAAGGCATTGTCTATCACTCTGTGTTCGACAGTAATTTTCTTTTCATGATAGATAGAAATCGTGAACAGCAAATGTTGTACTTTGAATTTTGTAGACTAATATAATCTCTATTTTAGAAGAGTAATCAAACTTGGCGATACTGCACATAAAGAAAGCATGAACTTGTACCAATAGATTTTTTTAGAAGCCTGTACGTCATTCGAGAGCATTAACTCAAGTAGAAATTCGGATTGTACTGATAGCATGCTTCTTGTATTCGTTAATGGTATGGGCGGAAAATCTTATCAACAGTATCTGTCAATGTGTTATCTCACATTTCGTCTCGTCAAACTAAGCCTTTTTGCCCTTGTTACCTTGATAAATCTTATTTTGTTTAGTGTTGCTGCTGAATTTTGTGTATTATTAGAAATTGCATCATCGTATCCCGTTGACATCCTTTTACATTCAGATCAAGCTGCAATGTTCAATTGTTCATATGTAGCTCTCACATATTGTGCCATTTAAGGCACTTCTTGCATTTGTGAATCAAAAATGTTCTTTGTATTGGATGAAGTTTCAAGCGTTTTAAAGTTTGTTTTTGAATTAGTATCAAAAACAATATTCTTAGCATACTCATCAAATGTGTAAAAACCATGTGTTCAAGCTATTTTCCAGTGACTTATATAAGGTTTCGCCAAAACAATCGAAACATTCATTTCCTATACTTTTTTGCACCTTTTCCAAAAGACCATGCACTGTATGAATTCATTAACACTTTTTTGACGATCTTAGGAGTGGCAACGATGTTTATTTTCTTCTCAATTTCTTCACATACTATCATTGGTTTTATGAGCTATGAAAAGGTGTAAATGGGTGTTTGATTACAATTTACTGTGTCAATTAGAAATGAAAGCATATTCATTTACAATTAATTGTTTCAATTATAACATGAACTAGTGATTGTTTCATCTCGTTTTCACAACGACTACGTGCATTATGTTATGACTGACGAATACCGACATATACAGTATCTACTATTAAATTTAATAAATCAAGCGAAAACCAAGCAGTTATTTTCGAGTGATGCATTAATCCTATTTAATTAATAAATTTTGATTTCGTCACCAGTTTTTATTAATGATGTTATGAGGGTATAATTACTTCTCACTCTATTTACTTGGATTAGAAACTTCATTACTGCATTGTAATAAAAACACAATGATCAAATTAATGAATAATTCATAAAATAAAAAGCAAATAAAGTAAAACCTAAGAGCATGCAGTAGTTTATTGTAAAAACGTTCATGAATTAAGTTATTGCTTCATTAGTTGCTTTTTTTGTTGATTGGATATTTTTATCAGACATCATTAATGCTATATTAACGTCAGTTATAGCAGTGAACATTTCCACTTTAGCTTCTACTGCAGTTAAGTACTGACATGAAGTGCCTAAATCTTGCCCACTTTTAAAGAAGGCGTCTTCACATGATGGAGCGCAAGATTTTTTTTGATTTTTTTCGGTAACATGTTTTTCTCAATTTCTCAATTATATGTTTGTGTAACGGTATTTAACTCCGCTATCGTTATATATTTCCTAAAATCATAAGTTTATACTTTTTGTTGTCTATTAATATCATTCAGCGAGATAAGTAGGAAAGGACATATACAAATTAGCAGTTCCCTCTATTGTCTTTAACATGGTTCACACGACGGAAATAAACAAAAGCATAAGCGATTACAGAATCCCAAACAAAGACAATAAAGGAAGCATGTAGACCAGAATGTGGTTGAGGTAAGTACCACCTGCGGCGAGAGAAAATAAAATGCATATTTTCTGGTAGGTATTGGTATTGGCTCTAGTGTATGGAATCGTCATGATAAACGGGGATCTGGGGGTGAGTTTGTAGCCAAAGGGGAGTTTCTTTATACGTAGTTGCATCATTAATAAGCTAATTTTCTACAACAAATACAGCATGCTTTATTCCACTGATCCACTTTTAAATATATTTGTTGACCACATCAATGTCACAGTGCTATAAACAATTAATCTTAAAAATACCCATGCATATTGGTTGCCCAAAATAACAGTGTCATTTAAATAATGGTAATTAAGAACGCTTACTCAAAGTTACTATGTTGTAAATTGTAATTTATTTAAGTAGAAGCATCATAAAAAGCATTTTACAATTCACAAATTTAACTTGAAGCAATTTAGTTTTCCTCGTTATCAGTATTACATTGTTTTGAGTTATATTTTGGCATCCACCCACCCATACGTTGAAACATCAAGCTAAGCTACCTATGGTTGATTTTATGACGCCATAGCTTAGACGCTAATGTGGGAAACTGCAACACAGATGAACTGTGGAGTGGAGTGGGAAGGGTGTGTAGCAATTGGAGATAATTATCTATGTATACTGATTCTTTATGGTAACAATGACGCTCTTCTTATGGTAACAAGTAAGATACACATTTTTCTAGAAGGGCAAGTCTATAATGTGTTTGATTCCAGTTAACTCTTACCAGTTGAAAGGCTATGCTGAGTTTTGGATTACATTCAAAAATCTTCAAATCTTTTCTCGTTTGACACATTGGTCTTTCTCCTTATAACATTTTCTTATCAAAATAACTAAAGTATCAGTATCTTCAGCTGGCTAATAAAGAATGATATTTTGATTTGGAGATCTTTCCAGTGCGTGTTTACTATGCAGAACAACAAGATTATTAGGAACACAGCATTTTTCAGTTGTGAGTTTGATCAACTCATTTTCGGTCGAAATGCACATTTCTTCACATCCTAAAATTTCAAGGACTTTTACTGGGTCCTAAACAATGACTTCCTTTATCATTAGCATGAGCCTCGTTTTTTCTTGCTATTTTTTTCATTCCTGCGATTGAATTAACATTTTCCAAGGGAAAAAAAAACATTTAATTGATCGCCTCAATCAAAGATACCTGATTAACTATTTTACCGCGTGTTTGAAGAAAGACACGTATAAAATCGAGGCTAATGTCCTCGATAAAGAAAGTGATTGTACAGAAATTAGTGTTGGAGATACTAGCGTATGAAGTAAAATCATATTGTGTTCAAAACCGCTCATCTGAAGGCTGATACAACGGTTATTTAGCATCTCCAAATCAAAACGTTAGCTTAAGTCTGTTGATTGAAAATTGTAATGAGGAGAAAGACCAATTTCTAACTGTTTTTGGAAATGGTAAAAATAGAACAAGACCCATGTTTGGTGATGAACATGGATTTTCGGATAAAAGAATGTCTCACAGTTTTTGAGCATTCATCGGCAATGATTACCTTTCTCATGGTTTTTTGAAAATAAAAGAAACTTGTTGAACGATTAAGAACTTATTCCAAAATTCTGGAAAGCATTCCAACTCCTCGGAATAAACTGGAATCTAGTTTGAGTGACCTTTATGGATAGGGAAAGAAAAGTGTGAACTTTACTCGACGATTCTAAGGAATATTAGCAAAGATTGGCATATAGTTTATTTTTGCTTTTTTACCTCCTGTCAATCCATTAAGGCAGCTTCACAAATACATTGTAAGCTTTGTAGCCAAGATCTGGAGGTTATTAAAGCAAGCTCAGGTAGCTATGCTTGATGTTTAAGCCAGTGGCGTGCGGTGACCGAATTTAATAGGCAAGCGCTGGGGGTGAACCTATCTAGGGGGTCTGGATCTGAAAATTTTTGGATTTTGAAGGCTACTGGAGCGCATTTCCCGCAATTTCTGGGAGTACTTTGTCGAAAAAATGTATCTGTCATGACTGAAACAGTATTGAAAAAATCTAAAAAATTCAAAAACTTTTATAGAGTATATATCACAATTACGGTTTAAAAGTATTACATGTGGCATTGTGATATAAAGTCGTTTTAAGTAAAAGGCTACGCGTGCATTTCTACTGTAGTGAAGAAGTAACAGAACGAAATAGTCCAAAATCCTACAACAGATTTACTTAAATGTAAATTCCATCCGTCTTTCCTTTGCGCAAAACTCCTTTTTACGTCCTCATAGAATCGTGGCTTCCCCTGCAAACTTACCAACATCTCCTTCTCGATTGAAATTGTAGCCAATGCAGAAAGTCGCTCTTGCCCTTGCGAAGATACCTTTTTGATACGCTTGAGAGTCGAAAATGATCTTTCTGCAGAGGAGGACGTACTTGGCATAGTAAGAATGAGCTGACACAATCGGTACACCTCTGGAAAACAGGCTTTCAAGTCAAATTCGATTATTTTTGATATCATATCAAAAACAGGTTTCGATTTGAGCTCGGCAGATGCGTATACAACGATTAGTTCACTTTTTAGTGCTTGAAGATTAAAGAATGTTCCATATGAATCTTGCAACGATTGCAGCTCTCGTTCGGGAAAATTCCGGCTGTACAATTCGTGCTTGTTAGATTGATAAATCCACCTAGAACATCTTTGATAGGCAACTAATCGATACAGCTTGTGTATTCTCTCTAGATCCTCATCAGACAGGGGCCAGTTTTCTTCAAGATGCCGACACACGTCTATCTTTAACACACTTTCTGAGAGCATATTATCCCTAAATTCTTGGTGTGCTGTCAAGCAATTTACTCCTTGAGTTTCTGTTTGGCCTAGCAAAGCCTCATACTCATCGTATTCAAGTGCTTTTTCGTGGCAACAAAAACACTCGATTGCCTTTTTTGACAAAGTACAATGTCCACACTTACACCAACTAAAAGTTTGAAGGCGCCAAGCATTTGCTTTCTCAAATTCAGCATGTATTTCATCCTCCGACGAGGCAAGTCGCTCTGCTCACTCTCCTGTTCGGAACCGCTTTCTTCACTAGTTTCGGACTTCACTTCAGATTCATATTGATAGGGCAGAACCTCACCCGGTTGATATTCGTGTATGTCATCCATTACAGCAAAAAAACCCGTAAAATACGCTTTAAATGTGTTGTAACGCAGTCAATCACAAAGTATATGGTATTGTTGTTTTGACTGCTCACCAGGCAATGACGTCACTACCGCTCGAGATAATTTTATCAAAATTTTATCCAAGATGGCGCAATTTATAAAACTTTTGCTGCAAATATTTCAGCAACAAAATATTTTTGAGAAAAAATTTTTCTATTTTAGTTGTTAGACATCACAAAGGTTCAAAAATATGCCATAAAAATTTTCGTTGCCAATGTCCTTTAAAATTGCGAGCGTACAAGACTGTTGACCAATCGCTATCAAGCGGCGCCCTTAGAAGCGCCGCTTGCCTTTTCTCGATATTCCTCGAATAAGAAGCCTCCAAATCTAGATTAACGCATGCGCAAATGTTCAAATTGAGCTCCGAAGGCAAGCGCGCTTGCCTTGGTTAATAAATAAGAAATTGTTAAGGTGTATTTAATCCACTTGACTCATCTTACAAGTGTAGCAAAGTGAAACCGAAAACCACGACAGTAAATCGCGTATAAATAGCAAGCATTTCAACTGTAAAGACAATTTAGACAAAAGATTACATTGACATTGTTTAGAACAGAAAAATTTAAACTGATTTTGCTCAAAGATTGATCCAAAAAATTTTTGTTCGGTAAAATGCTTAGGCAAGCGGCGCTTGCCTACGCTTGCATGACCGCACGCCACTGGTTTAAGCACTGTGCTGTGAATTCAAACGTCTTTTGAAAGAAGTTGCAAACAATATTATAGAAATACTAGCTACTTGTTCCAATTTGCTTAGAAAGCAAAGATTTATTTTAGAAAGATGAAGAAACTGATGATGAAGAAAAATAAAGTTTTTTTGAGTTCAAATTTAAAAAATACTTTTCATAATGTATCACTTTAAGCTACGTTATAGTAATCGTGCGTGAATGTGTGTAGTAATAATTGAATAAATAACTTTGCCATTTTGAGTAAAATGTGTATCGTTTTTTTATGAAAAATGAACTTTAAGAGCACTGTGCTGGATAGAGATTTAGTTTACATGTATTTAAAATAGATCAATGAAAACGAAATCGTTGTGCTTACGATAACAGACTAATTATAGCTCATTAATTATTCAACTAAGAAAAAAGTTAGAAACGCATGGAATATAGAAACCTTTTACAAACCCTGTTACAAACGCATGGAATATAGAAACCTTTGAACAAGATGAAAGGATATTTGATTCTCGGAATTTCCTATCTCGTAGAAAATACCGCGTGATCATGCTCTAACCCCTACTTATGAATTATCATAACAATAAATTTTCATTCTTTAATATATATAATTTGAATGTCTAGCTGGGGATGATATAACAGACGCACTAGGAGTAACGTGAACAACAAACGAAGCAGTCGAAAGCAGTACTTGGTTTTAAAAGCACTACTTGATTTTAAAAGCAACATATGGTCTTGCAACTGCAATGAAAGTGAATGTCAATGAAAATAAGTCTAGTTTCCTAAGGTTGTAGACGGTGAGTATCTGCAGAGGTTTGGTGTTGGATGACACTGGGAAGATTGTGGATTAAGACTTCATCGTAAAGAACATTTCTGCAACCTACGAATTTTGCTCAAATAAGGCAACGTTTATTTACTTATTTTTTTTGGTCAATGTTATTTACCGAAACAAAGCTGAGAAAGAAAAAATTGATCGAGGTCTGAATAGCTCTTAATATTATGCAAAAGCCGATTTCAATAACTATTTTATTATACAATCATAAATGCAAAAGCTTTTAAAATTATTTATGCAGAAATTTTTCAAGCCTTGACATAAAATAATTTTAGCGATTCGCTTTCGTCCATTTTATGTAAATACAAAGGTAAAACTCTCCTGGCTGACAGTGTAACCCTTTATCATCAATAATTTGAGTCAAAACAGTTTGTTAAACAATTACAAATCTCAAGTAAGACACAACCATTGTATACTTTGTGTTTTTAGTTGTCCCAAAAAATATACGTCACCTACAAATAATTTTAAAAGTCGTTGTTGCGAACATGACAGAGAATTATCCGAAGACTTTCAGTGAATTACACTCGAGATTACAACAATACATAGTAAAATATAAGTGACCTTTATTGGATGAGACTCAGCATGATATCAAGAAATATTCAGACCAAGGTCAATGCTATTTGCGGAAGGGAAACTGAGTGAATCATCATTGTATAATTGTCTATATTGATTTATTAAGAGTACGCATCCAAAGATTGCACCATCATTGTATAATAATAATCTTTAGAGACTATATACACAATGGTATTGAAATAAGATTGACCATTGTTTAATAATCTAGCAATCTATTGATTTGTTCAGTTCAGAGTTCTCTCCCGAAGATTTCTCGACACAAACAATAGTTAAAATTTTCGAAGTTTTATAATATTATTATTAATAAGCTTCCTATACGTGCGTAGTTTGTAATGCAACTTGATTTCTTGTAAAAGTGTATAAGCTTTCTATATGTCCATAGTTTGTAACTTGATTTCTTGTTAATATGTTTTAATTATTAAATAAATTTTTGTAATGTTTTTTGTCGCGGCCCCTCGTAAATGGACAACCCCTTCTCCAGTTACGCTTCTGCTTGACTGCTGCATATTTTTTATGCCGGCCAAGAAAGACTGTTAGTGCAAGACTCAACGCAGATTCTGAAAGTCAGGAGATACATTTATTTCTCGCACTCTAAGTACTCTTCAGCTCCAGTGATATTTTAAAAACTCTCTTAGATTTTGTCCGTAGAAGATGAAATGTATACTCTTGTTCAAAATCATCTGTGGACCTTTCCTTCTGGAATTTTTCAGTAAGTGCGCTCATCCCTTTTATTAATTATAAATCGAATATTTTAAATAAAATGTTCTTGCTATCATCATGATTAGTTGCCTGGCGTTAATGAACGCAATATTTCTACTCAAGATGTATTTCAGCGGTAGCTCAAAGTTATGTCTATATCCACGTATATTGATGCAATCTGGATCTAATGATATATGAACATTGCACAGCTCTAAGTAATCTTCTGATTATTGACTTTCTAAAGATTTATTTTTTGAAACCATTAGATTTGATTATTGTTTCCCGCATAACTCACATTATTGCATTACATTTAGATGCATCGCATATAATTCTTTTTATGTAGACTTCGAAGTCACTTCAGCGTCAAATATATATGTCTCAAGGGCTAAAGGTCATGATTCTGTTTCATGTGGCTCATACAGTCGCCCGTGTTATTCAATATCACATGGTGTTTCTGTAGCAGGTAATGCATCAAAAATTCTTATCGATTCTACAAACACAAAAATATCTCCATATGATTGTAAATCATTCCAAAGAAGACACCAAGGTATTTACGTCACGAAGAATTTGACATTTGCCAGTGACGGTCCGTCACTTTGTCGTATTTCATGCAAAAGTGGTTTTAACTGGTTTATAGACGGCAGAGAAAATGCCTCTCCAATCATCATTGGTTTTATCAGAATCTTCTTTGAAAATACACAAGTACATTTAGTGGATTCGTCTGCCATTTTTACTCAGTGCGTGTTTTACAAAACTAAAAAACTTGCAGTGAATTTTACTGTATATAATTGGAACCTTACAAGTTTGGTTTTTCAAAATGTCCAATTCGAAGCAAATGAAGCATGTATTTCAGTGAAGATGTGGTCAAAGGATATAAACATTCTAAGGAGCAGCATTATATTTAAAAATTCACAATTCATACGAAATGGCATTAGATGGATTCCAATTTTAATATCACCTTCTTGGAGTGTTTTAAGCATAGATAACTTTGGAAAACATGCTGTAGAGTTGCACATGCAAAATACAAGTTTTTTCAATAACTATGTTCGTCCAATGGGAATGATATACGTAAGTACTAATCACTTAAAACTTACTGTAATGGAGAAAAGCAATTTAGTATATAATGGATTGCAAGACATAACCAACACGTTTACTCACAGCCTCTTTGTTTTAAATACTGAAACGACGTCCATTGCGATAGCAGACACGCGGGTAAAAAGGAACAAACAGCGACTTTTTTCAATCAGCTCAACTAGAACAGAAATCCTTATTACTTACACACAAATAGATGATTATAGAGTTGACAAAAATCATGGAGGGATATTTTATATAGAAAGTGAAATGATGCAGTTGGTAATGGCCGACTGTGTGATAAGTAATGGACGATTGAAGTATCAATTTAATGGTGGATTTCTCTATGTTTACGCAAGGAATGTTAGTGTTCATATTGAAAATTCTAATTTTACAAACTTGAATATTGGTGGCGTTGGTGGTGTGATGTATATATCGACAAGCAAAGTTGCAAATATGTCTGTAACAGTAAAGATAAAAATACTCAGTTCAAATTTTTTATCTAATAAAGGTTATTGTGGAGGAGTTCTGTGGCTCCCACAAAAGTTTAAAATCTGGATTCATAACTCTACATTCATTTCAAATATTGCATATATTGGTGGGGTTGTATACTCCGGCGACCCTTTATATGCAAAAATACACATCGATAAATCATTGTTTCACAAGAACTTTGGTGGATGCTTTAGTCTTCTTAGTTATACAAAAAATAATGGTTATTTATTTTTAAGTGGAAATAACTCAAATTTTACGGAAAATAGAGCTAAATATGAGGGAGGCGTGTTCTCATTGGCATCTTCAGCCGTTTACTTGGAGCTCTCGTGTTCATTATTTGAGTACAATCATGCAGAAAAATCCTCCGGAGGCGCCATTTCACTTAATGAAGGGAATGCATTTTCAGCCAACTCAGTTACATTGTTAGCCAATCACACAAAATTTACTGGAAACAGAGCCGTGAATGGTGGAGCAATAACCATCCATAAATATTTCAAGGGAACGAGAGCAATGATTGGTATGAATAATGTATCTTTTTTTCGTAATTCTGCATTAGGAAGAGGAGGTGGGATTTTTTTTCAAAATCATGTAATACAGAATTTATCGTCGTTTTCAATTTCGATAGAAAGAAGCATTTTCGAGAAAAATCGTGGGAGTTTTGGAGGTGCCATATATTTACAGGGTGTTAATGGCGAATTTTTGTCCAAGCATTCAGTTTTTAAATCAAACAATGCAACTTATGGTCCAGGTGGAGCATTCTACTTCATTATTTCCAATTCAACGATAAACATATTCAACACAACCTTTCAAAATAACACAAGTATTAAAAATGCTGGAGGTGCAATGTATCTAGAAATTAATTATGGAAGTACGATTCATGTCGATGAGTCAGTATTTAAACACAATGAAGCAATTTATAACATGGGTGGTGGCATGGCCATAAATACTAAAGGTGATACTTTGAAAAATCCTCAATGTAAAAAAGATGCTGTGCGCTTTTGGGATTACAACAATTCTGTAACGATAAAGAACACGAATTTTAGTGAAAATATTGCCCGAAATGGTGGTGCAGTCTCCATGGAAAACGGAATAATATATTTCAATAATTGTCATTTTGTCAACAATTCTGCACATGACGCTGGTCATCTTATTAACTATGGCTCAAACAACTTAAATTTATTCAGTAGCACTTTTAAAAACACAATAACTCATAATTCTTCCTATACAGAAACTTTCATACATACGTACAGCGAAGGACCGTTCATTTTACACAATACTACCGCATTACAAGAAATACAGTCAGATAATCCTTTGGTCTTGATTGCAAATGGCGGGATTGTGGATTTTGATAATTTTACAATATTGCGTTGCCCAGTTGGATCAAAGATGGAAATGTTGAATCTCTCTTATAACAAATGGATAAATATTTCTTGTACATACCGCGTCACTATACTTCGCTTTGTATGTACACAATGTGAACAAGGCACGTATAGCTTACAGCGGGGTCACACATTAGGATTGAGACCAGTTCATCCATTTTCTTGTCTACCTTGTCCAAATGGAGCCGAGTGTTTAGCAACAATCAAATCAAAGCCAAACTTCTGGGGATATTTAAGCAAGAAAAATAAGCCATCTTTAAAATTTACCAGATGTCCTAATGGTTATTGTCTTGGAGGCTTAAAAAACAAAAAACACGACAGCTACAACAGGTGCCAAGGAAAGCGTAAAGGTTGGATTTGCGGTCATTGCTCTCCTGGTTACGGTGAAACTGTATTCTCAACAGATTGTAAATTGACAGAAAAATGTTTTCATTTTTGGTTTTGGATTGTGTTTATCGTATTGGCGTTCAGCATGGCTTTGTTTTTTATATTTCAACCACCGATTGTCACTTTTCTAGAAAAACAAATATTGTGGTTCAAAAATGAAAGAAAAATAACTAAACACCTGAGCGAGAACAACAGAAGATCATTACGGTCAACAGAGATGCAGAGAAGCGATTCTCCGTTTGTTCTCTCCACTGAAGAAATTGAAAACGAAAGGAAAGATTCCGTAGCATTTTTTGAAATTATTTTTTATTTCTATCAGATTTCTTCTTTACTGCAAACAGATACAAACATAAAGCACCTTTTGAAAGCCCAAATAATTATTCCTGTTCAGAGATTTTTAAATTTTCAGGGAGTTCCTTTCGAAGGTGTATGTCCAATACTTGGTCTCACAGCAACTGGAAAACATTTGTTTGATGTTGCACCTGTATTTGGAACTTTACTGGCCATATACTTCATCTACAGTCTTCACTTTTTCATAAGTAAGATCTTTCGTGCGTATACTCCAAAATTTAAACAATACCTTGGGGCAACAATGCAAACCATTCTCTTAGGATATAAAAATATTGCCAACGTTAGTCTTGCACTAATTTATTGCGTTCCCATTAACTCTGACCGTCGTTGGTTTTATGATGGTAACATATTATGCTACCAATGGTGGCAGAAACTGTTCATTGCATTTGACGTTGTTGTATTATTTCCCTTCTTCCTGGTGTTAGCCTGGCTTGCCGTGAAATTGCACAATGGAATGATTTCAACAAAGCAATTCTTTCTCGCTTGTGTTGTACCACTTCCTTTTTTCATTTTTTGGTCTATACAGTATCTCTTGCAATGGTTAAGTATTTATCGAAGTCCTGTAAACAGGACAGTAAACAATACTGAGTATACAGATACGCTGAAATCCATCTTTCTCGCTCCATTTCGCAAGCCTGAAGAGGGAAAGTCAGGTGCTGTCTACTGGCAGAGCATTCTTATTGCACGACGTTTTTTCTTGACATTTCTTGGTTGTTTTATCACTGATCCCACTTTACGACTCATGTGCATGGCAATCATCTGTGTGTTGGCGTTATTACATCATAAATGTGTGAAACCATTCCAAAACCCTCGTGCCAACACAGCGGAAACCATTTCTCTACTAAGTCTTGCAGTAATGGCTATCATTAATATGTACAAATCAATTTACAGATTTTCCAAAGAAGATGTTAGTACAGGATGGATGTTCGTATTTCCAACACTTGATATTATCGAGATGATAATGTTAGGTTTCATACCTGGAATATTGATTCTTTTGTTTGTATTAGGGATATCATCATTGATGGTACGTTTGGTTTTCATGGCCATCGCCACCATACGTAGAAAAATGCACCGCCATGACCCAACATACGATGAACTGTTGAACAATAACCATGAGGAAAACTGAGAGGAAGACTTCGTATTTTTAAATTAGAGTACGTTGATGAATTTGAGCGCTATGATTTATATGACTTTACTCAATGATTTAACTGTACTTGTGCAATTTATATAATTACTTATGATTTTACTATATTTAATGGTTTGACTATATACTTAGGTTTAATGAATTGACTATGTACTAAAATTTGTTCAAATAGCTTTAAATTGTCTTTTTGATCATTTTCATTTTTAATGAATATTGTCGAAGCAAACTAACGATGTTAATTAAAAGGTTTGAGGATTCAGTAAAGTAGAAATGTCGATTACAGTTTGTTGTAAAGGAGGAAAAATTAATTTAAATGTTTTAATCGAACCTTACATCAAGCATATACATAAGAAAGCCCAACTTGAAGGATAATAAATACTTTTTTCTAAACCAGTGCAGGTGCAAGTTGCCCCAGAATACAAACTCAAAATAACTACAACTCAACATAACTGCACATTACAAATTCAAAATACTACAACAAGCGCTGAAAAATTTAAAGTAATGTACTCTGACTTGCCTTATAACTTCCTTCAGTAGTAATTTAGTTTCCTTTCAAGCCTTGGAGTCATGCTTCCTGAGATGCGGAATGCAATGGAATGATTTTGTTGATCGTAGTTTCTGAACTTTAGGTGTTTGATTTCGTAGAAGATATTCTCGATTCAAAGTCTTTGTTGGCTTCACTGATTCAAGGCGACGTAATATAGCCTATGTAAAATATGAAAGATCATAAATCTTCACGAGTGCTACAGCCACACAACTAGTTTGCTTTTATCATAAAGAACAATGCTAGACTACGAAAATATTGCGCCATTCTTTTTTGTCCACAAAAAAAATTAATGTTTACCTGATTTTCCTCGTCTATTCTTCTTTGAAACTTCTTTCTGTTGACTTCTGAAGAGGTTTTCACACGAACAGAATGATTTCCACCAAGTGCAGTTTTCGAGGCTGAGCTTGGTCGAGGATGACTGATATTTCTCAAAAGTCTTTGATTCTCCAAGTCAATAGCAACAACTTCGTCATTCCGAAAGGAAAAGTTTTGCTTATTTTCACGCAGATTTCTTTTTCTCGGGTGCGTACAATTTACCCTCTTGTCAGATTTACTCATACAAATAAATCCAGAAGCTTTAGATTCTTCCTCACGCACAATCTCTTCGCTTTTTCCCGTCATTTTTCTCGACTTGTCAATGTCATTTATATCAAGTTCAGGTACAGCATCGAGTAATACGTCCAAGTTTACTTGATCAGAATCGCATTGAGTTTTAAAAACTCGTCCATGTTCAACACGATCCCTTTTTTTTATTTCTCTTCTGCCTGTAGGCTCAATTTCAGATAATCTTCATCGCTAATGTGGGATAAATTCTGCAAATATCTTGTATTTCGATGGCTTTGTGGTTTTATCAACGAATAGGTAACCATAGTCCTCCGTGTGCTTTTCAGTCGCAGTCTTTTTCTGTCTTCAGGTTTGGGGGGAGGGGAAAGATTTTAGATGAAAATTTGCACTTTGTACTTGTTTTTAGTAAGTGCTTGTTCTTCTAACCAATTTTATAAGACTTTGCAATATTCCTTAAAGTATCTAGACTTTAGGCTGTAGCCAAGGAATGTAGCTACCTATGTTTTAGCGTCAATATATGTGAAAGGTGGAGGTCGAAGGAAAAAGTGGGGATCTGTCTCTGAAGTTAACAGTGTGAAGGGCATATGGCATAATTGCTTTTGTCGGTACAGATGAGTTCTCCATTTTTTGTATGAACGTACTGAATAAAGCGTGCACACTAGATATTACAAATGTTAATCGTTACTGAGCACCCAAAATTGCTCGCTTGTAACTTTTCAGATAAGAATTGTGCTACTGATCACTCTGTGTTCGACAGTAATTTTCTTTTCATGATAGATAGAAATCGTGAACAGCAAATGTTGTCCTTTGAATTTTGTAGACTAATATCATCTCTATTTTAGAAGAGTATTCAAACTTGGTGATACTGCACATGAAGAAAGAATGAACTTGTACCACTTTAATTTTTTAGAAGCCTGTACGTCATTCGAGAGCATTAGTTCAAGTAGAAATTTGGATTGTACTGATAGCATGCTTCTTGTATTCGTTAATGGTATGGGCGGAAAATCTTATCAACAGTATATGTCAATGTGTTATCTCACATTTCGTCTCGTCAAACTAAGCCTTTTTGCCCTTGTTACCTTGATAAATTTTATTTTGTTTAGTGTTGCTGCTGAATTTTGTGTATTATTAGAAATTGCATCATCGTATTCCTTTGCCATCCTTTTACATTCAGATGAAGCTGCGATGCTTAATTGTTCACATGTAGCTCTCACATATTGTGCCATTTAAGGCACTTCTTGCATTTGTGAATCAATTATGTTTTTTGTATTGGATGAAGTTTCAAGCGTTTTAAAGTTTGTTTTTGAATTAGTGTCAAAAACAATATTTTTAGCATACTCATCAAATATGTAAAAACCATGTGTTCGAGCTATTTTCCAGTGACTTATATAGGGTTTCGCCAAAACAATCCAAACATTCATTTTCTATACTTTTTTTGCCCCTTTTCCAAAAGACCATGCACTGTTATGAATTCAACAACACTTTTTTGGCGATCTTAGGAGTGGCAACGATGTTTATTTTCTTCTCAATTTCTTCACATGCTATCATTGGTTCTATGAGCTACGAAAAGGTGTAAATGGGTGTTTGATTACAATTTACTGTGTCAATTAGAAATGAAGGCATATTCATTTACAATTAATTGTTTCAATTATAACATGAACTAGTGATTGTTTCATCTCGTTTTTACAACGACTACGTGCAATATGTTCTGACTGACGAATACCGACATATACAGTATATACTTTTAAATTTAATAAATTAAGCAAAAACCAAGCAGTTATTTTCGAGTGATACATTAATCCTATTTAATTGTTAAATTTTAATTTCGTCACCAGTTTTTATTAATGATGTTATGAGGGTATAATAACTTCTCATTCTATTTACTTGGATTAGAAACTTCCTTATTGCATTGTGTTAAAAACACAATGATCAAATAAATGAATGTTTCATAAAATAAAAAGCAAATAAAGTAGAATCTAAGAGCATGCAGTAGTTTATCGTAAAAACGTTCATGAAATAAGTTATTGCTTCATTAGTTGCTTTCTCTGTTGATTGGATATTTTTATCAGACTTCATCAACGCTATATTAACGTCAGTTATACCAGCGAACATTTCCACTTTTTCTTCTACTGCAGTTAAGTACTGACATGAAGTGCCTAAAACTTGCTCACTTTTAAAGAAAGCGTCTTCACATGATGGAGCGCAAGATTTTTGTTTATTTTTTTCGGTAACATGTTTTTCTCAATTTCTCAATTATATGTTTGTGTAACGGTATTTAACTCCGCTATCGTTATATATTTCCTAAATCATACGTTTATACTTTTTGTTACCTATTTGTATCAATCAACGAGATAAGTAGCAAAGGACATGTACAAACTAGCAGTTCCCTCTATTGTCTTTAACATGGTTTACACGAGTGAAATAAACAAAAGCATAAGCGATTACAGAATCCCAAACAAAGACAGTAAAGGAAGTATGTAGACTAGAATGTGGTTGAGGTAAGTACCACCTGCGGCCAGAGAAAATAAAATGAAAACTTTCTGGTAGGTATTGGTATTGGGTCCAGTGTATGGAATCGTCATGATAAACAGGGATCTGTGGGTGAGTTTGTAGCCAAAGGGGAGTATCTTTATACGTAGTTGCATCATTAATAGCTAATTTTTCTACAATAAACACAACATACATTATTCCACTGATCCATTTTTAAATATATATATTGACCACATCAATGTCACAGTACTACGAACAATTACTTTTATAAATTACCCATGCATATTGGTTTCCCAAAATAACAGTGGTATGTAAATAATGGTAATTAAGCACGTTTACTCAAATTTACTATGTTGTAAATTGTAATTTATTTAAGTAGAAGCATCATGAAAAGCAATTTACAGATCAGAAATTTAACTTGAAGCAATTTAGTTTTCCTCGTTGTCAGTATTACTATGTTTGAGTTATATTTTGGCATCCACCCACCCATACGTTGAAACATTAAGATAAGCTACCTATGGTTGATTTGATGACGCCATAGCTTAGATGCTAATGTGGGAAACTGCAACATAGATGAACTGTGGAGTGGAGTGGGAAGGTGGGAGGTAGCAAATAGAGATAATTATCTATCTATACTGATTCTTTATGGTAACAATGGCGCTCTTCTTATGGTAACAAGAAAGATACACATTTTTCTAGAAGGCCAAGTCTATAATGTGTTTGATTCCAGTTAACTTTTACCAGTTGAAAGGCTATTCTGAGTGTTGGATTGCATACAAAAATCTTCCAAAATTTCTTTTCTCGTTCGACAATTCTAAATCAATGACACAGTGTTCTTCCTCCTTGTAACATTTTCTTATCAAAATAACTAATGTATCAGTATCTTCAGGTGGCTACCAAAGAATGATATTTTGATTTGGAGATCTTGCCAGTGCGTGTTTACTATGCAGAACAGCAAGATTATTTGAAACACAGCATTTTTCAGATGTGAGTTTGATGAACTCATTTTCGGTCGAAATGCACATTTCTTTACGCTCAAAGTTTCAAGGACTTTTACTTGGTCCTAAACAATGACTTCCTTCATCATTAGCATGAGCCTCCTTTGTTCTTGCTGTTTTTTTCATTTGTGAGATTGAATTAACATTTTCCAAGGGAAAAAAACATTTAATTGATCGCCTCAATCAAAGATACCTGATTAACTACTTTACCGCGTGTTTGAAGAAATACACGTATAAAATCGAGGCTAATGTCCTTGATAAAGAAAGTGATTGTACAGAAATTAGTGTTGGAAATACTAGCGTATGAAGTAAAATCATATTGTGTTCAAAACAGCTCATCTGAAGGCTGATACAACGGTTATTTTGCATCCCCAAATCAAAACGCTATCTTAAGTCTGTTGATTAGAAATTGTAATGAGGAGAAAGACCAATGTCTGACTGTTTTAAATGGAAGAAAGAAAATGACCCATGTTGGTTTCAGAATTTCGGATAAAAGAAGTTTTGAGCATTCATCGGCATTTTACTCATGGTTTTTGAAAAAAAAAACTTGTTGAAAAGAATTAAGAACTTAGGTTTTCCAACTCCTCGAAGTAAACTGGAATCTAATTTGAGTGACCTTTTTAAGGATAGAAAAAAGGAACTTTACTCGATGATTCAAATTGAGGAATATTAGAATTTTTTTTACCTCCTTTTTTGCAGCTTCACAAAACATTGTAGAGTTGCAGCAAAATACTTTTGTTAAAGCTATGGAATAAGTACTAAGTACTATCACTGTGCTGTAATTCAAAAGTCTTTTGAAAGAATTGCAAACTAGCTACTTGCTCCAATTTGCTTAGAAAGTAAAGATTTATTTTAGAAAGATGAAGAAACTGATGATGAAGAAAAATATTTTTTGAGTTCAAAAAAAAAATGCTTTTATAATGTACACAAAGCTACATTATAGTAATCGTGCAATGTGAATATTTTGTATAATTAAATTTGCCATTTGAATAAAATGTGTATAATTATAATGAATTTTAAGAGCAATGGATAGAGATTTAGTTTACATGTATTTAAAATAATTTTCAACTGAAAACGCGATTTTGTGACTATATTAAAGCAGATTAATATATTCAACTAAGAAAAGATACTACAAACGCAAATAAAATGAATTGAACTGAAAGGAAATTTGATTCGGAACTTCATAGAATAACACCGCGTGATCATGCTCTAACCCCTACAACTTATCAAAACACAATAAATCATTTTTCAATTTATATAATATTGAATGTCTTGATGGAAATGATAGCACTAGGAGTAACTCAAAACAAACAAAGCAGAAGCAGTACTTCGTTTTAAAAGCACTTACTTGGTTTTAAAAGTACAATCTTGCAAAGTGGAAGCAATGTCAATGAATAGTCTAAGGTCTGTTAAGGGCGAGTATCTGCAGAGGTTTAGTGGATGATACGGGAAGGTTGTGGATTAAGATTCATCACTAATTTTCTGGAACCTACGAATTGTTAAATAAGGCAACGTTCATAATTATTTTCTTGGTCAAATTTTATTTAAGGAAACAGATTTGTTGATCAAATTGATGAATAGCTCTTGATATTATGCAGGTGTCATATATTTACAGGATGTTGATGGCGAATTTTTGTGCAAGCATTCAGTTTTTAAATCAAACAATGCAACTTATGGTCCAGGTGGAGCATTCTACTTCTTAATTTCAAATTCAACGATAAACATATTCAACACAACCTTTGAAAATAACACAAGTAATATTGTGATACACAAATGTATCTAGAAATTAATCATGGAAGTACGATTCATGTCGATGAATCAGTTTTTAAACACAATGAAGCAATTTATAACATGGGTAGTGGCATGGCAATAAATACTAAAGGTGATATTTTGAAAAATCCTCAATACGAAAAAGATATTGTGCGCTTATGGGATTACAACAATTCTGTAACGATAAAGAACACGAAGTTTATTGAAAATTTTGCCCGAAATGGTGGTGCAGTCACCATGGAAAACGGAATAATATATTTCAATAATTGTCACTTTGTCAACAATTTTGCACATGAAGGTGGTCATCTTATTAACTATGGCTCAAACAACTTAAATTTATTCAATAGCACTTTTTACAACACAATAACTTATAATTCTTTCTATACAGAAACTTTCATACATACGTACAGCGAAGGACCGTTCATTTTACACAATACTACCGCAAAACAAGAAATAAAGTCAGATAATCCTTTGGTCTGGATTGCAAATGGCGGGATTGCGGATTTTGATAATTTTACAATATTGCGTTGCCCAGTTGGATCAAAGATGAAAATGTTGAATCTCTCTTATAACAAATGGATAAATAGTTATTGTACATACCGCGTCACTATACTTCGCTTTGTATGTACACAATGTAATCCAGGCACGTATAGCTTACAGCGGGGTCACACATTAGGATTGAGACCAGTTCATCCATTTTCTTGTCTACCTTGTCCAAATGGAGCCGAGTGTTTAACAACCATCAAATCAAAGCCAAACTTCTGGGGATATTTGTGCAAGAAAAATAAGGCATCTTTAAAATTTACCAGATGTCCTGATGGTTATTGTCTTAGAGGCTCAAAAAACCCAAAGCACGGCAACTACAACATGTGCCAAGGAAAGCGTAAAGGTTGGATTTGCGGTCATTGCTCTCCCGGTTACAGCGAAATTGCATTCTCAACAGATTGTAAATTGAAAGATTGTTGTATGAAGTGCGGTGTTTGAAATTGAATGAAGATATGATCTTCGCACTTTGTTAAATTGCTTAAATTGTCCAACAAAGTGCGAAGATCATATCTTCATTCAGATTGTAAATTGACAGAAAAATGTTTCGATTATTGGTTTTGGATTGTGTTTATCGTATTGGCGTTCAGCATGGCTTTGTTTTTTATATTTCAACCACCGATTGTCACTTTTCTAGTAAAACAGATATTGTGGTTCAAAAATGAATGAAAAATAACTAAACACCTGAGCGAGAACAACAGAAGATCAATACGGTCAACAGAGATGCAGAGAAGCGATTCTCCGTTTGTTCTCTCCACTGAAGAAATTGAAAACGAAAGGATTGATTCCGTAGGATTTCTTGAAATTATTTTCTATTTCTATCAGATTTCTTCCTTACTGCAAACAGATACAAACATAAAGCACCTTTTGAAAGCCCAAATAATTATTCCTGTTCAGAGATTTTTCAATTTTCAGGGAGTTCATTTCGAAGGTGTATGTCCAATACCTGGTCTCACAGCAACTGGAAAACATTTGTTTGATGTTGCACCTGTATTTGGAACTTTACTTGCCATATACTTTATCTACAGTCTTCACTTTTTCATAAGTAAGATCTTTCGTGCATACACTCCAAAATTTAAACAATACCTGGGGGCAACAATGCAAACCATTCTCTTAGGATATAAAAATATTGCCAACGTTAGTCTTCCACTAATTCAATGCGTTCCCATAAACTCTGACCGTCGTTGGTTTTATGATGGTAACATATTATGCTACCAATGGTGGCAGATTCTGTTCATTGCATTTGACGTTGTTGTAGTAATTCCCTTCTTCCCGGTGTTAGCCTGGCTTGCCGTGAAATTGCACAATGGAATAATTTCAACAAAACAATTCTTTATCGCTTGTGTTGTACCACTTCCTTTTTTCATTTTTTGGTCTTTACAGTATCTCTTGCAAAGGTGTTGTATTTGTCGAAGTCCTGTAAACAGGACAGTAAACAGTAGTGAGTATACAGATACGCTGAAATCCATCTTTCTCGCTCCATTTCGCAAGCCTGAAGAGGGAAAGTCAGGTGCTGTCTACTGGCAGAGCGTTCTTATTGCACGACGTTTTCTCTTGACATTTCTTAGTTGTTTTATCACTGATCCCACTTTACGACTCATGTGCATGGCAATCATCTGTGTGCTGGCCTTATTACATCATAACCAAGTGAAACCATTCCAAAACCCTCGTGCCAACACAGCAGAAACCATTTCTCTACTAAGTCTTGTAGTAATGGCTATCATTAATATGTACAAATCATTTTACAGATTTTCCAAAGAAGATGTTAGTACAGGATGGATGTTCGTATTTCCAACACTTGATATTATCGAGATGATAATGTTAGGTTTCATACCTGGAATATTGATTCTTTTGTTTGTATTAGGGATATCATCATTGATGGTACGTTTGGTTTTCATGGCCATCGCCACCATACGTAGAAAATGCACCGCCATGACCCAACATACGATGAACTGTTGAACAATAACCATGAGGAAAACTGAGAGGAAGAATTTTTAAATTAGAGTACGTTGATGAATTTGCGCGATGATTTATATGACTTTACTCAATGATTTAACTGTACTTGTGCAATTTATATAATTACTTATGATTTTACTATATTTAATGGTTTGACTAAGCTTAATGAATTGACTATGTATTAAAATTTGTTCAAATAGCTTTAAATTGTGTTTTTGATCATTTTCATTTTTAATGAATATTGTTGGTACAAACGAACGATGTAAATTACATGTTTGAGGATTAAGTGAAGTAGAAATGTCATTTATAGTTAGTTGTAAAGGAGAAAAAATTCATTTAAATGTTTTAATCGAACCTTACATCAAGAATATACATAAGAAAGCCCAGATTAAGCCATAACAAATACTTTTTTCTGAACCAGTTGCAGGTGCAGGGTAAGTCAGAATACAAACTCAAAATAACTACAACTCAACATGACTTGCATATTACAAATTCAAAATACGACAAAAAGTGCTGAAAAATTTAAAGTAATGTACTCTGACTTACCTCATAATTTCCTTCAGTAGTAATTTAGTTTCCTTTCAAGCCTTAGAGTCATGCTTCCTGAGATGCAGAATGCAATGGAACGATTTTGTTGATCGTAGTTTCTGAGCTTTAGGTGTTTCATTTCGTAGAAGATATTCTAGATTCAAAGTCTTTGTTGGCTTCACTGATTCAAGGCGACGTAATATAGCCTAAGTAAAATATGAAAGATCATAAGTCTTCACGAGTGCTACAGCCACACAACTAGTTTGCTTTTATCATAAAGAACAATGCTAGACTACGAAAATATTGCGCCATTCTTTTTTGTCAACAAAAAAAAAATTAATGTTTACCTGATTTTCCTCGTCTATTCTTCTTTGAAACTTCTTTCTGTTGACTTCTGAAGAGGTTTTCACACGAACAAAATGATTTCCACCAAGTGCAGTTTTCGAGGCTGAGCTTGGTCGAGGATGACTGATATTTCTCAAAAGTCTTTGATTCTCCAAGTCAATAGCAACAACTTCGTCATTCCGAAAAGAAAAGTTTTGCTTATTTTCACGCAGATTTGTTTTTCTCGGGTGCGTACGATTTACCCTTTTGACAGATTTGCTCATACAAATAAATCCAGAAGCTTTAGATTCTTCCTCACGCACAATCTCTTCGCTTTTTCCCGTAATTTTTCTCGTCTTGTCAATGTCATTTATATCAAGTTCAGGTACAGCATCGAGTAATACGTCCAAGTTTACTTGATCAGAATCGCATTGAGTTTTAAAACTCGTCCACGTTCAACACGATCACTTTTTTCTATTTCTCTTCTGCCTGTAGGCCCAATTTTCAGATAATCTTTATCGCTACTGTGGGATAAATTCTGCAAGTATCTTGTATTTCGATGGCTTTGGTTAGCAGCCATCTTAGTTTCCCTGCGTCATGTTGCTATGGTAATTAGTTACCATGGTAACCACTGTATAGTGAAGTAGTATTGTGTGTACTGTTTGTACCAGTGGTTTGTACAGTTGATACTGTTCCTGTTTCGCCGATTCTTTTTTATTTTAAGCACATAAATGATTCGCGATTCATGTGGACACTGCATATATAGCAAGTGGTTTCTCTAATGCATGTGAAATTACATGGTTTATGAATTTTCTCTCTGCGCTGGTAAAGAAGCATCCATTACGGACAAAATCTCACACTGACACATAAATGATCATTCTGTACATTTTTAAAATTACATGTACTTGGAACATTCAAGAGTCATACATATGGAACATTGAACAACCTAAAAATATTCAAAAATGTGCCTTGCTGTTTTACTGTTCTTGTCGCGTCCGTGTGCCCCACACCAATGACACCGTGAACTGTTTAACTGGCGGTAAAAATATGACTTATTTCACCATGTGGGGGGAGGGGTTATGGGAGACATTTGTAGTTTTATCAACGAATACGTAGCCATAGTCCTCCATGTGCTTTTTAGTCGCAGTCTTTTTCTGTCTTCATGTTTTGGGAGATAGATTTTTGATGAAAATTTGCTCTTTGTACATGTTTTTAGTAAGTGCTTATTCTTCTAACCAATTTTATAAAACTTTGCAATATTCTTTGAAGTATCTAGACTTTAGGCTGTAGCCAAGGAATGTAGTTACCTATGTTATAGCGTCAATAAATGTGAAAGGTGGAGGTCGAAGAAAAAAGTGGGGATCTGTCTCTGAAATTAACAGGGTGACGGGCATATGGCATAATTGCTTTTATCGGTACAGATGAGTTCTCCATTTTTTGTATGCACGTACTGAATAAAGAGTGCACAGTGGATACTTGCAAATGTTAATCTTTATTGAGTATTCAAAATTGCTCGCTTGTAACTTTTCAGTTAAGATTTGTGCTATAATCCAATTTACGTTTTTAATAACTTTTGTCGTGCCATAAATTTTTGTTCGTAAATTGGGATGCATTCGCCTCATAACATTCTTAAACTAGTGGGTTAGCAAACTTAATAATTGCTGATGGCTCACCCTGAACTGCTAGTTGGTATACTATACGTATTAAGGAGAAATGCACGTTTCCTATTTCAATTTTTTTGAGAATTGTAAACTATACAATTACTCAAGTAAAGCATTGTCTATCACTCTGTGTTCAACAGTAATTTTCTTTTCATGATAGATAGAAATCGTGAAAGTAAAAACTAACAACAAATGTTGTCCTTTGAATTTTGTAGATTAATATAATCTTTATTTTAGAAGAGTAATCAAACTTGGCGATACTGCACATGAAGAAAGCATGAACTTGTACCACTTGATTTTTTTAGAAGCCTGTACGTCATTCGAGAGCATTAACTCAAGTAGAAATTCGGATTGTACTGATAGCATGCTTCTTGTATTCGTTAATGGTATGGGCGGAAAATCTTATCAACAGTATCTGTCAATGTGTTATCTCACATTTCGTCTCGTTAAACTAAGCTTGTTTGCCCTTGTTACCTTGATAAATCTATTTTGTTTAGTGTTGCTGCTGAATTTTGTGTATTGTTAGAAATTTCATTATCCTATTCCTTTGTTATCCTTTTACATTCAAATCAAGCTGCGATGTTCAATTATTCATACGTAACTCTCACACATTGTGCCATTTAAGGCACTTCTTGCATTTGTGAGTAAAAATTTTTTTTGTATTGGATGAAGTTTCAAGCGTTTTAAAGTTTGTTTTTGAATTAGTGTCAAAAACAATATTTTCAGCATACTCATCGAATGTGTAAAAACCATGTGTTCAAGGTATTTTCCAGTGACTTATATAAGGTTTTGCCAAAACAATCCAAACATTCATTTCCTATACTTTTTTTTGCCCCTTTTCCAAAAGACCATGCACTGTATGAATTCAACAACACTTTTTTGGCGATCTTAGGAGTGGCAACGATGTTTATTTTCTTCTCAATTTCTTCACATATTATCATTGGTTCTATGAGCTACGAAAAGGTGTAAATGGTGTTTGATTACAATTTACTGTGTCAATTAGGAATGAAGGCATATTCATTTACGATTAATTGTTTCAATTATAACATGAACTAGTGATTGTTTCATCTCGTTTTACAACGACTACGTGCAATATGTTCTGAGTGACGAATACCGACATACACAGTATATACTTTTAAATTTAATAAATTAAGCAAAAACCAAGCAGTTATTTTCGAGTGATGCATTAATCCTATTTAATTGTTAAATTTTTGTTTCGTCACCAGTTTTTATTAATGATGTTATGAGGGTATAATAACTTCTCACTCTGTTTACTTGGATTAGAAACTACCTTATTGCATTGTGTTAAGAACACAATGATCAAATAAATGAATGTTTCATAAAATAAAAATCAAATAAAGTAAAACCTAAGAGCATGCAGTAGTTTATCGTAAAAACGTTCATGAAATAAGTTATTGCTTCATTAGTTGCTTTCTCTGTTGATTGGATATTTTTATCAGACTTCATCAACGCTATATTAACGTCAGTTATGCGAGCGAACATTTCCACTTTTGCTCCTACTGCAGTTAGGTGCCTAAAACTTGCGCAACTTTAAAGATGGCGTCTTCACGTGATGGAGCGCAAGATTTTTGTTTATTTTTTTCGGTAACATGTTATTCTCAATTTCTCAATTATATGTTTGTGTAACGGTATTTAACTCCGCTATCGTTATATATTTCCTAAATCATACGTTTATACTTTTTGTTACCTATTTATATCAATCAGCGAGATAAGTAGGAAAGGACATGTACAAACTAGCATTTCCCTCCACTGTCTTTAACATGGTTCACACGAGTGAAATAAACAAAAGCATAAGCAATGACAAAATCCCAAAGAAAGACATTAAAGGAAGCATGTAGACCAGAATGTGGTTGAGGTAAGTACCACCTGCGGCCGGAGAAAATAAAATGCATACTTTCTGGTAGGTATTAGTATTGGCTCCAGTGTATGGAATCCTGATAGTAAACAGGGATCTGTGGGTGCGTTTGTAGCCAAAGGGAAGTTTCTTTATACGCAGTTGCATCATTAATAAGCTAGTTTTTCTACAATAAACACAACATACTATATTTAACTGATCCATTTTTAAATATATATGTTGACCACATCAATGTCATAGTGCAACGAACAATTAATTTTATAAAATACCCATGCATATTGGTTGCCCAAAATAACAGTGTTATTTAAATAATGGTAATTAAGAACGTTTACTCAAAGTTACTATGTTGTCAATTGTAATTTATTTAAGTAGAAGCATCATGAAAAGCATTTTACAATTTAGAAATTTAACTTGAAGCAATTTAGTTTTCGTCGTTGTCAGTATTACTATGTTTTGAGTTATATTTTGGCATCCACCCACCCTTACGTTGAAACCTTAAGCTAAGCTACCTATGGTTGATTAGATGACGCCATAGCTTAGACGCTAATGTGGGAAACTGCAACACAGATGAACTGTGGAGTGAAGTGGGAAGGGGGGGTGTAGCAAATGGAGATAATTATCAATGTATACTGATTCTTTATGGTAACAATGGCGCTCTTCTTATGGTAACAAGAAAGACACACATTTTTCTAGAAGGGCAAGTCTATAATGTGATTGATTCCAGTTAACTATTACCAGTTGAAATGCTATGCTGAGTGTTGGATTACATTCAAAAATCTTCCAAAAAGTTTCTTTTCTCGTTTGACAATTATAAATCAATGACATTTCTTATCAAAATAACTAATGTATCAGTATCTTCAGGTGGCTACCAAAGAATGATATTTTGATTTGGAGATCTTGACAGTGCGTGTTTACTATGCAGAGCAACAAGATTATTTGGAACACAGCATTTTTCAGTTGTGAGTTTGATATACTCATTTTCCGTTAAAATGCACATTTCTTCACGCACCGAAATTTCAAGGACTTTTACTTCATCCTAAACAATGACTTCCTTCATCAAAAGCATGAGCCTCGTTTGTTCTTGCTGTTTTTTTCATTCATGCGATTGAATTAACACTTTCCAAGGGAAAAAAAAAACATTTAATTGATCGCCTCAATCAAAGATACCTGATTAACTACTTTACCGCGTGTTTAAGTAAGACACGTTTAAAAACGAGGCTAGTGTCCTTGATAAAGAAAGTGATTGTAAAGAAATTAGTGTTGGAAATACTAGCGTATGAAGTAAAATCATATTGTGTTCAAAACGGCTCATCTGAAGGCTGATACAACGGTTATTTAGCATTTCCAAATCAAAACGTTAGCTTAAGTCTGTTGATTGGAAACTGTAATGAGGAGAAAGACCAATGTCTGACTGTTTTTGGTAATGGGAAAATTAGAAGAAGACCCATGTTTGGTGATGAACATGGATTTCCGGATAAAAGAATGTCTCATAGTTTTCGAGCATTCATCGGCATTGATTACTTTTCTCATGGTTTTTTGAAAACAAAAGAAGCTTGTTGAAAGATTAAGAATTAATTCCAAAATTCTCGAAAGCATTCCAACTCCTCGTAATAAACTGGAATCTAATTAAGTGACCTTTATGGATACTGAAAGAAAAGTGTGAACTTTACTCGATGATTCTGAGGAATAACAGCAAAGATTTGCATATAGTTTATTTTTGCTTTTTTACCTCCTGTCAATCCATTGAGGCAGCTTCACAAATACAGTGTAAGCTTTGTAGCCAAGATCTAGAGGTTATTAAAGCAAGCTCAGGTAGCTATGCTTGATGTTTCAGCACTGTGCTGTGAATTCAAATGTCTTTTGAAAGAAGTTGCAAACAATATTATAGAAATACTAGCTACTTGTTCCAATTTGCTTAGAAAGCAAAGATTTATTTCAGAAAGATGAAGAAACTGATGATGAAGAAAAATAATTTTTTGAGTTCAAATTTAAAAAATGCTTTTCGTAATGTATCACTTTAAGCTACATTATAGTAATCGTGCGTGAATGTGTGTAATAATAATTGTATAATTACTTTGCCAATTTGAGTAAAATGTGTATTGTTTTTTATGAAAATGAATTTTAAGAGCATTGTGCTGGATATAGATTTAGTTTACATGTGTTTAAAATAGATCAATGAAAACGAAATCGTTGTGCTTACGATAACAGACTAATTATAGCTCATTAATGATTCAACTAAGAAAAAAGAAACTTCCCCCTGCTACAAACGCAGGGATTTGAATTAGATGAAAGGATATTTAAATCTCGGAACTTCATATCCAGTAGAAAACACCGCGCGATCATGCTCTAAACCCTACTTATAAATTATCATAACAATGAATTTTCATTTTTCAATATATATAATTTGAATGTCTAGCTGGAGATGATATAACAGACGCACTAAGAGTAACGTGAGCAACAAACGAAGCAGTCGAAAGCAATACTTCGTTTTAAAAGCAGTACTTGGTTTTAAAAGCAACGTATGGTCTTGCAGCTGCAATGAAAGCGAATGTCAATTGAAATAAGTCTAGCTTCCTAAGGTTGTAGTGGGCGATTATACTCAGAGGTTTGGTGATGGATAACACTGGGAAGGTTGTGGATTAAGATTTCATCGTAAAGAACATTTCTGCAACCTACGAATTTTGCTCAAATAAGGCAACGTTCATTTACTTATTTTTTTTTGGTCAATGTTATTTACCGAAACAAAGCTGAGAAGGAAAAAATTGATCGAGGTCTGAATAGCTCTTGATATTATACAAAAGCCGATTTCAATAACTATTTTATTATACAATCATAAATGCAGAAGCTTTTAAAATAATTTATGCAGAAATTTTTCATGCCTTGACATAAAATAATTTTAGCGGTTCGCTTTCGTCTATTTTATGTAAATAACAAGGGAAAACTCTCCTGGCTGACAGTGTGACCCTTTATCATCAATAATTTGAGTCAAAACAGTTTGATAAACAATTACAAATCTCAAGTAAGATTCCACCATTGTACATTTTGTGTTTTCAGTTGTCCTAAAAATTATACGTCGCCAACAAATAATTTTAAAAGTCGTTGTAGCGAACAAGACAGAGTATTATCCGAAGACTTTTAGCGAATTACACTCGAGATTGCAACAACACATAGTAAAATATAAATGACCTTTATTGGATGAGACTCAGCATGATATGAAGAAATATTCAGGCCAAGGTCAATGCTATTTGCGGAAGGGAAATTGAGTAAACCATCATTGTATAATTGTCTATATTGATTTGTTGAGAGTACGCATCAAAAGATTGCCCCATCATTGTATAATAATAATCTTTAGAGACTATATACACAATGGTATTGAAGTGAGATTGATCATTGTATAATAATTTAGCTATCTATGGATTTGTTCAGTTCAGAGTTCTCTCCCGAAGATTCCTCGTATAGTTAAAATTTTCAAAGTTTTACAATATTATTATTAATAAGCTTCCTATACGTCCGTAGTTTGTAATGTAATTTGATTTCTTGTCAATGTGTATAAGCTTTCTATATGTCCATAGTTTGTAACTTGATTTCTTGTTAATGTGTTTTAATTATTAAATAAATTTTCGTAATGTTTTTTGTCGTAGCCAATCGTAAATGGACAACCCCTTCTCCAGTTACGCATATTTTTAATGCTGGCCAAGAAAGACTGTTAGTGCAAGGCTTCACGCAGATTCTGAAAGTCAAGAGATAGATTTATTCCTCGCACTCTAAGTACTCTTCAGCTGTAGTGATATTTTAAAAACTCTCTTAGATTTTGTCCGTACAAGATGAAATGTATACTCTTGTTCAAAATCATCTGGGGATCTTTTCTTCTGGAATTTTTCAGTAAGTGCGTTCATCACTTTTATTAATTATAAATCGAATATTTTAAATAAAATGTTCTTGCTATCATCATGATTAGTTGGCTGGCGTTATTGAGCGCAATATTTCTACTCGAGATGTATTTCAGCGGTAGCTCAAATTTATCTCTATATCCACGTATATTGATGCAATCTGGATCTAATGATACATGAACATTGTACAGCTCTAAGTAATCTTCTGATTATTGACTTTCTGAAGATTTATTTTTTGAAATCATTAGATTTGATTATTGTTTCCCACATAATTCACATTATTGCATTACATTTAGATGCATCGCATATAATTCTTTTTATGTAGACTTCGAAGTCACTTCAGCGTCAAATATATATGTCTCAAGGGCTAAAGGTCATGATTCTGCTTCATGTGGCTCCTACAGTCGCCCGTGTTATTCAATATCACATGGTGTTTCTGTAGCAGGTAATGCATCAAAAATTCTTATCGATTCTACAAACACAAAAATATCTCCATATGATTGTAAATCATTCCAAAGAAGACACCAAGGTATTTACGTCACGAAGAATTTGACATTTGTCAGTGACGGTCCGTCACTTTGTCGTATTTCATGCAAAAGTGGTTTTAACTGGTTTATAGACGGCAGAGAAAATGCCTCTCCAATGATCATCGGTTTTATCAGAATCTTCTTTGAAAATACACAAGTACATTTAGTGGATTCGTCTGCCATTTTTACTCAGTGCGTGTTTTACAAAACTAAAAAACTTGCAGTGAATTTTACAGCATATAATCAGAACCTGACAAGTTTAGTTTTTCAAAATGTTCAATTCGAAGCAAATGAAGCATGTATTTCAGTAAAGATGTGGTCAAAGGATACAAACACTCTAACGAGCAGCATTATATTTAAAAATTCACAATTTATAGGAAATGGCATTAGATGGATTCCAATTTTAATGTCGCCTCCTTGGAGCGTTTTAAGCATAGATAACTTTGGAAAACATGCTGTAGAGTTGCACGTGCAAAATACAAGTTTTGTTAATAACTATGTTCGTTCAATGGGAATGATATACGTAAGTACTAATCACTTAAAACTTACTGTAATGGAGAAAAGCAATTTAGTAGATAATGGATTGCAAGACATGACCAACACGTTTACTCACAGCCTCTTTGTTTTAAATACTGAAACGACGTCCATTGTGATAGCAGACACGCAGGTAAAAAGGAACAAACAACTACTTTTTTCAATCAGCTCAACAAGAACAGAAATCTTTATTACTCACACACAAGTAGATAACTATACAATCAACAAAGATAGTGGAGGGATATTTTATATAGAAAGTGAAATGATGCAGTTGGTAATGAACAACTGTGTGATAAGTAATGGACGATCGATGTTTCATGGTGGATTTCTCTATGTTCACGCAAGGAATGTTAGTGCACATATTGAAAATTCTAATTTTACAAACTTGAAAACTAGTGGCGATGGTGGTGTGATGTATATATCGAAAAGCAGAGTTGCAAATATGTTTGTAACTGTAAAGATAAAGATACTCAGTTCAAATTTCACATCTAATACAGCTAATTTTGGAGGAGTTCTGCGGCTGCCACAAAAGTTTAAAATCTGGATTCATAACTCTACATTCATTTCAAATAATGCATATTGTGGTGGGGTTGTATCCTCCGACAACGTTTTATATGCAAAAATACACATCGATAAATCATTGTTTCACAAGAACTTTGTAGGAAATATGGGTGGATGCTTACATCTTGATGGTTATACAAAAAATGATAGTTATCTATTTTTAAGTGGAAATAACTCAAATTTTACGGAAAATAAAGCTGAATATGATGGAGGTGTGTTCTCGTTGGCATCATCAGCCGTTTACTTGGAGCTCTCGTGTTCAATATTTGAGTACAATCTTGCAGAAAAAGGCCACGGAGGCACCATTTCAATTATTATATTTTTAAACAACTCAGTTACATTGTTAGCCAATCACACAAAATTTACTGGAAATAGCGCCTTGGTTGGTGGAGCAATATTCATCACTAATTTTTCAAAGGGAACAAGAACGATGATTGTTATGAATAATGTCTCTTTTTCTCATAATTCTGCATCCTATGGACAAGCAGGAGGAGGTGGGATTTGTATTCAAAATGAAGGAATACAGACTTTAGTGTCGTTTTCAATTTCGATAGAAAGAAGCATTTTTGAGAAAAATCGTGGGAATTCTGGAGGTGCCATATATTTACAGAGTTTTAATGGCGAATTTTTGTGCAAGCATTCAGTTTTTAAATCAAACAATGCGACTTATGTTCACGGTGGAGCATTCTACTTCTTTAATTCCAATTCAACGATAAACATATTCAACACAACCTTTGAAAATAACACAAGTATTAAAAATGCTGGAGGTGCAATGTATCTAGAAATTAATTATGGAAGTACGATTCATGTCGATGAGTCAGTATTTAAACACAATGAAGCAATTTATAACATGGGTGGTGGCATGGCGATAAATACTAAAGGTGATATTTTGAAAAATCCTCAATGTAAACAAGATATTGTGCGCTTATGGGATTACAACAATTCTGTAACGATAAAGAACACGAAGTTTATTGAAAATTCTGCCCGAAATGGTGGTGCAGTCTCCATAAAAAACGGAATAATATATTTCAATAATTGTCATTTTGTCAACAATTTTGCAGATGACGCTGGTCATATTAACTATGATGGACTGTACAGCGAAGGACCGTTCATTTTACACAATACTACCGCATTACAAGAAATACAGTCATATAATCCTTTGGTCTCGATTGCAAATGGCGGGATAGTGGATTTTGATAATTTTACAATGTTGCGTTGCCCAGTTGGATCACAGATAGAAATGTTGAATCTCTCTTATAACAAATGGATAAATAGTCCTTGTACATACCACGTCACTATACTTCGCTTTGTATGTAAACAATGTTATCCAGGCACGTATAGCTTACAGCGGGGTCACACATTAGGATTGAAACCAGTTCATCCATTTTCTTGTCTACCTTGTCCAATTGGAGCCGAATGTTACACAACCATCAAATCAAAGCCAAACTTCTGGGGATATTTGATCAAGAAAAATAAGCAATCTTTAAAATTTACCAGATGTCCTGATGGTTATTGTCTTGGAGGCTTTGCAAACCCAAAATACGACAGCTACAACATGTGCCAAGGAAAGCGTAAAGGTTGGATTTGCGGTCATTGCTCTCCCGGTTACAGTGAAACTGTATTGTCAACAAATTGTAAATTGACAGAAAAATGTTTTGATTATTGGTTTTGGGTTGTGTTTATCGTATTGGCGTTCATCATGGCTTTGTATTTTATATTTCAACCACCGATTGTCACTTTTCTAGTAAAACAGATATTGTGGTTCAAAAATGAAAGAAAAATAACTAAACACCTGAGCGAGAACACCAGAAGATCATTACGGTCAACAGAGATGCAGAGAAGCAATTCTCCGTTTGTCCTCTCCACTGAAGAAATTGAAAACGAAAGGAAGGATTCCGTAGGATTTCTTGAAATTATTTTCTATTTCTATCAGATTTCTTCCTTACTGCAAACAGATACAAACATAAAGCACCTTTTGAAAGCCCAAATAATTATTCCTGTTCAGAGATTTTTCAATTTTCAGGGAGTTCATTTCGAAGGTGTATGTCCAATACCTGGTCTCACAGCAACTGGAAAACATTTGTTTGATGTTGCACCAGTATTTGGAACTTTACTTGCCATATACTTTATCTACAGTCTTCACTTTTTCATAAGTAAGATCTTTCGTGCATACACTCCAAAATTTAAACGTTACCTGGGGGCAACAATGCAAACCATTCTCCTAGGATATATAAAAATTGCCAACATTAGTCTTGCACTAATTCAATGCGTTCCCATTAACTCTGACCGTCGTTGGTTTTATGATGGTAACATATTATGCTACCAATGGTGGCAGATAGTGTTCATTGCATTTGACGTTGTTGTATTATTTCCCTTCTTCCTGGTGTTAGCCTGGCTTGCCGTGAAATTGCACAATGGAATGATTTCAACAAAGCAATTCTTTCTCGCTTGTGTTGTACCACTTCCTTTTTCCATTTTTTGGTCTTTACAGTATCTCTTGCAATGGTTCAGTATTTATCGAAGTCCTGTAAACAGGACAGTAAACACTACTGAGTATACAGATACGCTGAAATCCATCTTTCTCGCTCCATTTCGCAAGCCTGAAGAGGGAAAGACAGGTGCTGTCTACTGGCAGAGCATTTATATTGCACGACGTTTTCTCTTGACATTTCTTAGTTGTTTTATCACTGATCCCACTTTACGACTCATGTGCATGGCAATCATCTGTGTGCTGGCGTTATTACATCATAAATGTGTGAAACCATTCCAAAACCCTCGTGCCAACACAGCGGAAACCATTTCTCTACTAAGTCTTGCAGTAATGGCTATCATTAATATGGGCAAATCAATTTACAGATTTTCCAAAGAAGATGTTAGTACAGGATGGATGTTTGTATTTCCAACACTTGATATTATCGAGATGATAATGTTAGGTTTCATACCTTTAATATTTGTTCTTTTGTTTGTATTTGGGATATTATCATTGATGGTACGTTTGGTTTTCATGGCCATCGCCACCATACATAGAAGAATGCACCGCCATGACCCAACATACGATGAATTGTTGAACGATAACCATGAGGAAAACTGAGAGGAATTTTTTTAAATTAGAGTACTTTAATGAATTTGCGCACAATAATTTATATGATTTTACTCAATGATTTAACTCTACTTGTGCAATTTATATAATTACTTATGATTTTACTATATTTAATGGTTTGACTAAGCTTAATGAATTGACTATGTATTAAAATTTGTTCAAATAGCTTTAAATTGTGTTTTTGATCATTTTCATTTTTAATGAATATTGTTGGTACAAACGAACGATGTAAATTACATGTTTGAGGATTAAGTGAAGTAGAAATGTCATTTATAGTTAGTTGTAAAGGAGAAAAAATTCATTTAAATGTTTTAATCGAACCTTACATCAAGAATATACATAAGAAAGCCCAGATTGAACGATAACAAATACTTTTTTCTGAACCAGTTGCAGGTGCAGGGTAAGTCAGAATACAAACTCAAAATAACTACAACTCAACATAATTACACATTACAAATTCAAAATACTACAACAAGTGCTGAAAAATTTAAAGTAATGTACTCTGACTTACCTCATAACTTCCTTCAGTAGTAATTTAGTTTCCTTTCAAGCCTTGGAGTCATGCTTCCTGAGATGCGGAATGCAATGGAATGATTTTGTTGATCGTAGTTTTTGAACTTTAGGTGTTTGATTTCGTAGAAGATATTCTCGATTCAAAGTCTTTGTTGGCTTCACTGATTCAAGGCGACGTAATATAGCCTAAGTAAAATATGAAAGATCATAAAATTTCACGAGTGCTACAGTCACACAACTAGTTTGCTTTTATCATAAAGAACAATGTTAGACTACGAAAATATTGCGCCATTCTTTTTTGTCCACAAAAAAAAATTAATGTTTACCTGATTTTCCTCGTCTATTCTTCTTTGAAACTTTTTTCTGTTGACTTCTGAAGAGGTTTTCACACGAACAGAATGATTTCCACCAAGTGCAGTTTTCGAGGCTGAGCTCGGTCGAGGATGACTGATATTTCTCAAAAGTCTTTGATTCTCCAAGTCAATAGCAACAACTTCGTCATTCCGAAAGGAAAAGTTTTGCTTATTTTCACGCAGATTTCTTTTCTCGGGTGCGTACGATTTACCCTTTGACAGATTTACTCATACAAATAAATCCAGAAGCTTTAGATTCTTCCTCACGCACAATCTCTTCGCTTTTTCCCGTCATTTTTCTCGACTTGTCAATGTCATTTATATCAAGTTCAGGTACAGCATCGAGTAATACGTCCAAGTTTACTTGATCAGAATCGCATTTTTTAAAACTCGTCCACGTTCAACACGATCATTTTTTTCTATTTCTCTTCTGCCTGTACGCCCAATTTTCAGATAATCTTTATCGCTACTGTGGGATAAATTCTTCAAGTATCTTGTATTTTGATGGCTTTGGTTAGCAGCCATCTTAGTTTCTGTGTCATGTTGCTAAGGTAATTAGTTATCATGGTAACCACTGTATAGTGTAGTAGTATTGTGTGTACTGTTTGTGCCAGTGGTTTGTATAGTTGATACTGTTCCTGTTTCGCCGATTCTTTTTTATTTTGAGCACATAAATGATCTGCGATTCATGTGGACACTGCATATATAGCATGTGGTTTCTCTAATGCATGTGAAATTACATGGTTTTTGAATTTTCTCTGCGCTGGTAAAGAAGCATACAATTACGGAAAAAATGCCACACTGACACATAAATGATAATTCTATACATTTTTAAAAATACATGTTCTTGGAACATTCAAGAGTCATACATATGGAACATTGAACAACCTAAGAATATTCAAAAAATGTACCTTTCTTTTTTACTGTTTTTGTCGCGTCCGTGTGCCCCACACCAATGACACATTGAACTGTTTTACTGGCGGTAGTAACTTGACTTATTTCACCAGGTGGACGGAGAGGGGTGAAGGGTGACATCTTTGGTTTTATCGACGAACTTGTAACCATAGTCCTCCGTGTGCTTTTCAGACGCAGTCTTTTTCTGTCTTCAGGTTTTGGGGGGGGAGGTGGATTTTAGATGAAAATTTGCCCTTTGTACTTGTTTTTAGTAAGTGCTTATTCTTCTAAACAATTTTATAAAATTTTGCATTATTCCCTGAAGTATCTAGATTTTAGGTTGTAGCCAAGGAACGTAGTTACCTATGTTATAGCGTCAATAAATGTGAAAGGTGGAGGTCGAAGAAAAAAGTTGGGATCTGTCTCTGAAGTTAACAGTGTGAAGGGCATATGGCATAATTGCTTTTATCGGTACAGATGAGTTCTTCATTTTTTCTATGCAAGTACTGAATAAAGAGTGCACACTGGATATTTGCAAATGTTAATCGTCATTGAGCATCCAAAATTGCTCACTTGGAACTTTTCAGTTAACAATTGTGCTATACTCCAATTTACGTTTTTTATCCCTTTTGTCGTGCCATAAATTTTTGTTTATAAATTAGGATGCATTCACTTCATAACACTCTTAAACTGGTGGGTTAGCAATCTTAACAAATGCCAATGACTTACCCTGAACTGCCGGTTGGTATACTATACGTATAAAGGAGAAATGCACGTTTAATATTTCAATCTTTTTGAGAACTGTAAACTATGCAATTACTCAAGTAAGGCATTGTCTATCACTCTGTGTTCGACAGTAATTTTCTTTTCATGATAGATAGAAATCGTGAAAGTAAAAACTAACAACAAATGTTGTCCTTTGAATTTTGTAGATTAATATAATCTCTATTTTAGAAGAGTAATCAAACTTGGCGATACTGTGAATGAAGAAAGCATGAACTTGTACCAATTGATTTTTTTTAAAGCCTGTACGTCATTCGAGAGCATTAACTCAAGTAGTAATTCGGATTGTACTGATAGCATGCTTCTTGTATTCGTTAATGGTATGGGCGGAAAATCTTATCAACAGTATCTGTCAATGTGTTATCTCACATTTCGTCTCGTCAAACTAAGCCTTTTTGCCCTTCTTACTTTGACAAATCTTATTTTGTTTAGTGTTGCTGCTGAACTTTGTGTATTATTAGAAACTGCATTATCGTATCCCGTTGACATCCTTTTACATTCAGATCAAGCTGCAATGTTCAAATGTTCATATGTAGCTCTCACATATTGTGCCATTTAAGGCACTTCTTGCATTTGTGAATCAAAAATGTTCTTTGTATTGAATGAAGTTTAAAGCGTTTTAAAGTTTGTTTTTGAATTAGTGTCAAAAACAATATTTTTAGCATACTCATCAAATGTGTAAAAACCATGTGTTCAAGCTATTTTCCAGTGACTTATATAAGGTTTCGCCAAAGCAATCGAAACATTCATTTCCTATACTTTTTTGCATCTTTTCCAAAAGACCATCCACTGTATGAATTCATTAACACTTTTTTGACGAACTTAGGAGTGGCAACGATATTTAATTTCTTCTGAATTTCTTCACATACAATCATTGATTCTATGAGCTACGAAAAGGTGTAAATGGGTGTTTGATTACAATTTACTGTGTCAATTAGAAATGAAGGCATATTCATTTACAATTAATTGTTTCAATTATAACATGAACTAGTGATTGTTTCATCTTGTTTTTACAACGACTACGTGCAATATGTTCTGACTGACGAATACCGACATATACAGTATATACTTTTAAAATGAATAAATTAAGCAAACACCAAGCAGTTATTTTCGAGTGATACATTGATCCTATTTAATTGTTAAATTTTAATTTCGTCACCAGTTTTTATTAATGATGTTATGAGGGTATAATTACTTCTCACTCTATTTACTTGGATTAGAAACTTCATTATTGCATTGTGTTAAAAACACAATTATCAAATAAATGAATGTTTCATAAAATAAAAAGCAAATAAAGTAGAATCTAAGAGCATGCAGTAGTTTATCGTAAAAACGTTCATGAAATAAGTTATTGCTTCATTAGTTGCTTTTTCTGTTGATTGGATATTTTTATTAGACATCATTAACGCTATATTAACGTCAGTTATACCAGCGAACATTTCCATTTTTGCTTCTACTGCATTTAAGCATTGACATGAAGTGCCTAAACCTTGCGCACTTTTAAAGAAAGCGTCTTGACATGATGGAGCGCAAGATTTTTGTTTATTTTTTTCGGTAACATGTTATTCTCAATTTCTCAATTATATATTTGTGTAACGGTATTTAACTCCGCTATCGTTATATATTTCCTAAATCATACGTTTATACTTTTTGTTACCTATTTGTATCAATCAGCGAGATAAGTAGCAAAGGACATGTACAAACTAGCAGTTCCCTCTATTGTCTTTAACATGGTTCAAACGAGTGAAATAAACAAAAGCATAAGCGAAGACAAAATCCCAAACAAAGACAGTAAAGGAAGTATGTACAGCAGAATATGGTTAAGGTAAGTACCACCTGCGGCCAGAGAAAATAAAATGCATACTTTCTGGTAGGTATTGGTATTGGCTCCAGTGTATGGAATCGTCATGATAAACAGGGATCTGTGGGTGCGTTTGTAGCCAAAGGAGAGTTTCTTTATACGTAGTTGCATCATTAATAGCTAATTTTTCTACAATAAACACAACATACTTTATTCCACTGATCCATATTTAAATATATATATTGACCACATCACAGTGCAACGAACAATTACTTTTATAAATTACCCATGCATATTGGTTTTCCAAAATAACACTGTTATTTAAATAATGGTAATTAAGCACGTTTACTCAAATTTACTATGTTGTAAATTGTAACTTATTTAAGTAGAAGCATCATGAAAAGCAATTTACAGATCAGAAATTTAACTTAAAGCAATTTAGTTTTCCTCGTTGTCAGTATTACTATGTTTTGAGTTATATTTTCGCATCCACCCACCTATACGTTGAAACATTAAGCTAAGCTACCTATGGTTGATTTGATGACGCCATGGCTTAGACGCTAATGTGGGAAACTGCAACACAGATGAACTGTGGAGTGGAGTGGGAAGGTGGGAGGTAGCAAATGGAGATAATTATCTATGTCTACTGATTCTTTATGGTAACAATGACGCTCTTCTGATGGTAACAAGAAAGATACACATTTTTTTAGAAGGGCAAGTCTATAATGTGTTTGATTCCAGTTAACTTTACCAGTTGAAAGGCTATTCTGAGTGTTGGATTGCATACAAAAATCTTCCAAAATTTCTTTTCTCGTTCGACAATTCTAAATCAATGACACATTGTTCTTTCTCCTTGTAACATATTCTTATCAAAATAACTAATGTATCAGTATCTTAAGGTGGCTACCAAAGAATGATATTTTGATTTGGACATCTTCCCAGTGGTGTTTACTATGCAGAACAACAAGATTATTTGGAACACAGCATTTTTCAGTTGTGAGTTTGATCAACTCATTTTCGGTCGAAATGCACATTTCTTCACACTTAAAATTTCAAGGACTTTTACTTGGTCCTAAACAATGATTTCCTTTATCATTAGCATGAGCCTCGTTTGTTCTTGCTGTTTTTTTCATTCATAAGATTGAACTAACATTTTCCAAGGAAAGAAAAACATTTAATCGGTCGCCTCAATCAAAGATACCTGATTAGCTACTTTACCGAGTGTTTCAAGAAAGACACGTATAAAATCGAGGCTAATGTCCTTGATAAAGAAAAGATTGTACAGAAATTAGTGTTGGAAATACTAGCGTATGAAGTTAAACCATATTGTGTTCAAAACAGCTCATCTGAAGGCTGATACAACGGTTATTTAGCATCTCCTAATCAAAACGTTATCTTAACTCTGTTGTTTCTGACTGTTTTTGGAAATGGGAAAAACAAAAGAAGACCCATGTTTGGTGATGAACATGGATTTCGGTATAAAAGAATGTCTCATATTTTTCGAGCATTAATCGGCATTGATTACTTTTCTCATGGTTTTTTGAAAACAAAGAAGCTTGTTGAGAGATTAAGAATTTATTCCAAAATTCTGGAAAGCATTCCAACTCCTCGGAATAAACTGGAATCTAATTTGAGTAACCTTCATGGATACTGAAAGAAAAGTGTGTACTTTACTCGATGATTCTGAGGAATAACAGCAAAGATTTGCATGTAATTTAATTTTGCTTTTTTATCTCCTGTCAATCCATTGAGGCAGCTTCACAAATACAGTGTAAGCTTTATAGCCAAGATCTAGAGGTTATTAAAGCAAGCTCAGGTAGCTATGCTTGATGTTTCAGCACTGTGCTGTGAATTCAAATGTCTTTTGAAAGAAGTTGCAAACAATATTATAGAAATACTAGCTACTTGTTCCAATTTGCTTAGAAAGTAAAGATTTATTTTAGAAAGATGAAGAAACTGATGATGAAGAAAAATAATTTTTTTTGAGTTCAAATTTAAAAAATGCTTTTCATAATGTATCACTTTAAGCTACATTATAGTAATCGTGCGTGAATGTGTGTAATAATAATTGTTTAATTAACTTTACCATTTTGAGTAAAATATGTATCATTTTTTATGAAAAATGAGTTTTAAGAGCACTGTGCTGGATAGAGATTTAGTTTACATGTATTTAAAATAGATCAATGAAAACAAAATCGTTGTGCTTACGATAATAGACTAATTATAGCTCATTAATTATTCAACTAAGAAAAAAGAAACTACCCCCTGCTACAAACGCATGGAATATAGAAACCTTCGAATTAGATGAAAGGATATTTGGTTCTCGGAACTTCATATCTCGTAGAAAACATCGCGTGATCATGCTCTAACCCCTTCTTATAAATTATCATAACAATAAACTTTCATTTTTCAATATATATAATTTGAATGTCTAGCTGGGGATGATATAACAGACGCACTAGGAGTAACGTGAGCAACAAACGAAGCAGTCGAAAGCACTACTTGATTTTAAAAGCAACGTATGGTCTTGCAACTGCAATGAAAGTGAATGTCAATGAAAATAAGTCTAGTTTTCTAAGGTTGTAGAGGGCGAGTATCTCAGAGGTTTGGTGATGGATGACACTGGGAAGATTGTGGATTAAGACTTCATCGTAAAGTACATTTCTGCAACCTACGAATTTTGCTCAAATAAGGCAACGTTCATTTACTTATTTTTTTTGGTCAATGTTATTTACCGAAGCGAAGCTGAGAAGGATAAAATTGATCAAGATCTGAATAGCTCTTGATACTATGCAAAAGCAGATATAACTATTTCAATAACTATTTTATTACACAATCATAAATGCAGACGCTTTTAAAATAATTTATGCAGAAATTTTTCATGCCTTGACATAAAATAATTTTAGCTGTTAGCTTTCGTCTATTTTATGTAAATACCAAGAGAAAACTCTCCTGGCTGACAGTGTGACCCTGTATCATTAATAATTTGAGTCAAAACCGTTTGTTAAACAATTACAAATCTCAAGTAAGATTCCACCATTGTATATTTTGTGTTTTCAGTTTTCCCAAAAAATATACGTCACCTACAAATAATTTTAAAAGTCGATGTTGCGAACAAGACAGAGAATTATCCGAAGAGTTTAAGCGAATTACAATCGAGATTGCAACAACACATAGTAAAATAGAAGTGACCTTTATTGGATGAGACTCAGCACATCAAGTAAAAAATAAGTGACCATCATTGTATAATTGACTGTATTGATTTGTTAAGAGTACGCATCCAAAGATTGCACCATCATTGTATAATAATAATCTTTAGAGACTATATACACAATGGTATTGAAGTGAGATTGATCATTGTATAATAATCTAGCTCTTTATTGATTTATCAGTTCAGAGTTCTCCCCGAAGATTCCTCGACACAAACAATAGTTAAAAGTTTTACAATATTATTATTATTAAGCTTCCTATACGTCCGTAGTTTGTAATGTAACTTGATTTCTTGTAAATGTGTATAAGCTTTCTATATGTCCGTAGTTTGTAACTTGATTTCTTGTAAATTTGTTTTAATTATTAAATAAATTTTTGTAATGTTTTTTGTCGCGACCCCTCGTAAATGGACAACCCCTTCTCCAGTTACGCTATTGATTGACTGCTGCATATTTTTAATGCCGGCCAAGAAAGACTGTTAGTGCAAGGCTCAACGCAGATTCTGAAAGTCAAGAGATAGATTCATTTCTCGCACTCTAAGTACTCTTCAGCTGTAGTGATATTTTAAAAACTTTCTTAGATTTTGTCCGTAGAAGATGAAATATATACTCTTGTTCAAAATCATCTGGGGATCTTTCCTTCTGGAATTTTTCAGTAAGTGCGTTCGTCACTTTGATTAATTATAAATCGAATATTTTAAATAAAATGTTCTTGCTATCATCATGATTAGTTGGCTGGCGTTATTGAGCGCAATATTTCTACTCAAGATGTATTTCAGCGGTAGCTCAACTTTATCTCTATATCCACGTATATTGATGCAATCTGGATCTAATGATACATGAACATTGCACAGCTCTAAGTTATCTTCTGATTATTGACTTTCTAAAGATTTATTTTTTGAAATCATTAGACTTGATTATTGTTTCCACATAATTCACACTATTGCATTACAATTAGATGCATCGCATATAATTCTTTTTATGTAGACTTCGAAGTCACTTCAGCGTCAAATATATATGTCTCGAGGGCTAAAGGTCATGATTCTGCTTCATGTGGCTCCTACAGTCACCCGTGTTATTCAATATCACATGGTGTTTCTGTAGCAGGTAATGCATCAAAAATTCTTATCGATTCTACAAACACAAAAATATCTCCATATGATTGTAAATCATTCCAAAGAAGACACCAAGGTATTTACGTCACGAAGAATTTGACATTTGTCAGTGACGGTCCGTCACTTTGTCGTATTTCATGCAAAAGTGGTTTTAACTGGATTATAGACGGCAGAGAAAATGCCTCTCCAATGATCATTGGTTTTACCAGAATCTTCTTTGAAAATACACAAGTACATTTAGTGGATTCGTCTGCCATTTTTACTCAGTGCGTGTTTTACAAAACTAAAAAACTTGCAGTGAATTTTACAGTATATAATCGGAACCTGACAAGTTTAGTTTTTCAAAATGTTCAATTCGAAGCAAATGAAGCATGTATTTCAGTAAAGATGTGCTCAAAGGATACAAACACTCTAAGGAGCAGCATTATTTTTAAAAATTCACAATTCATAGAAAATGGCATCAGACGTATTCCAATTTTAATGTCGCCTTCTTGGAGTGTTTTAAGCATAGATAACTTTGGAAAACATGCTGTAGAGTTGCACGTGCAAAATACAAGTTTTGTTAATAACTATGTTCGTTCAATGGGAATGATATACGTAAGTACTAATCACTTAAAACTTGTTTTGGACAAAACTGATCTACAAAATAATGGTTTCAACGACACTAAGGCGTTTAACAGCCTCTTTGTTTTAAATACTGAAACGACGTCCATTGTGATAGCAGACACGCAGGTAAAAAGGAACAAACAGCGACTTTTTTCAATCAGCTCAACAAGAACAGAAATCCTTATTACTCACACACTAGTAGATGACTATAGAGTTGGCAAAAATCATGGAGGGACATTTTATATAGAAAGTGAAATGATGCAGTTGGTAATGAACAACTGTGTGATAAGTAATGGACGATTGATGGTTCCATTTAATGGTGGATTTCTCTATGTTTACGCAAGGAATGTTAGTGTTCATATTGAAAATTCTAATTTTACAAACTTGAATATTGGCGGCGAAGGTGGTGTGATGTATATATCGACAAGTAAAGTTGCAAATATGTCTGTAACTGTAAAGATAAAGATACTCAGTTCAAATTTTATATCTAATACAGCTAATTTTGGAGGAGTTCTGCGGCTGCCACAAAAGTTCAAAATCTGGATTCATAACTCAACATTCATTTCAAATAATGCACATAATAGTGGTGGGGTTTTATGCTCCTACAACCTTTTCTATGCAAAAATACACATCGATAAATCATTGTTTTACAAAAACTTTGCAGAAATTAAGGGTGGATGCTTAGATCTTGATAGTAAAACGGAAAATGATGTTTATTTATTTTTAAGTGGAAATAACTCAAATTTTACGGAAAATACTGCTGGATGGGGGGGAGGCGTGTTCATGTTGACATCATCAGCCGTTTACTTGGAGCTCTCGTATTCATTATTTGAGGACAATAATGTACAAGTCTGCGGAGGCGCCATTGGAATTATTGAACCGTATACATTTTCAGCCAGTTCATTTACATTGTTAGCCAATCACACAAAATTTACTGGAAACAGCGCCATGAGTGGTGGAGCAATATGCATTAATACTATTGGAGGAAGAACAATGATTGGTATTAATAATGTCTCTTTTTTTCGTAATTCTGCATTAACCGGAGGAATAGGAGGTGGAGGTGGGATTTTGTATCGAAATAGAGGAATACAGAATTTAGCGTCGTTTTCAATTTCGATAGAAAGAAGCTTTTTCGAGAAAAATAATGGGAGTTCTGGAGGTGTCATATATTTACATGGTGTTAATGGCAAATTTTTGTGCAAGCATTCAGTTTTTAAATCAAACAATGCAACTTATGGTCCAGGTGGAGCATTCTACTTCTTTATTTCCAATTTAACGATAAACATATTCAACACAACATTTGAAAATAACACAAGTAATAAAAATGCTGGAGGTGCAATGTATCTAGACATTAATCATGGAAGTACGATTCACGTCGACGAGTCAGTATTTAAATACAATGAAGCAATTTATGACATGGGTGGTGGCATGAGGATAATTACTGAAGGTGATACTTTGAAAAATCCTCAATGTAAAAAAGATACTGTGCGCTTATGGGATTACAGCAATTCTGTAACGATAAAGAACACGAATTTTAGTGAAAATTTTGCCCGAATTGGTGGTGCAGTCTCCATGGAAAACGGAATAGTATATTTCAATAATTGTCACTTTGTCAACAATTTTGCATATGAAGGTGGTCATCTTATTATGTATGGCTCAAACAACTTAAATTTACTAAGTAGCACTTTTTACAACACAATAACTCATAATTCTTCCTATACTGAAACTTTCATGCATTCGTACAGCGAAGGACCGTTGATTTTACACAATACTACCGCGTTACAAGAAATACAGTCAGATAATCCTTTGGTCTTGATTGCAAATGGCGGGATTGTGGATTTTGATAATTTTACAATATTGCGTTGCCCAGTTGGATCAAAGATGAAAATGTTGAATCTCTCTTATAACAAATGGATAAATAGTTATTGTACATACCGCGTCACTATACTTCGCTTTGTATGTACACAATGTGATCCAGGCACGTATAGCTTACAGCAGGGTCACACATTAGGATTGAGACCAGTTCATCCATTTTCTTGTCTACCTTGTCCAAATGGAGCCGAGTGTTTAACAACAATCAAATCAAAGCCAAACTTCTGGGGATATTTGAGCAAGAAAAATAAGCCATCTTTAAAATTTACCAGATGTCCTGATGGTTATTGTCTTGGAGGCTCAAAAAACCAAAAACACGGCAACTACAACATGTGCCAAGGAAAGCGTAAAGGTTGGATTTGCGGTCATTGCTCTCCCGGTTACAGTGAAACTGTATTCTCGACAGATTGTAAATTGACAGAAAAATGTTTTGATTATTGGTTTTGGGTTGTGTTTATCGTATTGGCGTTCATCATGGCTTTGTATTTTATATTTCAACCACCGATTGTCACTTTTCTAGTAAAACAGATATTGTGGTTCAAAAATGAAAGAAAAATAACTGAACACCTGAGCGAGAACACCAGAAGATCATTACGGTCAACAGAGATGCAGAGAAGCGATTCTTTGTTTGTTCTCTCCACTGAAGAAATTGAAAACGAAAGGAAGGATTCCGTAGGATTTCTTGAAATTATTTCTATTTCTATCAGATTTCTTCCTTACTGCAAACAGATACAAACATAAAGCACCTTTTGAAAGCCCAAATAATTATTCCTGTTCAGAGATTTATCAATTTTCAGGGAGCTCATTTCGAAGGTGTATGTCCAATACCTGGTCTCACAGCAACTGGAAAACATTTGTTTGATGTTGCATTTGTATTTGGAACTTTACTTGCCATATACTTTATCTACAGTCTTCACTTTCTCATAAGTAAGGTCTTTCGTGCATACACTCCAAAATTTAAACGTTACCTGGGGGCAACAATGCAACCATTCTCCTAGGATATATAAAAATTGCCAACGTTAGTCTTGCACTAATTCAATGCGTTCCCATTAACTCTGACCGTCGTTGGTTTTATGATGGTAACATATTATGCTACCAATGGTGGCAGATAGTGTTCATTGCATTTGACGTTGTTGTATTATTTCCCTTCTTCCTGGTGTTAGCCTGGCTTGCCTTGAAATTGCACAATGGAATGATTTCAACAAAGCAATTCTTTCTTGCTTGTGTTGTTCCACTTCCTTTTTCCATTTTTTGGTCTTTACAGTATCTCTTGCAATGGTTAAGTATTTATCGAAGTCCTGTAAACAGGACAGTAAACAATACTGAGTATACAGATACGCTGAAATCCATCTTTCTGGCTCCATTTCGCAAGCCTGAAGAGGGAAAGTCAGGTGCTGTCTACTGGCAGAGCGTTCTTATTGCACGACGTTTTCTCTTGACATTTATTAGTTGTTTTATCACTGATCCCACTTTACGACTCATGTGCATGGCAATCATCTGTGTGCTGGCCTTATTACATCATAAATGTGTGAAACCATTCCAAAACCCTCGTGCCAACACAGCGGAAACCATTTCTCTACTAAGTCTTGTAGTACTGGCAAACATAAACATGTACAAATCATTTTACAGATTTTCCAAAGAAGATGTTAGTACAGGAATGATGTTCGTATTTCCAACACTTGATATTATCGAGATGATAATGTTATGTTTCATACCTGGAATATTGATTCTTTTGTTTGTATTAGGGATATCATCATTGATGGTACGTTTGGTTTTCATGGCCATCGCCACCATACGTAGAAAAATGCACCGCCATGACCCAACTTACGATGAACAGTTAAACGATAACCATGAAGAAAACTGAGAGGAAGAGACGATTTTTTAAATAAAATTGCGCACGATGATTTAAATGACTTTACTCAATGGTTTGACTATATACTTAGGCTTAATGAATTGACTATGTACTAAAATTTGTTCAAATAGCTTTAAATTGTCTTTTGATCATTTTCATTTTAATGAAATTAAAGTTTGAGGATTCAGTGAAGTAGAAATGTCAATTACAGTTTGTTGTAAACAAGAAAAAATAACTTAAATGTTTTAATTGAACCTTACATCAAGCATATACATAAGAAAGCCCAGATTGAACGATAACAAATACTTTTTTCTGAACCAGTTGCAGGTGCAGGGTAAGTCAGAATACAAACTCAAAATAACTACAACTTAACATAACTGCACATTACAAATTCAAAATACTACAACAAGTGAAAAATTTAAAGTAATGTACTCTGACTTACCTCATAACTTCCTTCAGTAGTAATTTAGTTTCCTTTCAAGCCTTGGAGTCATGCTTCCTGAGATGCGGAGTGCTATGGCATGATTTTGTTGATCGTAGTTTTTGAACTTTAGGTGTTTGATTTCGTAGAAGATATTCTCGATTCAAGTCTTTGTTGGCTTCACTGATTCAAGGCGACGTAATATAGCCTAAGTAAAATATGAAAGATCATAAATCTTCACTAATGCTACATCCACAAAACTAGTTTGCTTTTATCATAAAGAACAATGTTAGACTACGAAAATATTGCGCCATTCTTTTTTGTCCACAAAAAAATTAATGTTTACCTGATTTTTCTCGTCTATTCTTCTTTGAAACTTCTTTCTGTTGACTTTTGAAGAGGTTTTTACACGAACAGAATGATTTCTACCAAGTGCAGTTTTCGAGGCTGAGCTCGGTCGAGGATAACTGATCTTTCTCAAAAGACTTTGATTCGCCAAGTCAATAGCAACAACTTCGTCATTCCGAAAGGATAAGTTTTGCTTATTTTCACGCAGATTTGTTTTTCTCGGGTGCGTACGATTTACCCTTTTGACAGATTTACTCATACAAATAAATCCAGAAGCTTTAGATTCTTCCTCACGCACAATCTCTTCGCTTTTTCCCGTCATTTTTCTCGACTTGTCAATGTCATTTATATCAAGTTCAGGTACAGCATCGAGTAATACGTCCAAGTTTACTTGATCAGAATCGCATTGAGTTTTAAAAACTCGTGCACGTTCAACACGATCATTTTTTTCTATTTCTCTTCTGCCTGTACGCCCAATTTTCAGATAATCTTTATCGCTACTGTGGGATAAATTCTTCAAGTATCTTGTATTTTGATGGCTTTGGTTAGCAGCCATCTTAGTTTCTGTGTCATGTTGCTATGGTAATTAGTTACCATGGTAACCACTGTATTGTGAAGTAGTATTGTGTGTACTGTTTGTGCCAGTTGTTTGTACAGTTGATACTGTTCCTGTTTCGCCGATTCTTTTTTATTTTGAGCACATAAATGATCCGCGATTCATGTGGACACTGCATATATAGCATGTGGTTTCTCTTAATCATGTGAAATTACATTGTTTTTGAATTTTCTCTCTGCGCTGGTAAAGAAGCATACAATTACGGAAAAAATGTCACACTGACACATAAATGATCATTCTGTACATTTTTAAAAATACATGTTCTTGGAACATTCAAGAGTCATACATATGGAACATTGAAGAACCTAAAAATATTCAAAAAATGTGCCTTTCTGTTTTACTGTTTTTGTCGCATCCGTGTGCCCCACAACAATGACACCGTGAACTCTTTTATTGGCGGTAGTAACTTGACTTATTTCACCAGGTGGACGGAGAGGGGTGAAGGGTGACATCTGTTGTTTTATCGACGAACACTTAACCATAGCACACGGAGGTCTTCTTTTCAGACGCAGTCTTTTTCTGTCTTCAGGTTTGGGGGGGGGGGTAGATTTTAGATGAAAATTTGCCCTTTGTACTTGTTTTTTGTAAGTGCTTATTCTTCTAACCAATTTTAGAAAACTTTGCATTATTCCTTGAAGTATCTAGAATTTTAGGCTGTAGCCAAGGAATGTAGTTACCTATGTAAAGCGTCAATAAATGTAAAGGTGGAGGTCGAAGAAAAAAATGGGGATCTGTCTCTGAAGTTAACAGTGTGAAGGGCATATGGCATAATTGCTTTTATCGGTACAGATGAGTTCTTCATTTTTTGTATGCAAGTACTGAATAAAGCGTGCACACTGGATATTTGCAAATGTTAATCGTCATTGAGCATCCAAAATTGCTCGCTTGTAACTTCAGTTAACAATTGTTCTATACTCCAATTTACGTTTTTAATCACTTTTGTCGTGCCATAAATTTTTGTTTATAAATTGGGATGCATTCACCTCATAGCACTCTTAAACTTGTGGGTTAGCAAACTCAACAATTGCTAATGACTTACCCTGAACTGCCGGTTGGTATACTATACGTATAAAGGAGAAATTTAATATTTCGTTTAATATTTCAATTTTTTTGAGAATTGTAAACTATGCAATTACTCAAGTAAGGCATTGTCTATCACTCTGTGTTCGACAGTAATTTTCTTTTCATGATAGATAGAAATCGTGAACAGCAAATGTTGTCTTTTGAATTTTGTAGACCAATATAATCTCTATTTTAGAAGAGTAATCAAACTTGGTGATACTGCACATGAAGAAAGCATGAACTTGTACCACTTCAATTTTTTTAGAAGCCTGTACGTCATTCGAGAGCATTAATTCAAGTAGAAATTCGGATTGTACTGATAGCATGCTTCTTGTATTCGTTAATAGTATGGGCGGAAATCTTATCAACAGTATCTGTCAATGTGTTATCTCACATTTCGTCTCGTCAAACTAGGCCTTTTTGCCCTTGCTACCTTGATAAATCTTATTTTGTTTGGTGTTGCTGCTGATTTTTGTGTATTATTAGAAATTGCATCATCCTATTCCGTTGACATCCTTTTACATTCAAATCAGGCTGCGATGTTCAAATGTTTATATGTAGCTCTCACACATTGTGCCATTTAAGACATTTCTTGCATTTGTGAATCAAAAATGTTCCTTGTATTGGATGAAGTTTCAAGCGTTTAAAAGTTTGTTTTTGAATTAGTGTCAAAAACAATGTTCTTAACATACTCATAAATTGTTTAAAAACCATGTGTTCAAGCTATTTTCCAGTGACTTATATAAGGTTTCGCCAAAACAATCCAAACACTTATTTCCTATACGTTTTTTGCACCTTTTCCTAAAGACTATGCACTGTATGAATTCAACAACACTTTTTTGGCGATCTTAGGAGTGGCAACGATGTTTATTTTCTTCTCAATTTCTTCACATACTATCATTGGTTCTATGAGCTACGAAAAGGTGTAAATGGGTGTTTGATTACAATTTACTGTGTCAATTAGAAATGAAGGCATATTCATTTACAATTAATTGTTTCAATTATAACATGAACTAGTGATTGTTTCATCTTATTTTTACAACGACTACGTGCAATATGTTCCGACTGACGAATACCGACATATACAGTATCTACTTTTAAATTTAATAAATTAAGCAAAAACCAAGCAGTTATTTTCGAGTGATACATTAATCCTATTTAATTGTTAAATTTTAATTTCGTCACCAGTTTTTATTAATGATGTTATGAGGGTATAATTACTTCTCACTCTATTTACTTGGATTAGAAACTTCGTTATTGCATTGTAATAAAAACACAATGATCAAATAAATGAATGTTTCATAAAATAAAAGCAAATAAAGTAAAACCTAAGAGCATGCAGTAGTTTATCGTAAAAACGTTCATGAAATAAGTTATTGCTTCATTAGTTGCTTTTTCTGTTGATTGGATATTTTTATCAGACATCATTAACGCTATATTAACGTCAGTTATACCAGCGAACATTTCCACTTTTGCTTCTTCTGCAGTTAAGTACTGACATGAAGTGCCTAAATCTTGCCCACTTTTAAAGAAGGCGTCTTCATATAATGGAGCGCAAGATTTTTGTTTATTTTTTTCGGTAACATGTTTTTCTTAATTTCTCAATTATATGTTTGTGTAACGGTATTTAACTCGGCTATCGTTATATATTTTCTAAAATCATACGTTTATACTTTTTGTTGTCTATTTATATTAATCAGCGGGATAAGTAGGAAAGGACATGTACAAATTAGCAGTTCCCTCTATTGTCTTTAACATGGTTTACACGAGTGAAATAAACAAAAGCATAAGCGATTACAGAATCCCAAACAAAGACAGTAAAGGAAGTATGTAGACCAGAATGTGGTTGAGGTAAGTACCACCTGCGGCCAGAGAAAATAAAATGCATACTTTCTGGTATGTATTGGTATTGGCTCCAGTGTATGGAATCGTCATGATAAACAGGGATCTGTTGGTGCGTTTGTAGCCAAAGGGGAGTTTCTTTATACGTAGTTGCATCATTAATAGCTAATTTTTCTACAATAAACACAACATACTTTATTCCACTGATCCATTTTTAATTATATATATTGACCACATCAATGTCATAGTGCAATGAACAATTACTTTTATAAATTACCCATGCATATTGGTTTCCCAAAATAACAGTGTTATTTAAATAATGGTAATTAAGCACGTTTACTCAAATTTACTATGTTGTAAATTGTAATTTATTTAAGTAGAAGCATCATGAAAAGCAATTTACAGATCAGAAATTTAACTTAAAGCAATTTAGTTTTCCTAGTTGTCAATATTACTATGTTTTTTGTTATATTTTGGCATCCACCCACCCATACGTTGAAACATGAAGCTAAGCTACCTATAGTTGGTTTGATGACGCCATAGCTTAGATGCTAATGTGGGAAACTGCAACATGGATGAACTGTGGAGTGGAGTGGGAAGGGGGGGGGGGTAGCAAATGGAGATAATTATCTATGTCTACTGATTCTTTACGGTAACAATGACGCTTTTCTTATGGTAACAAGAAAGATACACATTTTTCTAGAAGGGTAAGTCTATAATGTGTTTGATTCCAGTTAACTTTTTCCAGTTGAAAGGCTATTCTGAGTGTTGGATTGCATACAAAAATCTTCCAAAATTTCTTTTCTCGTTCGACAATTCTAAATCAATGACACATTGTTCTTTCTCCTAGTAACATTTTCTTACCTAAATAACTAATGTATAAGTATCTTCAGGTGGCTACCAAAGAATGATATTTTGATTTGGAGATCTTGCCAGTGCGTGTTTACTATGCAGAACAACAAGATTATTTGGAACACAGCATTTTTCAGTTGTGAGTTTGATATACTCATTTTCGGTCAAAATGCACATTTCTTCACGCCCCAAAATTTCAAGGACTTGTACTTGGTCCTAAACAATAACTTCCTTCATCATTAGCATGAGCCTCGTTTGTTCTTGCTGTTTTTTTCATTCATGCGATTGAATTAACATTTTCCAAGGGGAAAAAAACATTTAATTGATCGCCTCAATCAAAGATACCTGATTAACTACTTTACCGCGTGTTTGAAGAAAGACACGTATAAAATCGAGGCTAATGTCCTTGATAAAGAAAGTGATTGTACAGAAATTAGTGTTGGAAATACTAGCGTATGAAGTAAAATCATATTGTGTTCAAAACAGCTCATCTGAAGGCTGATACAACGGTCATTTTGCATTTCCAAACCAAAACGTTTCCTTAAGTCTGTTGATTGGAAATTGTAATGAGGAGAAAGACCAATTTCTGACTGTTTTTGGAAATGGGAAAAATAGAAGAAGACCCATGTTTGGTGATGAACATGGATTTCCGGATAAAAGAATGTCTCACAGTTTTCGAGCATTCATCGGCATTGATTACTTTTCTCATGGTTTTTTGAAAACAAAAGAAACTTGTTGAAAGATTAAGAATTTATTGCAAAATGCTGGATAGCATTCCAACTCCTCGGAATAAACTGGAATCTAATTTGAGTGATCTTTATGGATACTGAAAGAAGAGTGTGAACTTTACTCGATGATTCTGAGGAATAACAGCAAAGATTTGCATATACTTTATTTTTGCTTTTTACCTCCTGTCAATCCATTGAGGCAGCTTCACTAATACAGTAAAAGCTTTGTAGCCAAGATCTGGAGGTTATTAAAGCAAGCTCAGGTAGCTATGCTTGATGTTTCAGCACTGTGCTGTGAATTCAAATGTCTTTTGAAAGAAGTTGCAAACAATATTATAGAAATACTAGCTACTTGTTCCAATTTGCTTAGAAAGCAAAGATTTATTTTAGAAAGATGAAGAAACTGATGATGAAGAAAAATAATTTTTTTTTGAGTTCAAATTTAAAAAATGCTTTTCATAATGTATCATTTTAAGCTACATTATAGTAATCGTGCGTGAATGTGTTTAATAATAATTGTATAATTAACTTTGCCACTTTGAGTAAAATATGTATCGTTTTTTTTTATGAAAAATGAGTTTTAAGAGCATTGTGCTGGATAGAGATTTAGTTTACATGTATTTAAAATAGATTAATGAAAACAAAATCGTTGTGCTTACGATAATAGACTAATTATAGCTCATTAATTATTCAATTAAGAAAAAGAAACTACCCCCTGCTACAAACGCATAAAATATAGAAACCTTCGAATTAGATGAAAGGATATTTAAATCTCGGAACTTCATATCCCGTAGAAAACACCGCGCGATCATGCTCTAACCCCTACTTATGAATTATCATAACAATAAACTTTCATTTTTCATTATATATAATTTGAATGTCTAGCTGGGGATGATATAACAGACGCACTAGGAGTAACGTGAGCAACAAACAAAGCAGTCAAAAGCAGTACTTGATTTTAAAAGCACTACTTGGTTTTAAAAGCAACGTATGGTCTTGCAACTGCAAGGATGTCAATGAAAATAAGTCTAGTTTCCTAAGGTTGTAGAGGGCGAGTATCTCAGACGTTTAGTGATGGATGACACTGGGAAGATTGTGGATTAAGACTTCATCGTAAAGTACATTTCTGCAACCTACGAATTTTGCTCAAATAAGGCAACGTTCATTTACTTATTTTTTTTGGTCAATTTTATTTACCGAAACAAAGCTGAGAAGGATAAAATTGATCGAGGTCTGAATAGCTCTTGATATTATGCAAAAGCCGATTTCAAAAACTATTTCATTATACAATCATAAATGCAAAAGCTTTTAAAAATATTTATGCAGAAATTTTTCAAGGCTTGACATAAAATGATTTTAGCGGTTCGCTTTCGTCCATTTTATGTAAATACAAAGGGAAAACTCTCCTGGCTGACAGTGTGACCCTTTATCATCAATAATTTGAGTCAAAACAGTTTGTTAAACAATTACAAATCTCAAGTAAGACACAACCATTGTATACTTTGTGTTTTCAGTTGTCCCAAAAAATATACGTCACCAACAAATAATTTTAAAAGTCGTTGTTGCGAACAAGACAGAGAATTATCCGAAGACTTTTAGCGAATTACAATCAAGATTGCAACCACACATAGTAAAATATAAGTGACCTTTATTGCATGAGACTCAGCATGATACCAAGAAATATTCAGACCAAGGTTAATGCTATTTGCGGAAGGAAAACTGAGTGAACCATCATTGAATAATTGTCTATGTTGATTTGTTAAGAGTACGCATACAAAGATTGCATCATCATTGTATAATAATAATCTTTAGAGACTATATACACAATGGTATTGAAGTGAGATTGATCATTGTATAATAATCTAGCTATCTATTGATTTGTTCAGTTCAGAGTTCTCCCGAAGATTCCTAGACACAAACATAAGTTAAAATTTTCGAAGTTTTACAATATTATTATTAATAAGCTTTCTATATGTCCGTAGTTTGTAACTTGATTTCTTGTTAATGTGTTTTAATTATTAAATAAATTTTTGTAATGTTTTTTGTCGCGGCCCCTCGTAATTGGACAACCCCTTCTCCAGTTACGCTATTGATTGACTGTTGCATATTTTTAATTATGCCGGCCAATGAAGACTGTTAGTGCAAGGCTCAACGCAGATTCTGAAAGTCAAGAGATACATTTATTCTTCGCACTCTAAGTACTCTTCAGCTGCAGTGATATTTTAAAAACTCTCTTATATTTTGTCCGTAGAAGATGAAATGTATAGTCTTGTTCAAAATCATCTGGGGATCTTTTCTTCTGGAATTTTTCAGTAAGTGCGTTAATCACTTTTATTAATTATAAATCGAATATTTTAAATGAAATGTTCTTGCTATCATCATGATTAGTTGGCTGGCGTTATTGAGCGCAATATTTTTACTCGAGATGTATTTCAGCGGTAGCTCAACTTTATCACTACATCCACGTATATTGATGCAATCTGGATCTAATGATACATGAACATTGCACAGCTCTAAATAATCTTCTGATTATTGACTTTCTGAAGATTTATTTTTTGAAATCATTAGATTTGATTATTGTTTCCCACATAATTCACATTATTGCATTACATTTAGACTCATCGCATATAATTCTTTTTATGTAGACTTCGAAGTCACTTCAGCGTCAAATATATATGTCTCAAGGGCTAAAGGTCATGATTCTGCTTCATGTGGCTCCTACAGTCGCCCGTGTTATTCAATATCACATGGTGTTTCTGTAGCAGGTAATGCATCAAAAATTCTTATCGATTCTACAAACACAAAAATATCTCCATATGATTGTAAATCATTCCAAAGAAGACACCAAGGTATTTACGTCACGAAGAATTTGACATTTGTCAGTGACGGTCCGTCACTTTGTCGTATTTCATGCAAAAGTGCTTTTAACTGGATTATAGACGGCAGAGAAAATGCCACTCCAATGATCATTGGTTTTATCAGAATCTTCTTTGAAAATACACAAATACAATTAGTGGATTCGTCTGCCATTTTTACTCAGTGCGTGTTTTACAAAACTAAAAAACTTGCAGTGAATTTTACAGTATATAATCAGAACCTGACAAGTTTAGTTTTTCAAAATGTTCAATTCGAAGCAAATGAAGCATGTATTTCAGTAAAGATGTGGTCAAAGGATACAAACACTCTAAGGAGCAGCATTATATTTAAAAATTCACAATTCATAGGAAATGGCATCAGACGTATTCCAATTTTAATGTCGCCTTCTTGGAGTGTTTTAAGAATAGATAACTTTGAAAAACATGCTATAGAGTTGCACGTGCAAAATACAAGTTTTGTTAATAACTATGTTCGTTCAATGGGAATGATATACGTAAGTACTAATCACTTAAAACTTGTTTTGGATAAAACTGATCTACAAAATAATGGTTTCAACGACACTAAGGCGTTTAACAGCCTCTTTGTTTTAAACACTAAAACGACGTCCATTGTGATAGCAGACACGCAGGTAAAAAAGAGTAAACAGCGACTTTTTTCAATCAGCTCAACAAGAACAGAAATCCTTATTACTTACACACAAATAAATGACTATAGAGTTGGCAAGAATCATGGAGGGACATTTTATATAGAAAGTGAAATGATGCAGTTGGTAATGAACAACTGTGTGATAAGTAATGGACGATCGATGGTTCCTTTTAATGGTGGATTTCTCTATGTTCACGCAAGGAATGTTAGTGTACATATTGAAAATTCTAATTTTACAAACTTGAAAATTGGTGGCGAAGGTGGTGTGATGTATATATCGACAAGCAAAGTTGCAAATATGTCTGTAACTGTAAAGATAAAAATACTCAGTTCAAATTTCATATCTAACTCTGCTTATTATGGAGGTGTTCTGCGGGTCCCACCAAAGCTCAAACTCGGGATTCAAAATTCTACATTCATTTCAAACAATGCACATAGTGGTGGGGTTGTATTCTCCTTCCACCTTTTATATGCAAAAATACACATCGATAAATCATTGTTTCACAAGAACCTTGCAGTAAATTCGGGTGGATGCTTACTTCTTTATAGTGATAGAAAAAATTATGGTTATTTATTTTTAAGTGGAAATAACTCAAATTTTACGGAAAATACTGCTGGATGGGGGGGAGGTGTGTTCTCGTTGGCATCTTCAGCCGTTTACTTGGAGCTGTCGTGTTCATTATTTGAATACAACAATGTACAAGTCTGCGGAGGCGCCATTGCAATTATTGAATGGTATACATTTTTAGCCAACTCAGTTACATTGTTAGCCAATCACACAAAATTTACTGGAAACAGCGCCATGGCTGGTGGAGCAATAGTCATCAGTACTAATGGAGAAAGAACAATGATTGGTATGAATAATGTCTCTTTTTTTCGTAATTCTGCATCAATTAAGGAGGCAGCAGGTGGAGGTGGGATTTTGTATCTAAAAAGAGGAATACAGAATTTAGCGTCGTTTTCAATTTCGATAGAAAGAAGCATTTTCGAGGAAAACTATGGGAGTTCAGGAGGTGCCATAAATTTAATTGGTGTTAATGGCGAATTTTCGTGCAAGCATTCAGTTTTTAAATCAAACAATGCGACTTATGGTCCAGGTGGAGCAATCCACTTCTTTGTTTCCAATTTAACGATAAACATATTCAACACAACATTTGAAAATAACACAAGTAATAAAAATGCTGGAGGTGCAATGTATCTAGACATTAATCATGGAAGTACGATTCATGTCGATGAGTCAGTATTTAAACACAATGAAGCAAATTATAGTATGGGTGGTGGCATGGCGATAAATACTAAAGGTGATACTTTGAAAAATCCTCAATGTGGAATAGATACTGTGCGCTTATGGGATTACAACAATTCTGTAACGATAAAGAACACGAAGTTTATTGAAAATTTTGCCCGAAATGGTGGTGCAGTCTCCATGAAAAACGGAATAATATATTTCAATAATTCTCACTTTGTCAACAATTTTGCACATGAAGGTGGTCATCTTATTAACTATGGCTCAAACAACTTAAGTTTATTCAGTAGCACTTTTAACAACACAATAACTCATAATTCTTCCTATACAGAAACTTTCATACATACGTACAGCGAAGGACCGTTCATTTTACACAATACTACCGCATTACAAGAAATACAGTCAGATAATCCTTTGGTCTTGATTGCAAATGGCGGCATTGTGGATTTTGATAATTTTACAAAATTGTTTTGCCCAGTTGGATCAAAGATGGAAATGTTGAATCTATCTTATAACAAATGGATAAATCGTTCCTGTACATACCGCGTCACTATACTTCGCTTTGTATGTACACAATGTGATCCAGGCACGTATAGCTTACAGCAGGGTCACACATTAGGATTGAGACCAGTTCATCCATTTTCTTGTCTACCTTGTCCAAATGGAGCCGACTGTTTAACAACCATCAAATCAAAGCGAAACTTCTGGGGATATTTGAGCAAGAAAAATAAGACATCTTTAAAATTTACCAGATGTCCTGATGGTTATTGTCTTGGAGGCTCAAAAACCCAAAACACGACAGCTACAACATGTGCCAAGGAAAGCGTAAAGGTTGGATTTGCGGTCATTGTTCTACCTGGTTACAGTGATGGTGGCGTTTCTTTGACGATTGTTGAACCAAAATGGAATGGAAGATTTCAACAAAGCAATTCTTTCTCGCTTGTGTTGTACCACTTCCTTTTCCATTTTTGGTCTTTACAGTATCTCTTGCAATGGTTAAGTATTTATCGAAGTCCTGTAAACAGGACAGTAAACACTACTGAGTATAGAGTTACGCTGAAATCCATCTTTATTGCTCCATTTCGCAAGCCTGAAGAGGGAAAGTCAGGTGCTGTCTACTGGCAGAGCATTCTTATTGCACGACGTTTTTTCTTGACATTTCTTAGTTGTTTTATCACTGATCCCACTTTACGACTCACGTGCATGGTAATCATCTGTGTGCTGGCGTTATTACATCATAAATGTGTGAAACCATTCCAAAACCTTGGTGCTAACACAGTGCAAACCATTTCTCTACTAAGTCTTGCAGTAATGGCTAACATTAATATGTACAAAACATTTTACAGGTTTTCCAAAGAAGATGTTAGTACAGGATGGATGTTCGTATTTTCAACACTTGATATTATCGAGATGATAATGTTAGGTTTCATACCTGGAATATTGATTCTTTTGTTTGTATTAGGGATATCATCATTGATGGTACGTTTGGTTTTCATGGCCATCGCCACCATACGTAGAAAAATGCACCGCCATGACCCAACATATGATGAACTGTTGAACGATAACCATGAGGAAAACTGAGAGGAAGACTTCGTATTTTTAAATTAGAGTACGTTGATGAATTTGCGCGCGTTGATTTATATGACTTTACTCAATGATTTAACTGCACTTGTGCAATTTATATAATTACTTATGATTTTACTATATTTAATGGTTTGACTAGGCTTAATGAATTGACTATATACTAAAATTTGTTCAAATAGCTTTAAATTGTCTTTTTGATCATTTTCATTTTTAATGAATATTGTTGATGCATTGATGTAAACTAACGATGTTAATTAAAAGGTTTGAGGATTCAGTGAAGTAGAAATGTCGATTACAGTTAGTTGTAAAGGAGGAAAAAATAATTTAAATGTTTTAATCAAACCTTACATCAAGCATATACATAAGAAAGCCCAGATTGAACGATAACAAATACTTTTTTCTGAACCAGTTGCAGGTGCAGGGTAAGTCAGAATACAAACTCAAAATAACTACAACTCAACATAACTACACATTACAAATTCAAAATACTACAACAAGTGCTGAAAAATTTAAAGTAATGTACTCTGACTTACCTCATAACTTCCTTCAGTAGTAATTTAGTTTCCTTTCAAGCCTTGGAGTCATGCTTCCTGAGATGCGGAGTGCAATGGCATGATTTTGTTGATCGTAGTTTTTGAACTTTAGGTGTTTGATTTCGTAGAAGATATTCTCGATTCAAAGTCTTTGTTGGCTTCACTGATTCAAGGCGACGTAATATAGCCTAAGTAAAATATGAAAGATCATAAATCTTCACGAGTGCTACAGCCACACAACTAGTTTGCTTTTATCATAAAGAACAATGCTGGACTACGAAAATATTGCGCAATTCTTTTTTGTTCACAAAAAAATTAATGTTTACCTGATTTTCCTCGTCTATTCTTCTTTGAAACTTCTTTCTGTTGAGGTTTTCACACGAACAGAATGATTTCCACCAAGTGCAGTTTTCGAAGCTGAGCTCGGTCGAGGATAACTGATATTTCTCAAAAGTCTTTGATTCTCCAAGTCAATAGCAACAACTTCGTCATTCCGAAAGGAAAAGTTTTGCTTATTTTCACGCAGATTTCTTTTTCTCGGGTGCGTACGATTTACCCTTTTGACAGATTTACTCATACAAATAAATCCAGAAGCTTTAGATTCTTCCTCACGCACAATCTCTTCGCTTTTTCCCGTCATTTTTCTCGACTTGTCAATGTCATTTATATCAAGTTCAGGTACAGCATCGAGTAATACGTCCAAGTTTACTTGATCAGAATCGCATTGAGTTTTAAAAACTCGTCCACGTTCAACACGATAAATCTTTTCGATTTCTCTTCTGCCATTAATTTTCAAATAATCTTTATCGCTACTGTGGGATAAATTCTGCAAGTATCTTGTATCTTGATGGCTTTGGTTAGCAGCCATCTTAGTTTCTGTGTCATGTTGCTATGGTAATTAGTTACCATGGTAACCATTGTTTAGTGCAGTGTACTGTTTGTACCAGTGGTTTGTAGAGTTGATACTGTTCCTGTTTCGCCGATTCTTTTTTATTTTGAGCACATAAATGATCTACGATTCATGTGGACACTGCATATATAGCATGTGCTTTCTCTAATGCATGTGAAATTACATGGTTTTTGAATTTTCTCTCTGCGCTGGTAAAGAAGCATACAATTACGGAAAAAATGTCACACTGACACATAAATGATCATTCTGTACATTTTTAAAAATACATGTTCTTGGAACATTTAAGTTGGAACATTGAACAACCTAAGAATATTCAAAAAATGTGCCTTTCTGTTTTACTGTTTTTGTCGCATCCGTGTGCCCCACACCAATGACACTGTGAACTGTTTTACTGGCGGTAGCATTTTGACTTATTTCACCTGGTGGAGGAAGGGTTAAGGGTGACATCTGTGGTTTTATCGACGAACACGTAACCATAGTTCTCCGTGTGCTTTTCAGTCGCAGTCTTTTTCTGCCTTCAGGTTTGGGGGTAGATTTTAGATGAAAATTTGCCCTTTGTACTTGTTTTTAGTAAGTGCTTATTCTTCTAACCAATTTTAGAAAACTTTGCATTATTCCTTGAAGTATCTAGAATTTAGGCTGTAGCCAAGGAATGTAGTTACCTATGTTATAGCGTCAATAAATGTGAAAGGTGGAGGTCGAAGAAAAAAGTGGGGATCTGTCTCTGAAGTTAACAGTGTGAAGGGCATATGGCATAATTGCTTTTATCGGTACAGATGAGTTCTTCATTTTTTGTATGCAAGTACTGAATAAAGCGTGCACACTGGATATTTGCAAATGTTAATCGTCATTGAGCATCCAAAATTGCTCGCTTTAACTTTTCAGTTAACAATTGTGCTATACTCCAATTTACGTTTTTAATCACTTTTGTCGTGCCATAAATTTTTGCTTATGAATTGAAATGCATTCGCCTCATAACATTCTTAAACTTGTGGGTTAGCAAACTTAATAATTGCTGATGACTTACTTTGAACTGCCAGTTGGTATACTATACGTATTAAGGAGAAATGCACGTTTCCTATTTCAATTTTTTTGAGAATTGTAAACTATACAATTACTCAAGTAAGGCATTGTCTATCACTCTGTGTTCGACAGTAATTTTCTTTTCATGATAGATAGAAATCGTGAAAGTAAAAACTAACACCAAATGCTGTGCTTTGAATTTTGTAGACCAATATAATCTCTATTTTAGAAGAGTAATCAAACTTGGCGATACTGCGAATGAAGAAAGCATGAACTTGTACCACTTGATTTTTTAGAAGCATGTACGTCATTCGAGAGCATTAACTCAAGTAGAAATTCGGATTGTACTGATAGCATGCTTCTTGTATTCGTTAATGGTATGGGCGGAAAATCTTATCAACAGTATCTGTCAATATGTTATCTCACATTTCGTCTCGTCAAACTAAGCCTTTTTTCCCTTGTTACCTTGATAAATCTTATTTTGTTTAGTGTTGCTGCTGAATTTTGTGTATTACTAGAAACTGCATCATCGTATCCCGTTGACATCCTTTTACATTCAGATCAAGCTGCAATGTTCAATTGTTCATATGTAGCTCTCACACATTGTGCCATTTAAGGCACTTCTTGCATTTGTGAATAAAAAATTTTTATGTATTGAATGAAGTTTAAAGCGTTTTAAAGTTTGTTTTTGAATTAGTGTCAAAACAATATTCTTAGCATACTCATCAAATGTTTAAAAACCATGTGTTCAAGCTATTTTCCAGTGACTTATATAAGGTTTCGCCAAAACAATCGAAACATTCATTTCCTATACTTTTTTGCACCTTTTCCAAAAGACCATGCACTGTATGAATTCATCAACACTTTTTTGACGATCTTAGGAGTGGCAACGATATTTAATTTCTTCTGAATTTCTTCACATACAATCATTGATTCTATGAGCTACGAAAAGGTGTAAATGGGTGTTTGATTACAATTTATTGTGTCAATTAGAAATGAAGGCATATTCATTTACAATTAATTGTTTCAATTATAACATGAACTAGTGATTGTTTCATCTTATTTTTACAACGACTACGTGCAATATGTTCTGAGTGACGAATACCGACATACACAGTATATACTTTTAAATTTAATAAATTAAGCAAAAACCAAGCAGTTATTTTCGAGTGATGCATTAATCCTATTTAATTGTTAAATTTTAATTTCGTCGCCAGTTTTTATTAATGGTGTTGTGAGGGTATAATTACTTATCACTCTATTTACTTGGATTAGAAACTTCCTTATTGCATTGTGTTAAAAACACAATGATCAAATAAATGAATGTTTCATAAAATAAAAAGCAAATAAAGTAAAACCTAAGAGCATGCAGTAGTTTATTGTAAAACGTTCATGAAATAAGTTATTGCTTCATTAGTTGCTTTTTCTGTTGATTGGATATTTTTATCAGACATCATTAACGCTATATTAACGTCAGTTATACCAGCGAACATTTCCACTTTTGCTTCTACTGCAGTTAAGTACTGACATGAAGTGCCTAAATCTTGCGCACTTTTAAAGGCGTCTTCACATGATGGAGCGCAAGATTTTTGTTTATTTTTTTCGGTAACATGTTTTTCTCAATTTCTCAATTATATGTTTGTGTAACGGTATTTAACTCCGCTATCGTTATATATTTCTAAAATCATACGTTTATACTTTTTGTTGTCTATTTATATCAATCAGCGAGATAAGTAGGAAAGGACATGTACAAACTAGCAGTTCCCTCTATTGTCTTTAACATGGTTTACACGAGTGAAATAAACAAAAGCATAAGCGATGACAAAATCCCAAACAAAGACAATAAAGGAAGCATGTAGAACAGAATGTGGTTGAGGTAAGTACCTCCTGCGGCCAGAGAAAATAAAATGCATACTTTCTGGTAAGTATTGGTATTGGCTCCAGTGGATAGAATCGTCATGATAAACAGGGATCTGTGGGTGCGTTTGTAGCCAAAGGAGAGTTTCTTTATACGTAGTTGCATCATTAATAAGCTAATTTTTCTACAATAAACACAGCATGCTTTATTTTACTGATTCATTTTTAAATATATATGTTGACCACATCAATGTCACAGTGCTACGAACAATTACTTTTAAAAAAATACCCATGCATATTGGTTGCCCAAAATAACAGTGTTATTTAAATAATGGTAATTAAGAACGTTTACTCAAAGTTACTATGTTGTAAATTGTAATTTATTTAAGTAGAAGCATCATGAAAAGCATTTTACAATTCAGAAATTTAACTTGAAGCAATTTAGTTTTCCTCGTTATCAGTATTACATTGTTATTTGTTATATTTTGGCATCCACCCACCCATACGTTGAAACATTAAGCTAAGCTACCTATGGTTTATTTGATGACGCCATAGCTTAGACGCTAATGTGGGAAACTGCAACACAGATGAACTGTGGAGTGGAGTGGGAAGGGAGGGGGTAGCAAATGGAGATAATTATGTATGTATACTGATTCTTTATGGTAACAATGACGCTCTTCTTATGGTAACAAGAAAGATACACATTTTCTAGAAGGGTAAGTCTATAATGTGTTTGATTCCAGTTAACTTTTACCAGTTGAAAGGCTATGCTGAGGAACTGAGGAGCTATGTTGGATTACATTCAAAAATCTTCCAAAGTTTTTTTCTCGTTTGACAATTCTAAATCAATGACACATTGGTCTTTCTCCTTGTAACATATTCTTATCAAAATAACTAATGTATCAGTTTCTTAAGGTGGCTACCAAAGAATGATGATATTTTGATTTGGAGATCTTGCCAGTGCGTGTTTACTATGCAGAACAACAAGATTATTTGAAACACAGCATTTTTCAGATGTGAGTTTGATCAACTCATTTTCGGTCGAAATGCACATTTCTTCACACCCTAAAATTTCAAGGACTTTTACTTGGTCCTAAACAATGACTTTCTTTATCATTAGCATGAGCCTCGTTTATTCTTGCTGTTTTTTCATTCGTGAGATTGAATTAACATTTTCCAAGGGAAAAAAAACATTTAATTGGTCGCCTCAATCAAAGATACCTGATTAACTACTTTACCGCGTGTTTGAATAAAGACACGCATTAAAACGAGGCTAATGTCCTTGATAAAGAAAGTGATTGTACAGAAATTAGTGTTGGAAATACTAGCGTATGAAGTAAAATCATATTGTGTTCAAAACAGCTCATCTGAAGGCTGATACAACGGTTATTTAGCATCTCCAAATCAAAACGTTAGCTTAAGTCTGTTGATTGGAAATTGTAATGAGGAGAAAGACCAATTTCTGACTGTTTTTGGAAATGGGAAAAATAGAAGAAGACCCATGTTTTGTGATGAACATGGATTTCCGGATAAAAGAATGTCTCACAGTTTTTGAGCATTCATCGGCATTGATTACCTTGTTGAACGATTAAGAACTTATTCCAAATTTCTGGAATTGCATTCCAACTCCTCCGAGTAAACTGGAATCTAATTTGAGTGACCTTTATGGATAGGGAAAGAAAAGTGTGAACTTTACTCGATGATTCTGAGGAATAACAGCAAAGATTTGCATATAGTTTGTTTTTGTTTTTTACCTCCTGTAAATCCATTGAGGCAGCTTCACAAATACAGTGTAAGCTTTGTAGCCAAGATCCGGAGGTTATTAAAGCAAGCTCAGGTAGCTATTCTTGATATTTCAGCACTGTGCTGTGAATTTAAATGTCTTTTGAAAGAATTTGCAAATAATATTATAGAAATACTAGCTACTTGCTCCAATTTGCTTAGAAAGTAAAGATTTATTTTAGAAAGATGAAGAAACTGATGATGAAGAAAAATAAATTTTCTTTGAGTTCAAATTTAAAAAAGGCTTTTCATAATGTATCACTTTAACCTACATTATAGTAAGCGTGCGTGAATGTGTAAAATAAAAATTGTATAAATAACTTTGCCATTTTGAATAAAATATGTTTCGTTTTTTTTATTGAAAATGAAGTTTAAGAGCACTGTGATGGATAGAGATTTAGTTTACATGTATTTAAAATAGATCAATAAAAACGAAATCATTTTGCTAACGATAATAGACTAATTATAGCTCATGAATTATTCTACTATGAAAAAAGAAACTACCCCCTGTTACAAACACATTGAATATAGAAACCTTCGAATTAGATGAAAAGGATATTTGATTCTCGGAGCTTCAGATCCCGTAGAAAACACCGCGTCATCATGCTCTAACCCCTACTTATGAATTATCATAACAATAAACTTTCATTTTTCATTATATATAATTTGAATGTCTAGCTGGGGATAATATAACAGACGCACTAGGAGTAACGAAAGAAACAAAGCAGTCGAAAGAACAACTTGGTTTTAAAAGCACTACTTGGTTTTAAAAGCAACGTTTGATCTTCAACTGCAAGTGGATGTCAATGAAAATAAGTCTAATTTTCCTAAGGTTGTAAGGGCGAGTATCGATGGAGGTTTGATGTTGGATGACACTGGCAAATTGTGGATGTAAGACTTATCAGTAAAGTACATTTCAGCAACCTACGAATTTTGCTCCAAAAAGGCAACGTTCATTTACTTATTTTTGTGGTCAATTTATTTACCGAAACAAAGCTGAGAAGGATAAATCATTGTTTCACAAGAACTTTGTAGCAAAATTGGGTGGATGCTTACATCTTCTTAGTTATACAAAAAATGATGGTCACTTATTTTTAAGTGGAAATAACTCAAATTTTACGGAAAATAGTGCTGGATTAGGGGGAGGCGTGTTCATGTTGGTATCATCAGCCGTTTACTTGGAACTCTCGTGTTCATTATTTGAATACAATCATGTAGGAGAAGGCTACGGAGGCGCCATTTCACTTAATGCACAGGATATATTTTTAGCCAACTCAGTTACATTGTTAGTCAATCACACAAAATTTACTGGAAACAGCGCCATGAATGGTGGAGCAATAATCCTCTCTAATTATTTAAGGGGTACGAGAGCAATAATTGGTATAAATAACGTCTATTTTTTTCGTAATTCTGCATTAACCGGAGGAATAGGAGGTGGAGGTGGAATTTTTTTTCAAAGTGAAGGAATACAAACTTTAGCGTCGTTTTCAATTTCGATAGAAAGAAGCATTTTCGAGAAAAATCTTGGGAGTTCTGGAGGTGCCATATATTTACATGGTGTTAATGGCGACGTTTTGTGCAAGCATTCAGTTTTTAAATCAAACAGTGCGACTCTTCAAGGTGGAGCATTCTACTTCTCAATTTCCAATTCAACGATAAACATATTAAACACAACCTTTGATAATAACACAAATATCGATAATGCTGGAGGTGCAATTTATCTAGAAATTAATCATGGAAGTAGGATTCATGTCGATGAGTCAGTGTTTAAACACAATGAAGCAATTTATAACATGGGTGGTGGCATGGCGATAATTACTAGAGGTGATATTTTGAAAAATCCTCAATGTGAAAAAGATATTATGCGCTTATGGGATTACAACAATTCTGTAACGATAAAGAACACGAATTTTAGTGAAAATTTTGCCCGCAATGGTGGTGCAGTCTCTATGGAAAACGGAATAATATATTTCCATAGTTGTCATTTTGTCAACAATTTTGCACATGACGGTGGTCATCTTATCAACTATGGATCAAACAACTTAAATTTATTCAGTAGCACTTTTAACAACACAATAACTCATAATTCTTCCTGTACAGAAACTTTCATACATACGTACAGCGAAGGACCATTGATTTTACACAATACTACCGCATTACAAGAAATACAGTCAGATAATCCTTTGGTCTTGATTGCAAATGGCGGGATTGTGGATTTTGATAATTTTACAATGTTGCGTTGCCCAGTTGGATCAAACATGGAAATGTTGAATCTCTCTTATAGCAGATGGATAAATATTTCTTGTACATACCGCGTCACTATACTTCGCTTTGTATGTACACAATGTGAACAAGGCACGTATAGCTTACAGCGGGGTCACACATTAGGATTGAGACCAGTTCATCCATTTTCTTGTCTACCTTGTCCAAATGGAGCCGACTGTTTAACAACAATCAAATCAAAGCCAAACTTCTGGGGATATTTGAGCAAGAAAAATAAGCCATCTTTAAAATTTACCAGATGTCCTAATGGCTATTGTCTTGGAGGCTCAAAAAACGAAAAACGCGACAGCTACAACACGTGCAGAGGAAAGCGTAAAGGTTGGATTTGCGGTCATTGCTCTCCCGGTTACAGTGAAACTGTATTCTCAACAGATTGTAAATTAACAGAAAAATGTTTTGATTATTGGTTTTGGATTGTGTTTATCGTATTGGCGTTCAGCATGGCTTTGTTTTTTATATTTCAACCACCGATTGTCACTTTTCTAGTAAAACAGATATTGTGGTTCAAAAATGAAAGAACAATAACTGAACACCTGAGCGAGAACAACAGAAGATCATTACGGTCAACAGAGATGCAGAGAAGCGATTCTCCGTTTGTTCTCTCCACTGAAGAAATTGAAAACGAAAGGAAGGATTCCGTAGGATTTCTTGAAATTATTTTCTATTTCTATCAGATTTCTTCCTTACTGCAAACAGATACAAACATAAAGCACCTTTTGAAAGCCCAAATAATTATTCCTGTTCAGAGATTTATCAATTTTCAGGGAGCTCATTTCGAAGGTGTATGTCCAATACCTGGTCTCACAGCAACTGGAAAACATTTGTTTGATGTTGCATTTGTATTTGGAACTTTACTTGCCATATACTTTATCTACAGTCTTCACTTTTTCATAAGTAAGATCTTTGGTGCATACACTCCAAAATTTAAACGTTACCTGGGGGCAACAATGCAAACCATTCTCTTAGGATATACAAATATTGCCAACGTTAGTCTCGCACTAATTCAATGCGTTCCCATTAACTCTGACCGTCGTTGGTTTTATGATGGTAACATATTATGCTACCAATGGTGGCAGATAGTGTTCATTGCATTTGACGTTGTTGTATTATTTCCCTTCTTCCTGGTGTTAGCCTGGCTTGCCTTGAAATTGCACAATGGAATGATTTCAACAAAGCAATTCTTTCTTGCTTGTGTTGCTCCACTTCCTTTTTCCATTTTTTGGTCTTTACAGTATCTCTTGCAATGGTTAAGTATTTATCGAAGTCCTGTAAGCAGGACAGTAAACACTACTGAGTATACAGATACGCTGAAATCCATCTTTCTCGCTCCATTTCGCAAGCCTGAAGAGGGAAAGTCAGGTGCTGTCTATTGGCAGAGCGTTCTTATTGCACGACGTTTTCTCTTGACATTTCTTGGTTGTTTTATCACTGATCCTACTTTACGACTCATGTGCATGGCAATCATCTGTGTGCTGGCCTTATTACATCATAAATGTGTGAAACCATTCCAAAACCCTTGTGCCAACACAGCGGAAACCATTTCTCTACTAAGTCTTGCAGTAATGGCTATCATTAATATGTACAAATCATTTTACAGATTTTCCAAAGAAGATGTTAGTACAGGATGGATGTTCGTATTTCCAACACTTGATATTATCGAGATGATAATGTTAGGTTTCATACCTGGAATGTTGATTCTTCTGTTTGTATTAGGGATATCATCATTGATGGTACGTTTGGTTTTCATGGCCATCGCCACCATACGTAGAAAAATGCACCGCCATGACCCAACATACGATGAACTGTTGGACGATAACCATGAGGAAAACTAAGAGGAAAGACTTGATATTTTTAAATAAAATTGCGCACGATGATTTAAATGACTTTACTCAATGGTTTGACTATATACTCAGGATTAATGAATTGACTATATACTAAAATTTTTTCAAATAGCTTTAAATTGTCTTTTTGATCATTTTCATTTTGTTAATTAAAAGTTTGAGGATTCAGTGAAGTAGAAATGTCGATTACAGTTTGTTGTAAAGGAGAAAAAAGAACTTAAATGTTTTAATCGAACCTTACATCAAGCATATACAAAAGAAAGCCTAGATTAAGCGATAACAAATACTTTTTTCTGAACCAGTTGCAGGTGCGGGTAAGTCAGAATACAAACTCAAAATAACTACAACTCAACATAACTGCACATTACAAATTCAAAATACTACAACAAGTGCTTAAAAATTTAAAGTAATGTACTCTGACTTACCTCATAACTTCCTTCAGTAGTAATTTAGTTTCATTTCAAGCCTTGGAGTCATGCTTCCTGAGATGCGGAGTGCTATGGCATGATTAAGTTGATCGTAGTTTTTGAACTTTAGGTGTTTGATTTCGTAGAAGATATTCTCGATTCAAAGTCTTTGTTGGCTTCACTGATTCAAGGCGACGTAATATAGCCTAAGTAAAATATGAAAGATCATAAAATTTCACGAGTGCTACAGCCACACAACTAGTTTGCTTTTATCATAAAGAACAATGTTAGACTACGAAAATATTGCGCATTCTTTTTTGTCCACAAAAAAATTAATGTTTACCTGATTTTCCTCGTCTATTCTTCTTTGAAACTTCTTTCTGTTGACTTCTGAAGAGGTTTTCACACGAACAGAATGATTTCTACCAAGTGCAGTTTTCGAGGCTGAGCTCGATCGAGGATAACTGATATTTCTCAAAAGTCTTAATACTCCAAGTCAATAGCAACAACTTCGTCATTCCGAAAGGAAACGTTTTGCTTATTTTCACGCAGATTTGTTTTTTTCGGGTGCGTACGATTTACCCTTTTGACAGATTTACTCATACAAATAAATCCAGAAGCTTTAGATTCTTCCTCACGCACAATCTCTTCGTTTTTTCCCGTCATTTTTCTCGACTTGTCAATGTCATTTATATCAAGTTCAGGTACAGCATCGAGTAATACGTCCAAGTTTACTTGATCAGAATCGCATTGAGTTTTAAAAACTCGTCAACGTTCAACACGATCATTTTTTTCTATTTCTCTTCTCCCTGTAGGCCCAATTTTCAGATAATCTTTATCGCTACTGTGGGATAAATTCTGCAAGTATCTTGTATTTCGATGGCTTTGGTTAGCAGCCATCTTGGTTTTAATACGTCTGTTGCTATGGTGATTAGTTACCGTGGTAACCACTGTATAGTGCAGTGGAAAAGTGTGTACTGTTTGTACCAGTGGTTTGTACAGTTGATACTGTTCCTGTTTCGCCGATTCTTTTTTATTTTAAGCACATAAATGATCCGCGATTAATGTGGACACTGCATATATAGCAAGTGGTTTCTCTAATTCATGTTAAATTACATGGCTTACGAATTTTCTTTCGGCGCTGGTAAAGAAGTATACAATTACGGAAAAAATCTCACACTGACACATAAATGATCATTCTGTACATTTTTAAAAATATATGTTCTTAGAACATTCAAGGATCATACATATGGAACATTGAACAACCTAAGAATATTCAAAAAATGTGCCTTTCTGTTTTACTGTTTTTGTCGCATCCGTGTGCCCCACACCAATGACATCGTGAACTGTTTTATTGGCGGTAGTAACTTGACTTATTTCACCAGGTGGACGGAGAGGGGTGAAGGGTGACATCTGTGGTTTGATCGACGAACTTGTAACCATAGTCCTCCGTGTGCTTTTCAGACGCAGTCTTTTTCTGTCTTCAGGTTTGGGGGTGGATTTTAGATGAAAATTTGCCCTTTGTACTTATTTTTAGTAAGTGCTTATTCTTCTAACCAATTTTATAAAACTTTGCATTATTCCTTGAAGTATCTAAATTTTAGGCTGTAACCAAGGAATGTAGTTACCTATGTAAAAGCGTCAATAAATGTGAAAGGTGGAGGTCGAAGAAAAAAATGGGGATCTGTCTCTGAAGTTAACAGTGTGAAGGGCATATGGCATAATTGCTTTTATCGGTACAGATGAGTTCTTCATTTTTTGTATGCACCTACTGAATAAAGCGTGCACACTAGATATTTACGAATTTTAATCGTCACTGAGCACCCAAAATTGCTCGCTTATAACTTTTCAGTTAACAATTGTGCTACACTTCAATTTACGTTTTTAATCAATTTTTTCGTGCCTTAAATTTTTGCTTATAGATTGAAATGCATTCGCCTCATAACATTCTTAAACTTGTGGGTTAGCAAACTTAATAATTGCTAATAACTTACTCTGAACTGCCAGTCGGTATACTATACGTATTAAGGAGAAATGCACGTTTCCTATTTCAATTTTTTTGAGAATTGTAAACTATACAATTACTAGTGGCGTAGCTAGCGAAAAACATTTGGTCGGGCTCACGAGGTGCCACCATGGTTGGCGCCGAGCGAGAAAATTTTCCGAATTTAGACTCCCTAGAACGTCGGAAACGGCAATCTTAGAAAGCAAATGCGTGATATTTATGCAGGAAATAGAACCATTTTGGTTAATTTAAATTGCCGAAGGATCTTATAGTAAAGCAGAGAAACAGTTCAAAAATAGTTGCAGATATGTGATTTATTTTCTCATACATAGATACCTATGTACATCTTGTAAAGAAACTTTGACAAGAACCGAAAAGGCTCAGATTTGTCATCAACAACTATCAAAAGTTGTGATGAAATTGTCGTGCTGAAATGACAATCATCATTGACTGCATTAAAAAGTTCCCGGAAAAATTCTCACATGCCATGGACGTAAGACATCATCAGCTTGTTATCAGCCATATATGAATACCTATTTGTATAAGAAAGCATGTCTTCGTGGTTTTTCAATGAACTTCTTTACTACCTCATCATGCAATGCGTTGGCGTCTTCTTTCTCTGACAGTATGTCTTTGTGAATGGAAATCCTGCAAAGAGAACTAAAACGTCCTTGGCTCAAAGTCTTTCTAAGATAATTTTTTACCCTCTTCAAACATGAAAATGACCTCTCAACTGAAGCACTTGTAATTGACAAAACCCCATTTATCTTTAACTTCTGGAATACTAGATTGATAATGGACTGAAAAATATATTTCAATAATTCATCGCATGAATCACAGTGAAAGTCTTTATCTCTGTAAATAAAACAAAGTTGGCTAACTAGCATTGGTATGTCAAACATATCACCATAAACCTCCTTTAGAAGATTTATCTTTTCTGAGGGCACTTCACCTTTCCACATCTTAAACACCCTAGGGTTAGCATGGTCAAAAATCTAAAACGCTCCATATCCTGAAATCGCTCGGTCAGCATAGTCACAATTGTGTCAAGAATTTCAAAATACATTTGTTTGTAGTTATGCCGTTGGTCATACCTGGTTACTGGTGGTCCCACTTTCTCAACAGCCAGGTCGTACACCTGACAATATTCTGTATCATTTCTCAGAGAAGCAACAAAGGCCTTGAATCTCTCAAACCTACTCATTCCATAATGAAAGTCAGTGTCCTTGTCTTGCAAGATAGAATAAAGTATGGATGACTGCTCAAGAATTCTCTGAAAACATGTACCAAGAAACAAACAAGAAGCCATTAAGGTAGCCAAGTAAACCAGTAACCTTACTTAACGTTTCATCATCCCAACCTATTGGATTATCAGTAAGATTTTCAAATATGTCTATCAGTTTCATAGTTAGAATGCAAGACATTGATGACATGAGCCCTATAATACCATCTTGTGTCACCAGGACTAGGAAACTCAAGCCTATGGGATGATATAAAGCTTTTCTTTGGGGGTAAAGGTGCAGAAAGCAAATATTGGGTGAGATGGAGGATGCAGCTTGACATACTAGATTTAGTCTATGGGCAGCAGTGAACAAATTGAGCATAAGGATAATCCTGCTGAACTTGAGCTTGAACACCATTGAGATGACCAGACATAACAGATGCACCATCATAAGTCTGTCCAATAAATTTCTCTTTCACATTATTATATTGACTTAACTTACCCTTAACCACTGATGATATAGCAGTTGCAGTCCTATCACAACTAACATCAACAAACCCAAGCTGTCTTTCAATGACACTTTCCCTTTGTCCATTCGAACAATTACACTCAATTGTTCTTTGGTAGAAACATCAGTTGCCTCATCAACCTGTATACTTAAGAAAGTGCAGCAATATATTTCCTTTAAAATCTCATCCTCTATTATCTTATCAAGACAATCAATCAAATCATTCTGAATATCAGGAGAGACTCCAGTAAACCGCCCTCCCCAGCAGGTGGGTTTCAGCAAGCCTTCCATGTAATCGCCTTTCAAAACAGAATCCATCTTGGCAAAACTTTCAAGTAGCTCTCTATAATTTCCTCTATTCATGCTGCTACTAGATTCATCATGCCCCCTAAATGCAAGCTCTTGCCTAGACAAGTATAAAACAGCTTCTGTTATGGTTTTCAACATTTCCCTGTTTTGCCTTACCTCCTCGTTATGACGCTGAATCTCTTCACGTCTAGTTTGTGACATGAGACAGTCGATACGAGGCTGAAAACCGTAGGTCTTCCAGGTCTTGTAGGCACCCATGTGCGATTTTGCCTTCTCATGCTTCTTACAATCGGATAGGAAATTCTTCATGTTTTTGAATCCCGTCTGCGTCCATGAAGATGACGATCCAGGGCAAAATAAAAGACAAGGCCAACAGAACAATGCATTCTTTTCTGAGCTACAACAAAATAATCTTTCTTCGAGTACCAACTTTCCTGAAAGCTTCTATGCCTGTAGTCGCTTGTAAATTGGAATTGGCCGCTGCTTTACGAGTATATTTTGCTCGCCTGATTGTCGAACAGAAGGGTTTCTTTTGTAGTTCACTTATTATATCGATTTCATTAGCCGAAGCCATTGTAATGTAAGTTATCACGATTTCCGAACGTATATTTCGAAGCTCAAAATTCCAGTCACGCTTTTGAAAATTGGCCCGACTAGATGTTGTTAAACGTTTGAGTGTGTTCACAGCTACTCTCAACCAATCAGATTACAGATATTCCACTATAGATTTATTACTTGGTCGGGCTGAATTTTCAGAGCCCGACTAGATGTTGCGAAACAGCGCATTTGAGTTTGCTCAGTTGCTGTCAACCAATCAGATTGCAGATAATCCCACTATAGATTTTACTACTTGGTCGGGCTGAATTTTCAGAGCCCGACTAAACTGCGTAATGCCTGGCACTAGAAATGCACTAGTCATTGTTGCTAAGTAACGTTTAAAAGTATGATAATTTTGCTAATAACGACGCAATTTGACAAATATTACACTAATAGACTGTGGATTATTCCAAAAAGAGTCGCAGAATTTAAAATTTTCGCAAATCCAATTTTAAAGAAAACAAATTTTTCATTTTTGGGAAAATATTTGGTCGGGCTGGGCCCGACCAGCCAGACCGCTAGCTACGCCACTGACAATTACTCGAGTAAGGTATTGTCTATCACTCTGTGTTGGACAGTAATTTTGTTTTCATGATAGATAGAAATCGTGAACAGCAAATGTTGTCCTTTGAATTATGTAGACTAATATAATCTCTATTTTAGAAGAGTAATCAAACTTGGCGATACTGCGAATGAAGAAAGCATGAACTTGTACCACTTGATTTTTTTAGAAGCCTGTACGTCATTCGAGAGCATTAATTCAAGTAGAAATTCGGATTGTAATGATAGCATGCTTCTTGTATTCGTTAATGGTATGGGCGGAAAATCTTATCAACAGTATCTGTCAATGTGTTATCTCACATTTCGTCTCGTCAAAGTAAGCCTTTTTTCCCTTGTTACCTTGATAAATCTTATTTTGTTTAGTGCTGCTGCTGAACTTTGTGTATTATTAAAAATTGCATTATCCTATTCCTTTGCCATCCTTTTACATTCAGATCAGGCTGCGATGCTCAATTGTTCATATGTAGCTCATACACATTGTGCCATTTAAGGCACTTCTTGCATTTGTGAATCAAAAATGTTCTTTGTATTGGATGAAGTTTCGAGCGTTTTAAAGTTTGTTTTTGAATTAGTATCAAAAACAATATTCTTAGCATACTCATCAATTGTGTAAAAACCATGTGTTCAAGCTATTTTCCAGTGACTTATATAAGGTTTCGCCAAAACAATCGAAACATTCATTTCCTATACTTTTTTGCACCTTTTCCAAAAGACCATGCACTGTATGAATTCATTAACACTTTTTTGACGATCTTAGGAGTGGCAACGATGTTTATTTTCTTCTCAATTTCTTCACATACTATCATTGGTTCTATGAGCTACGAAAAGGTGTAAATGGGTGTTTGATTACAATTTACTGTGTCAATTAGAAATGAAGGCATATTCATTTACAATTAATTGTTTCAATTATAACATGAACTAGTGATTGTTTCATCTTTTTTACAACGACTACGTGCAATATGTTCTGACTGACGAATATCGACATATACAGTATATACTTTTAAATTTAATAAATCAAGCGAAAACCAAGCAGTTATTTTCGAGTGATACATTAATCCTATTTAATTGTTAAATTTTAATTTCGTCACCAGTTTTTATTAATGATGTTGTGAGGATATAATTACTTCTCACTCTATTTACTTGGATTAGAAACTTCATTATTGCATTGTGTTAAAAACACAATTATCAAATAAATGAATGTTTCATAAAATAGAAAGCAAATAAAGTAAAACCTAAGAGCATGCAGTAGTTTATCGTAAAAACGTTCATGAAATAAGTTATTCCTTCATAAGTTGCTTTTTCTGTTGATTGGATATTTTTATCAGACATCATCAACGCTATATTAACGTCAGTTATGCCAGCGAACATTTCCATTTTTGCTCCTACTGCAGTTAAGTACTGACATGAAGTGCCTAAATCTTGCCCACTTTTAAAGAAGGTGTCCTCACATGATGGAGCGCAAGATTTTTGTTTATTTTTTTCGGTAACATGTTTTTCTAAATTTCTCAATTATATGTTTGTGTAACGGTATTTAACTCCGCGATCGTTATATATTTCCTAAATCATACGTTTATACTTTTTGTTGACTATTTGTATCAAATAGCGAGATAAGTAGGAAAGGACATGTACAAATTAGCAGTTCCCTTTATTGTCTTTGACATGGTTTACACGAGTGAAATAAACAAAAGCATAAGCGATGACAAAATCCCAAACAAAGACAATAAAGGAAGTATGTAGACCAGAATGTGGTTAAGGTAAGTACCACCTGCGGCCAGAGAAAATAAAATGAATACTTTCTGGTAGGTATTGGTATTGGCACCAGTGTATGGAATCGTCATGGTAAACAGGGATCTGTGGGTGAGTTTGTAGCCAAAGGGTAGTTTCTTTATACGTAGTTGCATCATTAATAGCTAATTTTTCTACAATAAACACAACATACTTTATTCCACTGATCCATTTTTAAATATATATATTGACCACATCAATGTCATAGTGCAACGAACAATTACTTTTATAAATTACCCATGCATATTGGTTTCCCAAAATAACACTGTTATTTAAATAATGGTAATTAAGCACGTTTACTCAAATTTACTATGTTGTAAATTGTAATTTATTTAAGTAGAAGCATCATAAAAAGCATTTTACAATTCACAAATTTAACTTGAAGCAATTTAGTTTTCCTCGTTGTCAGTATTACTATGTTTTGAGTTATATTTTGGCATCCACCTACCCATACGTTGGAACATTAAGCTAAGCTACCTAAAGTTGATTTGATGACGCCATAGCTTAGATGCTAATGTGGAAAACTGCAACATGGATGAACTGTGGAGTGGAGTGGGAAGGTGGGAGGTAGCAAATGGAGATAATTATCTATGTCTACTGATTCTTTATGGTAACAATGACGCTTTTCTTATGGTAACAAGAAAGATACACATTTTTCTAGAAGGGTAAGTCTATAATGTGTTTGATTCCAGTTAACTTTTTCCAGTTGAAAGGCTATTCTGAGTGTTGGATTGCATACAAAAATCTTCCAAAATTTCTTTTCTCGTTCGACAATTCTAAATCAATGACACATTGTGCTTTCTCCTTGTAACATATTCTTATCAAAATAACTAATGTATCAGTATCTTCAGGTGGCTACCAAAGAATGATATTTTGATTTGGAGATCTTGCCAGTGCGTGTTTACTATGCAGAACAACAAGATTATTTGGAACACAGCATTTTTCAGTTGTAACTTTGATCAACTCATTTTCGGTCGAAATACACATTTCTTCACGCCGCAGTATTTCAAGGACTTTTACTTGGTCCTTAACAATGACTTCCTTTATCATTAGCATGAGCCTCGTTTGTTCTTGCTGTTTTTTTCTTTCATGAGATTGAATTTACATTTTCCAAGGGAAATAAACATTTAATTGATCGCCTCAATCAAAGATACCTGATTAACTACTTTACCACGTGTTTGAAGTAAGATACGCATTAAAACGAGGCTAACGTCCTTGAAAAAGAAAGTGATTGTACAGAAATTAGTGTGGGAAATACTAGCGTATGAAGTAAAATCATATTGTGTTCAAAACAGCTCATCTGAAGGCTGATACAACGGTTATTTTGCATCCCCAAATCAAAACGTTATCTTAAGTCTGTTGATTAGAAATTGTAATGAGGAGAAAGACCAATGTCTGACTGTTTTTGGAAATGGGAAAAATAGAAGACGACCCATGTTTGGTGGTGAACATGTATTTCCGGATAAAAGAATGTCTCATAGTTTTTGAGCAGTCATCGGCATTGATTACTTTTCTCATGGTTTTTTGAAAACAAAAGAAACTTGTTGAAAGATTAAGAATTTATTCCAAATTTCTGGAAAGCATTCCAACTCCTCGGAATAAACTGGAATCTAATTTGAGTGACCTTTATGGATACTGAAAGAAAAGTGTGAACTTTACTCGATGATTCTGAGGAATAACAGCAAAGATTTGCATATAGTTTATTTTTGCTTTTTTACCTCCTGTCAATCCATTGAGGCAGCTTCACAAATACAGTGTAAGCTTTGTAGCCAAGATCTAGAGGTTATTAAAGCAAGCTCAGGTAGCTATGCTTGATGTTTCAGCACTGTGCTGTGAATTCAAATGTCTTTTGAAAGAAGTTGCAAACAATATTATAGAAATACTAGCTACTTGTTCCAATTTGCTTAGAAAGCAAAGATTTATTTTAGAAAGATGAAGAAACTGATGATGAAGAAAATAATTTTTTGAGTTCAAATTTAAAAAATGCTTTTCATAATGTATCACTTTAAGCTACATTATAGTAATCGTGCGTGAATGTGTGTAATAATAATTGTATAATTAACTTTGCCACTTTGAGTAAAATGTGTATCGTTTTTTTTTATGAAAAATGAGTTTTAAGAGCACTGTGCTGGATAGAGATTTAGTTTACATGTATTTAAAATAGATCAATGAAAACAAAATCGTTGTGCTTACGATAATAGACTAATTATAGCTCATTAATTATTCAACTAAGAAAAAAGAAACTACCCCCTGCTACAAACGCATGGAATATAGAAACCTTCGAATTACATGAAAGGATATTTAAATCTCGGAACTTCATATCCCGTAGAAAACACTGCGCGATAATGCTCTAACCCCTACTTATGAATTATCATAACAATAAACTTTCATTTTTTAATATATATAATTTCAATGTCTAGCTGGGGATAATATAACAGACGCACTAGGAGTAACGTGAGCAACAAACTAAGCAGTCGAAAGCAGTACTTGATTTTAAAAGCAACGTTTGGTCTTGCAACTGCAATGAAAGTGACTGTCAATAAAAATAAGTCTAGTTTTCTAAGGTTGTAGAGGGCGAGTATCTGCAGAGGTTTAGTGATGGATGACACTGGGAAGATTGTGGATTAAGACTTCATCGTAAAGTACATTTCTGCAACCTACGAATTTTGCTCAAATAAGGCAACGTTTATTTACTTATTTTTTTTGGTCAATGTTATTTACCGAAGCGAAGCTGAGAAGGATAAAATTGATCAAGATCTGAATAGCTCTTGATACTATGCAAAAGCAGATATAACTATTTCAATAACTATTTTATTAAACAATCATAAATGCAGACGCTTTTAAAATAATTCATGTAGAAATTTTTCATGCCTTGACATCAAATAATTTTAGCTGTTTGCTTTCGTCTATTTATGTAAATACCAAGAGAAAACTCTCCTGGCTGACAGTGTGACCCTTTATCATTAATAATTTGAGTCAAAACCGTTTGTTAAACAATTACAAATCTCAAGTAAGATTCCACCATTGTACATTTTGTGTTTGCAGTTCTCTCAAAAAATATACGTCACCTACAAATAATTTCAAAAGTCGTTGTTGCGAACATGACAGAGAATTATCCGAAGACTTTTATTTAGCAAATTACAATCGAGATTGCAACAACACATAGTAAAATATAAGTGACCTTTATTGGATGAGACTCAGCATGATATCAAGAAATATTCAGACCAAGGTCAATGCTATTTGCGGAAGGGAAACTGAGTGAACCATCATTGTATAATTGTCTATATTGATTTGTTAAGAGTACGCATCCAAAGATTGCACCATCATTGTATAATAATAATCTTTAGAGACTATATACACAATGGTATTGAAGTGAGATTGATCATTGTTTAATAATCTAGGTATCTATGGATTTGTTCAGTTCAGAACAACAAACACTGGTTAAAATTTTCGCAGTTTTACAATATTATTATTAATAAGCTACCTATACGTCCGTAGTTTGTAATGAACTTGATTTCTTGTAAATGTGTATAAGCTTTCTAAATGTTTGTAGTTTGTAGCTTGATTTCCTTTAAATATGTTTTAATTATTAAACAAATTTTGTAATGTTTTTTGTCGCGGCCACTCGTAAATGGACAACCCCTTCTCCAGTTACGCTCTTGATTGACTGTTGCATATTTTTAATTATGCCGGCCAATAAAGACTGTTAGTGCAAGGCTCCACGCAGATTCTGAAAGTCAAGAGATAGATTTATTTCTCGCACTCTAAGTACTCTTCAGCTGTAGTGATATTTTAAAAACTCTCTTAGATTTTGTCCGTAGAAGATGAAATGTATACTCTTGTTCAAAATCATCTGGGTATCTTTCCTTCTGGAATTTTTCAGTAAGTGCGTTCATCACTTTTATTAATTATAAATCGAATATTTTAAATAAAATGTTCTTGCTATCATCATGATTAGTTGGCTGGCGTTATTGAGCGCAATATTTCTACTCGAGATGTATTTCAGCGGTAGCTCAAATTTATCTCTATATCCACGTATATTGATGCAATCTTGAATGATACATGAACACTGCACAGCTCGAAGTAATCTTCTGATTATTGACTTTCTGAACATTTATTTTTTGAAACCATTAGATTTGATTATTGTTTCCCACATAATTCACATTATTGCATTACATTTAGATGCATCGCATATAATTCTTTTTATGTAGACTTCGAAGTCACTTCAGCGTCAAATATATATGTCTCAAGGGCTAAAGGTCATGATTCTGCTTCATGTGGCTCTTACAGTCGCCCGTGTTATTCAATATCACATGGTGTTTCTGTAGCAGGTAATGCATCAAAAATTCTTATCGATTCTACAAACACAAAAATATCTCCATATGATTGTAAATCATTCCAAAGAAGACACCAAGGTATTTACGTCACGAAGAATTTGACATTTGTCAGTGACGGTCCGTCACTTTGTCGTATTTCATGCAAAAGTGATTTTAACTGGATTATAGACGGCAGAGAAAATGCCTCTCCAATGATCATTGCTTTAACCAGAATCTTCTTTGAAAATACACAAGTACATTTAGTGGATTCGTCTGCCGTTTTTACTCAGTGCGTGTTTAACAAAACTAAAAAACTTGCAGTGAATTTTACAGTATATAATCGGAACCTGACAAGTTTGGTTTTTCAAAATGTTCAATTCGAAGCAAATGAAGCATGTATTTCAGTAAAGATGTGCTCAAAGGATACAAACACTCTAAGGAGCAGCATTATATTTAAAAATTCACAATTTATAGAAAATGGCATCAGACGTATTCCAATTTTAATGTCGCCTTCTTGGAGTGTTTTAAGCATAGATAACTTTGGAAAACATGCTGTAGAGTTGCATGTGCAAAATACAAGTTTTGTTAATAACTATGTTCGTTCAATGGGAATGATATACGTAAGTACTAATCACTTAAAACTTACTGTAATGGAGGAAAGCAATTTCGTAGATAATGGATTGCAAGACATGACCAACACGTTTACTCACAGCCTCTTTGTTTTAAACACTGAAACGACGTCCATTGTGATAGCAGACACGCAGGTTAAAAGGAATAAACGGCGACTTTTTTCAATCAGCTCAACAAGAACAGAAATACTTATTACTGACACACAAGTGGATGACTATACAATCAACAAAAATCGTGGAGGGATATTTTATATAGAAAGTGAAATGATGCAGTTGGTAATGAACAACTGTGTGATAAGTAATGGACGATCGATGCTTCCTTTAATGGTGGATTTCTCTATGTTCACGCAAGGAATGTTAGTGTACATATTGAAAATTCTAATTTTACAAACTTGAATATTGGTGGCGATGGTGGTGTGATGTATATATCGACAAGCAAAGTTGCAAATATGTCTGTAACTGTAAAGATGAAAATACTCAGTTCAAATTTTATATCTAATACAGCTAATTTTGGAGGAGTTCTGCGGCTCCCACAAAAGTTCAAAATCTGGATTCATAACTCTACATTCATTTCAAATAATGCATATAGTGGTGGGGTTGTATACTCCGACAACCTTTTATATGCAAAAATACACATCGATAAATCATTGTTTCACAAGAACCTTGTAGCAAAATTGGGTGGATGCTTACATCTTGATAGTGATACAAAAATGATGTTCATTTATTTTTAAGTGGAAATAACTCAAATTTTACGGAAAATAGTGCTGGATTAGGGGGAGGCGTGTTCATGTTGGCATCATCAGCCGTTTACTTGGAGCTCTCGTGTTCATTATTTGAGTACAATCATGCAAGACAAGGCTACGGAGGCGCCATTTCAATTAATGACGGTATACATTTTAGCCAACTCAGTTACATTGTTAGCCAATCACACAAAATTTACTGGAAACAGCGCCATGAATGGTGGAGCAATAATCATCAATAATTATTCCAAGGGAACGAGAACAATGATTGGTATGAATAATGTCTCTTTTTTTCGTAATTCTGCATAACCGGAGGAACAGGAGGTGGAGGTGGGATTTTTTCAAAATAAAGGAATACAGAATTTAGCGTCGTTTTCAATTTCGATAGAAAGAAGCATTTTCGAGAAAAATCATGGGAGTTCTGGAGGTGTCATATATTTACATGGTGTTAATGGCGAATTTTTGTGCAAGCATTCAGTTTTTAAATCAAACAATGCGACTTATGGTCCAGGTGGAGCATTCTACTTCTTTATTTCCAATTCAACGATAAACATATTCAACACAACCTTTGAAAATAACACAAGTATTAAAAATGCTGGAGGTGCAATGTATCTAGAAATTAATCATGGAAGTAGGAGTCACGTCGATGAGTCAGTATTTAAACACAACAAAGCAATTTATAACATGGGTGGTGGCATGGCCATAAATACTAAAGGTGATACTTTGAAAAATCCTCAATGTAAACAAGATACTGTGCGCTTATGGGATTACAACAATTCTGTAACGATAAAGAACACGAAGTTTATTGAAAATTTTGCCCGAAATGGTGGTGCAGTCTCCATGGAAAACGGAATAATATATTTCAATAATTGTCATTTTGTCAACAATTCTGCACATGACGCTGGTCATCTTATTAACTATGGCTCAAACAACTTGAATTTATTCAGTAGCACTTTTAACAACACAATAACTCATAATTCTTCCTATACAGAAACTTTCATACATACGTACAGCGAAGGACCATTAATTTTACACAATACTACCGCATTACAAGAAATACAGTCAGATAATCCTTTGGTCTTGATTGCAAATGGCGGGAAAGTGGATTTTGATAATTTTACAATGTTGCGTTGCCCAGTTGGATCAAAGATGGAAATGTTGAATCTCTCTTATAACAAATGGATAAATATTTCTTGTACATACCGCGTCACTATACTTCGCTTTGTATGTACACAATGTGAACAAGGCACGTATAGCTTACAGCAGGGTCACACATTAGGATTGAGACCAGTTCGTTCATTTTCTTGTCTACCTTGTCCAAATGGAGCCGAATGTTCAACAACAATCAAATCAAAGCCAAACTTCTGGGGATATTTGAGTAAGAAAAATAAGTCATCTTTAAAATTTACCAGATGTCCTAATGGCTATTGTCTTGGAGGCTCAAAAAACCCAAAACACGACAGCTAGAACAGGTGCCAAGGAAAGCGTAAAGGTTGGATTTGCGGTCATTGTTCTCCTGGTTACAGTGAAACTGTATTGTCAACAGATTGTAAATTGACAGAAAACTGTTTTGATTATTGGTTTTGGATTGTGTTTATCGTATTGGCGCTCAGCATGGCTTTGTTTTTTATATTTCAACCACCGATTGTCACTTTTCTCGTAAAACAGATATTGTGGTTCAAAAATGAAAGAACAATAACTAAACACCTGAGCGAGAACACCAGAAGATCATTACGGTCAACAGAGATGCAGAGAAGCGATTCTCCGTTTGTTCTCTCCACTGAAGAAATTGAAAACGAAAGGAAGGATTCCCTAGGATTTCTTGAAATTATTTTCTATTTCTATCAGATTTCTTCCTTACTGCAAACAGATACAAACATAAAGCACCTTTTGAAAGCCCAAATAATTATTCCTGTTCAGAGATTTTTCAATTTTCAGGGAGTTCATTTTGAAGGTGTATGTCCAATACCTGGTCTCACAGCAACTGGAAAACATTTGTTTGATGTTGCATTTGTATTTGGAACTTTACTTGCCATATACTTTATCTACAGTCTTCACTTTTTCATAAGTAAGATCTTTGGTGCATACACTCCAAAATTTAAACGTTACCTGGGGGCAACAATGCAAACCATTCTCTTAGGATATATAAAAATTGCCAACGTTAGTCTTGCACTAATTCAATGCGTTCCCATAAACTCTGACCGTCGTTGGTTTTATGATGGTAACATATTATGCTACCAATGGTGGCAGATTCTGTTCATTGCATTTGACGTTGTTGTATTAATTCCCTTCTTCCTGGTGTTAGCCTGGCTTGCCGTGAAATTGCACAATGGAATGATTTCAACAAAGCAATTCTTTCTCGCTTGTGTTGTACCACTTCCTTTTTCCATTTTTTGGTCTTTACAGTATCTCTTGCAATGGTTAAGTATTTATCGAAGTCCTGTAAACAGGACAGTAAACACTACTGAGTATACAGATACGCTGAAATCCATCTTTATCGCTCCATTTCGCAAGCCTGAAGAGGGAAAGTCAGGTGCTGTCTACTGGCAGAGCGTTCTTATTGCACGACGTTTTTTCTTGACATTTCTTAGTTGTTTTATCACTGATCCCACTTTACGACTCATGTGCATGGCAATCATCTGTGTGCTGGCCTTATTACATCATAAATGTGTGAAACCATTCCAAAACCCTCGTGCCAACACAGCGGAAACCATTTCTCTACTAAGTCTTGCAGTAATGGCTATCATTAATATGTACAAATCATTTTACAGATTTTCCAAAGAAGATGTTAGTACAGGATGGATGTTCGTATTTCCAACACTTGATATTATCGAGATGATAATGTTAGGTTTCATACCTGGAATATTGATTCTTTTGTTTGTATTAGGGATATCATCATTGATGGTACGTTTGGTTTTCATGGCCATCGCCACCATACGTAGAAAAATGCACCGCCATGACCCAACATACGATGAACTGTTGGACGATAACCATGAGGAAAACTGAGAGGAAAGACTTCGTATTTTAAATTAGAGTACGTTGATGAAATTGCGCGCGATGATTTATATGACTTTACTCAATGATTTAACTGTACTTGTGCAATTTATATAATTACTTATGATTTTACTATATTTAATGGTTTGACTATATACTTAGGATTAATGAATATACTATATACTAAAATTTGTTCAAATAGCTTCAAATTGTCTTTTTGATCATTTTCATTTTTAATGAATATTGTTGATGCATTGATGTAAACTAACGATGTTAATTAAAAGGTTTGAGGATTCAGTGAAGTAGAAATGTCGATTACAGTTAGTTGTAAAGGAAGAAAAATTATTTTAAATGTTTTAATCAAACCTTACATCAAGCATATACATAAGAAAGCCCAGATTGAAAGATAACAAATACTTTTTTCTGAACCAGTTGCAGGTGCAGGGTAAGTCAGAATACAAACTCAAAATAACTACAACTTAACATAACTGCACATTACAAATTCAAAATACTACAACAAGTGCTGAAAAATATAAAGTAATGTACTCTGACTTACCTCATAACTTCCTTCAGTAGTAATTTAGTTTCCTTTCAAGCCTTGGAGTCATGCTTCCTGAGATGCGGAGTGCAATGGCATGATTTTGTTGATCGTAGTTTTTGAACTTTAGGTGTTTGATTTCGTAGAAGATATTCTCGATTCAAAGTCTTTGTTGGCTTCACTGATTCAAGGCGACGTAATATAGCCTAAGTAAAATATGAAAGATCATAAAATTTCACGAGTGCTACAGCCACACAACTAGTTTGCTTTTATCATAAAGAACAATGTTAGACTACGAAAATATTGCGCATTCTTTTTTGTCCACAAAAAAATTAATGTTTACCTGATTTTCCTCGTCTATTCTTCTTTGAAACTTCTTTCTGTTGACTTCTGAAGAGGTTTTCACACGAACAGAATGATTTCCACCAAGTGCAGTTTTCGAGGCTGAGCTCGGTCGAGGATGACTGATATTTCTCAAAAGTCTTTGATTCTCCAAGTCAATAGCAACAACTTCGTCATTCCGAAAGGAAAAGTTTTGCTTATTTTCACGCAGATTTCTTTTTCTCGGGTGCGTACGATTTACCCTTTTGACAGATTTACTCATACAAATAAATCCAGAAGCTTTAGATTCTTCCTCACGCACAATCTCATCGCTTTTTCCCGTCATTTTTCTCGACTTGTCAATGTCATTTATATCAAGTTCAGGTACAGCATGGAGTAATACGTCCAAGTTTACTTGATCAGAATCGCATTGAGTTATAAAAACTCGTCCACGTTCAACACGATCACTTTTTTCTATTTCTCTTCTGCCTGTAGGCCCAATTTTCAGATAATCTTTATCGCTACTGTGGGATAAATTCTGCAAGTATCTTGTATTTTGATGGCTTTGGTTAGCAGCCATCTTAGTTTCTGTGTCATGTTGCTATGGTAATTAGTTACCATGGTAACCACTGTATTGTGAAGTAGTATTGTGTGTACTGTTTGTGCCAGTGGTTTGTACAGTTGATACTGTTCCTGTTTCGCCGATTCTTTTTTATTTTGAGCACATAAATGATCCGCGATTCATGTGGACACTGCATATATAGCATGTGGTTTCTCTAATGCATGTGAAATTACATGGTTTTTGAATTTTCTCTCTGCGCTGGTAAAGAAGCATACAATTACGGAAAAAATGTCACACTGACACATAAATGATCATTCTGTACATTTTTAAAAATACATGTTCTTGGAACAGCCAAGAGTCATACATATGGAACATTGAAGAACCTAAGAATATTCAAAAAATGTGCCTTTCTGTTTTACTGTTTTTGTCGCATCCGCATCCGTGTGCCCCACACCAATGACACATTGAACTGTTTTACTGGCGGTAGTAACTTGACTTATTTCACCAGGTGGACGGAGAGGGGTGAAGGGTGACATTTGTGGTTTGATCGACGAACACGTAACCATAGTCCTCCGTGTGCTTTTCAGTCGCAGTCTTTTTCTGTCTTTATGTTTGGGGGTAGATTTTAGATGAAAATTTGCCTTTTGTACTTGTTTTTAGTAAGTGCTTATTCTTCTAACCAATTTTATAAAACTTTGCATTATTCCTTGAAGTATCTAGACTTTAGGCTGTAGCCAAGGAATGTAGCTACCTATGTTTTAGCGTCAATAAGTGTGAAAGGTGGAGGTCGAAGAAAAAAGTTGGGATCTGTCTATGAAGTTAACAATGTGAAGGGCATATGGCATAATTGCTTTTATCGGTACAGATGAGTTCCTCATTTTTTGTATGCAAGTACTGAATAAAGCGTGCACACTGGATATTTGCAAATGTTAATCGTCATTGAGCATCCAAATTTGCTCGCTTGTAACTTTTCAGTTAACAATTGTGCTATACTCCAATTTACGTTTTTAATCACTTTTGTCGTGCCATAAATTTTTGCTTATGAATTGAAATGCATTCGCCTCATAACATTCTTAAACTTGTGGGTTAGCAAACTTAATAATTGCTGATGACTTACTTTGAACTGCCAGTTGGTATACTATACGTATTAAGGAGAAATGCACGTTTCCTATTTCAATTTTTTTGAGAATTGTAAATTATACAATTACTTAAGTAAGGCATTGTCTATCACTCTGTGTTCGACAGTAATTTTCTTTTCATGATAGATAGAAATCGTGAAAGTAAAAACTTTGAATTTTGTAGACCAATATAATCTCTATTTTAGAAGAGTAATCAAACTTGGCGATACTGCGAATAAAGAAAGCATGAACTTGTACCACTTGATTTTTTTAGAAGCCTGTACGTCATTCGAGAGCATTAACTCAAGTAGAAATTCGGATTGTACTGATAGCATGCTTCTTGTATTCGTTAATGGTATGGGCGGAAAATCTTATCAACAGTATCTGTCAATGTGTTATCTCACATTTCATCTCGTTAAACTAAGCTTGTTTGCCCTTGTTACCTAGATAAATCTATTTTGTTTAGTGTTGCTGCTGAACTTTGTGTATTATTAGAAATTGCATCATCCTATTCCTTTGCCATCCTTTTACATTCAAATGAAGCTGCAATGTTCAATTGTTTATATGTAGCTCTCACATATTGTGCCATTTAAGGCACTTCTTGCATTTGTGAATCAAAAATTTTCTTTGTATTGGATGAAGTTTCAAGCGTTTTAAAGTTTGTTTTTGAATTAGTGTCAAAAACAATATTCTTAGCATACTCATCAAATGTTTAAAAACCATGTGTTCAAGTTATTTTCCAGTGACTTATATAAGATTTCGCCAAAACAATCCAAACATTCATTTCCTATACTTTTTTTGCCACTTTTCCAAAAGACCATGCACTGTATGAATTCATCAACACTTTTTTGGCGATTTTAGGAGTGGCAACGATGTTTAATTTCTTCTCAATTTCTTCACATACTATCATTGGTTCTATGAGTAACGAAAAGGTGTAAATGGGTGTTTGATTACAATTTACTGTGTCAATTAGAAATGAAGGCATATTCATTTACAATTAATTGTTTCAATTATAACATGAACTAGTGATTGTTTCATCTCGTTTTTACAACGACTACGTGCAATATGCTCTGACTGACGAATACCGACATATACAGTATATATTTTTAAATTTAATAAATTAAGCAAAAACCAAGCAGTTATTTTCGAGTGATACATTGATCCTATTTAATTGTTAAATTTTAATTTCGTCACCAGTTTTTATTAATAATGTTATGAGGGTATAATTACTTCTCACTCTATTTACTTGGATTAGAAACTTCGTTATTGTATTGTGTTAAGACCTTGTTACAGCTCTTATTTACACGTAAAAGTGTTACGCTTATTCAAACACAATGCAGTATTGAATTCATAATGACCACAAATATGGGAGGGTGGAGAGGGTGGAAGAGGAAGTGGTATGGAGTCATCTTGGATTTGGGAATTGAAATTGAAGAGGGTATGTTATTTCAATCCTTCTTTTCATAAAGTTGTATTAAAATCTCAGAACACCCAAAAGGATAGTTTATCACGAGTGTTATCTGCTGCATTGAGACACCGCGTCTGAATATGAAGAAGATCAAGTCAAAACACAGTCTTAAAACATCGTCTTGCAGTCTCAGATTGTATCTAGCCGGACACTTCCCTTCTCGACGCAATCTTCTTGTGTAAATACAACAAGTGAACAATCGAGTATGTCAAACCTCTTGACAGTGAGAACACATCACGACTAAAATTTCATCCAATGCCTATTTATGTAGCTATCACGTGAAAGATATCTGAAAGCATATTGCGGAAATTTTTGTTTTATGTAACACATACTTTCCCAAATCAACATGAGCGTCCCTTGTTTTGAGACAACTTGCTCTAATGGCTCAGATGAGCTGTGCCCGTAGGGTTTGACGACGAATTGGATTCATGTTTTCATGCGTCCATTAACGAACGTCACGCCCTAATTGACTTGACCTGCGTATAAATTGACGCGCACTGCATATAATCGAAATGGCTTTTGCAACTCAACGACAATTCCTGCACAAATTGAGAGAAATCAACCAGTTCAGAATGTATCGCGAACAGAATGCGGGTTTGACGCCTTTTTATCCTCGTCAAACCTATCCAACTCGGTCTGCGTACCCGTATCCTTTTTACATTCCATCGAACCAAAGTTTGAATATTGGAGCTTCTTCGGTCCCGAAAAGTTCGTCAGGCATCCTGCATGATGAGAATCCTTATTCCAACGCAACATCGATCAACTCATTACCATACACGCAATCCAGACCACAAGGTAACGATTTCTATGTTCAAATTCCCGTTAATATCCTTGTAATGATCCTTGGATACGTTAAATGTCACCCAATGTATAGTTAAACTCAACCGAAGTTAATCATATTTTAAATTTTCAACTGTGAGAGTGGTGCTGTTTTCTACTGTGCTTTTTTATTGTTACGTGTACGTTGCAAGCAATATTGGCAGATGCTGTTGTGCACAGCGCTGTGAATTTGAATGGGGAACCACAACTTGTTTTGAAACGACAAACAAACATCCAATTGCACGGTCCTGCCGCAAAATTGTTTTAATTTTTCACGATATTTTTAAAATAACGACAGCAGTATTTCACAAAGATTTTCTTCATCTTCTCAACATTTGTAAAATAAAAATGCGATCAGAAAATTGTTTTCGGGATTTATTTAGAGATGTGATTAAATTTTGGATTTAAAATAGTGCTTTTAAACGATTTTTGCGAATTTGTGATGAGTGTTCTCTTTAACTCTATTTTCCTGCTTATGCAAAGCAGCAAAGGGCCATACTTGTTTGTACAGGGTAAACAGTCTTTTCATGTTCTTTCTTGATAGATACAAGCGCAATCTTATTAATAAATGAAGACACTTTTGAGACATTTTTTATTGCTACTTTTAATCTTTAACAATTAAATGTATTAAACGTCCTGCGTTTGAGGAAAATGATGGATTGCATATGGTCAATAGTTACGTTGCTTCGTTGTGTCTTAAACTGCAATGAAATACACTTTCAATTTAGTTATCCCTGTTTATAATGAAATTACTTAATCGTTAATCATGAAATTGTCGTTTCGACTTGTTGCTTCAAAGGAACTTCATACATCCGTATTCACGATCACTAAATTTGAAGGTATATCATGGATTGATATAAAATGACCAGTAAACTACGGAGATTTAAAATCAGCAAACTTTTATGCATTTCTACTTTTCTTTGGTTGTACACACGTTGCATATAATATTGGAGTTACGAGAATCCTCATTCTCTTTATTTTTTCTGTCTGGAACTGACTAACTGTACTGATTGATTACCGATATCCTAATGTAAGCAAAACATCCATCAAGTCTAAGCTTCTTTTGCATTTCACGATGGCATAATAGAGATATTGAGTTTAAACAGAATGAACAAATGATAAGTATGACAAGGGACAAGGTGACCTTTGTAAAATAAACCATTAGACGTAAGCTAGTGAACTCCTCCAAATTAATGATGGATACGAACGAAAAATGTCCGCAATTTGAAACAAGTGTTTAGAAATTCTCCTTTCTGCTATATGGCATGCGTGCAATTTTTGAAAAGATTGATGTTTTTGGAAGTTCAATGCGCGTGATACACGAAATGTGATTCTCTTCAGATCGTCCGTCGCACGGACAACACAAACATAATTTTAGATCGGCTACTTATTACAGCAAAAGGGAAAGAATGACTTTTTTGATGATCCAACTTGTACCATATAAAAATAACATCCGGAGAAATGACGTTAATGGCAGATTACTGCAACAACAGGTTACACAAATGCATTACCCGTTAAACTTACTGGGGAAAAATTCCATTTGTTGATGAAAGCACGACAAAAAAGTCCTTTCGCGTTGCTTTTTCACTTGTTTCTTGGGTTTCTAGACGAATTTGCTCATCTACATTCTTGACGACAGGTAATGAAATCAACCCGGATTAAAAACGTCTTATCAAACGAAACATGTATCAAATGAAGAATGTTGGTGAAATTAGCGGCACTTCAATTTATCCGCTTCCACTCATAAACAATAACACGAGCACGTTATCAAGTACTCTATCACCATGTCAAATTCTAAAAGCAGTTTCATATAACTGCATTGAATGACTGCATTGAGTTGAACGCATTCCAAAAATTGACCATGTGTGTTCCGACATTTCTACGAATTTATACCATTAGATTGCATTTTTTCTTAACAACTGCATAGCAAACCCACAAAACGAAGCATCATGAAGAAAATCGCGAGCGAATATTTATGTTTTTGCTTCAAACAAAACGATGAACGGCGAAAATGAATTGAGCTTATAGAACCGATGACGCATCATTACAATACTTTGTTTTCCTGATTAATTTTTATCAATCCGAGAAAACGCCTTCAGGGTTTTCGTAAATTTTATTTCCTTTATTGAAAAAATAAACAGCTGTTGAGGCGGCGAGGCGGGTACGGCTCATCAAGTTTGTTGTTTTTACCATTTTATCGAGAAATAAAATATTGAAAACAAGAGGTTACATTTCGGTATATTAAACGATAATCGGGCATTTGTTTGCACACCCTGACAACGTACCTTGCTTATTATGTTGGGCAAACAAACAAACATTACAGCTGATCTTCCGCTAAATTCTTTGGTTTATTTTGTGCAGATTGTACCGATGAATTACTTTTCAAACATCCTGTGTCAACAACGCGCTGGGTGGGCCTTTCCCAGCATTAGTGATATAAATAATTTCTACAAATAACGCAAAACATCCGAGACATATAGCAAGTAGTTGATGCATGGATAAATAAGGCGACAGAGGGTGGGGTGTCAGACTGTTTACGTGTGGAGTTGGGGGTACTTAGCCACCAATAATGAATTTGTTTTATATTTAAAGCACCATATATTACATCAACTGCTCCAGAGCACGACGAGGTGAGACTACCAAAGTATTTTCGATGCACGCTTGGGGAAGGTCCCGGTCGATATCGTCGAGAGAGGACCGTTTTCACGCAGGCGCAGCTGAAGATTTTTGAGAAAAGATTTGCCTGCCAGAAGTACCTTTCTACGCAAGAGCGCTATGAGCTTGCAAAGCATCTTGGGCTGTCGGCCCTGCAAGTGAAGACATGGTTCCAAAACAGGCGAATGAAGTGGAAGAAAGAGAAATCTTTATTATCAAGAGAGAAGAAGAGTGTAGGGGATACATGTGGTCTTGCTCGAGGGCCCCAAAATGTAAATATCGAAAACTCATGCACCAAAATAGTAGAGGAATCTTAAGCATACCAGACGACGCCTAGTGTAGGACAAATGCCCGATAACTTGTGACGTCATTCTATACACCGCAATATAGAAGTCACTACGAAAAAGTATAATATTCTATAGAACAAAAAGAACAATGTTAAGTTTTTTATTTCTTTCTTATGGAAATTGTTTTCATTTCCAAGCTAACTACGAAAATAATGAGCATGGAATATATTATGGGTCTTTTATGTTTAAAGGGCTTTATTGTGTACATATTTTATATTCTTATGTATATTTGAAATATCTTGCACCTATTAACTCTTCAGTTTAGTACAAAGATTTAATTCTTCAAATTTTTAGCGCCAGTTTCGCTTTGGTCCTTCATTCACTCGCCCACTAAGTGCTAACTTGACTGGAGTATAAAATTTCATAAATGGAAACCGCCAAAGCCAAAATTTTTAAACATGTGCCGAAAATTCACAAATATTGAACGCTTTCTATGATCATTGCCTTTACATTCGATAACTTAACACAACGTTTGAAAACTATTGCAATGAGCGTGTAGCAATTGCTTTACAAATTTCCAAATCATTGTTTTCATGCGTCAATCGTCACTTGCACAATCTTCCAAGATTATGCAAAACTTGAAATTTCATTCCTATTGTTTGTGTTTAATTCCTATTTCCTAATCGCTAAATCCTGTCTTTAAATTATTGATATTTACTTACGCGTTTTCATTTTCTTCCACACTCTCAATTTCACATGTCATCGCAAAAATAAACACGGATAATCTTGTAAATTCGTATTGGCCAAACTGAAAACGCGTTTTATCTACGTGCTATAAAAAGTAACCCTGGCTATTTTTTTCAATGACTAAGCTCTAAAAAGGTACAAAAGCCGATCAGAATATTGAATTTCTGCATTCAATACTAAATTGTTTGTATATAAATGCCAGCTTTTGCAATTTGGGACAATTTAGAGTTTTTGGAAATCATATTTGCGCACGTGATGAAAAAGCATTGCGATGAGCAAAGGAAGTGAGCAAAAACATATAAACTAAAGGCTCCCACTGTTTTATTTTGCTAATTTTCTCTCGCCATACAATATTCTCGTGAAATAACGGTAATATATTGAACGCGAACATAAGATGATTAACCATTTACGTGGGCTCATGACCACTATCAGTGTTTACATTGACTAGTATTTCAACGTTCAATTGCGTGTTTTCAATAAAAGTAATACTTTTCTCGATTTTATACAAGCAGTTAATGAGCTATTATATATCGGACGAAGTGCACAAAAGTTGGTTGCAACACTATCGTCACTAGTCCGAGGTGATATTGCCGTCATCAGTTGGTAAATGACCAAATTTCAAAATCGTCGCAGATACAGTGTACATAGATAATAATCGAGGCATCAACGCGAATGTCAGAAACCACTGGAAATATGAAACCATACACCAGACATGGTTTGATGCTGTTTGTTTTTTAAATATGATAAAATTTACCGTCATCGCTGTTTCAATTGTATGCCATTGTTAGCGTAAATGATATCCAACATATAAAAGACAATGTCGACACTACCGAATGGAGGAACAATCGATGATGCTTCAATCAAATGGAAGACGGAATATCGAAGTTACCGTTCCTCGCAATGTCTTCTATACATCTCTGCGATTGTGTTTATGGTATTCATTACATTGTCAGTTGTCTGCGCAACCTTTTTGTTCAAAAACTCATTCAACTTCCATCCAATAGACTACGAAATAAATGGCGGTGAAAGTCGGGCTGTTCGCGCGTCAACATTATTTTGTGAGGGTATTACGTTGACTAAGGCGAATTTTCAACGCAATTTGATCGTAATCAGAGCACCGTTACGACGGCGAGCAGTTCCACATGTGTTGGTTGATAATGATTTGGTGTTCGTACGAAGAGACCGCGTATGGTACAGGTCGTTTTATCTTCTCGAGGATCTAAAGTCAGCATTCGCATTCGAAGTCAACATACGACCAACGTCTATTGGATTAAAGGGAGAAAAGCTTTAGAAAAATGGAAAAACGAACAGAGTAAAATTTTGACAGCATCTTCACGGGTAGATTTTCATGATTTTACTGGGACAAGAATGTCGGAATCATTTACTGTCAATGAAGACAACAGTTTCTATTTGGGTCTGACATCCATAGCAGGCAATAGGGAATATTCCGATATTTTCTTAAATATAAGTATTTGGCTAATGGAATACGACACAAGCTCAAACGTTACGTCCTGTGGGGCAGCAGCAGGAAAAATCTGTGACGTAAGTTTACGATTCAACACACCAGAAACAGCTTTAATTGTCGTGCCAAACAACAAGACTGTGTTGAGTGATCGCGATGTTTGGGTAACGTGGTATTGCGAGCCAAGGATTTGGTTTTATGCCGCGGTTTTTGGAGGAAGCTTTGTTTTGATCATCTTCTTCGTGACATGTGTATACCACATTGTCATGTGGAGGGTAAGGAGGAAAATTTGTAAGTGGAAACCGACCATAGTGATCGTTTACAAAAAGAAAAGTTTTCAAGAAGACACCCGTGAAGTTTTGCGGACGTCTGTCAACGCTCGGGCTGGCTTATCGGACATGAACTGTGATAACTCTACAAAACCTAATCCATCAATGGGATCAAGCTGCAAAATAGATACTGTCGACAACAAGACCATTTGGCCGATGAGCAGCACACCAAACGGTAGTGCGGACTCATATGTGGTTAATAAAAATATTCTTCTTAACAATGTTTCTGGTCCAATACCTTTCAATGACGCAAATTATGCAAATTTTGTCAAAATGGAAAACGTATTCAAGTTACGTCGATCTCTCCCTCCTCGCTGGTCAACGTTTTCGAGTGAAGATGATTACATTGAATGCGTAACAAATTTCCGAGAATCTCCAAGCAGCACTTTAGAATCGATGAAAAAGGCGTCCGATGATGACAACTTTGAGGCGGAACTAGACGATCGATTTCAAAGCATTCCGAGCTATAACAATGAACCATTTGAGACAGATATCGACAGCGATGAGGCATTTCCGTTTATTAACGCTAATGAGAACTCGGAAATGGATGTTTTGTATCGTCAAAAACGTAACAACGACAAAAGATGGGAACCTAGACTATCAGTGGTAACGGAAGTTTAGTAAACCAAAAAAGAAATTTGCTGTAAGCATGCAAAAAGACTTGCCATTGTTGAGAATTCACAAGCACCCAAGCGTGATGAAAATGTATGCTTCAAAAACACGAAAAAAACACCTGCCACATCACAGCTTGTACATCCATTTTGTTTTCATTTCGTGCTTTGTTGAGTGAAGTTGACTTAAAACATAAAAACTGTGTTTAATAGCTTTAAGTTTGATGATTCAGCCTTTTTACATAGAGAGTTTTCATTATGTATATTTATATAGGTTTCAAAAGAGATGCAAGTCTATAATAACCATGTACGGCACACAAAATGAATAGTTATAAAGAGCTGTTATCGTGGTATTCGATTGTTCTCTACTTTGATAACTGCTATAAAAATGGATTGCTTTTTCAAAAAAAATGTTTGAGCAATTCTACAGACGATTTTTCTTTTCTTTAAAACACTGTTTAAGCACACCATACACAATTGATATAATTTTTACAGTTACAGTGGGAACCGAAGCTTTGATATATATTTATCGATGAAGAAAGGAAGCAAAACCCAACTCTTTAAATAGTGAATCTCGAAAACGTTCATAAGATTCCGCCATGTGACATTTCAATTGCGTGAGCCAAACTTGGCGTAATTTTACTATAAAGATATTTCACGTTGATAACACCCAAATTAAATGGGTTAAAGCAGTAGAATGACTGCGTTAAGAAATTATTTTCACAGCACGAGATATACAATTATCGTATTTAATCTATTCGGCTTCCAACGCCAGGTTTAGTCATCTTAGTTTTTACTGATGTAACATGATGATATAATCTGCCCACGCGCACGGCTTACAAATGATCTTAAATTAATAGTATACAAACATTTATTCTTGTTATACACAAACTTTGTGTTAATGTCTTAAAAACATTTAATTATAAATAATCCACGCTTGACAGACGCAAGATAAAATAATCTCATCGAGTAGATTTTTGATATAAAAATAAAACGACCAAAAACATTGATGAGATTAACAGACCAGGAGAATTTGTTGTTGCACTATTGCACAAATTTTCGTCTTTATTGTTCAATTTCAAGACTTCTTGAAGCACGACTTCTGTATTGCGTTTCTCCAAAGTTTCAATAACATCTCCTTCCGTTGTTACAATGGCTGACGCTTCAGTGCTGGATGTAGGACTTGGTGTCAAACTGGAAGAGAGCATTGATGAAGTTCTTTGAGTACCAGACGAAGTCTCCATTGATGAGGGTCTTCCGGTACCAGTTGAAGTCGGCTTTTGGGAAGTTTTTTGCGTCATGATGGAAGTCAGCTTTGGTAAATTTCTTTGTGTCAAAATGGATATCTTTGGTCGAACATATGGATTTGGAGCACGAACACTTTCGGCTGCTTCTGTGCTGAGTATACTAGCGCACACAGACGTAATTTCCTCGGAAAAGCCGGCATTTTTCACACTGTAAATGATATATAAGAAATACTCGGCAACCAGCGCTGTATGTTTATGTATGTTCATTGCATGCATAGAGATGTTCGTGTATTCATGGTTTGGGATGAGAAAAAAACTTCAAAATTAACTGTATAGATTCACGGAACAAAACTATGTAAACCTTACCCCATCCGGGCAGTCCCAGTTCCCGCTCTGTAGTGAGAAAACTCCTACAGTTTACTTAGATGTTTTTCATTCAAACTTTAAACTACCGGGTTCATCCTTTCCACCCATACTCGTATCACCGTGTTTATCTACAGCTATACTACTCTGACGGCATATAAGTGAGTAAGTTTTCCTTTCTTCATAAATCATTTCTACGTAAAACCTGTTAATGACTCTTAATCTTTGTCGTAGAGACAATTTTGGAAAATATTGCATTAACAACAAATGCATAGAAGGAAACAGCGTCACTGCACTAGCAACAAACATATTGACTATGTAATTGTAAGTATTATAATAGTTGTAATTATATGTGTTGAAACTCATCAAAACGTAAGGAACGCCAAATTAAATTTTAAATTACTATAGATGAGTTAAAAACCTACAAACTTAAGAAGTTTCATTGTACAGAATAGCAAATATTGGACGATGTACTTAGCAAAGGCTCGTCAAACAAAATTCATGGCAGATAAATAAGACGAGGTTCGTAAACCTGAGTAAATCATAAAAACAATGTCTGTGTCGTTTTAACATTTTTGGAAATTTCGAGACAAAAAACACCTGCTGCAATCTAAAGATTTGCATGAATAGAGCACGAAGAAACTTGGAAATAATGTTATTCAAGTGGCTGACGTTGTTTTGGTTGCTTTTACATAGCATTATAGTTACGTGCGTGATTATGGTAAAACTTAAATTAGTTGAAACTGCGATTTGCATTAAAACAAAGCTATCGGAACTATGAAATAGATATTTTGATGCAATATCACGAAAAGCTGATTACACAAAGCAAGCCGTCCCTGCTAGCCAAGTCAAAAAGTGGACAAATCACGCTAAGGAATTCAAAACAAAAATGAGCGTAGAAACTCACCATGAAATCATTCTCTCGCACTCCGATACGTTGATGTATTGAAGGTATTGAAAACCATCTCTAGAACAGGAATCAACAAGACGACATAAAACTTCTCGATAATTTGCTTCACAGTTTGCAGTGATTGAGTTATTTTTCATCTCCTTTGAAAACATTTCCGCCTTTTTCAATAAGTCCTTCACGGTTTTATCGGTGATTCGAAGGTACGCTTTTGGTGCCTGTTGTAAAACACGTGGTGGAAAAAAAGCACATTATTTATCGTCGAAATAAGTCCATGCATTAAGCAGCCTTTCATAAGTCACTCAACAGGAGACAGCAGGTGAATTGCCACCTTCCCTTTAACGACAAAATTCTTCGTCATGTAAAATTCACGCAACACGAAAGACATAATTTATAAAGAAAAAAGTCCCATGCATTTTCAACGATGATCAATGATAAAACATTCTAACCGATTGGCTTTTCATAATAAACATGTTTTACCTATTTTAAACTTCGCTCTCGACAATTCAAAGGCTGCGCTTTTGAGGTGCAAATGTGATAAACAAATGCATTTTCACAAGATTTAGATTAAGATAAAGTTTATACACGGGATAAATTGTTGTAGTTATTTCCAATGAATTAGATAGATGAGTATAGGTTCTATAAATAGCAATCCTTAAACCTGTGCACAATCTAAAAATGTCCTCCAAAATTGAAAACAAAAAATAAAAATCGTCATGGACCATTGAAAGCTCATAAAGAAATCTTTGAGAAGCATCGAGATCTTGAAATTCCTCAACATTCTACCGCGTAGAAAATTCTATACTTTCCTATGCTAAGAGTCGTAAACGCTCGGCATGTTCGAACACAAACTGAGAGCACAACAGTTAATGTACGTCACCCAATGAGAAGATATTCAACTTCCGCACCACGAAAGCTACATACCACGTATTGAAAGCGTGCAACGCAAAGAGATAGAAAAAATTTAAAAAACGTAGCTGCGTGGCAGATCGTTGTGAACAGCTGTCGTGCATGTATTGTACATAGCATCCACACCCAAGACTTGTGTGCCAAATACAACAGTAAAAAAATGCATGTAGATAATATGTGGCAAAGAAGAATCTGGAATATTCAACGAGACCATATAATTTAAACATGACATGTTGCGATGCTTTTCTTTCTACGTACGATCATAATAGCTACATGTAGGAGGGAAAAATCTTTTACAGCATACTATTCAAAGCGACTTCATTTCACACTTCTTCATCTAGCAATTAAGGAAGAAAATGCAACTTGATGTGCACTAGAGCTTATGATTCGTGACATGAAAACATGTTTTGGAACTTATTATTTTGTTGTAGCAACTTCTAGACGAGAAAACAGAACAGACTATCTGACCTACAAAGTTCGTGTTCGATAAAAAACAAAGTTCACCTAGAAAGCCCAAGCAATATATACAGTGATCAAACTAAAGCTGAGATATTGGTCCGATTGTTTATGCATTAGCTTCAGCTTCAGCATTAAGCAAAGCATACAAGCATTCGCCAAAAGTGAAACTAATCGCCCATATAGTTGCCAATCAGATGCCTTAAATTGTGATTTCAACATAGTGGAACAAGAACTTTGATATCAAACGACTTACTTTGACCTCGGCGCCAGGGCAAATACTCGATGTTACAGCTGTAATGTTAACGCACTCGTTTCGTTCCGGAATTATCGATTCTTCAAAAACTGGCGCCGATTGGCAGTTAGCAATTTCGACAGTAGGGCAAGCTTCTCTTGCAAAGTTGCATCTTTCTGTTCCATTACCGTAAACGATGACCATTCTATCTTTATCACACACAGGAAAGAAGCTCTTACACATCATGTTTTCGTACATTCTCCGACAGTGTATTTTCTCTATTTCGATTAAGCCCCGATACAACACTTTTAAAGATATTGTTTCATTAATCCCCTTGATTAAAGAATCATACTGCTCTGCATCGACATTCCTGACGAGCCAATTGACATTGCAAACATCTCGTACAGGAGACACTTTGGTGCATGTCGTCGTTGTCAAACTAAATTTCACAAACGCTTCAATATCCGCAGTACAATACGCTGACAAGCCACAGAAAACGACGACAAAAACAGTAACTTTATAAGGTGACATCATAATCGTCGACCACCGTAGTACAGTCAGTACACGCAAGACGTTCGCATAAACTACACTGATTCTTTTACTTTCATACTTTTACCTAAATGGTTTAAGTTCATGAATAATGGATATCCACGTGAAAGAATTTTCCTTTTGAGTTAAATAGGACTATGTTCGAACTATAAATGGATGGCTTTGAAAGCCATACTTTAATGGCCAAGTCAGTCAAGAAAGCTATCTACAAGACCTTACTCATGACAAAACGACCTATAAAAGTACCTAAATACATTTCCGTTGTATTCTTTATGCAAGCACTTGAAATTGAGCCGGTTGCTAAAATTGTTGAAGAATATTCACTCAAGCACTGGTTATATATTATAAAACAATTTAATGATTGTTAAAGAGCACGAAGTAAATATTCAGGACTAGGCCTCATTTATTGATATAGAATGAATCATTTTAATACCAAGCATAAGAACAAGTAAAATTTCTATGTGAGCAAAGTTTATCGATTTGTCACCATTTATAAGCAACAAAACCAAGCACAAAGAAAAGGTTACAATTGAGAAACATCAATACGCTAACCACAAAATACTAGAACAAAGTTCACTCGTTCACCACGCAATATTGCACAACAACCACAACAAGAATAACAAAAATGTCCTATTTCAGCAACATTTGTTTACCATAAAGCTAAAATTGGAGAACGACAACATCAAGGAAAACAAAAAGCGCCACGTATATGGGCAAAGTGTAATCTGCATGCAACTCTGCAGAGCAACAAATGTCAACGAAGCAAATCACTATAGGACAATGAAGTGCTGGAAAAACGACAACTTTACCTAGCCGATAGTGCTTCTATCTATGCAAACTTAATGCTTATTGCACATCACATGACAACAATTCGGCGCTATATGTATTTGCTATATAGCAATAACGTAATTTATAGAACAAAAACTTTTAGCCGGCAAGTGAAGCCGGGGTGAAGAGCCCAAAAGCTCTTATTTCGTCCCATGTTACCAAGTGCACACTTATAGCAAGATCTTTCTAGCTAATGTACTTGTTCCGTAAGGGTTGAGCAATAATTGATGAGGTCCGCATAAAGTTTATCACATACAACATACAAGATTGATTCGTGATGTTTAGTTAATAGTTTTGATATAATCGATCATGAAATGAAGCATTGAACCAAATGTACTCAAGAACAATTACTTAAGTTTGTAGTTAAGCATGTTTATCCTTTTCGAGAAAGGTATCATTTACATATTCTTCCATTAACTTTTCTTCGACATTGCTTAAACGCCATTCGTGTGTTATTATCTCTAGAGCTTCCCATTCTGCCTATAAATAAAGTTTTTGTGTCACAAGATAAACGATATTTGCATAGGATTGCCTGAACTATTTTTGTCCGTTTCAAGTTGTCAACTTCTCATACGCAGACGTATGCATCAAACACAAAAGACGAGTTTAGATCATGAATTATTTTTCTGCCTGACCGGCGTTTGCCATGAAATAGAGCTTTTCGCAAGTGGTCAGCGGCAACTATATAGCTACATTCAGAACTCAGCAAATAATATAAACCGATTTCTATTAAAAGTGAGGTAAGAAGGGCAAGATGAACTCAAAACAGATAAATTATGTTTTTTAACAACACATCAATACATGACAAGAACATCAACTTCTGTAGTTGTGTATTCTGAGCCTCTGGCCCTTGTTAATTGACCAAATTTTGCAAGCTAAATAACTTCTGCTAGTTCCAATTTTGAAAATTTCACAACATTATTTTTCAAATCGAATGTCTAAGTGTTGTAGATAATACTTGGGAACGATTACAAAGCAATTAAACTAAAACTGGCTTACCGCACGATGTGCGATATGCAGTAAAATTTGCCCTATCGCAGCGGTTGCGTAATGTGATTTGATACGTTTGTCTGATGTTGCGTTAATGACGAGAAAAATGTCGCGTATCTCACAACAGCTTAACGGTTTTAGACCCGCAACTATTTGACCTATGATTATTTACAATTTTTTAATCCCTTTCAAAACATATACGTAACATCAGCCTTGATTAGAGAAGATGTTAAAAGTTTTGGAAATATTTGATTAAAATTACCTTGAATGCTTTAGCAGGATCGGGAGGCATACCTCCACCTGACATCTGCATCTGTTCCTGCATTGCCCGAGTTGAGTCTGCCGCTATTTATAAAAAAAAAAGTTCTATTATTTCCATTGCCACTAAAAAGAACTTTAACCATGTACTGTCAACTGATTGACACTAAAACTAGGCTCTTTTAACAACAAATACATTTTATCTTTAATAAAAACTTTAATATAAGAGACGGTGGGATTGACTGATTTCAATATGCCGAGCGAATTTCTTCACGTGCATCATCGATGTTTTGTGCATGTAAAAGAGCTATAATACCCCGCATCTTCGATGAAAAGTGTTTTTCCCACACTGTTCGATTACAAATAAGGTATTTTCAGCATTCACAAAATACTCACCATTGTTTTCACCCAAGACGAGCGAATACATGCTGCGCAAACCAAAAACATTTATGAAATACCACGAGACGGAACTGACCCTAAAACATCACAAACATCCCGTAAAGCAAACATATGCTTTGTATTGTTCTTGTAATGTTCTCTATTTTCTATTTTACAACAAGACCATGCTTATGTGGTACTCTATGTTGGGGAACGTTGACACAATATCAGAAGGGTTTGAGAAACCATTCAATGTCACATAGAAGTTTTGCAATAAAACGGTCAATAACATAAAGTTATTGCATGTAAATGTATCGAATAAAAAGGAAACCTGGACTGAAAATATAAAAAAATTTTGCATTCAATAAATTTTAGCATAAGTACACCATGACAAAGTAAATGTCGTCATTAATGAGCGTAATTATAATCGACAGATTTTCACAGTTTTAGGGGCGTAGAACTAAAGAGAGTAAGCCACAGTAACTTGAAAACTGGCTGTCAATATGTTGTAAAACAGAAAGATAAACAAAACCAAGGTAAGATCTGAAGCATTGTAAGGCTAAAGAGTTGTGGTTCATGTTTGTCTGATGGTGGTAAACAACTTTTTTAAGAATGAGGAGAAACAACTTTACACCCTCAAGTCTGATGGTGGTAAACAAATTTTTTAAGAATGAGGAGAAACAACGTTACACCCTTAAGTCTGATGGTGGTAAACAACGTTTTTAAGAATGAGGAGAAACAACTTTACACCCTCAAGTCTGATGGTGGTAAACAAATTTTTTAAGAATGAGGAGAAACAACGTTACACCCTTAAGTCTGATGGTGGTAAACAACTTTTTTAAGAATGAGGAGAAACAACTTTACACCCTTAAGTCTGATGGTGGTAAACAAATTTTTTAAGAATGAGGAGAAACAACTTTACACCCTTAAGTCTGATGGTGGTAAACAACTTTTTTAAGAATGAGGAGAAACAACTTTACACCCTTAAGTCTGATGGTGGTAAACAAATTTTTTAAGAATGAGGAGAAACAACTTTACACCCTTAAGTCTGATGGTGGTAAACAACGTTTTTAAGAATGAGGAGAAACAACTTTACACCCTCAAGTTTGATGGTGGTAAACAACTTTTTTAAGAATGAGGAGAAACAACTTTACACCCTTAAGTCTGATGGTGGTAAACAACTTTTTTAAGAATGAGGAGAAACAACTTTACATCCTCAAGCCTGATGGTGGTAAACAACTTTTTTAAGAATGAGGAGAAACAACTTTACACCCTTAAGTCTGATGGTGGTTAACAACTTTTTTAATAATGAGGAGAAACAACTTTACATCCTCAAGGCTGATGGTGGTAAACAACTTTTTTAAGAATGAGGAGAAACAACTTTACACCCTCAAGTCTGATGGTGGTTAACAACTTTTTAATAATGAGGAGAAACAACTTTAAATCCTCAAGGCTGATGGTGGCAAACAACTTTTTTTAAGAATGAGGAGAAACAACTTTACACCCTCAAGGCTGGTGGTGGTAAACAACTTTTTAAGAATGAGGAGAAACAACTTTACACCCTCACGAAAATCTGCCATTGTATTTTAATAGCAACAGACCGAACTTTGAAAATATATGAACAAAAAGAACTTGAGATCTCCTTATTTCATTTAAGCCATACATACCATGAAGCATTAAGAGAGACCAGATCAATTCCTCTTTGAAGCATCGCTTTGAAACGAATTGTTAGAGGAAATGGAACTTTGGCTGAATGAAAAAAAATATAATTTTTTCAATCACGGGGTCATATGACAAATATTATAAAAGAAACATCGAATTTGATTGCGAAGAAAATCTCTCACTTGTGATGAATCCAGAAAATTGCCAGTTGATCCATCCTCCAATGATAATCATTGGTAAAACATTAGTGATGTTTCCTTTAGCCATATCAACCATCATTGTGGGATCTATAATAAAACAGTCAAAAAATCTTTACCAATTCCGAAAATGCAAATACAACACAGTAACCCATTACAACACAATAGTTTTTACAGACAAAATTGGTTAAAATGTGCGGCAATAGACAGAAAAAAGTGTGTTTTCCCTTGAGTTTAAAAATGGAATGTTTTGGAGTGCCAAATCACATATTTTTTTTGAAAACTGATTTTAGATCTTTTCATTGGAAACCTAAAAGTCTAACAGTAAAACTGCAAGCCAGAAAGATTTGGCACACAACAGCAATGGTTATAAAATAAACTAAACGTTAATTTAGATGTTTATCGAGTAACTGCCACAGAACAAAATATTTTGTTCAACGAAATGAAAGTTGATTCATCTACCTGAAATTGGGTTCTTTGCAGCACCTTTCCTCTTTTGTGTTTTGAAAAAACCCTCCTCTTCATCATTGAAAAAATGACGTCTCATTTGAAATGCCTGAAATTAATCAACAAAATTTTGGAAAATACCAATCATCAATGAAAGTCTAAATACCGATGTTCACATTGCAAAGAAAGGGCATTTCTTGCAAAGAGGAACTCAAAAACAAGTAACTAGCTATAATAAAAATAAAAGCGAAGGATAGTTTATAGTAGATCTCTTAGCTATTTGTTAATAGATATTATTTTATAAGGTATGATTTGTAATAAAAAATTCACTCCCATATTTAAAAAACTGTATTCATTTTTCTCAAGTTTATCATAGAAATAATTGCAAAAGTTTCAAAGGTTATTTAATGATTACCAGAATAGATAACATAGGTCAACGCACGAATTGAAAAAACGTTTTTAGTCAAATAAATGCCAAATCAAGAATAAACATTTTTCTCCTACAGTATGAATTTACCTGTAGAGGAATGTAACAACCATGTTCTCTTAATAGTTTGCTTCGAAGTAAAACTTGACTAAAAAAAATATATAGTTTCTTTGGTTTGAGAACGGTCTGAATAGGCATGTTTAAAAATTTATCTGTTAAAAAGCGTAAGTAAAGGGATTCAAACTCAATGTTGTAATCCGTAATTCTTTTTCATTAATGAATTGAAAAGCTAATAATTTGCGTATGTCTTTAAAACAAAATAAAAGCTGTATTGTTGTTAAAGTGAGCACGAGCAAAATAGAAATCCTTTCCAGAGTACAAATTTTCCCACATGAAAAAACCTACCTATCGCTGACTTGTTCCAATTCTAATTTTTTGGTGGTTTGTAGAAGTATCGAAAGATAATGTCGAATAATTCCAACAAAAAATGTTATCATTACAATGGGTAAAATTACCCAAACACGAATCGCTGAATCTAGTAATAATTCCGCCATTTTGAAAGTTACATTGCACAGCTGAATCGGGGAAGAATTGAAAAGAGTGCCATGACGGGGGAGTGCAGTAGTTCCAAAAACATATAACATTGGAGGACCAGGGAAGAACCATCGAGCAACGAGCTAACAATGGAACTAACCCGACTCAATGTGACGAAAAGTTATTTTTGTTTGCTTATTCATCGCACTCCTCCTCATCGTGTGGACTTAATAATAGCAAAATTTTAAACACCACACTGAACACCTTGGAATATGTAATTACTTACAATTAATTACTTACGCGTACAGAAAGGCAACATGAACGAAACGCAAACGATGGTGGACAACAATTGTTCGTCCATTTTTATGACATAAGGTCGATTCTTCTTCAAAAAAGAAGTAAGTATTTTGGAAGTGAAATTGTAGAATAAAAATGCATCAACTTGTGTTCAAAGAAAGGACAACCGTTAATTTATTAAAACAAATTCCATTAGAAAGCTATCTAACTATAAGAAATTCTGCAACTTGTCTCACACATTGTCCACCAATCTAGGAAAGATACATTCCAAATATCAAAGGGTACAAAAGTGGCGTGATCCTAAATCATATATGATATATTTACTATCACAAAACAGCACAGAAAATGCATAAACATGTCGTTACAGAATTAAGTATGCTCAAGGTAAACCGAAGATGAAAACACCCAGGTGTTCTGGAAGAAAAAATCAACACACTTACAACATGTTTTCTTCAAGCTTTAAATACAGAATACGGTTTCCCTGGAAGGCAGTCTTCTTTGATTTTATTATCACCTTCAACCGCCGACTTCAATTCTATTGAGCAAAGCTAAAAAGCAACGTCGAAAAATCCTTAGTGATGATGAAATCTGAAACGATCACTTGGCGAAAATATAACAACACTTACACCGAGTGATTTTGTCAAATACTGGATGTTAGCATTCAAGACATTTCTTTCATCAAAACTCAATGTCGTATCCAAAGCTTCAATTCCTTCGCTTTCAACTTTATTCTGGAAAATAACGAAATGTTTCCTATAACCTTTCTGCAACATTTTCAACAAAATAAACCTTTGGATGTAAAATATGAATCCGCAAGATTTGCTACTTTACGTGCAAACAATTTCTATTACGGTGAGAAAATAGTGGGACAGTTAAGACTGATTTCCATTCAGTGCAAATTGTCGCGCGATCGACTTTTTGAGATCACTTTCTTTTGAATTGTGTGCAGCAGAGTGAAACTGTTCCGGTCGAGAGCTTACAATTGAAAAGAAATGATCGGAAAAAGTCGATCGCGCGACATTTTGCACTGAATGGAAAGCAGTCTTTAAATGGCTTGCCAACCCCTACCGCTGTTTACGGTAAGTGGAACCTATCCTCATGCACACTTGCTTGAAGAGTTATCCATTAAAGTAAACATTGAATCAACGAAGGAAACACAGAAATATTGGAGGAAGTATTGAATCAACGGAGGAAACATTTAATCAATAAAGGAAACATTCGGTCGATAAAAGAAATATTGAATCAATAAAGAAAACACTGAATCGATAAAAGAAACATTGAATGAATTGAGGAAACATTCAATGAATAAAGGAAACACTGAATCAATACAGGAAACATTGAATCAATACAGGAAACATTGAATCAATAAAGGAAACATTGAATGAACAAAAGAACATTGAATCAGTAAAGGAAACATTGAATCAATAGAGAAAACATTGAATGAATAAAAGAACATTGAATGAAGAAACAAGAAATCAATAAAAGCAATGTTGCATCAGCAGAGGAAATGAAATTGAATTTCACGCACACCTTATAGTTTTGAATAAACGGCATAAGTTTCTTCATGTAATTCTGAACCTCTGGAATATCTTTCATTGCCTTAACGATTTCTCGATTATCAGGAAATGATCCACCGTTTATTTCATACATTTCCTTCAACTTTTTCAATGTAAGCTCTTGCCATGACGGAAACGAGTCAGCAATATAAATAATGCCCTTCGTTGGTTGGACTGCGGGAGTAGCGTTCTAAAGAAAAAATAAATGAGAACTTCTTAAATAACCTTGCAATGACATGTTTTGACGTATTCCAGTTGTTGTTCAGTCAGTGGAAAACGTAGCTATGCGTTCGTACACGAAACACATGAACCATTTGCAAACCTTTTTTCCTCTCGACGTCATCATGGATTTGATCCTTAGGCGAAATTCGTGTGCTGAATCAGCAATGTACGACGATGCTTTTAAGTAGGATTTGTTCACCTCCTGATGTTGAGGCCAAGACGCAAACATGATGCTGTCCTCCTGAGTAAAAAAAAGTAGTATACAAATAGGATTTCAAGACTTTATACGCTGAATGTTAAGAAAACATCACGGAAAATCTACGAGAGACAGCCTCATACGTAGTGGCGGAACCTTTGGGCTACACTGTGACGTCAAGTATAGAATATGTTCAAATATTTGTGCGCAATCTTTCAAAGAAATTATCCTTCGTTGAATCATCTTAGTCATAAACTAACTCGGCTTTTCATGTGTTTGTAAGTATCATGGACGGGAAATTATTCAACATACAGCAACAAATTATAGTTTAATTTCAAAGATGCTGTGTCTATTTCCTTTAATATTTTTTGTACAGCATAATACACATGCCAAGGATTAAGACGTTTACCAATCCACATTGACAAAGCGTCACACTTCCATTTTTGAACACTCAGGACCCAATCATACTGCTATTCATTAAATAGTCAGTTTTTAAAATATAGAAAACGGTTGGTACTTGGTAAGTTGACTTAATAAAGATAAAACAGTTGTGAAATGCTCGTTATAAAGGACAAATCGAGAGTAAGTACTGCGTAGATACATTTTATGCAAAAAATAGGACAGTAACAGGAACTTTTAATAAGAGTAGAAAAACAGTAGCAAGCTATTGCATGAAGAAGTTGAATACTCACGTGACCAATCAATCTCCAGATATGTTCACAAATATGAGGACATATAGGCGCAAGCATCAACACCTGAACCTCTATAAATCGAAACACAAGTTCGCGGTGCATTCCGTTCATCGACATTTCTCGATAGCGATCTCGAGCAGCTTGGAACTCGAAGAATGACGATTTAACAACTTCTCGATAAAGCATGTTCTCGTAGTTTTCCTTCGACTTAGCAATGGTATTGTTTATTTCACTGAAAATTATGTAAAGCACAAATGTAATGCATTTTTTGGCAGCTGAATTAACGCCTTTCAGCAGTAAAGTATCTGTGTCATAGAATTTCTATACGTGATGTCAGAAATACCAAAAATCCAGGCAGCCGTCATTCATTTTGACAGCAAACTATATTAGCAAATTAATCTACTTTGTCGGGTACAATCATACAAGAATGACTTGCTATCCATATAATAGGTTATTATTGATATCAAATTGATTCTTATAGAAATGATGAACCTTAATCAAGCGAGTTCGAATCTTTTAACCTTTTCATAGTACGAGAACATCACAACTGATCACAACAGACCAGAATGTTATTTCATTGATATAAATAAATCAACTCACTTTATGAAAACCAAGTCTTGAAATGATTCCATCGAGTCAACTCTAAGATTATCTTTCAGTTCAATCATTTCCTACCGAAATTAAAAACATAACACATTTCAGGTGCAGTTCTGAAACTAAACATGCTGATCACACAGACAGACTATACGTACATCAAAAAAAAAGTCAAAAAAGAGATTTAGCTACTATTAAGTTAACCATTGCATTCTTTTCAAAAACATTACAGAAGGTGAGATGGATGATTTTGGCATGGATATGAATGTTGCATAAAATACCTTAACCCACTCCAGAAATGTATACAGTCGCAAAATACCACCATCTGCCATTTTCTCGACAAAATTGGCGTCTTCAATTGTATCGCCAGCATCGGCAAGGGCTAAACGCAAACCTACAAAAAAACGCAACCAGAGAATTGTAGGGAGTCATAAAAAGTTCATATTAATATGATCCTTGTTTTAAATTAACATGAAAAAACACCAATGATATACGTATACACGATTTTCCATGTCAATTACCAAACTTTTCCTTGTGCTTGATGAATGAATAAAAAAACCGCTATCAAAATCATCACTTTTGCTATGAACGATATCAGCAATCTTAAACTTTTGAAAAGATCGAATTTTTACTGAGGTTGTGGAAGAATCTCTCTCGCATTTAAAAATTGCCGTAGTTAAAATGACGAAACTTAAATGCTTGGTGAGGAGTGCTCAGGAAGGACTGAGAATTACAAAGTCAACAAAGCCTCGTGTTTCATTCAGATTCAAACACTGATTGAAAAATCACTGAGATTGAACATCCGCAATTGTAGCTAAGTAGTTCAGTGAGTCGCATAATAGTTGCGAGCATTTACAGTACCATCGGCGGAGAACTTTTTCACAGCTTGTTCCAAAGTCAAAAAATTTCCAGTAGACTTGGACATCTAACAAACATAAAAAGGAGCTGACTGAAGCATCTTGTATGCACCATAACCGTATATTTGGCGTAGCATAATGAAGATACGTAAGGCTAATTCTAGGCAGGATTTCTGAAACACGATTGATAAATCATAAGAGAGCACTACCTTTTCGGAGTTAAGCAAGATGTGGCCATTTGCTCGCACACTGACAGGCCATCTATGATCAATGGAAAAGAATTCAGAGTGAATAATGAACTTTGAAGGAAAAAAAATAAAAACAATAGTGAAACGCTCGAGAAACCAAACTAGGAATGAAAGGATAGCACAAAGTTTAAAAAAACTACTGCCTATTGGCTCGTGATTTTAATCAATCATAAAATGTTACACACATTTACTTCAATTCTTCACTGAGTTGAACATGCATTGACTTCATGGAAAATGAAAAAAATTTAATAAAACCTATCACAACCTAGTCTAAATAGCCACTCGCTGTTTCACACTTCAAAAAACTGACTTAAAAAAGTTCATCAATGAGTATTTTAGTGAAACAAAGAACAATCGACACTCAAAAAAAAGAAACAAAACAATATTTAACCTAAGCAAGCAGAGAAGTCTCGACAAACAATGATTTGCATTAATTACTTCATTTTTAAAGCACGTTATTTGGTATTTAAAGTAGAGCGTCTAACCATACGCACTCCTGAAAACATACCTTTCTGGTTCATCCTTCCAAATAGCACAATGGTTGTAGAGAAAAAAGGTTAAATGATTTGGTATCAGATCCTTTCCAGATACGCGAACATCCACAGGATACCAATAATGAAATTCCTGACGAAGCTTTCTGCAACACAATATTTTAGACATAAAGCGCTGACACAGGCATTCAAAAGCACAAGATATTTTCGTGCGATCTATTATTATATTAAGAGTCTTACGTTAAAGACGCCATAGGAATGTCCGTTGTAGGTTTCGCGGCATTTTGAAAAAATATATAATCCCAAACTTCTTTAGTCATCTGTTCTGGTCTAGAACAATTAATCATCAAAACAAGGCAGTCGAAACTAAAAACAATCTTCGTCGGACAAAAAGGGAAAAAACTCGAAAAAACTATAAAAGCATTCGCTAAGGAAAAATAATGGACACTGACGAACAATTAAGAAAAGTTATGTTATGACTTTTGCAAGAAAAGCAACAGATTATTTTTATTTACATGTAAGTTTTGTCTTGGAAGACAGAATGGATGATGTGACAAGCATGATGGACATATTGATAATTAGTAGCCCATGCATGACATTGTACACGAGCTAGATTTGTGATTGTGACAGGTTTGATACCTTGAGACCAATCAAGAAGAAGTGAAGATGTATTACGGATTAAATTTGAAAAAAAACTACAGGTAAGTAGATTACAATGACATACTTAATACCAAGAGGACCAGGTACCGAGCCATCTAATACACCGCCTTGAAGAAGATATGCCACGGAATAGTAAGCCATGTATATTGTTGAATCTGACAAAGATTCGATCAAATACTGCTCGTCCCATGGTAATTTTGTGCCTGAAATCAAAATATAACAAAATTCAATTGAATTTAATCGAAAATAAAGTCAGTAACGATTGAAAATATTTCTTATTATGTTGAGGTTCAAATCAATATCAGCATTTATTGTTCCATTCTCGGAACCAATCATGGCAGCTATAATATACGTATATATATATATATATATCGATCACGTGACCATACCTAAGCCATACGATCTTGAGCAGGCATGCTCGTGTAACCAATCAAGGGTCGCTTCAAAATTTCTTCGACTCTCTTCCACATATCTGTAGAAAGCAGCCAATCACTTATAGTCAAAAAAAAGGATCGAGACTAAGCTAGCATTTGATTTTAAATTGAAATACAAAAATAGCACAGCACATTTTCGTCAAAGGTAGACAAGAGCAACAGAGGTGCACAAGCAGAAACCATTAAAGTAATAGATACAAACGTATTCAATTTTTCTAAAGCCTTTCTTGTCTTGTTTTTCCAATCGGAATCACCATAATCCAAATACCTACAAAAAATTCAAACACCGGCTACTCGTTTTTCATTTTAAATATTTGCTGAACTATGAAGACATTCTGATCTGACCATTGATCACAGAGAGCCACAACACATTGATCGCCAGAACGTGAGACAATGGTCTTCTCGGGTTCCATGTAAAGTACGGCTTCATTCTAAAAACACAGCGATGAATTGAAAAGGGAAAGTTGGCGGATATCAAAAAGACGAATATAAAGTTTTTCGTTAGATTTAAAGATTTTACATAGTTTTGCGTGGTTGAATAGATAGAGTTTTCTATTCAATCAGTACTACTGGCATAAGTATCCAGCACAATGTTTAGTATCCGTGAGATAATATAATGTCTTTAAATGTAGATCGTCCAGGTTGGTATAGTCCTGACTTTTTTGTCTCTGAAGATGACTACCGCTAAGGTTGCCGAAACGTCAGTCAACAACAAAAAAAACAGTCCTTCTCAGGTCTATACCAACCTGGACGATCTACATTTACAAACATGTAACGATACTCACGGGTTCAAACCATTTACTTTAATATAAAGTCTATTTGCAAGCGTGGAAGAAAACCCAAATTATGAGACAAAACTTTTCTAACCTGCTTAATCATTTGATCTTGCACGAGTTTCTTGGCCTCGTGAACAAAAAAGCCTTTGAAATCACCAACCAACATAACGCCTTCATAAAATCCTTTCTTGTACGTTATTTGTTTAGCTTCGTCAAGACGATCTCGCTCATTTTGACTCTTGATTTTCATATCCTCGCATATCTTTACCGCAGCAAGGTTACCAAAGTCTGGTACTTCGATGATGGGTATGGGATCATATGGTAGAACCATTTCATCTGTAACACCATACTTTTTACGAAATGCCTACGGATATAAGGCCCAATATTATTACACGTACAGAAACAAAAGTAGCTTCTTCGTCAATCTGTATAAACGTATCTAAATCATGCTTTTCTGATTCCCTATCGCTTAAGTCTAACATATATAAATTTACATAACAATTACCTCTTTAGATTTGAGATCTCTAAGTGCAGCAAAATCATCTGGTGCATCAGAAGGAACAGATGTAACTATACCAGTACCTAGAACAAATACACCTTGTTTAACATTTTATACCTAATTTCAGACACGTGTCTTATTCAAAGGTTTCGGTAACCTTTATCCTCTTTAATATTAAGCATTGGCAATGTATAGATGACAGGACACGACGTAAGAGGGGCTTTCAATGGAAGACCCATGATATCCTAAAATATACAGGAATACTGCATGATTTTATTTGTAAGCTTGCAACCGTCTACACTTTTATAAAAAAATGTCCATGTCACTTGTGTCGACAACATTTTTGATTTTCAAATCCCTGCAAAAATCTGAAAATAAAATCCACTTACCTGCCCAGTAAGTTCTATTAAAACTTCGTATTTTCCTTCGTCGGCAGTAAATCCTTGATAAGACATGTTTTGAGCGGCTCTCCTTGTACATATGAAAATCTCTTTGTGCACGGTTTCAAAAGCAATGTACTAAGAAAACAAAAAAATTCTGTTCAAAAAATTCCATTCCCATCAACAACAACATAATACCACTGCACAACTGTTCCGAGGATTCCTCGTTTATTGGTTTGCACAAATTACATCTTACCTTCATATCTGGCCTCACGAAGCAGTTCGTTTGGCCATACATTGTCTCTGGACGCAATGTGGCTGCAACCAAATAAACATCTCTTCCCGATAACGAACTAAGTAATGTATGTAATTAATGAACTCAGATGTAAGATATAGGTGATCGCTGAAACTTGAAACAAGGACTAGTAAACATTTTCCCAAAGAAACGAAACGTACGTTGTTGACAAACTCAGACTTACGTAGCGCATACATAAACAATGCAACTTACCCGAGTTTCTCTTTAAAGGGCTCGATTACTTTCATCTTAATGATTGTATACTCTTGAGGACCGACACCCTAGATAAACCAAGAAAATAGAGACGTTTCCCGGCCACTTGATAATCAACCTCACAAGTTTTCATATAAGACATTCACCTCTCCACTCAGTCGATCATGGTCCATACAGGGTTGGTTATCCTTGGGTGAAAATATCGTATATCTATAAGAACAACATCGTGAAAACATTAAGAGCCGGGCACCCTCAATGACTCGACCGGAGTGAGAGAACAACTGATGACATACTGTGGTATAAAGCCTACCCGAACGTAGGATTTCATTCAAAATGCTAAATATATTATGAGCGCTCCCACACAACACATGGACGAAAAATGGATAAAAATGCCGATTAGAGCTGAGAGATTGTCATGTTTTATTAACATATTAACCACATATATAAATTCTCTTTGAAGTTCTTTGACCGCTTACTCTGAACCAACCTACGTAACATTCAATTTAACTGTAAAATGAGTTCACACATTTATTCGTACACATGCGCCGTTTCCGTTTTGATTACCATAACATTTGCGAGGCCTCTTACAACCTCCAAGTCATAGAAAGACGGGTGATGGTACCTTTTGCCAAATTTCACCTTTCCTCGATCTTTTAAGGTTAGAAAATGCCATCGCACAAAAGAATCATAGTAAGGATTAACATCAGTGGTAATGAAGGAACGCCTCCAGTCAACCTGAGAATTACAAAGCTCTCCGTCTTTATCAACAACAGGATAAAACACATGTTTGTGAAAGTACCTTCACTCCCATACTTTGAAGATCCCTCATAGCCACGGGAGGGAAATATCTTAACCAAAAGTCAGCATCAGCAAAACTACGTAGGAAAACGTTGAAGTTTGAAGAATGATTTGGATGAAGCACAAAGTGTTTTAACAGCTGAATTTTCAGCATACGTATGTCTGCTTTCTCAATTGTGCAATTACGTACAGTATTAACTTACTTTTTGATACTATCGTCATCCAAACCCATGTTCTGCATGATCTGCCATTGGTAATTTGCCTTGCCAGTTTTTGCAGCTACTTTACTTTTCACCTTCAATGATAAAAAAATGTGAAAAATGTCGCAAAATCGAAACGATGATACAAAATATGGAATGAAAACACGATTCACACATGTCAATCAAATAAATGACAGCATTATTAATCAAACGCAGAACAGCTGAATTAGACAAAAACGTGAAAGCAGCATTAACGAGAAATGAAAACATTATCGATGAAATGCCTGCTGCGGCATTTATCAATTTAGATCAAAAATATGAAAGGTACATTAATCAAAGGCATGCATCATAATGAAAATCTTTTGCCAAACAGAAATGAACTCAACTAAGTGAGAACACTAATCACAAGTACACTATAAATAGCAACATAAACGCCCAGTGTACGTACCACGAAATTTCTATGATAATTGCAACATGCTTATACGTAGAAAAAGCAATAATATAAAACATATTGCATTTAAAGACTGGTGTGTTAAGCAGGCAGAACACGTTTAACAGACATTTATTGTGTGAAAGAAGGAAATAAAACCATACTTTCAGAATCTTCAACTTTCTCTATCCGTATTTTGCGAAAAATAGTAATAATTTACCTGCTTTTCTTCAGCCGGTTCTGTCTCTTCAGGAAACTTGGGAGGACACCCAAAGTCAGCAATTTCACGCTGCAATTTATCTGCGCATGCCTAAAACAGAAGCATCTTTTTGGACTAATTACGTAGCTAATTACATTCACACCGGTCAAATTCATGCAATTAATGGATTGAAATGGTAAATCACATTCCACTTAAGGCTTATAAATTACGTATACATTGAAGCTGATCGATTCTTGTATGTCTACCAGGCACAGGTCATAAATGAATTCATAGTTTATTATAAATATCGTAGTCTCAAAAGTAGCCTCGCTTTGAAAGTAACCGTTCTCTTGAGAGAACATAGCCGCCTTTTTTAACACAGACTAAAGAATTGCAAAAGTAACCGCTCTCTCAAAAGCAACTACCCTCTTTATTGAGCTTTCAAGAGCTTTACAACATTTATACTATTATCCAAAGAAAACGTTCATGTACATTTGTGTCAACTACTGTACCACAACCTTACACAACTTTAAATGCATTGAAAAACATGGTTTGTACAGATTGAGTTAAGAGTTAACCATTGGAGTTCTCCAATGCTAAAAATTAAAACTCGAAATTAAGTGCCCTTTTGAAACTAAGCACCACCTCCACCACCCGAAAAGAAGGCACACCTTGAGGCCACTAATGTGTAAGGCATCCAGGGCAGTTCCTTTCATGACTTTAAAATGTATCATAGCTAGTGGTATTACCTTTATTGGCATCCCAGTACAATGAAATCCAAATGGAAATAAGCATGCTTTGCCTTGCATGCGCTGATAGCCAACTGCAAACTGAAAAATACAACTGATCAGAATTTGACTTTTGAGAGTTGAATTACTATCCCAAAACAACAAATGCTGTCTGATGAACACATGATGCGCAAATTTCTTTTTCACAATCTATCAATAAAAATACTGACCTCACACTAGTATGAGCACACAACCAGAGATAAAGCATGATTAAAAAAAAGAAAGATTCAATGTTAATGAACAAGTAGCAATGCATGCTCAAATAACAAAGTAAACGCAGTAATTCTTAATTGAAAATTGGATTTCATTTCTCAAGGCGGGTTCAACAATTTTTAGTGGGACACATGCAGTCTAACCATAGGAGTTGCAGATAAGAAAATGTTGATGAGATTGAACATTCAATTCGTATCAAAGTATATTTCAGTTGAGTTAAACCTTTTTTAAGAGTTCTAGCTGCCCAAAAAAAATCAAACACTAACTTAGATGTACCTTAGACATTGAGTATGTATGTCCCAAATGAAGACAGCCATTCATGTAAGGATATGGAAATGTAACAAAGTACTTTTGTTTCCTAAAGTAGCAAACAATGGTTGTACAAAGACCATAACAGAGATCAAGGGAATCATATGACAAAAGGACATGTTAATTCAAAATAAATTTTCAAAAGCAAATAACCTTTTAGCTTCTTCAGAATTCAACTGAAACAACACAGAAAAGAAAACATAAAAACAGTTAATTGAAGATTGAATATAAAATTTACACAAAGGAATACAATTATGAAGAAAGATATGAATATGTATGTATCGAATAAACAACAAATAGGCTATTGTTCTTCATTGCATTACACCAATTGTGCTTGTTTATGCATTACAACATATTTTTGTGACATGAAAATTATTTCCAATGCAGTTGTATAGCAAAGTAATTCATTAGGTAAGGAAATAAGGTATGTACAAAGATCATTGAGCAATACAGTTTTGCCAGGCAAGGGGTAGACAAAAAATCCTTCACTTTTTGAAGGCTCATACTTGATTTCAAAGTATTTTGGGAGCTAGTAACCAGTCCTTTTGCAGAAATCTTGTTACAAAGTATATCTTCTAGTAATTTTCAACTCGAAATGGGCAATTACCTCAGGTGCATCCACCTCAAAAATTTTTTTCTCTTTCCATGACTTCTGAATCTCGACTTCAATTTCTCTTAAAGCAATAACTTTTGCATTGCTTTTGCGTTCTGATTTGCCTTCCATCTAAAACACATGCGTTTTGTGTTTCAGACAATGCACATTGCTTTCATAGCACTTTGTTAGTTTGGTAAAATGTTCAGACCTATGCAATTTTAACCTGTTTATTTATAATCCTATAAATATGATTCAAGGTCATTATCATAGTGAGTGCACTTTAAAAATAGTTCTTCCTGTGGTACCAAAAAGTCATAATTATGCTCTTATTATCCAAGGCAATTTGACATTTCATGCAAAGACATATAAAACACCTACTATCATTGTCCCAATCAAGTTGATTTGCTGTGATCACTAGTATTATGATTCTTAAGCTGAAATCTCAGCATGATCGGCAATATCAGTGAAGATCGAAATTTACAAGATAGTCTTATTACAACTTTTACCAGTGTGTAATTGTAACATTTTTGCCATTTGCTACAAATAAAATTTCCTAGCTAATACACTAACAAAATTTTTGACGCACGTCAACTTTCAGGCCTTTTCATGTAATCTAATCCTGCTTGTGAGTTGTGATTCATTGATTCAATGAACAAATTAACTATTTGCAAACTATGCAGACAGAAAAAAATAGTTATTTCATACCACAAAAGATCGACGTAAAACGAACTCGAATCTCCTACAAGATAGCGTTATGCAAAGATCGACCAAATGTTTTGCTTGAAAAAATTGAAGATCTTGTACATACACAAAAATCTTCGAGGAGTTAGTGCACATTCATAAATTAATAGCCCATTGATCAAGCAGAACTACAAATGTACGATGGGAGTTAATTAATACTTTATGTAATTTTTAAATTTAAAAACGAGGCAGCACGCTATTCTCCGTGACCAGTGACCGTAGCCCAATGTGACTGAGGTGAAATATTTATACAAAGAACATGTTGTCCATACAGCCGTTTATTATTTTCATTGCTTGCAAAATTTTTAAGATTCATTACATTCACAATAAGATCATTATAGCTTGAAAAAAACAGAGACACTCTATACACATATTTAATGTCCAAGTATGTTGTTTTTAATACAATTGTGAGCATTGAAACATATATAGACACCAATCTGAATGCCCAAAAGCTTGTCATGTTGAGCTTTAACATTAACTGAAATAAAAAGGCTCATTGAATAACGATCTAGTTAGAATTTTTCAAAATTTTTGCGCTTGATAAGTGTGACCAATATTAGCGTGACCTGACCTGGATATGTTGCACTGGCTATAGCACAGTCCGTGAAATACTCGAAATGTCTCATTACTTTGATAAATATTTATTTCCAAAACACGTTTAATTAAAATCTGAATGTTTCGAAATTTTTTATTTCAAACTTAATAATACATATACTAATTTGGTGACAGCATAGATTGAAATTTGAACGCGTTGCAGCAAAGTTGCAGTCGTCGTATTTCGCTCTGATGGAAATCCCCGTATTTCACTGCCTCTCGTTATCAGAAACTGTTTGTGGACCTTCGTACGTGAATAACATAACCTCACATCAAATTTTCAAAAGTTTCATTCTAAAATTGAAAAAGCGTAATTGAAAAATGTAAATTTCGTGGTAAGCGAGTGCATTGTCATAAAAAATATCATACACATTTAAACTATAATCGTCTTGGACATTGAAGTCTACCTTTTCACACGAGAGTGGACTCACTTCTCTCAAGTACAGCGTGTTTAAATTATCATCACTATCAATACTTGATTCCTAAAAATGATAGAACTATACTTCAGCATCATACAAAAAGCATATGGCTATGGCAATATAGGAAATTATGCCAAGTTCTAATTTGTGTAAAGTCTGCAAAATCTATTCATAAAAAATTTATATGTCAGCATAAAATTTTTGGTTTCATTTACCCCAACGACATTTTCGTACAATATCTTTTGAAGTTTGTTGTAGAGGGACTGAAAAGTGGGACGTTTTTTTGGTTCTTCATCCCAACATTCTCGCATCACGTGATAGATATCGCTTGGACAATTTTCGGGCTTTTCCATTCGCAGAGAATTTTGAAGGAATACCAAAAGGTTTTCGATGGGAAGCGAAGGATATGGTGGCTTTCCCAGTGCAAACATTTCCCAAAGAAGAATACCAAACGACCACCTAAAAATGAAATAATTTATAGTTTTAGTACGAGTCTGCGTCTCTATGTTAAGAGAAAACGTAGTACTATTAAATGCCAAATGTGTGAAACGCCTTGGCGAAAAACCTTTCAATTAATGTGATATCTTCTTTAACAAAGAATTGTACTGAAAATAACTTTTCAAATATTTTCAGGAAGGGCGTTCTTTGACCTTTCAGGAAATATAATGTTTTTTGAACACTTGGTCGACATATGTTTTAAAAACGTGTGCATGATAAAAATCGGCTTTGGACTAAGATCACTCTTGAACACTTACACATCACTCTCTTCGGTATAAACTTTTTCTAATATCGACTCCAAGGCCATCCATTTCACTGGAAAGTATCCTTGAGTACTGGAAACGTAGTTCATGTCATCCACGATCTCACGAGCCATCCCAAAATCGGCAACTTTCATCACATAGTTATCAGCAACTAGAACGTTACGCGCCGCAAGATCTCGATGGATACACTGTAAGGAAATTTTGTCAGTTAGTGCAAAACAGCAACTTCGACAAAAAGTTTAATAAGCAAAATGGCTGAGTCTGAGTGGCAAGGAAATTAGTTCTAATTTATTTACGGCCCCACATCAAACCCAAAAGAAAACTTTGGTCGCTAGAAATTCACATTATTGATAATTACATGGTGCATTTAGCGTGATTTTGCTTATTTCAAGGAAAGAAGATCCACAAACGTTGCTCATGTTAAACACACATTGGTATCCACGTGTACCATGGTAATATTTTGTTACAAAGCACCATCAAAGAATGAAGATACGAGATACGACTGATGCAGAGTAAAGTCTTTACCGCATCTCAGCTTTAGGCAAAAAACGCTTTTGCCAAATTTCAAATAACGTGCGAACTGTTTACTATTTTGATTTGTGTGAATTGACCATTTATTAAATTCACGGCTTGAAAATTTCTATTTTTAAATAACTTATCCTTCCCCCAATTTTAATGGAAAATAATCATTTATAAGTTTGAACTGACAAAGCCATACAAATTGATACAATGGTTGCAGAAAAAAGAATCCAAAAACACCTAGTTTTAAGAATATATAAGTATTGAAAACATATTTCTCTCAGAGAAGTGATAGTGGTAACTTGCACTACACATGCAACATAAAAGTGATAACATTATCCAACAACAAAATGTTTTCTAGTTTCAATCTTCTGTATGCATTGAACAGACCTCTTATAATAGGTTCATGATGGCCTGCATCCCCACAAAGTCTTCACCGCATCAAACTTGATGATGGGCGAATGTTGAAATTCCTCATGAAAGCAAATCATGAGAGTTTACGCTATCTCAGTTTACAAGATGTACCTTTTTGGCGGCTAAAAACTGCATTCCGTTACATATTTGCAAAGCAGCAGACACAAGACTTGTCATCGTGAAAATTTCTTCACTTGAGAAATCCTCTTTGCACCAAGTTGGCTGGAATATCTCTCTTCTTTTACGTAGGAACTCGAGCAGGCTTCCATGTGGACAGTACTCGATAATCATGTACAGTTTGGGGTATTTTGTACAAGCCCCTAAAACGTTCACTATGTTCACGTGTTCTCCCACGTGAATAATCATCTTCAATTCACCTGCCAAATTGCGGATGTCGTTTGCACTTGGATTTTCTAAAAATGAGGAAAACATTTCACAATGGGTCCATTTCGTTGCTTAGACGTTACAATATATGGACGTCGACACGTCAAAAAAGAACGTAGAAAAAGAGCGTATATGCAAAGGCATTGTATTTGATTCACAATTACGCACGCCAGTCTGCCTTTTTTGCTTCTTTAGACATTGCCTTTTCACGTCACACTGCCATACACGAAGGTAATCTTTCGCTAATTGTATTTCGTGTCTAATCAATATTGGATCTAGCGTTAGTCAAATCAAATTATAGATGCTCAATTTTAAATTTCTTTCAGACAAAAACTAATATCAAACTATTAGTCGTAAATTTCTTAACAATAAAAATGAAATCAGTTGAGTTTACTCTGTGATATTTGGTAATGTAAATACAACCAAAATGGACCGCAGTGGAATTATTGTATTTAGATTTGCCCTTTTCCGCCACTGCGTCCGATCAAACTTAATCAGTCAATCGTAAACAGTATTTATTCAAATTGCTTTCAAAAAAATCTCAAGCCAATTACCTACATTGAAATTTCTCCTTATCGTGCAATAATCTTTGGCAGGTGTGTGAAACTAATGCATAGTCAAAGTTAACGAAAAAAAGATCTTTTGATCTTGATCATCAAGTTTTCATCAACCAGTTGTTAAATAGATTTTTTGAATTTAAAAAACTTGCATTAAAATTCTTTGTTGATCCAAATTTGAGAAATCCATACGCTACTGCGAAATTTATGAATAAATCAAAGATAGAAAGTCACCTTTAGTTGTTTTGACAGCGACAGTGATGGACTCTTTTTCATCACAAAGAGCAAGATTTGGTTTGTAACGAGCTTTGGTGAACTCTTTTCTTTGTTTCTTCGCCTGTGTGCTTTTATCGCGCGAGTTCATTAGTCCGATTCCATAAGCTTTTGCTTTGTACACTTTTCCAAAAGCCCCACAGCCAATGAGTTCTTGAAAGTCGAGATACGTATGAGGAAATTCCCAGTCTTCGTCGTACGACAAATTATGAATTTGTTCGTTGAGGCTTTTTAACGGATCAACCTATTTTTGCAAAAAGCAATCATTTGAAATTGATGAGCAACTTGATTCATTGATATTGTGGGATTTTTATCCTTCAAAAAACCCAGAAAATGAGCAATCAATTATATCCCAAATTTTTCAGGTTTTATGAATCAGCGTTGATAGGTGTCACAGGGCTTCCATTTAATTCCTTATTTCCAACTGTTTTACGTGAAAAATCGGAAATTTTAATGGATTTCTTTTCATGATAGGTCATACTTTTAAGTCAGTGCGTGATGCATTGCTAAATTTCTCGTTGTGTTTAAAGAATTCTTCTAGCTAGATCTTCAGACAAAGACTGATAAAGACAAACTTCTTGTTGAAAGGAGAAATCTCGAAACTACGTCATTCTACTTACTGAATATTGATTGTTTGCCATGAAGAATCTTTTGTATGTTCTATTTTTTTTGCGCTCGCTTGCATATAGTACCGATGCAAAGATGATTATAAGGAACAGCGCAAAACTACATCCAACTGCAACAATTGCTGCCTTATCTTTTTCATTGCCTCCAAAGGACGCTAAAAAAAGTAGAAATATATTGAAAAAAAAGAAAACGCTCTTTTGGCTTGACTTTAACACGTACATTCAGTTTTTTTTGTCAGAACTCTGTATATATCATTCTCGTTCTTTGTCCAAAACTTGTTACTCGCGCCACACTTAATTTCGTATTCTTCATCACTTTTGTTCATAAATATAGAGCTTTGGTATAAATAGGACTTTTTCCTAACAGTTTTGCCTGTGACCAAAGGAGCACACTGCTCTGTTTTCCCAATTGGGCAGATCTTCCATTTAATGTTTGGTGGAGGGTTGGCCTTTACATTACAATAGAAAGTTGTACCGTTTTGCTCATTCTTCTTGGTGATATTTAATTCTGACATTACTAGATGGAAAAGTATTTCAAGGCAATTGTGAATTAAGAAAATGCTCGATGGTTAGCTAAAAAAAGCTCAAATTTCAGGTCAAATATTAACTCAAATAAACGTTTTATACACACATGTTTTAATAACTTCGAAATTGAAGCAATGGTCGAGCTTATTTTGACAAACATACAGTTATTTTTTGTGGCGCAACAACCAGCAAGCTTGATCGTGCTTTGTAATACTCTAAGAAGCAATAGATTTCTAAAGACTAGTTAATTAATGATGTGAAAGTTTAGATAGCACAACTAAACTTATATGCTTGCTACAACCACTGGCAATGTTGTTCACAAAAAAGAACCAAAAGTAACGAACCTTTTACATTCACGTCGAGATAAAAATGATTTTTGTCATATGGATTCCTAAGGAGGCAGTCAAGACGACCATTATCTTTCTCTAGTTTCAACTTTGTTATCAAAAGTTTAACTTTGCCTGTTTGACTTGCACGGGAAATGATAACATGTTTTCCACTGATCGAAATGCAAGGCTTGCTTTTTTCTTCGTACAAAAGGCTTCTCATTTGAGTTTTCGAGCAAGACAACACTATTTTTTGGGTCCTATTTTGAGTGCAAGTCAGAGAAGGCAAGGGAGAGCCATGGATAGTAAACTCAATGGAACCATCAGTATCTCTATCAAACCATGTTGAATTGTTAGATACATCCACAGAAAGTTGTTTTCTTTCTAAAAATAAGAAACGTTTAGCATGACTGATGCAGGCAGATGTTAAATCAATGGTATTCACCGTGCAGTAACGAATATTATAATTGAGAATGCAGCAATCAATTACAGTCAAAGTAGATGAAAGACTGAAATGATCTTTAATGTCGACAAAAAGAGCACTGCATGCACGTCACTAAATTTAAGTTAAGAAACTGGGTATTTAACTTATTCTGCAAAGCAATTTCGCACAATAATGCATGTTTCCATCCAAAGAGTTACTTTATAGGATGATAATTACCGCAGATATTCCATAGAACGAAAAACATATCAGTAAGTATGCATGCAGACAAATTGTACTTGGTAAGTTTGTTTTGGGAAGTCCGTCATCATGCAGCTCATAAAATGTACCTCTTACTTCCAGTTTCACATCAATACTACTCTTCTTGTTAATGAAACACGAATATGGTAGTTGGGAGAAATGCTTTTCCGCTCTCTCTACTGTTAACGTCATAAAGGTAACATTTCCTGATCTCTTTATTGTCGAATCAGTAACAGGATTTTCGCCGCGATCCTTTGACCACATTGCTTCGGGGATGTTGCAGTTCGTTTGAAAAGAACAGGTTAAATTTACTGTATCGTTTTCATCGACGATAACTTTGCGGTACTTCACATATGGTGTATAACCTGGGTCGAGTAAAAAACAAGTAGACTTGCAATAATGAGTTGATCAATGAATTGAAAAGTTTTTGTCGAGTGAGCTTTTAATTCAGGGTTTCTGCACAGTCAAGGAAATTTAGAATCACAGTAGGATAAAATCTATTGGAACTGTTCAACAGAACAACATCGTTTTTACAAATCACAATAAATGCATGTCCAGACATTGCAGGCACGGCGCCTAAGGTGGGATGGGAGTGCTTGAGCCCTCCCCCTCCACACATACACTTTTCTCCCAAGATCAACGTTTTTTTAATAATTGTATATTTCAGTTTAACTTGAGGCAAAGTAAGACTCAGTAGATTTAGTAAATATAAGTCGTAACCCCGCCAGATTGATTTTGTAGTGCCGTTCCTGCATTGTGTTGTCAAACGCTTTTATTCCCGATTTTCAACAATAAAATCAAAATCTCTTGAGTCTCGACAATTCCCTATAATCTGTGTATAATATGCAGATGTCCCGTAGAGACTGTAAATTTTTTTTATAACCGCACCGATAAAGGTACGTTGCCAACCTCCAAACTTCTATCATGTTGACGACATCAAACATTCAAGAATAGCAATGGAATAGGGGTGAATAGGAAATAATTTATAACTGTATCAAAGAGAACTTACGAATATCTATATCAAACATAATCGTCTTCCAAGCGCCTGAAAAATTTTCCAAATGCATCTTATATCGCCCATGGTAGTTAGTGAAGGCTGGACCAATCAAAAAAGAAGATCCATTCCAAGTGTACACAATTGAGGAATCGTCGCATTTCTTGTGAGATTGTTCAATCTGATGGATGGAACCATTTTTGATTTCATCCTTCCAAGACGGAGTAATAGGGAACACAGTCCCATAGTCAACAATGTACAGACCTGAATACAAATAATCTTGCGTTCAAGTGTAGTTTTATTTTTTGACAAAAGAATTGAGTGCACTGTTTATGTGTAAAAAGCTAAATTCAATGATATGTAGATTGTGAGACAACAACTTTGCTCTCGCTGTACTCTGAGTTAACAATCACCTCCAATCATGATCATATGTTAAAAATCGTGCATGATTTTGAGCCAAATGGAAAATCAGCGCCATTTGATCTGAATGAAGGTGATACATATGTTTGACTGACGTATGCTTGACTCATTTTCGAAAACTAAGTCTCATACAAAAATTCATACATTCTTAGTATTTCACACTTCTACAAGATAATTCGAGCACCAGAACTCACGAAAACGATGAACAAACCTGTTTTAACAGCAACAAAAACGAACGACGAGAAGAACGAGTTGCCAATAAAGATGCATGATGTTCAGGCTGCTGCTATCAATCTTTTGTGCAGCGTCTCTCGGTGGACAGTTATCCTACATATGATAGTCAACACAAATTATAATGGATCGCGAAATTTGTGTTCACAAAATATTTTATCAGATGCATATAAAAATGTAACATCAATATTGACAGTCACACTATAACAACAGGCAGGTGTTTGAAAAAGCAATTCAATTATCTCTAAAGGTGCACTGATAAATCAATCAACACACATTTTCTTGCTCAAAAGCACATTTATATATTATGCTAATATACTTTCCCAGCGAGGCTTAAAGGCCTTATACATTCTCAAGCAAATATTTGAATTCATGTTCGAAAAAAAGCGATCTTATCAAATAGAAATGAAATCGTAATTTTATACATGAAAAAATTATGTCCACCTTTTCGTGCAATATTATTTTAGGCACGGTCAGTAAGCTGTTGGCTATAGTTAGAATCTAGAATTTTGCAAATTTTGAATTAATTATACTTTGGTTGAAATACAAGCTGATCGACTAAAAAGCGATACTTTCATGGATTAAATGGAATATTCTACCCTTGTCAATTTGTCAAAACTACATCAAAATAGAATTTCACGACTGAGCACATACAATCCTCAGAATATCAAATAATCAATTTGCACAAGCGATAGTTACGGTCAGTAACATTTTACAAAAGCCTTTCATATAAATAATATATTATTGCGTTAGAAATGAGGTTTTCCACAAAAAATGTGGTAACAACATAAATCCTTCAACCCCTAACCAATTGCGCACAAATTGTTTCCAAAACAATTTAAAAATCCAAATTCAAAATTTTGGGTAACACTCTGCTTTCGAAGTTAACGAAACAGCGCTATAGCAAAGAGTTCAGCGGATGATCTCATGGATCAAAAGATACACAGAGTTCCTGTCGTGAGGAGGTTACAATCGCTGCTGACCAAAGTAATTAAAACGCGTGTATTTTGGTTTTATGAAAAGTAGTAATAAAAGCATAAAAATGATAGTATCGTTGATATCAACTTTCATTAATTTCATTAAATTCATCAAAAAACAAATTTTCAAAGCCTAAAGGCTTTCGAGCTATAGAAAACAAACATTTTGAAAGTCTTATATTTTCTCAGACATTCTTACGTTTTTATTGGTTTTGGCGTCGACACTCAATCGATGAGTGCCTGATAGTAGAATGAGACAGAGAAAAATCAAATCGCATACTTGGTTGGAATAATGAGCAACAAAAACGTGACAGCATCTAACCAAAGTTAGCTGAACATGGGTAAATAGCGCCTTTTCAGTTTTGATGCAGTTTTTATTTGTTTCCTATATTAAAGCACCCATGCATTATACGCTGAAAAAATTGAAAAAAATAGTTACTTTATCTCACCTTTTTGAAGACTTTCAATTCAATACCTGTCTATTTCAACACAAAAAATAAAATGTTACATTCAAACACAATAAGTTAATTGTGAGCCCGACAAACACAATGGAACAGTCCATTTAAATTAACGGCAGCTGTTTGCTTGTTCAAATTATTAATTCAAGAGTCAAAAGCATAAGTAATATCCTTGCATAACTTCTTTGATATATTCCAGACATTTAGCCACCCTCAAAACCGCTTCTAATACGCAGCATGCTAGAAATGACGGAATAAGCTAATCATAAATAATGTCGCATTTAACTACTTTCTAATTGCTAGGGGCACAATCCCCATGAAAAAGCAGCGAGGCTTCTCGTGAAAACTAAATCGTGCTATTTGTCGACAATATAACATAATAGGTAAAACAAATATTCATGCGCTGATCAAAGGCTCCGAGAAAAATTATTAAAGTACTTTGCTTTTTTTTAACGGGTGCCACACTACACTGACTTAGTCAGAGCCTCGTTTCCCCCTGAAACAACAGTTTGGTGTAGAAGAGTTGATGCAGTCAAATTAAGACAGAGGGTTGCTTAAATGATGGAAAATGAAGTCAGAAGGCACTCGCTAGGAATATTTTTATCTCTTTCATTCTCAAGGACAGACATTCCAACTGCCTTGGTCAAGCCGTGTATGTATGCCCGCGCTGCCGCCACTTTCACTTTAAAAAACCTATACAACGAAATGAAGACTGACGACAACTGTTCACATTTTTACATTAAAAAAAATAATGCCAACGAAAATCCAAGCATCTTAACATCGGAGTACTGACCAGATTATAAACAAAGATAAATAAAGCGATGTCGTCGATAAACGGAGAGCAACGGGTGAGATGGTCATTGTAGATATTGGTCTTTCGATATTAACAGCTTATTTAGATGAATTGAACGGTCAGGTCTCAGCAACACCTCGCAACCGATAAAATCCCACATATCTATCGACATCTTATAAAATAACATGCATACGTAAGACACATGTCGACGTATTGATTAATCGTAATAGGATTAATTTATGACACATAAATACTTCGAGACGTTAATTACACATTATTCCAAAGCCATCATCAGAGAATACATATAATATATAAATCCTAACACGGTTTTTAATATGCACATGAAAAACATGTGACTTGTGACTTTTCCAAGTCACATGTTTTTCATGTGCATATTAAAAACCGTGTTAGGATTTATATATTATATATATTCTCTGATGATGGCTTTGGAATAAAGTCGAAACACGGTGCCATCCAGTAAACTGCTATAGTGGCGAGAATCTCTCGTCCATAAGCAGTTTTAAGAGATTTGACTCGTCTCCAATCTCTGTGGGCTTGGTAGCTAAACAGGTAGAGCGGCGGACTAGTATCCCGAAGGTGCGAGTTCATATCACGTCCAAGTCACATGTTTTTCATGTGCATATTAAAACCGTGTTAGGATTTATATATTATTAATTACACATCGTAATCAAATTAATGAGCGCGGGAAGTAAAATATATTTAATTACACATAGTGATTAAACTAACGTGTGCGTCTAGTAAAATTTATTTGATTAGTTCACATTACATGAAAAAACCGTCACGCTAAATCTAAGACGCATGACGTCACAGAGTTTACGTTTTGCCCCGAGTTTACGATTGGCTCCGATTGGCTTTGCCTCCATTTTCGGGCTAAAAAAGAATTTATCAAGCAAATAAATTTATTTGATGATAATTTACTCGAAATGGGTAAACATTACCGATGTAAAACATTTCAAGCTGTTGGTTGAATCTAGTTTTTGTCATTTGTTCATTTTTCATAGCAGTCGATAGCATACTTTGAACATGTCCATTCCGTTTATTCAGACTGCCTCTGCAAACATAGTTAGATGAAATATTTAAATTTGAAGCACTGTCAACAACTTGACAGTCCTTGATTTTTTACAGTAAATTAAAATAACTATCAAAATTCGAAATAAACAACATTTATTGAGTTTGTTGTGGCGTGCCAGCTCGCACGCTTTGGTCGTGTTACCTATGCAAAATTCTGATAATTACTTATTTTTCTATGTATATACTATTTTTACACTTCAGCCAAGGAACAGAAAAATTTTTATGGTTTATGGTTGAGACTTGAGACAGAGTCACAGAGACTGTGGAATACAATTTTACCTTGCAAATAAGCAGCACAATGCCCCAACTAAAAAAATAATGAACAGAGCAATAACTATTCGGTAGTGGTAAACGTCGTTCATCAAAATTAATGGCCCATTTGCAGCTCGTTTTATTTGTTTTCATTAACGATCATATTATATTGCTCAAGGTTATTCGCCATATTGAAAGCTCCAACTTTGTCCATCAATGTTCAATATGTATCACTAAATGACCCAACAAGTTATGCAATGACAACAGATATCCATGACACCTCGTTGACTCTCATTACGTAATTAAATTTATATCGAATTTCTCCTCAATAAGAAGTCCATTTTATTTTATCATTGTTTTTATGAAGCACGTTGGCGGATTTCTTCTTTCCTAATGCTACCTGATGGAACCCCGTTCGGGTTTTGTAAGTAGAAAAATATGAATTTATGACTTATGCTATCGAAAATTTTTGTAATGACATTACGAAATGGCCGGCTGAACTTTGTCAATATATTGACTACAATAAAATTGCCAGCTCGTAAAATTATGATTTGAATCAAATGATGCTTATGCACAAAAGCTTTCATGTTGTATTTCCTGTAGATGGCCACATTGTCACTTAAGCCTAGAGGCCTTAACCTAAGCTCCAATCTAAATTCTGCATATTGCTCTTCCTGGTTATTTCCTAGTGCTTCCAACAAAAAATAGAAATGAAATTAATTCACTAACTGAAAACAGTCTTAGGCTTTTTGATAATTTTTCTTTATAAATGCAAAAGAAAACTTTAATCAACTGTTGTAAAAACTTTGAATAAGACCCCATTAGATCATGCAAGTATCAATTGCCCTAAATAAGGAAAAAATTTGAAGACTTTATTGGGTTGTCAACAAAACCTTGTTAGAATCCTAACCAGTAACCTCTATGGGATATTTGCCAGACAAAGTATGACTGAAAATCAGTACCAGATCCGTGGTTAGGCAAAATGTTATAACTGCCAATTTCAAATTCAAAATACCTTAACGTATAACGAGGTCATTGGTTATGAATTTCTAAAGAATAGAAATAAACAAATAGATGTGTTGAAGTAAAAAAATTTACCCATATCTGGATCCACCATGCTAAAGACATATACAAAATTATAATTACTTGCATAAAATTCACCAGAGAAGAGGTTGATTGTTTATAAAATTTAACAAACTAATGGTGCTTTATTTTTTATAGAATACAATTTGTATGACAATATGTCCTCCTGTTTATCAGAATATATAAAATAATAGTATATATATCAAGCGATTACTAACTGAGCTGGAGGTCTTTACTGAGAAATATTGGACTGAGATCTTTTTGTACAGATCGAGCGCATTGTTTTTGTCTGGATAGTTAAACTGTTTTCCAAGTCGTTTTCCTTTGAATCAGATTCGTAAATGGTTTTTTGTTTTGTTTATTTTGCATTTTGCTGTTTGCTTTACGAAGTTTGTTTACATTTGACTGTAAAATTACTTGTTTTGGACTGTGGTAGATTACAAGAAAATAATGGATTGGTAAAAATGTTGTTTATATGATTGGTAAAAATGTTGTTAATTTGTTTAGATAATGCACCTATTTGTAAAGCACTGCTTTTCATCACTGGTACTGCATCCACATGGAGAATATTGTTTTCATCAGTAAAGCTGCAGTCTTTATTGCCCGAATCCAATGTTCTCAATCATTTTCTTCATTCACAAGTACGTATGTTTGTAATACATTTTAAGTATTAAGTTCATTTTAAATATTAAGTGGCTAAGCCAGCCTGCATTTGTGGTCATTCTATGTAAATTTCAGTACATTCAAAGGCTTTGCTGGAATGTTAACTAAGGGTGTGTTAGTATTTATTCATATTCAGTTGTGCCTGAATGCTTTCTTTTAAAGGAAATTATGTGAATATTCACACCCCCCCCCCCATTATCCACCCTTCTGACGGTAGACACACATGTCAAAAATACGAGATCAAATTGCAAAATTCGGACAATCAAATGGTTAGGAGATGCTTTTGAGTTTTAAAGCAGTTTGATTCCAGTTATTCAGAACGATTAACAGGATTATACAGGCAGAAGGCATAACAGTAAATATTAACCATTTTGGGCTAGAAAAAAGCGTAACGATCGAAGGAAAGTTTGAATACTGGCATGTTGTCGCGCTAATGACTTTTTTGTAAGGATTGTTACTGGCCTTTAAGGCGTGACTTAGAATATCCAAGACGGATCCCAACTGCATAAAGCGCAAAAAAGCAAGCCATACAAATTTTCGAACTGTTATTTTTATTGCATGTTGGTTTCGCTGTTCTATAATTACTAATCACTATTATTATGATTGATGGATGAAATCTCCCCAAAACTGGCTTTTCAGATTCATTTACAAGTTATATACGTAAAAATTTAATTTTAAACTATAGCTGTAGATTTAAATATATAAAATTACGACGACGCTAAATGATAACATAAAACATTGAATATGTGTTAATTGTATTCAAAGGCAGTCATGAATCTCATCGAATCATAAATATCATAAAAATAACGCTTAAAAAATTCTATGACTTGCAATTTTCTTCGCTCAATGCAGCTAAAATAAGATGTGGATATTCTTTGGTAGGGTGGTTTCTTACAACGAAATGCATACTACATGCCTTTACGTAATAAATTGGACGGCTGTTTCTCTGCGATCAAAGGAAGTCCTTTGAATCGAAAAATTGTACTGTTTAATCGCAAAATTACTCGAGAAGTGAAGTTACTTTCTCGATTGAATCATGAAAATATTGTAAGGTAAAAAGAAATCTACTATTCAAAATGAATCAAAATATTACAACATAGGGGGTTGAAAGCGAGGTTCAATTTAGTTAATTAATAAGCCAAGCAACTTGTATCGTCTAATGTTGTCTTTAAAAAAACTATTTAAATAATAATAAAAGTAGATAATCCCTTTTTTCCACGAAGCCCAAGGATGCTTTCGTTAATGATGAGAGAGTTATATTGCATGAGGAGGCTGTCGTTCATCACAAGAGTTAGAAGACAGTTATATTGTAAAAGGTAACAAGTAGAAAACGTATAAACATGTTTAGAGTTGGTTTTAATTATAAGTTAATATAACAGAAGTTGTATGAACCTTTGCAGTATCCTTGGATGTTTTAGTTTCTTTTAGAAAAGAACTTATGTAAACAAAAAGATAAAATTCGAAAGCAAAAAACCCCGTTTTCGGTCCATGCTTCCCGATACCTTCTTAAGCGTAAGGCACTAGAACGCCGCATGTTATCGTTTCGGTTGGAGATTTCGGCCCCTCCACGCTATCCTACTTGGGAGATGCAATAGCAAGCTTCCGCCCATCAGACCCCGAGATCACCTGCGATAGGCTTTGCTCGGGGTACGCAGGGAGAGTGCGGTCGCCACCGAAGTGTGGGCCCCTAAGCCACTGCATACTATATCGCACCCAGCTTCCACTGCTAGTTGACATCTACTATATGAAGTTTTAGCTTTATATATATATACAAAAGTTCAAAGGCTTACGAAAGTTGTGGTATTATTAAAGTCACTACTGCGCATGCCCAGATTATTTCTTAGATAATTTGCGACTAAGTGAGTTAATTGCCACAAATGTCGTGCAATTACATATAATTGGTCGTTGCCATGACTATGAAAATTACTCGAGGGGACTGCGCATGCTCGAGCGCATGCGCACATGATTTCTCTATTAAATTGTTACTAAGCATGCTATTTTCTTCAAAATTGGCGTTAGTAGATGTAGTTGGTCGTTGCTATGGCCATGAACCTGGGCAACTAGCCAAGTTGACTGCGCATGCTCAAGCAGACTGCGCATGCGTAGATTTTTTATCTGAAAATTTGTCACTGAGCGAGCTAATTACTCCATAATCGGTACTAGTTCATACAGTTGGTCGTTGCCATGACCATGAACTTGGAGATTTGGTGGAGTGGACTACGCATGCTCAGATTAATTCTCAAATAATTTATAGCAGAGCGAGCTCTGAGGTTTGTGTTTGTACATGCGCTAAGCAAGTTTTCAATGATATATTTTTAGTATGCTCTTTGTCTTCTTATATCGGTGAGGCATCAACACTTTGTAATGGGTCAATGGCACTCGTAATATCCACGACAACGTTAGAAATGTTATTTAGAAATATTTTTGTCTATAACTTTGTATCTGCATATTGCATGTCATATCCAAGCTTTCCTTTGATTTGACGGAAAATGGTTTTTATTCACTCTAACTCTTACACCTTCTGCCATTATAATTAGCCGTTCTGGATTTCTAAAATAAGATTTACAAATGCCCCAAGCTATGTCCCACCATATGATTGTCCGAACTTTGTAATTTGATCTCGCATTTTTGATACGTGTGTATAACGTCGGAAAGGTGGATTAACGTTCTAGCTCCTGTGCGCTAATTACAAATGTAAAAAAAAAAATTGTTTGCGATTTTGTTTTTTAAAACTTTGCACTCTACAACTTTGCAATTTACAACTTATTTCGTGATGTGATGAGCTTACAACACGTATTTGAAATCTTTTTACAGATTTTTACCAACATTGTACGATTTTTATGCTACTCAAGTGCAAAGAATCTCTTCTTTGGGACAATTTTATTGTATAAATTTAGAATGTTTGAACGTCGTTATGGTTCCACAAAGTTTGCCGTAAGTGTGTCACATTACATAGTCATTTCTCGGTTTACAATGATGTTGCTAGATTAATATTCACTGCCAATGTTCATATATGTGTCTTCTGGTAAGTGAAAAACTTTAACTTTGAGTATGATTTTTCATATGATTGTACAAATTGTTTAGTGGAAAGGTTTTCTGACTGTATTTTTTCGACGTATTCCTTTTTCAAAATTTAGGATTTTATCTTACGCTCAACTGCAATTGGAGCAGTTTTTCAATATGGCGTTCTTTTGTACACAGAACGTTTTGTCATAGATGATTTTCCTACTGGACCGTATGTTTCTTGTTTGCTGACATTGCTATCACTCATATTATAATATTTTTTGGGCGAAGTTACTTTAACTAACGCGTTCCTTTCTAGCTTCTGGATGGTTTTCAGTCTCTACGTCCCATTCTGTTTGTCCGTTCCGTTCGTCAGTTTCTCGAATTTTTTTGGAATTTTCCCAATATCCGGAAAACTGTTCACGTACATTCTTGGCATGCAGGTAGTTTACTTTGTTTACTCATACTATACATAGATACGTGTTTACGGTATCGATACTTAAAATTCACCCCAATTTCATTCGATATGTTGGCACGTGACAACTTTGTTTACTCAATTACGTCATAGTATACATAGATACGTGTTTACAATATCGTTACTTGAAATTCACCCCAATTTCATTCGATATGTTGGCACGTGACAACTTTGTTTACTCAATTACGTCATACTCTACATAGACACGTGTTTACGATATCGATACTTGAAATTCGCCCCAATTTCATTCGATATGTTGGCACGTGACAACTTTGTTTACTCAATTACGTCATACTATACATAGACACGTGTTTACGATATCGATACTTGAAATTCACCCCAATTTCATTCGATATGTTGGCACGTGACAACTTTGTTTACTCAATTACGTCATACTCTACATAGACACGTGTTTACGATATCGATACTTGAAATTCACTCCAATTTCATTCGATATGTTGGCACGTGACAATTTACCAATTTAATTCATTTCTCTTACAACCAGATGTTATCAACAAGCAAGGCCGCAATGCTTTCTGGATTGACAGGAATAGTATGGACTTTAACTACATTTTTTGTTTGCTGGGTGCCTTGTGAATACTTCTACAAGTATGTTGTTTAGAGGACAGGGCGTTGGAGTATTAGGTTATTGCACACTTAGCCTCCATGCTAGAAGCTGGCATGCTAGAGGTCTATTTGTAGATGTAGATCGTCCAGGTTAGTATAGTCCTGAGAAGGACTGTTTTTGTTGTTGTTGACTGACGTTTCAACAACCTTAGCGGTAGTCATCTTCAGAGTCAAAAAATATATAAAGTATACTTTATTTTTGACTCTGAAGATGACTACCGCTAAGGTTGTCGAAACGTCAGTCAACAACAAAAACAGTCCTTCTCAGGACTATACTAACCTGGACGATCTACATCTACAAACATGGAACGATACTTCCGGGTTCAAACCATTTACTTTATGCTAGAAGTCTATTAGTTTATGTAGCACGGTACTGGTATTATGGTGACGCGTTGCAAAATCTTCCCTCAGATTGTCTCTGCGTTAGGAAAGGTCATGTTAGGTTAAAATTCTCGATGGTACTGGTATTATGGTGACGCGTTGCAAAATCTTCCCTCAGATTGTCTCTGCGTTAGGAAAGGTCACGTTAGGTTAAAATTCTCGATAGTACTGGTATTATGGTTACGCGTTGCAAAATATTCCCCCAGATTGTCTCTGCGTTTAAGGAAACGATAGGAAAGGTCATGTTAGGTTAAAATTCTGAATAAATTTTGTACTTCATGACATTATCAATATAAACTTGTTTTTCTATGCACACAGATCGCTGGGGCAATCAGTTATTTTAATATATTGTACGTTGAAAGTTGGCTAAAGTTCCCATCGTTTTTGTCCAACGTGTTTTCGAAATTGTTTGACTATCCACCTACATCGAGAACCGTCGACACACTGGAAAGGCCACAAGGAGCGACACTGGAAATCCAGCGTCAGATTAGGATGGACGAAATCGATCAACGGATGTTAAATTTACAACAAGCGAATTTGGTAGACGACATGTGATCTTATCTACGCTTTGTTTCAGCTCTAGATTTTTGATAAATACGTGATTGTCCTCATGCTATACGTGGCAACCTAAGATTAACAACGTTTTCTCTCCATAGTTCGTTCTTTTCAATATTTTTTTGTTTTTTATTGCATGAAAATAATTGTTTGATCATTAATCTACCTGACTCAATGATTGCCTTCAGTGCTGAACTCTACCTCCATCATGTTTGGCTTCACTTTTTTAGAGGAAGAGAGCATTCCGTGTTGTTTTAGTCACGGATTGCACGCTAGTAAAATGCAATTATAAGCTCATGATGTTGATTTATAAGTCAATAATTGCGATCTTCATCGAGACATTTAAGTAATAAATGATCACTACCAAATCATTCACATTTAGGAGATGCCAAGCTCGTTTTCTGAACTCATGAACGCCAACAGAGACCCACAACAATATCAACAGCCTGCCACTGAAGTTTCGGAGGAACAGGTACAGCAGTAAATAAAGCACATTTTTCCAGCGGTCGAGCGTATGTACTGGGTTGATTATCTTGGGAGGATGGGCACCCACCCACTAAAAAAATTAAGCTCATACCATCGAAAGTCGTCAAAAGTCATAGAACTACAAAGTTTACAGTAAAGTAAACCTTCACTTTTACGTATGATGGAAAAGATTCTAAAAATATACAGTAGTTTTAGTAAATTGAAACAAGGAATGAAAGGTGTACTTACCTACCTATTCTTCTTTGTCTTTCGGTTTCTTCTCTAGGGGTCACTTCGCAACCTATCATTCGCCTCCACTTATCAGTGTCTAATATATCCTCTTCTTTTCTACTACCCAACTTTCTAACCTTTATCCTCCTCTTTGGTTTTTCTCTAGGTCTCCTGGTTATTCAAAAATCAGCTAACTTGTAATTACTTATTATCTTACCTTTGTACATGACCAAACCATCTAAGTGTGGCCTCCTTGGCTTTTTGTCTAAAACATATTACATGTGCTGTACCTCTTATCTACTCGTTACTTATTCTGTCTGATCTTGTTATTGTCTTGAAACCATGTAACGTCGCTGATCTCACTACTGTCTTGTAAACCTTTTGTTTCATCCTTGCTGATCCACATTCTCCATTGCTTTCCTCTGTTTATCTTAACTAAGTGAAGTGCTCTACCTGTTTTATCTCTCCTTTATGTAACCTTACTGTTCCATTAGGATTTCCCTCATTCACGCTCATGCTTTCTGTTTTATTTCAGCTTATCTTCATTTTTCTTCTAATGCATGCCTTCATCTCTCCAGAGAAGCTTCAACATGCTCCCTATTCTAACTACACATAACGATATCGGCAAACATATTCCATGGGGTCTCTTGTCTAACTTTATCTGTTCGCTTTAGCAAATAAGAAGGGGGCCCAAAGTTAGGCTTCTTGATGCAATCCTTTAATTCATGCAGCAAACCTCACCACTGTCATCCTACTTTCACACATAACTACTGCTCTAGCATACGTCTCTGTCACTCCAGACTTCCATATAAAACACCATATTTCCTTTCTTGTGATCCTGGCATATGCTTTCGCCAAATCAACAAAGACACAATACTCCTCCCTTTTACATTCTCTGTGTCTCTCATACAGCAACCTCAAAGTAAATACTTTATCAGTGGTATTCCTTCTTTGCATAAAACCATGCTGCTGCTTACCAACGCCTACTTTTTCCATTGATCTATCTTCCCCTAATCTCTACTACTTACGAGTCTGCGGCAGTTGTCTTCTCTACCCTTTGCTCTCTCATTTTCTTTATCAACTCTTTGTAGTACTCTTACTTTGTTCCTAATACGCATTAACTGTCTGTGAAGACATTTCCATTCCTTTTTTTGATATTCCTGACCTGCTTCAAATCCTAGGCTGCAGCCAATCAAATTAAAGGAATGGCATGTATGTAAAAATAAAAAAAAAAAGGAATTATTTCATTCATTCAGTTAAAACTGCTATTATTATTAGTAGTAGTAATCTTTATCAAGGAAAACTTTGTCATATATGACATATAATTTTTAAAAAGGATCTCATTTAACAATTTTAAAGCTAAAAACACGTAAAACTACATAGCTGAAACAACCCAAGTTGAAAATGTAAGAACATTTCACTCAAAACTCTTCACCTCTTTCAAAGTTCTAATATACGTACTGACTGATGGGGTTGTAGTCTTTTTTAGTATGGTATTGTGTCCTTTGTTTCTCCCAGTTTCTTTTAACTTTTGATAATATCGGAGACTTCTTATTTCATCTAGGGCAATGAATACACTTTAAACCGACATCCTTGTTCCTCCTCCTGAGTAGAATTTTTTATTTACTGTAATATTCGTACAGTGGTAGTTCCCAACATATTCCTAGATTAGACAAGCATCATATCTTTCAATATTAATATCACTAAGAAGTGCCCTCTTATTTTAGATACAGCGATTGATTGAAATGGGTTTCACAAGAGACGCTGTTTTTCAGGCCTTGACACTATCGAACAACAACATAGCAATGGCTATGAATATTTTATTGTCTCAATAAATGTTTAGCAACCATGGTTAAAATTCACTATAGCGGAGGAAAGATGTTGATTCACTCCTACCACTTTCTCTGGAAGAAGTGGGACTTCGAAATGCCACGAGAAGATATTTTCATGACCGCGTTGCTTCGACTCTCACCATCATTTTTTACACAGGAGACGGTTTCACGAAGTACATATAGTGATGACAACAATATTGTGCGTTTTACAAATTAACTTATCACAGATGGTTGTATATTTATCACGAAATACCGAGTTGAGTTAACGTTTTATCATATAAATTGACTACTTTAAGTTCTAGCTTTTCGCCTTTAGAGAGATTTTAGAAACTATTGGAAAGTCAGTGTTTAGTGGATTGAGCTACATAGGCCCAGTGAATTCGGCCCCCGAACTGTGGAAGTAAATCTTTAATCTTAGACCTCTATCGGTTTGACGAATCATTGATGTATATGTATCTTATATAATAGATCAAGCACTTGTACATATGATCCAAAAAATTCTAAAAATTTACAGTAATTTTAGTGAATTGTAATTACTCTTGAGTTTACTCTGAAACCGTAAGTGCATGCAAGTGTAATCTTCTTTCATGATAACATGACGAAGCTTGTTTTTACTTCATGTTATTGATAAAGGCAACGTTAAAGTATTTGTTGGCAAGGTGTCTACTTGGGTGTAGATATTGACGACAAGCTGTTGAAGACATAAGATTTCACCATACAATTTTCGTGAGAAGAATAGAGAGATTTAGCAAACACGACGTATCGTCTAAGACGCCGTCAAAATGGCGTAGATATGGCGTGGACCCAACCATATATAGGAATATCACGCCATTTTTACGCCATTTTCACGACGTCTTAGACGATACCTCGTGTTTGCTAAATCTCTCTATTAAGAAGAGGAGGGAAAAATTTATTCACTTACAACTTTTCCAGCAAAACTGTAAGTAGAAGACAGGAAATAATAGCTATCACAGAGTAACAGGTGTAACTTTACTTGTCTATTCTAAGTCTTATAGAGGCTGACTACATGAGCCCGGGCAGTCGGGACTCAGCGAACAATTAAATGATTTTGGTAATGGGAAACGATTCCGTATTTACCATCAGATAAACTTGAGAAATTTCACAATATTCTGACTTTGTAAATACACAAACATTTAAAATGAAAACAACCAATTTGTCCTAATTTCAGATTGACTTTCGGTACTTTACGAGTAGTTATAATTTTCCCGATTGAAATTTTCACTCTTTTTAATGCCTCCTCATACAGAAAATAAATTTAAAAGCTGGGACGAATACAGACAGAAAAAAAGACACAAAAATAGCTAGATTTGGATAACCTGTTGTAACTCGACCGTAATTGATTGGTACAATATAGTAGAAATAACTTTTCCAAGGTGTGAATGAAAAGACGAAACATAAGAAAAGTTGTCTAAGTTTTCCAAAGGAATAACACATTCTCATAAAAAAGGATCTAAGAAAACACAGAAAACAAGGTAGGTTTGAGTAACTCGTTGCTAAGTCGTCATAATTGTTAAGAAAGTAGATACGATAGTATAGATACGGAGCCATGTCTTTTACAAGGTGCGAATGAAAAGAAAAAAATAAGCAAGAATAAGCAAGAATATTAGACACAAAGATGATATTAAAGTAAAATTTAAAAGCTATGACAATTGTTGACGGAAAAACGAAACAAAAAAGTAGGCACTGAGGTGAGAAAACAAGTAGACACAAAGGTAGACGAAGGTAGACACAAACGTAGACAAATGTAGATACGAACGTAGACACAAATGTAGATACAAAGGTAGACACAGAGATACACAATATGGTATAGACAAAAATATATAACAAAGGTAGACGCAAACGTAGGCAAAGGCAGACAAAGATAGACACAAAGGTAGAAAAAAGTACACACACAGGTAAAGAAAGAACGTTGAAACGATGACTCGTGCTCTCGAAACCAAAGCATTGCAGAGCAAAAGAAATTCACTTGAAAACTGCACAACAAACACGAAAAAGAATTTTCATGTACTTTTATGTTTATTGGGCATAAAACTACACGGCATTTCGTACCTCATTTGTATTTCAATGTGAGAAAATAATAAATGATCATATTTATGAATTCGCGACATCTTAATTTTCTGTATATACATTGTGATTCAATATGTTACGTTTCACGTGAAATAATCATTTCTCCGCAAACTCGGTCCCAGTCTCTAAGTATGGTGATCGATACTTCTCACGCGACATAAACATACACTTTCCTGCAAGATTAAAATGTAATGTAGTTTAGACAAGTCGCATCAGGATGAAATGACAACAAACATAATGGGCGATAGTGTGCAATGAGTAAACTAATCCAATCCAAACTAAATCATCTCTGAAGAGATACAGAAACTGCACAAATTTTCGCGTTGAAAAAATGTACGAATACAAGAAGTGGGGCACATGGGTCTTGTCAGGTTTCAAAATGGCGCATACAGCGCTCAAACTACAGTCATCATTTCAGTTTGCAATTCTAATTCTATTTATTGTTCACGAACCTATCTTCTTGTGTTCTTGACAAGTATTCCCTTTCTATGAGACCTTCAATTCGTTTCTTAATAACTTGAGGGCTTGGCATGAATCGAGATTTGAGCTGTTCGGTAACCTTAATCAAATGTATAATAAATGACTTCCAACTTTTCAAATAACTGTGCGGCAATACAATATTTTTACACGTATAAATATTTTCCTATAACATTTCTAGCGTTGCTCGAGAAATATAGGGAGAGATTTCAAACAAAGTGAGCGTTATTTCATGCTAAACCAGTATAATCGAAGATCAAAATACGTAAAAATGGATGATTTGATAAAGCAAATGTTTGGAAAAACATCGAAAATGCAAAGATGAACTTTCAAACAGTCTCTATAAATAAATCGACGTTATTTTCTGTTCATTTCAATTAACGTATGCTATATACCTCGGCGACAAGAAGATTGTGCGGTCGTTTCTTACGAGCTTTCATTATTCGAACTATAGCTGCTTCAACTCTGCATGTTGTCAAGGTTACAAACCAGTAACTACATAAGACTACGTACATACAGATTCACCAGGATAAGCTATAATAGAGACTTTTGGATGTTCGTAGATGTATATCGTCCAGGTTAGTGCAGCTCTGACAATGACAATTGGTGTTGTTGTTAACTGACGTTTGGATAAACCTCAGCGGCAGTCGTCGTTAGAGTCAAATGAAGAGTACATATCACATTGGCTGTATTTGTTTTGGTCCTTTAGTCACAAGATTGTTTATAAAAAACGTGGGGTTATGTGTGTCCATTGTTGACAACATGGTTCGTGATTATTCAGTCATTACCAACATCAGCACCAACATTTCTTTTCAGAACTCCACAAACCTGCACGATCCACTTCTACAAACTGGCAACGACACTCCCATGTTCAAACCATTCACTGTAATGGAGACTTTGATGGAAAAATTTCCTCTGCTATCTCTCACGAAAATTTGCCACATATAATGTGACAGCCCCATGTTTTTAATTTTGACAACATCACGACTACCCAAGAACATAACATTTGTAGTATGCATTTTTTAAAACCATGCTTTACATGACGTTCCTCAATAGATGTACCACGTAACAACCAGAATAAAACTGTATAAAATTTACAGTAAAACAGCTGTACAAAGGATACTCGTGTTTTCGATCATCTTCAACCTTAGATCGCGTCTCTTTCCTCTCTGGTTCACCTTCACCTTTCGCAGCGACTATGGGATAATTTTGCCACATACGTAGTCACGCATTATTTATTTTAATTTCAAAAAATTACATCACCATATATCACACCTGTTTGTATTTTGACTCTGTGCAGCTTCGATGAAAATTGATCGTTCACTCGAAACTGATGGGACGGCTCTGCAAAATATCACATAACTTTAGACAAGTTTCAAGAAAGAAAAAAAATGCTCACACATGATGAAAACACAAATGCCATTTTCTAACATACCTATGTCCTTAGATTTCGGATCTTTAATTAAAATTCTCTGTGTTGACTTGCCACAAGCGAGGGACTGTAACGCTCGGTGCAAATCACGTTCGGGAACGTTTGTCTCACTAGCAATTTCCTGGAAAGGAGAAATCCACTCACGTCAAGTGGGAGAAACATACATCCAGGTATCCATAGCTAAATGCAATGAATTACCTCACAAGTGAAAACGTCTTTAATGTTAAACAGCATCAATATACACATCTGGTACGTCGACACCTGAATGATGTGCTTGTGCATATTTGCAGCACCATCGTCCTAGTCAAAAAATGTGAATTTTAAAGTTAGCCTTGAATTGAGACGCATGCATGGTAAGTTAGGGTGCCCCATTAATTTTGTGGTCTTCACAAAAACACCTTTAAGTCAATTAGTAGGGTCCGAGCGGGAAGGGTCCAAGCTTGTGCGCACATAAATCACAATAAAAATTACTTATTTAATAATTAAAACACTTTTATAGGAATTTAAATAACCTTGGGCTAATTGACAAAGCCCCCCCCCCCTTATCCCTAGCGGTTGCGTTAAGCCACTGCCTTTGAGCACATACCAACACATACATACAAACCTTCTTTGACCCAAAAAACACAGCATTCAGGTCTGCCGAACCCTTGAAACAAAATATATTTGCGTTAGTTATTATGGACATAACAAAACAACTCAAGGAGCTACTATACACCGTCTTATAAATAAAAATATATAAACCAATAAATAAAATAAACGAAACATTATTCAGCTGGACAAAATAAATTACGTAATTTTGGATTGCCCTCAGCCAGAAATAAATGAAATTCATCGACGTCTTCCATAAGCAAGGAAATTGAATTCTTACCATTTGGGGTTGAAGAGTCAACTGTCTGCCGCTGTGACACGATAAATAAAATCTAAATGTAAATCGTTTTGATTAGAAAATACTATCGACGGCATTTTGCGATTGATTATTAAAATCAAAATTACATATGTACCGTTTAAAAGATTCAAACGCTTGCTGTGTCTGCGCCGGTATATTACAATTTTGTGGAGCCGACTGTGTAGGCCAAAAACCCGTGGTAAGAATCCTCACGTTAAGGTCAACACCCCGTAGATCAAACTAAAAATAAACATACATATAACAATACAATGCATGTAGATGGCTACATAAAGTATAACTTCAACATCATTATACCCTGCACGATACATACGAAATGACTTACTACATAAACATTTACATAAAGTATAGCTTCAACACCATCATACCATTCACAATACATTCGAAATGACCCATTAAAGAAGTTTTAGACACTTCAATGATTGGAATTGGAATTTACAATGCTTTGTAAATTAAAGTAAATGGTTTGAACCCGGGAGTATCGTTACATGTTTCTAAATGTCGATCGTCCAGGTTGGTATAGTCCTGAGAAGGACTGTTTTTGTTGTTGTTGACTGACGTTTCGACAACCTTAGCGGTAGTCATCTTCAGAGTCAAATGACAACCAAACAGCTTTGTAAATTCTTACATTTTTTGAATTGTTGCTTTGAATGTGCTGTTTGAATTCATCCATAGTTGTATTTGATAGAGTTATATCTTTGAACATTCCTTCAAGCTTTGACGTGAACTGACAACCACACTCCGTCTAAAAATGACCACAACCAGAATCCTTTAATACAGTTTGCATCGTGTATTTTTCGTAAATACACTTTTCAAAGCTCGATTACACTCGAGTGCTTTGTGATAAGTTAGTTATCGTTTCCTTCCACAAAACATGAAAAAAATTATTGAAACACGTCGAGAACCGAACACCACAATCACAAGAGATAAATGTAGTGAAAACTTCAAAGATATTTGATATCAAGAAAGAACTTTGCTTTGTCAATCGTATTTCCAAAACATCCAAACATAAAACATAATGAACCTTCAGTTTGGATATCATATTCTTCTCTGCATCGTCAGATACGCTCTTATTTAACAGCAATCTTTTAGCCAAATGATGTTTGTAGTATCTTTCAAACACGTCCTAAGTGAAACGTGCATGGCACAAGAATTTTTTAAAATGAAAACATGATACAGTAAATAAGAAAATCCGGGAGTTTCCATAAGTGAATAATGCAGCAAAACTAACGAGCATCCATGACGTAGGGATGTCGTTTAAGTCTCACAATTCAAAAGAAGTTTTCAAGAATCAACGCTCAATGTATTCCAGAGGTTAATGCACTTTTCAATCCAAACCTTTTCTTGTATAAATCGAAATAAAACCATACACTTGTCCAAAACGCTTTCAATCTCTTGTTCGGACAACTATATACATGAGAACAACGTGACAATGACACGGATTGCATGACAAAGCCTTTGGGAAAATATTAAAGGTGTATTGTTTTCGATGTGTTAAATGTGTTTTGCTATATGAGAAATAAAAGTAAAAAACGAAAATAGATAAAAAATACCCCTTTCACTCCTTTCTTCAGTTTGTCGTCAATAAACAACGATAGATACTCAGGCGATTTTTCGTTTAGATTGAGAAAATATTCAAATTCCTAAAAAACGAAAGACGACTCATAATGGAACAGTGTTTGTATGCAATCATCACTGATATGAAAATAAACTGGATAACGCACTCCACTGTTTTTGTGAAGCCAGAGCCGCCATATTGGAAGGTCGCACTTGTTACGAAAAATTAATCATAATATTAATCAGCAGATATTATTTTGATTAGGTGCTATACTGCAATGCGCTATCTAGTTTATTATACATATCTATGGTAACCATACGCCATATATTAATCTAAAAATATTTAAAGATAAACATAAACATCTAAACAAAAACCGACTTTGCAACTAGTCTCTAAATTTTTTTAAAAAAAGATTTGAAGTCATACAGATTTCGGTATGGGTATAAATATACTTACAGAAGATATTGCTTGTTTAAAGACTTTATCAACGTTGAAAGATTGTCGAAGAAAGTGATCAAAACGGTCTTTTAAATCTAACAAGGACTAAAAAAACAGAGTAACAATTAACAATAATTCTATTGACGTATTGGCAATTAAAGAAGTTCTCTAAAACACCTAACGCAGAAAACCTCCCCATTAAAAGCAACAAATCAAAGGTACATTTTAACAAGTCAATACTGGGATCGATGCAACTCAATTTTCTGACTATATTGACCAAGCCTAAGATAACTGAAAATAGTTGCATTAATTGATTGAAATAGCTATGTGAAACGATTATACAACGAATACAGTTACATATTAAAAATAACTGAATCCAATGAGCAATAAAACTCTTTATTATTACAATAAAAAAATAGGTAAGAAAATTGGCATGCAATTTTAGTTTAGTTCGACGCAGTTCTGTACCAAGTGCAGTAACAAAGAATTTTACATTGTATTCCTGTGAATATTAAGGAAGGAAAGTGAAATAAAAAAAGAGTAAATGGTTTACTAACACACCTGAACGTAGGTAATAGCGCTTTTTCCCTGTTCACCCGTTTCATCATCTTTTACTAAACCAACACCCTGTTCACGTAAATATTTTCGCAAGCATTCACAAACAGCGTGAAGTCCACCTTTAACTCTTTGAAAAAGGCGAAACATTCGCGCCAAATCTAGTAAACGACAAAAGATTTTTTGCAGTGATACATACGAGAAGAAAACCTGGCTAATGTCAGAAACTCCGTAAGCTGGGCAATCAAAGAATTTTTTCATTTCAAACCTTCTGTTTTGTTGTGCTTCAACATGTGAACAACTCCTGAGTTTTCCATCTACAAAGTAAAAATAAACGAGCATAATTTTTCAATAATGGTGCACAATTCTCTCAACTTTTTTCTAGAAAACGTTTGTCTACCTCTACGACAGTCTTCATATGTTTTGCAATCAACTCATCTTCCAGTACCTACATCGAGTACAAATAGCTGATTACTGGTGGCACACAATGTCGGTCGGTCGGTGCCACTATTGAAAACCGTAATTTAGAAATTACTGAGTGTGAGAAGAAACTAGTGAGTGCACTGAATAAAAAGGAAAACAAATAAATAAGCGCAGATAATGGAGGATGAAAAGAGATAGATGGTGGATAATGGAGGATGAAAAGAGATAGATAGTGGATAATATCATTAGAATTAAAATGAGGTGGATTGCTAACATTAAACGTGTTGATGCCATGTTGAAGGAAGTATATTTGAGGGAAATGATGTTGAAGGTAAAAGACCAACAAAGCAAGAAAAAGGACTGGAATGCTAAATGACTTGAAAGAGAATGGGCATTGCAAAATAATAATGGAAGAGAACGGAGAGATCTGGAAAAGATGGATGCCAAGATGGACCTGTCGATAGTCGATAGACGAAACACTAGACAATGACGACGAGACGAATGCAGATTCAATACACTACACAATACCTCTGTTATTGGTTTTTCTGTGCTTGGATCAAGATAATGTTTAGCACGCTCAGATTCCTCATTTAAACGTTTCTCGACCTTATAATAATAGACGCATTTATATCATAAAAGAGTCTCGAATCAATGCGCATTCTACATCTGAGGCAGTTGTGGAAAGCTAAAAAAGTGCTATCCACTGTAGTGTCTTTATAGTGTTATATTTTGGACAATATTCTAATATTATCTAAGACACGCGCATAAGATTCCCATCGAAAAATACCTTTTCAATATAAACTGATGCACTATTTTCAGTTAAAAACGTCTGACCCTCCACCTAAAAACAATGCATAAATGACAATCAACATACGTATAGTATAAATACATCATCGTCATTCAAGCTAGAGGGGTTTGATATTTCGTCACATACACCCTTTCACCAGCACCTAAACATAATACCTTACCATTAATACAACTTTGGAGAACCTAATCACATTTGGAGAACGTATATAGAACCTGCATTAGTTACCAAACAACCTAATTACGCAACTTGGAGTAACTCAATTCCCTTCAACTTTGGAGAACCTAATCATCTTCGGAGAACGTATATAGAACCTGAATTTGATACCAAACAACCTAATTACCCAACTTAAGTACCTCAATACGCTTCAACTTTGGAGAACTTAATCATCTTTGGAGAACGTATATAGAACCTGCATTGGATACCACACAACCTAATTACCCAACTTAAGTACCTCAATACCCTTCAACTTTGAAGAACTTAATCATCTTTGGAGAACGTATATAGAACCTGAATTTGATACCAAACAACCTAATTACGCAACTTAAGTACCTCAATACCCTTCAACTTTGGAGAACTTAATCATCTTTGGAGAACGTATATAGAACCTGCCTAAGTTACCAAACAACCTAATTACGCAGCTTGGAGTAACTCAATACCCGTCAACTTTGCAGAACTTAATCACTTCATACCCTGTAAAATTCGGCTGATTCGTTTAAGAATTTCTTCTCAAAATCTTCCTCATACACGATTCTCGAATCGATGCCGAGGTCCATCAGCATATGACAAGCATTTTTCACAGCCATCCTGTTGGTATAAAAAAGCGAAGATTCGTAAAAACCCTACCTGGGGGGAGGGAGGGGGAGGTCGAAATGTCAAGTGAAATAAAAATCTTTTTTATGGGGGAATCTTTGGAGGCGTACTATGAAGAAATTAATATACGTAGATTATAATTTAAAAATAAATTTGTAAAAGAGACATTACTTTAATTTCTTAAAAGCACTAAAGAAAATTGAAAAGCAATAAAGAAAATTGTCGTCCACTCGAAACGCTAGAAATTACTTTATGTAAAGACAAATCGTAATTTTAGGAAATACAAATTAATAATTACGACAATTCAGCCTATTTCTAGTAGAGCAAGAGGGGGACCAATGGCTGATTGACGAAGGGGCCCTAACGGTTACGTTACGCAAATGCAAAACGCAGAAAACATTCACAACTACGTACAGAAAAAATCACTTTCACAAAAAATATATCAGTATGAACAATTTAACTATTATAAACGCGAGGTGCATCTCCTAGTCACGAAAACTCGGACGAGCCTATATGACAAAATGTCATCCTGTTGAGCGAATTTAGCGAGTCAGTGAGTGAAAGAGGCACAGCCTTGACATGAAATGATGAAATGAGCAATAAAATCTTTTCACATGTACAATTAAAACATTACAAAAAATTATCAAAAAGAAATAATTGTTATGTAGCTTAAGACGTAACTATGAAACTAAATAAACAAAATCAAAAATTTTGCGTTGTATTTTTATGTTTATGGCTGTCAGTTTAAAGGTTCGGTTACGAACGAAGAAAACAAAATACACATATGAAATAAAAATCAAGACAAAATCAAAATGTAACCTACGTGTAGGCATAGCAACCTGCTTAACCAGGATGTACTGCAGGCTCAAATGAACAATATTACAATGACTTCAGCAATGTTTGCAGATTTGAATGATTTGGCATGTACATAATATAGTTTAATATAAAGTAAATGGTTTGAGCCCGGGAGTATCGTTACATGTTTGTAAATGTAGATCGTCCAGGTTGGTATAGTCCTGAGAAGGACTGTTTTTGTTGTTGTTGACTGACGTTTCAACAACCTTAGCGGTAGTCATCTTCAGAGTCAAATGAGGAGTAAACGTCACATTTAAATCACACATCACAACTAAAAACATTACACTTCACACTAATTCACAATGACAATACACAATTGACACCTACACATTTCCTGTACACACAATACAATGACGTAAAAACCAGATAACAAATACGGCTAACCTGACGTTTTCTCCTCATTTGATTCTGAAGATGACTACCGCTAAGGTTGTCGAAACGTCAGTCAACAACAACAAAAACAGTCCTTCTCAGGACTTTACCAACCTGGACGATCTACATTTACAAACATGTATAGTTTAATATACATAATAATAATTTTACCTTTCAACAACTTCGCCTCTCCGCTCACGACTTACTAATGATAACAATGTGTTACATAAATGGTCTCTTAGGCTTCCATGACGTACAACCTAATAACAAATGGCCATAATTATATTTCATAAAAAAATGCATCAAATGACACGTGACTAGTTTCCAGGCTCGAGTTTCTAAAATTCCACAATTGCAACTTGCTTCATTGTTATACCAAAAGATGAAAAGATGTAAATCGCAGTACCACGTACTTGGATCTAAAAGACTTTAAAAACATCTCACTTACCAAATCTCGAAACAAAACCAATCCCAAATTATATACGTTGTCCACATTATTCTGTTGCACATATACTCGATCCTATAGGGAATTTTAAAATATCTGTCAAACAATATTTTGGTAAGATATAAAGGCAGTTTCCCACATCAAATGTAATGCACTGATATGCATCGATTAAACTAATTTCAAAATAAAGTAGTGTTTATTGGTCTTTCTATGGTAGTTCCACATATGTACGTACACTTGAGACACACTTTCAATTTTTAAATGCTTATCACCTTAAAGTACACACAATTTGAAAATGGATTTTCAAACTATATGTGTCTACAGAAGCCTTAATATAAGAACAAAGTGGAAGGCAGCCTATATCTTTCGCATGTCTTTTATGTAAACAATGCAAGAACCCAGAAATAACCTATATGCATACATACCATGTACATAAGAATGTCTCGTATCATCACCATTGATGTTTGATGATCACTCCAGGCATTATTGAGAGCAACCAGAAAATTATTTTGCAAAGAGTCTAAAACATCTTTTCTCACCTATCAAATACATACACAATGTTTGTATTTTGTCCAGCAACTGTTTATAGCAAACAATCCAATCTAAAATATTACCTTTTGCTCTAAATGTTCAGTGACAACTGTTTTCAGACCACTATACAGTCTTTCACCATGCTTGTGTAATACCATTGTGTAAGCATTTCTACAAAACACAAGTCTAAGTTAATAAGTCCGACAAATAAGACAAGACTGTTCATTTTGTAGCAAATACCTGTACAGTTCTTCAAAACTCAGTCCACTGTTGTTCTTTTTCTGAATTTCCAGTATTGCATTCTTCAGTAAGTTCCAAATGCCTTCAACATACTTTTCATCCATGGTCATCTAAAGCAAAAGGATTTCATAAAGAGCTTCGAAAGTGATGATTCTTTAAATAAAATGCATGTGATTAAAAAATGTCCCAAAGAAATGAAGTTCTTCTTAAAGACGAAACATAAAAAAACCAAGAGTGGTCATTATACACATTTTTCTAAGACAGAATTTATGCAATAAGATTTAAACTTCTTACCACAAAACACCATTGTAATCAAAATGGTTCTAGGGAATTTGAGTTAATCAAGTTCAAAATAGACAGTCAGGTTCAATAATATTGCTGCTTTATAGTAAAATTTACACAGGACACTGAAGTGCATATGGTTACGTAAAAGAATACAAAGTTAATTGTTAAAAAATTCCATGTTTTTTTTCTGTTTACATTTGGCCAAGATCAAAACCAAATGTAAAATTGCATCTTTGCATTGGGAAAAAAGGAATTTTGTCAGTGTAAACAAGTTTGTAGTTGACAAAACACATTATTGACTGGCATTACCATCCTTCTTAAACTTCATTATGCTGTTGGGATGAAATCTTACTATCATACCAGGAAGTTGCATGTATCACAAAATAGAAGATGGTAAGTGACTAAGAGTAGTGTAAAAAAGAATTAAACACCTAAAATGTACACAAGACATCACAATCTTTTAAATATAAATAACAAAAAATTCGATGAACAATGAAGTATTTACATCACCAATGTTTACAAAGGAATACAATAAATATACCAATAACTTTTTCTACCACACGCATTGGCACATGAGCGACCGAATATACTAACCGGAAAAGCCCGTATACGCATCTTTGTATCTTTCTTTTTTTGACTGGCCATAATATATGGTACAAGACAAGAAATCCGCCGAACAAAGTCTACACACCAAAACTAACAACAATTCCAGTCAACAGCATCTATCAGTAATGATGCTCCAAGCTCGGACTTTTTATACGCTCATAGAAAACGGCAATACCACTCCATACATTACAGAAGACCCCATACACAGCAAAATATCAAAAAAAACAGTTTAAACAAATTTATTTTGAAAACATGTCTCATTTCTCGTACGTTTTCTTGCATTGAATGACATACAGTCAATAATCAAGTACGACTTTGACTTGTTGTCCCACAATTCTTTGCGAATGGAGTGGTTACCAAGTGATAATAATTACGTAGCTTGATTGTTGCCAAATTGCATTACATGGTGGTGATCGCACGTTTGGGAAAAAAAAAGTCTAATTTAAAATGAAACTTGCACAAATAGCAAATGGATGCTGCGCAAGTTGTGATAATTATTTTAGTTGAGCTTGTGGGATTTTTTTAGATTCTTTAGGGCAGGGGTCTCCAAACTACGGCCCGCGGGCCAGATGCGGCCCGTTGGGCCTCTCAATCCGGCCCACGGGCCGGATGCGGCCCGTTGGGCCTCTCAATCCGGCCTGCAGAGAAACTTAAGAAAAAAAAATTATTAAACAAAATAAACTTTGTGCAGAAAGTTCATGTTATGACGCAAGTCAACTAGCAAGAGTGGCATACGTCAACTTTTGTCCCAACTTCCTACTTCCGTTTCAAGCACATTGCGAAATTTAAAAATCTGAAGGATGACGTGGAAATTCTTTATATTTCAATGCTTCATAATGGCCGATAAAAGAAAAAGAAAATAGATGATGAATGTCGGCGATTTCAAGAAGAGTGGAGTGTAAAATACTTCTTCATGATGTTCTTCGTTATGTACTTCGTTTTAAGTATTCGCTCTTTGACCAGCGGTATACGGTTCGTCGGCCCTCAACATGCTGGATGAAAGTTCATGTGGCCCTCTGGCTAGAAAGTTTGGAGACCCCTGCTTTAGGGACTTAAAGATTTACCTCCCCGAAGGTGGTGGTCCGTTGGAGAAAGTTGACGCTCCCATGTTTCAGTCTCAACCACTTTTCTTATTTATCATACACAATACAGACGAAAGACTTTTAGGAAAAGTTAAGTTAAAGAGAAGATTGTCACATTCTTGCGTCAAACGCTTTGGAGAAATGCTTCAAAACTATAAATCTTTTCCACACTAAAAGCACTTCCACAGAATGCCGTTTTTGATTAAAAATTAATGTAGATGTCGTGCTAAGAAATAAATTGCTAAGTAAGAAGAGTTAAAAATCACCTATTTCCAATATTTCAAAAGATCGTTTACAGCTCCGTCTTTGCCATTGATACGGGAAATTATCTATGCCCTACGTTCATTCCAATCAATTTACCACGGAACTAACATGTTGACTGATATCAATGCAATGAAGATATCGATTTGAGATTCATGCTTTCATGTCGTTGACAGTAATGATCATCAACCGACAACAAAATGAATCTATTTTCAGATTCTTCATCGGAAGAGATAACATTCTTCACATCTTCGCTGTGATGTCTTGTGCACTTTCTCCGGGCAAATGATCAATAATGGGAATTAACATTCATGTTTTGAAAAAATGGAAATGAACTACCAACATAGGGACTATGTATTGGAGTATCCGGTGAGCCATTACTCATAAACACTCCATCTTCGGATGAGAAACGAGTTCTGTTTAAAGATACTGGCTCGGACGTACTGCGGTGAATTTTCGGAAGCGACTGAATCAACGAGTCCATCTCGGCAAGAATCTGTAACAGAACGCGACAGGTCAAATGGCTATTTTCAAGTCGATTAAAACGAAGATTAATCAACTCAAAGAAAACGTTCACTGAATACCAGAAGAACAACAACACATGATGTATATCAGCTACCTGTTGAAATAAAGGCCGCTCGTCTCTATGGAAATTGATGCAATCCATTAGCAATCGCTTCAAGGATTTCGGACAATCTGATCGAATCTTGTTAAGATCAACTCTCAAAAATCCTCTCCCAACCATGTACAATATCTTTAAAAGCGAAATAATAGGTTCTGCAATTAACGTGTGCTACTTATAAACGACCACATTTTCCTTAGGCAGGATTCTATTTCACAGAGCAACAATAACAGAGGGCAAGTAACAAAAAGTGGTGGTATCGTTAGACATTTGTGAAGTGTGATAATGAAAGTACACTCCTTGCTTCGCACATGGCAAAAAGAAGAATTATTCCATCCAAATGGAGTAAACAAAAGTTGTGGGAAGTTTTCACGACTTAGCTGAGAAAGTGAAGATTAGGACTAAGGGTGGTAGAAAGGATCATGGAGCATTTCGATAAAATTCAACGCACATACGATAATAACCTGCAGAATTGTAGCGAAACAAAAACCTGGTCGAGTATGCGCGGCGCATATCGACTTGGAGTAAAAAAATGAATTCAATAAATTTTTGAACCTTTCCCCAACACAAACGCATCTTTAATCGAAAAGTTCAGCAAAAAAGATATATGTACCTGGTCTTTGTTACCAATGTTAGAGTACGGAAGTGTTCGAGATGTCAACTCATATAGCACGATCCCATAGGCGTAAACATCAGATTTGTTCGAGTAAGGATGTGAGTCCTTCATCCGAATTATTTCAGGCGCCTGGAAAATAGATACTTTGTCTAATAAAGACAACGTCTACATGAATACTACCTAGCGGCAAGCCTCAACCAATTATTTAAATTCTCAAAATTGCGTAGTTTGCAACCATTTCTTTACAAGTCAATTAACAAAGAGTTTCATCATCTTCAATGAAATTTACATTCGAAATTAATAACAAGAAAAAATTTTATGAAATCCATCCAATATGGCGACCGTGACGAAGCCATGGACGGACGTAGCATGCACGTCAAGAGTACAGCATCAAAACAAATACATGTTCTCTGTGCCTACGAGAATTTTCACGTTCTTTCCCTGTGTAATGTCCAATCGTTTGCTACATAATACGAACATAACATGGAGTATCATATCTTACCATCCATAATATTGAACCTGAAGGTTGCTCAAAATTCTGTCCACTCCATCTTGACTTAATTGTCGCCAAACCAAAGTCACCGATTTTTACAGTCAAATCTTCTTGCAAAAAAATATCTGAACGCAAATATTAAGAAACCAAACACACACACGAACTACTTTCATCAGATAGCTCACGATAAAATTGATAAATTGAATTAGGTTGAATTTAGTAATGAACGAATCCACGCAAAAATTAATACGCAAAATTTGCAAAATTCCGAGTTTGGAGCTTGGTTGTAAGGATACTGTTTGACTTCAAATCTCGATGAATAATTGATTTAGCGTGAAGATAACTAAAAAAGGGACAAACATTTCACAAAATGGAACACAGCCTACATTTAATTAACATAAATACGAATGATTAATTGGCGACGAAGGACGTAAAAACGAAACACGAGAAATCCAGTGACAGTTTTACCAAGGTATAGAGTGTTTGCATGTGACGTCAGAGCAGCAATGTTGGGGGAGTGCATTAAAGTGTCCATGCTCAACAGAGCATGAAACAGAGCATGAAACTAACATAAATTCTTTCTTTGGGATTTTCCCCCCTAAGAAGGCGAAAGACGAGAACACTGTATACAGCAATAAAGCTGGTAAATCAAATGTATAATTTTTTAGACAAAATGTGTTTACGAACTACTTACTCCATGCCTTGAGCTATTTGACGACCTATGTCCAGGAGTTGTAAAATTTCAAATTTCGATTCGTTTACGTGAAGATGACGATATAACGTGGAACCTTCGCACCATTGAGTGACGATTGCCAGAGACGGTTTTGATATGCAGCCCATAAATAGCAGCACGTTGATGTGTCTCGTTTTCCTAAGAGAAAAAGATAATGGCAAATGCTGTAAAATTCTTTTGAGGGATACATGTGGAAGAAGAATTGTGGGGAAGGGAAGGGGGGGGGATCAGTTAATTACATTTCCCATAGCACTTTTAGTCAACACGTTTCCGAGAACCGTAGAAGTCAGCTCGGCTTTTTCGAAAAAGGAGTCTAGTTATGAACTTATCAGTCAAAAACTGGACAAAAAATATTTTGAGGTTAAAATAAACCCTGAATACACAGCAATATAACGACCTACATGTTATGCCACATTATGTACAGCATATTACCTTAACACGGCAACTTCATTCTTAAAAGCTTGAAGCTGGGCTGGAGTCGGCTCTGTTATATTCAATCGCTTCACGGCAACTGTTCCTAAACACACAAAGTTCACCGATTAGCTCCACAGACGTCATTATATAAGATGTCATGTCAAGAACATGATATACCTGTTAAACGCATGGCATTGAAATACATATATCAAGGTCAGAAAAACACATCTTCAGACAGTTAAGTCAATTTTACGAACATTTGCTACATATTTCATAGGTCGAAAATTTTATCTTTAGGGGCTTTGGAGCCTAGAAGTAGGACACTTCGCGCCGGAAGTGACGTAAAAACGCAGTTCTACTTTTTCAAGTTTTCTTTTATTGTTCACTGAAAGGATGTCGTCAAAACACACACCAATGCGACATCTTAAATTCGCATTGTGGTTCTTAAGAAGATTTGCTGAAACGGTTTTATTCAGTAAAATGAAAGCCATATCTTCAATGCACATGATCTAATTTTTACGTCACATCCGGTGCGGAGTCACCTACTTCTAGCCACGTCTACACAAAAACCCATCAAGATAAAAGTTATTTTCCTGAACTTCATATAGGCACTTCATATTACAATTTAATTTCAAGCGCGGGCATTAGAAATCGAATAAAGAAAACAAATCTTATGCACACGTACCATGCCATTGTGCTTTGAAAACAGTTCCGTAGGATCCAGATCCTATCCTCTCACCCATTTCAACTTCTTCTTCGGGGATTTCCCAATCATCATTAGAATTATGACGTTGACGTTGCTCCTTCTGAAAATATAATTTGAAGTGAAGGAAATCGACATTTAAAAAACGACAAGCTGAAAAAACTGTTAACAATGTAATTACAATTCCTTGCATGTGAACAACAAAATTGCCAATTGGTGAATTCGTGCTTCAAAATTTTCTTTTATTATACGAACAAAAGTTGGGGAAAAAGAAATAGCTAACAAATGTCTTGAAGATACAAAAAGCACAGCAACCGAGAAGCTATAGTTCAGATATACGGTCATGTTCAAGATATACAGCTACATATAGTCACATTAAAGGGCCTGTAAAACAAAAACTATGCTATTTTAATTATAGCTAAGCATTTTCTTTGAAGAGAACTTTTAAGATGACAGTTGACTTTCTAAAACAGTTAAGTCATATCTCTTTTCATTCTCGAGATATTGTTTCGTGGTGTCCGATTTACACAGAAAATGACATCAAAATGCACGATGAGATTCTGAATTGTTAAGAATAATGAACATATGTTGATATGTTACATCCACCAGACGGAATTCCTGTCGTTCTACAGTGTTAATGTTAAAAAATCCTACACAGATATTTCATCGAAAAGCTGACAGGGAGCTGAAAGAGACGCAATGTGACGTCACTTTCTCTGTAAATCAGACATCACAAAAGTTCAATATCTTGAAAATGAAAAGATATAAACTGCATTAGAACGTCCACTGTCATTGTACGAGTTCTTTTCAATGAAACTACAATTTGAATTGCAAAATTATCGTTTTAATGGCCCTTTAGAAGATGGGTAACCGAATTCCACCAACTCACACAGTTGCGCAGATGCAAACCTATACTAATGGGAAAATGCCAAAAAAACAAGAAGTTTTTCTTACGATTTCAGACGAGGATTTTGCACGTTGTTTAAAGCGATAGTGAGCACGATTAGCGCCGAGATTAGGAGTCATCGGTCGTTCAGGTAAAACGCGACTTTGAGGTCGTAAACGACCATCGTCCATGAGCTCTCTTCTTTCAAAATCCCTTCTATCATCAAAGACATTATATACAGGGGGAGGAGACCCGACGCTTTTTAAGCCCGTCATACGCTTTTCAACTCCCAATGGCGATGCACCTAAACCAATCAGAAGTAAGAAGACTAATGAAACATTTTCCATACGGTAACATCATTAATAAATCAATTCAACATCTACCTGACATTGTGGCTGATGCGTCTTTCGGATACTTAAAACCACCCTAAATATAAAAGCAGGCAAAGCAAAGATTACTATATTGGAAATCACACATATGAGAAAAATAAAATATAAAGATACCATACATTGTCTTTGCATGCATGTGTAAAATGACTATAGTCCCACGCATTATAGTTATGAAAAGCATTTATACTCATTTCAGGGACAACATGGCAATAAAAAAAGTAGAGATTAAATTGCCCGGATCAGCAAAAACTTTTATTTGCAAAATTAACACCAAGTGTTCTATCTAACGTATAGGCGAATGAAATTTTTAATTTAGTCAAATCGTCTTTTTGTTATGGCGGTACAAAGTTGCCTTTGGACGGACCTTGTCCGTCGTGGCATGAAGCCTGGGTCGAGCCAAACTCTGACGTCATTCAAGGTAGCTGATAGCCCTATATAAATCTTGTATTACGGAGTGTACCTATAACACCACAAAAGTAAGTCGTTCCTGAGTTTTCGGACAACGGACAAGGCCCATTAAAAAGAGCATTTTGGCCAACTTTAACCAGCATTAAATGGAACGATTTGACGAAGTTAAAAAGTTTTTTCACTGGTACGTTAAAAATCACACCCAAATTTAACATCTGTAAATAAAAATTTGTATTGAAAGGGGTATAAATCATTCAACAAAAGAAAATCGTACACGTAGATGTATGGCAGCCGTGACATGTATGGACTGAAGATATCAACGTATATCCATTTGAATACATAAACGCACCTCTTGTAAGCTGATTTTATGAACATTCGGTGCCGATATAGACCTCTCCCTCGAAATTAAGCTTTCCGTGTTACCGTTTTCGTGAAAGTTGGTTTCGTCATCGCGATTGTTAATATTTACAAGACTGTAAAGGACAAACAAAAAAGGAAAAAATCCCTTGTAGGCAAACGATATAACTATAGCAAGCGATATAACAGCGTTATAAACCTACAATTCATATACTTTCTCTGTTTGAACAGCTAAACAAATTGACGGTACATTTAACGCACATCTCTGGTGAAAACGGTAGCCACATATCTGACACCTATAACAACAAAATAACTTTAATTACTAACGAGAAGTAGAAAGGTTTCGTAGTAATCTGGCGTTCGTGCATCCACTTTCATCAAGCATCCGCATTTGAAGTAAAAATATCGCTCTTGGATCAGCCTTTATCATTCAGAATATTCGTGAACAATAGATGGATATATCAGCTCAATCACAAATCACCCAACTAATCATTTCAAAAAGAAAATCAACCCCACTACACAACAAAAATGGAACAGACAGAAAGCCTACATGGTACCATGGTCAGCGGTCGTCTTTGACCGTCTATCAGCTCTCAGTCACTCTCTGCAGTGCCATAAGTCAGAAAAATAAGAAAGCCGGAACACAGGTCCAAATATACACAATTCCTAATATTAGACGTTTTTCTTGTTCGAGTTATCATAAGTTGAATTTTTTTAATATGAGTAATTATAGTCTCATGTATTGGAGAAGGGAAACAAGAAGCCAATAGCGAAAACTTTTCAAAACGACAAGTAAACCGATGGAGAATAAAACCAACTCACCGAAATCCTTGGAATAGGAGTTTACGACACGAATCACAGAAAGCCAAGGTAAAAAATGTCTTGCGTATCTGAAATGACAACGGAATAGTCGCGAACAATGCTTTCATGAAAGTTTCCAGCTTATTATTAGCAAAACGGCGACTTTGAAAAAAAAACTGACAACGAATAAAGTTTCTGGAAACAAACACACATCCAAAACACAAATCCAAATCCAAAACAACAGATTGTAAAAAAAATTACTAAGACATGTAGTGGACAGAGTTTTTGTCGGTATTCCTACACAGGTCAGTATTATGAACTTTTACGAGTAAACATCACAGCCACGTTCGTATGTCACGTACGTAGCTAACAACCAAGGGGGCGGCTAAACTATATTTTGTTTTCTTATCTTCCTGCGGATGGACTTATACGCCTTCAGATCTCAGTCTTAGCCTCCTCCACAAACAAAAAAAGCTAAGTCTTAAGGAAGTGATTCTTAATAGGAAGTGATTCTACGAGAGCCTGCAAATTCCGGTCCAACTTCGTACTGTATATCTCAGAGGATTAACATAACTCATTTCTAAAAATCTAAGGTCTTTGCTGTTTGTGAACACGAAAACTTTGTATAAGCAGTGCAGGCTGTAAACGCCAAAGTACAGACATCCGCATTCGTAACGTTGTGCATACTTTTCAAAATGGGCCGACCACAAGATTAAAAAAAAAATATTTACATACAAAATTATGAGATATGCTGCTGGATATAGGAATATTCCCACGTTTCTCCACGGAAATCTACGAATGTGAAAATGATAATATCAAGTAAAGATACGCATAAAGTGAAAGTCGAACGACGACATGTAAAATTATGTAAAATATATACACAGTAATTGAAGTGAAACGACGATAAGCGAAATCGAAGAAAATTGAAGATATATTTAATAAACTGAAAATGGAAGTCGAATGACAATTTATACTTAAGACGAAGTGTCAAAAGTGTCGGTATTCTGAGATAGAAAAAAAATAAAACAATTAAAGTCCAAACAGTATAATTTCTTGGGAAAAGGATGAAAATTGCGGTACTACTTAACACGCAACTGCATATGATGAACAAAAACCTTTTCAAAAGTGTCAAACGCCTACGGCGTTTCATACAGTTTAAGAGTAGATCAAACAATATGAACTCATAATCTCTGCAAAAATAAGACATGACAAGAGGAAGCGTAGTGAACAATACTGATTGCGTACGTGCGCGTGGGCTACTCAAAAAAAAAATCATAAGTAAATCCACGCACCTCGTCACCTTCGTTTAAATTGGATAGATCAGTACTCCAAGATAACTCTTCCCTACAATATATTTGGTAAACAATTAAATCATTGCTGTACAATCGGCAATATCAATTTTCAAACCACAGACAAAATACGGGCCCCCTAGCCGTCGTGACTCGGGGGCCCGACAGCTGCCAAACTAACAAAATTGAGCTGTTAAAATAACAATTGTTATTGCATGTCTAGCACTTGTATAACTGAGAGGGAGGGGGGAAGGCGCGACGCGAGCGAAAAATGGGAAAGGGTTGACATGCATTGTCCCATAAAAAAGTTCATAAGTAGGATGTGTGAAACACCATTTCCCATGCTTTTAGGCTTGTTTTACGATAAGTTTGAAATCGACAGGTCGGCGATTTTCGTTAAAAACAAGCAGTTATTTTTACAACGGCAACTTTCTGTTTTATGTTAAGAAGTGTATCCAACTCAATATGATGTGAAATATCTCTTTCCACGCTGACTGAAACCAAAAATTTTAAGACGTTGCACATTGACGTTGTTTATTAACTATTTCCACTTTGTTGCAGTATGTGCCTTCATTTGTTTGTAAGACTATTTGAAATTGGACTAACCACCCACACCCACCCCCTCTTTCTCTGCATTTTAAAAAATCCAATATTGGCTAATAGAATAAATGGGGATCGCCACATCAGCTCCCTCATTAGCGACGCCACTGGAAATACTGATTATTGCGCTGTGCACGAATGGAAAGAAACTAATAAGTAATAGTTCGTTTTTTTATAAATATCATCACCAACTTAGCATTACTTCATCTTACCTGACGCTCCCCTGCTTTGAGATACGTACAACATAACACATATCTGTGGACAAGCCTCGCATCAACATACCCTTGCTGAGAGCTTTTTCAATCGTTGTTCCCGGCTTGTATTTGATCTACAAAGAAAAAACAGCGAGTAAACACTAACGTCGCCATTATCAACAAAAACACACGCTTGAAAAAGGAGGACAATCAACAAAGAAGCTGACAATACAAAATGCAACAACACTCAATACAGTTGAGTTGATGATAGTGATGAGATTAAGCAAATTTAGAATTGGGATAGCATCACAGCATAGTACTGAAAATCAAAAGTTTCTGGTGGAAAATATTTGAGTTAGCTCACACAAGCCTAACTTTTTACTCCTGCAATGCAATTTAATATTTCTTGTTCCTTCCTTAGAAAAGCAATTGATGAGATTACTTTTCTGAAATTACACAAAAGTTTAGCGGGAGCATGGGCTGGTTAATGAGTCTTACCCTCTGATGAAAACTACCCTTACACATTCCCAACTCTAACATAAAATGATTGTGAAAAATCTGTTAACTATAAAACTGCACCAAATTCATTAAAAGCAGTTATTCAACCTCACCAATTGATGGATATTTAAAGAGTTGCTTTTGCAAAAGCTATGCGTGGCACGCTTTAATTTCCTGTCAAATGACCCGAATCAAAAGTTAATGAATTTTTCTCAACTTCTCATTTCCTCAAATTGACATGTCTTTGATTCAATTGATTATAAGCATAAAATATTAATAACATTTACAATTTATATAAAGGGCAGCAAATTTCACGCATAAAACAACAGGTAAAACTAAGAGCAACTTACAGCAGTTCGTTGTTTATTTGGAAGATAGACTCGAACATAATCATGGGTGACAGGTGAACCAGGTACATCACAAGTTGTTGAACTGGCTCTCGAGCTGGACGATGTTGGTGTTGTGCAAGTAAGAGTACTTTCAGGTTCGGTGACTAATGAATGGTTGTCATTGCTCGATGGTGTTCCAGATTCCAATAGTTCCTTTTTTTTAAATTGCAACTGTGATAATTTAGTTTGTAGTCCTTCATATTCCTAGGGAAAAATGAGTATGATTCAACTAAATGTGTGAAAGTATACATACATATGAATGCATTGACATAACTTGAATAAAATTTTATCACACAAGAGTGGACAATAGCTTCTTCGTAAACGAGACACATTTTTAACCAGAAAAATAATATAGACATTTATCCTACAGAGTAAACTGCACAATGCAACCTACCATAAAGATAGCATTTGCTAAAGAGCTTATTAAATCACATGTTAATAAACACATTAAGAAAATGTTATGATTCATAGTGAAACTTAAAAAAAAGCAAGAAAACAAAAAAATACATTTGAAGTTTTGGGGAGTATGCCTAGGCACCATGGTTGCTGGTTTGAGAAAAACTATATGACATACGCAAATGAGTTAAGTGTATTTGTTTGATAAAGAGCTCGATTTCACAGATTGAGTTTTGTAAAGAAATTTTGGTAATGTTGGCACCTTTCAAATTTCCATGAGATGAAAATGATATGGCATAGCCTAATTCAATAAAATGCGCCAATTTTTAACTTGATTTTTTGAAGGACACAGATACAAGTATATGAAATTCAAAAACCCAATAAGAAAATGTTTATTCAAACAGATCATTTCATTTCACTTTTGCTTTAAGTATATTTGACAAAAATTGAAGAATACTAAGTTTCAGTTGTATGATTAAAATAATTGGTGAAGTTAAGTTTGCTTAAGAAAATCATTTTAGATAAATTGAAATGTGTATGAGCATTGGACGAATAGAGTAGGAAATTTACTCATACTCATAAACAACAAACAATCAAATTATCCCCCAGGTGATTGATTAAATAGATGTAAAGAGAATAATGCAAAAATATAAACATTAAACTGACAAAAAGACATGTTTGCTTTCAAAAGCTGGTTTAAATGATCATATTGAAAAATTACATGATCATAACGACACAAGTCAATGTCACCAATAAGAAATGATATTATTCTAAACGAACAGACAGAAATATCACAAAGTCATGGCAGATTTAAAGGATAATGCATTCTAAGCAATTTGAATTATGGAAATTTTCTATGATCGCACAAACCTCCAAAAACATTGATGGAGGATGCCTAACACCTTTAAAATGCCGATCGAGTTCTTCCAAATTTTCTTGAGTTAAACGAATGACTTGCTGTAGAGAACGGACCTAAATATTTACACCATAATCATCGCTGCAGTTAAATGGTATTTTCGCTAAATACCAAGCGTTATATTTCACATACGTGACACCACCAAAAATCAGAGACCCACACGATAAGACTTATAGAAAGAAAAAAAACACTCATTGGGTTATTAGACATTCTTTTACCTTAGACGAAACAGCATCGTCCTTTCGAGCATCGTTCGTAAAAATCTGCGAGTTTGCAAGGGACATGACTGACAAACATTCATTACAACATCACTGACTCCGACATTATGTGAGTTTTATTTTGTGATAATTTACTGATCATGTGACCAACTCATGAATTAATATACGCGCCCGCAAAATTTTATTTTCGATAGTAACAGACCGAAAAATGAAAAGTGCGAACTTAAGTTTATTTATTTTTCAAAGTTGTTTTAAGTCTTTGTCGTTGATTAAATTCGGACAGTTTTCACATACAATAACAAAATTTTCGACATTCTAATTTAAATTTAATTATTTTCTACGAAGTAGTGACTCAGTAAACTTTTAAAAAACATTTAGTTCTATAGGTTGACAATATGTGAAGCTGTGGCGTAATCGTTCATCAAACATCAAAACATCTAAATTCCAATAAGATGTAGCAACATAATTCCGTAAAGACTTTGTATAATGTTAGCCTGCAAGTCACAATTAACCCGAACTTGTCATGTTTCCGGATTCGTCACATGATCAAAGGAGAAGGTAATGATGTTGAATTCTCCTCTTCCTCCAAGAATATTTAGTACGAAATGAGATTCATGTTTATGCTGTAAGTGTTTGAATGGTTGATTATTCGCATCTGTCATTTTGGGTCTACTATCCAGATACGTAAGTGTTGTCATACCGTATTTTAATTGCGTTATCACGCATTTAATGGGCTGTTTGTATTTTTAAAAAAATATCGTGTAGCATTCGTCTTGGCTAATGTTGACATCGAATTCTCACCTCCTAGTTCAACAAAACCCTTACTGTCTTAATGTGTGTATATCTATTCCTCATGGGGTTTTTTCAGTTAAATGGGAAGTAGATGCCGGCTTAAAAGGTGGTTACAAAACAAAATGCTTTCAATTTTGTTTCCTAGTCAATGCGTGTAATGTGTTGCGGTTGCAATTCTTTAAATTGACACGAAAAAAAGATTGCAAGAATTGAGGGGCAACCATGTCCTCTGTTGAATGTGCTCATGAGATGTTTATGTTTCTGAGTAAAATATATGGCTCTTGTTTCTTGTGTGACAACTTCCGTATGTCGAGTACATATTATCATCTTTTGTTTTCAACATGTCTTTCTTTTCAGCTTTGAGAGTTGACGAATGACATCTTTTATCCTTATAGGTTGTCGTGAATTTTTAAATGTTTTTTTAAATAAGATTAATAACGATTAGTTGATGGAAGAATTCTATGAATTATATAAACAAATATAAGGAATTTATTCTTTGTGTTAAAGTTGCTGGTAAATGTTGTTTTAGATTGTGCCTCGTGATCATATTTCACGTTTCTTTGGCTAATAATATGGGAATGAATGTTACTTAGCGAATTGTGAATTATTTTGATGCTATATGATATGACTATTGTTCTTTTCTTAAGATGGAGGGACCTCCCAAAATAGTACTTATGTGTTATGATTAATTTTTGATACTATACTAGTGATGTTTTTTGATTGTACAAGTGAATCCCATAGTCTTATGTGTGTTGTGATGAGATAACCCCTGCTGGCACCCCTGATTATACTGTGGAGATGAGCAATGTGTATAAACATTCTATATTCTTGATGTGATGAAGAAAAATGAGGTGTTTGGTGCATGAATATTATGTACCCTTAAACAAATATCTATGGAAGAGATCTCATAACTTGTGTCAATATGTTTGACCTGTTTTTAGGAATGGCTGACGAATCTTTTGCTGTTGCGCAATATGACTACCACTCGCAAAACGATGAAGAACTAACAATCAAGAAGAACGACAGACTTCTCATCTTGAATGACAGTGGAGCTTGGTGGCTGGTTCAAAACGAGCGCCAACAGTCTGGTCTGGTACCATCAAACTATCTACAACGAACTGACAAGGGATTAAGGAGCATAGTGCAGAAAATATTCTCTAGAAAAGGTAGCAGTAGTGGTCTGGCAGAAGCAGAACCACCTGGTTATGCAGCTCCGGAGCAATTGGTAAATCGCAGCAATCAACAAGGTAAAATGGATGAAGCAATTGTGAAGTACAAATACACACCTGTTAGAGAAGATGAAATTGCACTAGAAAAGGGAGATCGAGTGTATGTACTGGAGAAAGAAGGAGATGGTTGGTGGAAAGGTGAGGTGAAACATAAAACTGGTTGGTTCCCATCAAATTACGTAGAAATTATAAATCCTGATAACAAGGCAGCTAATGTGATCTGCAAAGTACGAACATTGTATGCATTTACTCCAGCAAATACAGAGGAACTTAGTTTTGAAAAGGATACCTTGCTAGAAATAATTGATCAACCAAAGGATGATCCTGAATGGTGGAAAGCCAGAAAAAAGGATGGTACTGTTGGACTTGTTCCCAAGAACTATGTTAAAATTGTTAAAGAGGATTCGGATGAATCAAAGAATGCAATTCCTCACAAATCTAACTCAACGCCGGTTGCTGTTGTGGATAATAATATTTTAACTCAAGAATGGTATCATGGAAACATATCAAGACAAGAGTGTGAAACGAAGCTTCATGTGTCACGTGATGGCGATTTTCTTGTCAGAGCAAGCGAAACCAAGGTAGTAACGTTGTATCCATTAAGATCGCGAGTTATGCTTGCTTGGCTACATAATTTCATTGGTAGTAGCAAAATTGAATATTGAATGAGAAAAAGAAAATGTTTGGCATTTCATGTTTAAGATATTACCAGGAATGTTTTGTGTCGACTCAGAGTTGTATGAATGTGAGAACTGTTCAGTCGGCATTCAAATACAACTGCCCCAGTTGTACGTTAAGAAAATGCATAGCCATTTTAGTTAGGGTTAGGACAGTATTAGTGTGATTAATACACCTCTTTTCGTCTTGTTAGAGTGGCGACTTTTCTGTATCCATGAAAGCACCGGATCGAATCAAGCACTTTCGAATCAAGGCATTGACCAACAACCGATACGGGATTGGCCAACGCGAATTTGGCTCTCTTAATGAATTGGTAGAGCATTACAGTAAGTCGCCAATATTCACGATGGAAAATGGACAGAAAATGTATTTAGTGCGATCGTATCCAAAGCAGGACTTTCAAGGACAAAAAAATGGCGTAAAACGCTAAACGTGTGAATGAATAAGTTTTTGATGGCTGCTCTTGGACACTGCAATGCGTCTATAGAACTAAGTTAACTCTACAGCTATATATAAATATATATGTACTATCATATTTGTTTGGGGCTCAATGTTATGTTATGTTATCGAAAATTGACTGAAAGGAAGATATTTAGCTAATTAAATTCAAGCGCCAAAAAAAGTGAGAATACGACTTTTCATCTCCTTCTAACTCCAGTTGCACAACGATATAGCTATCGCTTTCACTGCTTTGTATAAGGCAAAAATAATTTTTCAAAATTTAAGAATAATTATCGATTAAATAATCTTGGTAGCTAAAAGGCACAGAAGTATGATGAAAAACCTTTTATATTGTTCATTTCATGTAAACTGATCGAAAAACATGTAACTTCTTATCTTACCTACTAATGGCTAACTGCAATTGGATAAATTGCATGATCACGTCTCGAGAGAGGAAAAATTTCCAATTCTCGGGCAAATATATCAGATAGATCTAATATCTTTTCGCTTTGCGAGTTGATCAAAGATTACTTTGATTGATCACCATCTTTCAACATCCTCCTCAAAATTTTCCCACTTGCTGACTTCGGAATAACATCAACAAATTCTACACCACCACGAAGTTTCTTGTAAGCTGCTATGTTCTTTTCCACAAACGTCTGCACCTCTTGTTCATTCAAGTCTTTTGCCACTATAAATGCTTTAGGTAGTTCACCACACTCTTCGTCTGCTATGCCAATAACAGCAGCATCTTCAATCTTCGGATGAGAGATAAGCAGAGCTTCTAATTCGGCCGGTGCAACCTGCAAAATGCATGGTATCCATATTAAAGCTACAGGCTCGAACATAAAACTTCTGGGTGACAGCTATATAGCTGGGTTTGGTATGCCAGTAAATAAGTTTCAACTACCCATAGAAACTATATAGGATCTTTAAATTTAACGCATTCTTTAAAGCGTATGACACACGATGCCAGTTTCTTGAGAATTTTTCGCTTTTTTTCCACCAACGCTTAATATTTTAAAAAAAATTTCGAAAACGGTACACGCGAACGAGTATTTAAGCCTGTTATTATATAATAACAATTTGGCGTTGTGTTACTGGCAGTGAACAGTAATTTACAGTTTTGTATAATTATTATAGAGTTCACTGCATGGTGTAAGTGTAACTGTAAAAGCTTAAGTGTTATGGTTCTTATAGATTCTGCAACTGTTTCGAACAAAGATTTGTGCTTTGATTCACCATGCATGCACCAGCGTCAGAAGATCGAATCCGTGGTTTGAATAAAATGTCAAAAGATTAATTTTCTCTCAGTCAAATGTTTAAAATCTTATACTTTGTTTCTTTCAATGTTTAGAGATTTCAAAGCACTGCATGTTCACGAACGCCCTTCCGTTTATCTGTATCTCATGTAACATAACTGCCTGATTTTTTGACAATATGCGATTATGTAAAGTAGACTTAATACTGTACAGTATATTCAGAAGTTACATCCAAGAAATCAAGTATTTTGATGTCTAGGCCGTTCGGGTTGGACTAACCTCCATACCCTTGTATTTGATCAGTTCTTTGCACCGATCCACAACGAAAACAACTTCGTCGTCATTGTAGTATCCTATATCGCCAGTTCGAAGCCATCCTTCAGAGTCAATGGTTTCTTCGGTTGCTTTTGGATTGTTGTAATACCCTAACATCAAAAAATGTATTCCTTAAATAGGTATACTTGCCATAGTATATATCTGTGATTGATTGTCTTAAATGACGGGTTTTACTCCAGGCAAAGCACACGCGGAAGAAAATTGTGAATGAATTTACACTGCTGTCTTTAAGAAAAATACGTCCTTATCAAGTAATTGATATGAATCACAAAAACGCTATGTCATTTCGGCTCAGAAACTAAAAATTATGACACTATACATAAATAGTATGCTTGCAACAACATATGCATTAAACGCAAGTTATGAAGATCTGGTTGCTTTTATAAATGTAGTAATTAGCCTAGTAAAGTCTTGAGGATATGATTGAACATACTGAATGCAACGATCATGAGTTTTGCAAGGAAACTGCGCTCAATTTTTCAGCAAATCCCTTCCTTGCAATTGGGTCCTGCTATATAACTGCACGGCACAAAGAAACGGTGTGACCATATATGGACATTTTTATTTACTTTTGGTAAAATTTTAGTCAGACATACAGCCTATTCTATATCTAAGGCTGCGTACTGGTAGCATGCTAAAAACGGCTTATCGTAATGACATGAAAACTCCTTCAATGGAAAACTCTGGCATGGAAACTGAAGATGAGAAAGAAGGGAAATTGAGAAATGATGAAAAAATGTGCTGTAAAAAATCTACAAAAATGGAAGTGGTGGTTTAATAGAACCAGTTGACCATAATCTAATCTTTATACATCATAGTGAATAACGCTACCATTTTAAACAAAATTTTGAGCTTGCATTTACACTGCTCGTCACTTCCGCTGTACGCAATAATTAACGTTACCTTTCATTATCTGCGGTCCTCTAAGACTTATTTCTCCTTCTTGATTTGCACCCAAAACGTCTCCTGTACTTAAATCAGTCACCTGATGAATATGAACATGAATATGTCCACGCTTTGGTAAAAAAACGTTAAAGCCTTGCAAACGTTCACTTCAATTGGTTACCTTCAATTTAGTGTTTGGAAATAATTCTCCAGATGAACCATGAATAATTCTACCCGAATAAGACATTACAACTAAGGGAGACGCTTCTGTTAAACCATAACCTAAAATGAGTTATAATCAATGATTGAGTAATTCGCATGGCACTGTTGGTGTATTTGTAAATATGGCTAATACACACAAGCCTCTTCAACAAATGTTACTAGATCTGAAGGGTCAGTATAACTTTTCAATTATTTTCATTGCCGAATAACGGGAACCTGTCCATCTCTTTCTATTGATCATCGATGATAGTACGAGAAGAGATTTCTGACTTCAAGCGCATATCCATACATCAAAATTGCAAATACAAAAATCAAGCTAACAGCAAAAACTTCAGGAATAAACTAGCTAACAAAAGTTAGGGAAAAACTGTTAGAATTCCACTTTAGTGCATACCAGAGAATTACCGAACCCTTACCTTGTTTGATGGTAATATTATCTAAACGCCTTTCCAACGCGAATTGCAGGGATTCGGGTAAAGGCGCAGCACCAGACATGATGGATTTCACAGATGACAAATCATACTTATCAACCAGGGGACTTTTGGCAAGAAACAAAATTAATGGAGGGACTAAAAGAAGTCGCTCTACCTAAAGGTGCGATGATTTGTTTAACTATAATAATGATGCGGTGAAATTAATCTAAATTAGTGATATATGAAAAAATAATATTGAGACTTGAGATACAAGTGAAAATACAAATTGTAGTGACCTTGTGATTTTCAACTGTTTCCAAAAAACTTTGTGGTTCAAACCATGGCAAGGTAACAATAGTGGCACCTCTGTACAAGCACGCACCCAAATTAATATTAAAACCAAAGATATGAAGAAACGGTAGAACTGCAAGCACTTTTTCATCAAGGCTTGGGTCAAAAAATCCTGGCACATCGCAGCTTTGTTGTATGTTTGCTGAAAGGTTAAAATGTGTTAACATGACACCTTTTGGCAAACCTGTGGTACCGCTGGAAAATGGCAACATTGCTACATCTTCTTTCGGAGATATGTCAATTACATTAGGATAATACGATCCATCGTCTTCAAAAAGCTCCTGGATTGATAAAAAGCCTTCTGCTTCCCCAACAACTAACAACTCCATTAATCCAGCAAGATCGGCGGCCTCTTTTGCTTTTCCAACAAGATTAGGCACCGTCACAAGAAATTTGGAATTTGTAGCTTTTAGTTGATGAGAAATTTCATTAACGGTGGCTAAAGGTGATAAGGTAGTCACCACACCACCTAAAGATTGTACAGATAGACAGATGATTGGAAATTCAATCACATTTGGACAAAATATTGCCATCACATCATTCTTTTTAAAGCCAAGTCTAGTCAACGCAGATCCCATTTTCAAAGCTTTCTCCTGTATTTCTGAGAATGAATATTTGTTTCCATTAATTCCATCGACCTAATCAATGAAAGCAATAAGCGTTAGGCATCTGCTTTAGGTGTTTGTACTGCCCCCATTGCTTCCTTTAGGAATGTCAAACATGTAGACATGTAGAGTACAACAGTTTGCATCACATAATTTTTACTTACAATGGCTGTTCGGTCGCCAAATGCATGAAATTTCTTAAACAGGAATTCTGGATATGATTTATCGTCAACAAAATCCACATCCGAACATTTGTTTCTAATTATGTTGGGGACGCTGATTAATTTGTCTGCTTTAAGGCATCCGGATGCGATTTTGCTCTTTCTGTAAAGTGAATGTCGTTAAATATAAGAAAACAAAAATAAAATTTCTGAAAGAAAGTCAAACAGCAGATTGGCCAGCCTGCAAATTTAACCACGCTACGTAAATTTTGAATCTCTACTACTATGGAAAATGCCTATTTTTATTCTTACACAATCAATGAACACTGAAATACTTGCACAGCAAAAGTAAAAGTTGTCTGTGCCATAACTGTGCTATCTACACTACAGCATACAATGAAATATACTCGAAACATACATTGGGGACGTTTAGCTATCTATAATAGAAGTACGTTTTTACCTCTGCTCGTTATAGATGGTAGTGTTTAATAGTTTCAAAACACCTGTTATTTTCCTAGATACATAGCGATTTGTCAGGAAGCCTTGTTTTACCATCATTATTGAAGCCATATGGCTATCAATGTGTCGGGCAAAGAAGCGTCTACAGAATGACAAAGATGCTCCTTTACAACTGTTACAAGTTTATTAAGTGCTAGTGCGTGATGAAATCGGATATATACGAAATGTGTGGTTATAGTTGGTGAGTGATTACGTTTTACACGACGTAATTCAAAGATTTAACTGCAAGCTGACATAGAACGTGTCGTTCTAGCATTACTAAATACATTGTAATTGAATCAATCACATGCATATTTGTTGTTAGTCAGCGCGCAAAAAAACACGACAGTAGCACGTCAGTCATAGTGAAGCAACTGTTGAAGCAACGTAATACGGTTTTATGGAATGTGACGAGAGGTGTCCACGTGCTAAGTGCAATTACGTAAATGTACAATAATTGCGTAAATACGTTGATTGTATTACGTACTGTATCACTTTCTTTATACAGTTCTTAGAATAAATACTGTTACAATTGGCTAATTATTATCATATAATAAAATTTCATAAAAAAATCACATAGTTCATTGCATTTATAAGTTCAATGTTGACGATTGTACTTATTTTAAGATTTCGTTTTCCACCTGGCAAATCTACAAGCACAGTATTTTATACGCAAATTGCAGTTGCATCGTTGAATTACGTCATGCGATGCAAGGCTCGTCATGCGTCATTTGCATTAAAAATAGCTTCAATTCATTTTGCCATAGATGTAATGAGACTTTTACAATATGTTTTTCTAACATGTAGAAGAAACAGTTCACAGTTTGTCATTGCTTGCTAGTTGATGTTTTACTGTTTATCTTTTTTTGACTCGTCCAATAATTGGCGTACAATGGGATGAAAATCGTGAAATTTTGGAGAAATCCCGTAAGCTTCAATTTGCTCGGATTTTCTTTGCTCCCATAACAAATTTTGCACCACTTTGAGATGGTTATTGTGTATCAAGACAAATCCTATCCTGAATAACCTTATGTAACATGGTACCGAGTAACTTTGTGGAATGGTCTTGTGTTTCTTCAGGACTTCCTTTTATTCTGTTAAGATTTCTAACGCCTTCATAACTAAAGCAACATCAGAGTAAGATTTGATTGCTATCACCAACATGCTTCATCATTTTGCACTTGAGACAATTTTAAAATCTTTCAGCAAGCCATCTTAACTTCTCATGCACATATACTCAGTTATTACTTCCACACATTTCACTGAAACTTCGACTCCATGGTAAAAAGTATTTTTTCAGTTTTCATGCACTAAATTTTGTACTTTTCCTCGCTTACATAACCTACTAGACAATATTGCATATACGATACTGTATGATATTCAATGCCTCGGGTCGTTTTGTAAAATCACTAGCGGGAGTTTCAAGGGCAAAGAAATGGCGTGAATGTATACCTAAACAACCGCTTCAGCAATCAAATTAAATGGCGTCTTCTGGCTAGACTCTTTTCAACAACAAAATACTTCCAAATGACTTATTTTGGCTGTAAACATAGAAAGTAATATTGTAAAAGTACATGTACTCAAAAGAAAATTCGTCCCTTTTTCAATCTAGTATAACTTACATTAAAATTGACATTGAATGAGTTTCTTTCGTAATTTCCTATATGTATTCCGTCGATTACATTCATTGTGTTTCTTTTTCCCTATCGTACGTACGTCACGTGAATAAATATTGAATAAGAAATTAATTATTCTTTCAGAATATAAAAATACTAAAATTGATTAAATATCCTATTGACTTATTCGCTTTGCAAGTAGCTAAATCAAAGATTACGTTGTTGTTTGATCACCATCTCTCAACATCCTTCTCAAAATTTTCCCGCTTGCTGATTTAGGAATAACATCAACAAATTCTACACCACCACGAAGTTTCTTGTAAGCCGCTACGTTCTTTTCCACAAACGTCTGCACCTCTTGTTCATTCAAGTCTTTTGCCACTATAAATGCTTTAGGTAGTTCACCACACTCTTCGTCTGCTATGCCAATAACAGCAGCATCTTCAATCTTCGGATGAGAGATAAGCAGAGCTTCTAATTCGGCTGGTGCAACCTGCAAAATGCATGGTATCCATATTAAAGCTACAAGCTCGAACATAAAACTTCTGGGTGACAGCTATATAGCTGGGTTTGGTATGCCAGTAAATAAGTTTCAAATACCTATAGAAACTATATAGGATCTTTAAATTTAACGCATTCTTTAAAGCGTATGACACACGATGACAGTTTCTTGAGAATTTTTCGCTTTTTTTTCCACTAACACTTGATATTTTAAAAAAAATTTCGAAAACGGTACACGCGAACGAGTGTTTAAGCCTGTTATTATATAATAACAATGTGGCGTTGTGTTACTGGCTGTGAACAGTAATTTACAGTTTTGTATAATTATTATAGAGTTCACTGCATGGTGTAAGTGTAACTGTAAAAGCTTAAGTGTTATGGTTCTTATAGATTCTGCAACTGTTTCTAACAAAGATTTGTGCTTTGATTTACCATGCATGTACCAGCGTCAGAAGATCGAATCCGTGGTTTGAATAAAATGTCAAAAGATTAATTTTCTCTCAGTCAAATGTTTAAAATCTTATACTTTGTTTCTGTTCAATGTTTAGAGATTTCAAAGCACTGCATGTTCACGAACGCCCTTCCGTTTATCTGGATCTCATGTATCTGTACCTGATTTTTTGACAATATGCGATTATGTAAAGTAGACTTAATACTGTACAGTATATTCAGAAGTTACATCCAAGAAATCAAGTATTTTGATGTCGAGGCCGTTCGGGGCCGACTAACCTGCATACCCTTGTATTTGATCAGTTCTTTGCATCGATCCACAACGAAAACAACTCCGTCGTCATTGAAGTATCCTATATCGCCAGTTCGAAGCCATCCTTCCGAGTCAATGGTTTCTTCGGTTGCTTTTGGACTGTTGTAATACCCTAACATAAAAAAATATATTCCTTAAATAGGTATACTTGCCATAGTATATATCTGTGATTGATTGTCTTAAAAGACGGGTTTTACTCCAGGCAAAGCACACGCGGAGGAAAATTATGAATGAATTTACACTGCTGTCTTTAAGAAAAATACGTCCTTATCAAGTAATTTATGTGAATCACAAAAACGCTATGTCATTTCTGCTCACAAACTAAAAATTATGACACTATACATAAATAGTATGCTTGCAACACCACATGCATTAAACACAAATTATGAAGATCTGGTTGCTTTGAGAAATGTAGTAATTAGCCTAGTAAAGTCTTGAGGATATGATTAAACACACTGAATGAAACGATCATGATTTTTTGCAAGGAAACTGCGCTCAATTTTTCAGCAAATCCCTTCCTTGCAATTGGGTCCTGCTATATAACTGCGCCGAACAAAGAAACGGTGTGACCATATATTGACTTTTTTTTATTTACTTTAGGTAAAATTTTAGTCAGACATACAGCAAATTCTATATCTAAAGCTGCGTACTGGTAGCATGCTTTAGAACGGCTTATCGTAATGACATGACGACTCCTTCATTGGAAAACTCTGACAAGGAAACTGAAGATAAGAATGAAGGGAAATTGAGAAATGATGAAAAAATGTGCTATAAAAAATCTACAAAAATGGAAGTGGTGGTTTAATAGAACCAGTTGACCATAATCTAATCTTTATACATCATAGTGAATAACGCTACCATTTTAAACAAAATTTTGAGCTTGCATTTACACTGCTCGTCACTTCCGCTGTACGCAATAATTAACGTTACCTTTCATTATCTGCGGTCCTCTAAGACTTATTTCTCCCTCTTGATTTGCACCCAAAACGTCTCCTGTACTTAAATCAGTCACCTGATGAATGTGAACATGAACATGTCCTCACTTTGGTAAAAAAAACGTTAAAGACTTGCAAACGTTCACTTCAATTGGTTACCTTCAATTCAGTGTTTGGGAGTAATTCTCCAGATGAACCATGAATAATTCTACCCGAATAAGACATTACAACTAAGGGAGACGCTTCTGTTAAACCATAACCTAAAATGAGTTATAAGCGATGATTGAGTAATTCCCATGGCACTGTATGGTATATTTGTAAATATGGCTAATACACACAAGCCTCTTCAACAAATGTTACTAGATCTGAAGGTTCAGTAAAACTTTCCAAATATTTTCATTGCCGAATAACGGGAACCTGTCCATCTCTTTCTATTGATCATCGATGATAGTAAGAGAAGAGATTTCTGACTTCAAGCGCATATCCATATATCAAAATTGCAAATATAAAAATCAAGCTAACAGCAAAAACTTCAGGAATAAACTAGTTGACAAAAGTTGGGGAAAAACTATTAGAATTCCACTTTAATGCATATCAGAGAATTACCGAGCCCTTACTTTGTTTGATGGTAATATTATCTAAACGCTTTTCCAAAGCAAATTGCAGAGATTCGGATAAAGGCGCAGCACCACACTTGATGGATTTCACAGATGACAAATCACACTTATCAACCAGGGGACTTTTGGCAAGAAACAAAAGTAATGGAGGGACTAAAAGAAGTCGCTCTACCTAAAGGTGCGATGATTTGTTTAACTATAATGATGATGCAGTGAAATTAATGTAAATTAGTGATATATGAAAAAATAATATTGAGAAGTGAGATACAAGTAAAAATACAAATTGTAGTGACCTTGTGATTTTCAATTGTTTCCAAAAAACTTTCTGGTTCAAACCTTGGCAAGGTAACAATAGTGGTACCTCTGTACAAGCACGCGCCCAAATTAATATTAAAACCAAAGATTTGGAAAAACGGTAGAACTGCAAGCACTTTTTCATCAAGGCTAGGGTCAAAAAATCCTGGCACATCGCAGCATTGTTGTATGTTTGCGGACAGGTTGAAATGTGTTAACATGACACCTTTTGGCAGCCCTGTTGTGCCGCTGGAAAATGGCAACATTGCTACATCTTCTTTCGGAGATATGTCTATTACATCAGGATAATATGATCCATCATCTTCAAAAAGCTCCTGGATTGATAAAAAGCCTTCTGCTTCCCCAACAACTAACAACTCCATTGATCCAGTAAGATTGGCGGCCTCTTTTGCTTTTCCAACAAGATCAGGCACCGTCACAAGAAATTTCGAATTTGTAGCTTTTAGCTGATGAGAAATTTCATTAACGGTGGCTAAAGGTGATAAGGTAGTCACCACACCACCTAAAGATAGTACAGATAGATAGATGATTGAAAATTCAATCACATTTGGACAACATGTTGCCAACACATCATTCTTTTTAAAGCCAAGTCTAGTCAATGCTGATCCCATTTTTAAAGCTTTCTCCTGTATTTCTGAGTATGAGTATTTGTTTCCATTAATTCCATCGACCTAATCAATGAAAGCAATAAGCGTTAGGCATCTGCTTTAGGTGCTTGTACTGCCCCCATTGCTCCCTTTAGGAATGTCAAACATGTAGACATGTAGAGTACAACAGTTTGCATCACATAATTTTTACTTACAATGGCTGTTCGGTCGCCAAATGCATGAAATTTCTTAAACAGGAATTCTGGATATGATTTATCGTCAACAAAATGCACATCCGAACATTTGTTTCTAATTATGTTGGGGACGCTGATTAATTTGTCTGCTTTGAGGCACCCGGATGCGATTTTGATCTTTCTGAGAAGTGAATGTCGTTAAATATAAGAAAACAAAAAGAAAATTTCTGAAAAAAAGTCAAACAGCAGATTGGCCAGCCTGCAAATTTAGCCACGCTACGTAAATTTTGAATCTCTACTACTATGGAAAATGCCTATTTTTATTCTTACACAATCAATGAACACTGAAATACTTGCACAGCAAAAGTAAAAGTTGTCTGTGCCATAACTGTGCTATCTACACTACAGCATACAATGAAATATACTCGAAACATGCCTTTGGGACGTTTAGCTATCTATAATAGAAGTACGCGTTTTTACCTCTGCTCGTTATGGATGGTTTTGTTTAATAGTTTCAAAACACCTATTATTTTCCTAGATATATAGCGATTTGTCGGGAAGCCTTGTTTTACCATCATTATTGAAGCCCTATGGCTATCAATGTGTCGGGCAAAGAAGCATGTACAGAATAACAAAGATGCTCCTTTACAACTGTTACAATTGCGTTACAGAATAGAAACGTAACAGAAGGGCCACTATCGTCGGAACCATTGAGTTCTATAATAACTGGAGGGGAAACGTCAACAAAATTTGTATAAATTATTAGCGCGCGGCCGCGTGGTCAAAAACATGGCGGATTTTGGTTGTCAAAGTCATTGAGTTCTATAATAACTGGAGCGGCTATCTCAAGCATTGAGTTCAATAATAACTGGAGCGGCTATCTCAAGCGCGGCCTTAGATATCTGCTGACGCCAAAAAAATGGCGGATTTCGTCCGTTGCCGCTGAGATTTACCGAAATTGATCGCTTTTCCGAAAATTTCACAATTTCCACTCCCTCCTGAGGAAAGAGAAGAAAATGTATGTGTGTATTTGGGATTCGTCAAGCAATTTTTTGATGAAAATCAAGGTAAAAACCTCAAATTCATAACAGCGAGTCAACTGTGGTTGTCAGTTATGTGCTACTACGAGGATGCATTTATAACTATCGACGAAAGAGCTATATGTCGGCTACACATGTATGAATGCAGATGTGCGTCGTTTTTACCAACGTCGAACTTGTTTGATCGATTAAACTCTTTAGTCTATACAAAAAAGTATATCATAGTTCATCTCCACGGTTCACGAGAGAGAAGTTAGCTTATTTGTTATCATTGCTATTTTGCTTCTTTTCATGATGCAATGGGCAATGGCTTTTTTCGCCACAATTGTTGGATTTTTACTTGTTTCTTTAAAAAAGTAAATATTAAATCTCTGGATATTTACGGATTTTCTGTAATTGAGTTTCATATTAAATTTCAAAAAGACTCAAGTCTGTATAGGTTTGGTAAATCAAAACAAACAATATTGTATAGAAAGTACTTTAAGTAACCTTTTTGTGATGTTCTGAAGTGCAACTGCATCAAATACTTGTAAAGTTGTAGCACATTTTGATTTTGTTGTATTGATACATGAATTGGGCAAAATGCAAATAATCATCAAAACACTTGTGCTTCCAATGGTGTTTATAATTCATTTGTAGTTTTAATACTTCTACCCTTCTTTTCACTTTGTTTTGTTTTTCCTATATTTGCAAATAAGTACACAATTTGAATGATTAACACAGTTTTCACCTAAATAATAAATTTCATAAGCAGTTGGTAGTGCATTTTGTTCTCTGAGTATCCACATCTGGTGTTTTGTTCATACAAGAATGATGAAGTGCAAGTAGATATGTCATAGCAAGGCAATATAACCAAATGAATCAAATACCTATAGCGTACTTTTATTCTAGAAGCTTAAAAGCTTTTTAGAAATTATAAAGTTATTGGATTATATTAACCATATATCATCAATCTCATGAAAAGAAATAAGAAGCAAAAAATTTGTAGGAAAGCTTTGAAAAGTGAAAAACTTTTCTTTAAAAAAGTAGCAATAATGCATATGATAAATCTCCATTCTGTACTTTACTAGGTAAATAAGCTCAAACTGTTTCTTGAAACAAAAAACTGTAATAATGAAGAAATATACAGTACAGTAACTTTGAAAGTTTCATCACTGAATCTTTAATGCTTCAGTGTAGTGCATTAGATATTAGTAACATTTATACAACACTCAACTAAAATGTTTTGATAAAGATATGACTTGATTTAAACATAAGTTATATAAAACCCAATGGCTTATACAGTTTGATGCTTCACATCTGCATCAAGTCATCAATCTCAGTACAAATGTTTACATAGACTTTATGGCTTTCCCATTTTATATCTTTGTGAATTGACATTTCATTAAGCATCAAAACACACACAACCTTGCCATCTTTCTTTGGTTCATGAACTTTAACTTCAAAGCATTCAAGGCATCCTTAGTGAATCCATTGTCTCCATCCCTAGAATTTGACCATGATCAAATTAAATAACTCTGGATAGGGCAGACGATAAATCAATTATCTTTACAGCATTATAATTTTTTAAGACTCTGCCTGGTCAATAACATCTTCCAGTCATCTTTACTCCTTGGTCTTCCCTGCATGTTGTCAGCAAATAGAACATAACAAGCTCTGCTCCAAATCATGGGTACTCTTGGGGCTGATCATTTCGTTTTGATACTTACTCACAGAGCAAAATGTGTGCAGGGTCTTTTTGCTTTAGGAAACTATTTTGCAAATAGATGGGTAAATTTACGACTTCATGCAGACTTTAGAAAAGTATGCAGAATTTTATAAACAAAAACAGGAAAACATCAGTATATTTGGCGTTCAAGTCAGTCTTAAAAAATACGATCTTTAATATGTATTTTTATGGCTTTTAAAGTGCATGTATAATTGCTTTTCAGTTTTCAATCGTTGACGGACTAAAAAACTAAGCAACTATCTCACCTGTGAGAAGCGATATGTTCCTTTTTGTGGAAACTACGACATCCAACAATTGAACGATTGAAGTGTTGGCATTATAAAAGAAATGCCAAAAAAGATATCGTCACAGAATATGGAACTAACGATATCGTGTTGGTTTTTGAAAAATTCTTTATAATTTACTATATACACCAGGGGGAGGTCGAGAATATTATTTTTCTGCAAAGCGATCATTTCAGCGGAAATACGTCCGTTGGCCGCCATTTTTTTGGCGACCTCGCCCCAGTAAAGATAGCCGCTCCAGTTATTATAGAACTCAATGATCTCAAGCGCGGCCTTAGATATCTGATGATGCCAAAAAAATGGCGGATTTCGTCCGTTGCCGCTGAGATTTACCGAAATTGACCGCTTTTCCGAAAATTTCACAATTTCCCACTCCCTCCTGAGGAAAGAGTGAGGAAAATGTATGTGTGTATTTGGGATTCGGCAAGCAATTTTTTGATGAAAATCAAGGTAAAAACCTTAAATTCATAACAGCGAGTCAACTGTGGTTGTCAGTTATCTGCTCCTACGAGGATGCATTTATAACTATCGACGAAAGACCTATATGTCGGCTACACATGTATGAATGCAGATGTGCGTCGTTTTCTTACCAGCGTCAAATTTGTTTGATCGATTAAACTCTTTAGTCTATACAAAAAAGTATATCATAGTTCATCTCCACGGTTCACGAGAGAGAAGTCAGCTTATTTGTTATCATTGCTATTTTGCTTCTTTTCATGCAATGGGCAATGGCTTTTTTCGCCACAATTGTAGGATTTTTACTTGTTTCTTTAAAAAAGTACATATTAAATCTCTGGATATTTACGGATTTTCTGTAATTGAGTTTCATATGAAATTTCAAAAAGACTCAAATCTGCATAGGTTTAGTAAATAAAAACAAACAATATTGTGTAGAAATTACTTTAAGTAACCTTTTTGTGATGTTCTGAAGTGCAACTGCATCAAATACTTGTGAAGTTGTAGCACATTTTGATTTTGTTGTATTGATATATGAATTGGGCAAAATGCAAATAATCATCAAAACACTTATGCTTCCAATGGTGTTTATAATTCATTTGTAGTTTTAATACTTCTACCTTTCTTTTTCACTTTGTTTTGTTTTTCCTATATTTGCAATATAAGTGTACTATAATTTGAATGATTAACACAGTCTTCACCTCAATAATAAATTTCATAAGCAGTTGGTAGTGCATTTTGTTCTCTGAGTATCCACATCTGGTGTTTTGTTCATACAAGAATGATGAAGTGCAAGTAGATATGTCATAGCAAGGCAATAAAACCAAATGAATTACATTCCTATAGTGTACTTTTATGCTAGAAGCTTAAAAGCTTTTTAGAAATTAGAAAGTTATTGGATTATATTACCTCTATATCATCAATCTCATGATAAGAAATAAGAAGCAAAAATTTGTAGAAAAGCTTTGAAAAGTGAAAACTTTTCTTTAAAAAAACAGCAATAATGCATATGATAAATCTCCATTCTGTACTCTAATAGGTAAATAAGCTCAAATTTTTCTTGAAGAAATATAAGAAATATATAAGAAATATACAGTACAATAACTTTAAAGGTTTCATCACTGAATCTTTAATGCTTCAGTATAGTGCATTAGATATTAGTAACATTCAAACAACACTCAACTAAAATATTTTGATAAAGATATGACATGATTTAAAATTAAGTTACATAAAACCCAATGGCTTATACAGTTTGAAGCTTCACATCTGCATCGAGTCATCATCAATCTCAGTACAAATGTTTACATAGACACAAACTTTATGGCCTTCCATTTTACATGTTTGTGAATTGACATTTCATTAAGCATCAAAACACACACAACCTTCTTGCCATCTTTCTTTGGATCATGAACTTTAACTTCAAAGCATTCAAGGCATCCTTAGTGAATCCATTGTCTCCATCCATAGAATTTGACCACAATCAAATTAAATAACTCTGGATAGGGCAGACAATAAATCAATTATCTTTACAGCATTATCATTTTTAAGACTCTGCCTGGTCAATAACATCTTCCAGTCATCTTTACTCCTTGATCTTCCCTGCATGTTGTCAGCAAATAGAACATAACAAGCTCTGCTCCAAATCATGGGTACCGTGGGGCTGATCATTTCTTTTGATACCAGATCACATTTTGATACAGAGCAAAATGTGTGCAGTGTCTTTTTTGCTTTAGGGAAACTATTTTGCAAATAGATGGGTAAATTTACGATTTCATGCATTGACAAATGACAGAAAAGTATACAGAATTTTATAAGAATTTTACAAGTATACAGAGTTTTATAAACAGGAAAACATCAGTATATTTGGCGTTCAAGTCAGTCTTAAAAAATACGATCTTTAATATGTATTTTATGGCTTTTCAAGTGCATGTATAATTGCTTTTCAATCATTGACGGACTAACAAAAACAAACAACTACCTCACCTGTGAGAAACGATATGTTCGTTTTTGTGGAAACTACGACATCCAACAATTGAACGATTGAAGTGTTGGCATTATAAAAGAAATGCCAAAAAAGAATCGTCACAGATTATGGAACTAACGATATCCATATTCTGTGATATCGTGTTTGTTTTTGAAAAATTCTTTATAATTTACTATAGACACCAGGGGGAGGTCGAGAATATTATTTTTCTGCAAAGCGATCATTTCAGCGGAAGTACGTCCGTTGGCCGCCATTTTTTTGGCATCCTCGCCCCAGTAAAGTTAGCCCCTCCAGTTATTATAGAACTCAATGGTCAAAGTCAGCGGAGAGACGCGGGCTCATAAAATAAAATTTTTGTCGCCCACCCTGATTTGACCACCACGATTGCAAGTATAGAAAATATCAAAACTATTTATTTTCCTAACATAAACACTTTTTTAAAATTTTATTTATTAAACCGCCAACTTCTGTGGTTTGCGGATGCTGAAATAGCGACAGAAAAGGGAACATTTCTTGACTCCGGTAAGTAGCACAGTATTAGTTTTACTATTGTGTTTTTAACACGATACTTGAAGAGTGTTTCTACTACTAAGTTTTAATTTAAAGTTATTTTGGTCCAGTCTTGTTTGTTCTTCACTTAATCGCTCGCCAGACGTGGCGAAGCTGTCAATTTTTATCGAGTTTTGCATCCATCTTGTATCATGATCAAGGCATCCAAGCTAAACTCTCCTGATTTGAGTTGAGTTTACCTCCCAAAAATGGGGCATAATTTGTTCATGTTTTTTTTTGAAAAGATGAAGGGAAAGTTTACAACAGAGTTGTGTTGAAATTGAATGCAGTGCCATGCAAAATTAATGAGAACTATGGTATATGTTGTATAATAAAAATAACTGAACTGTTAAACTGTTTGCCTGCTCAATTTGACTGACTGTATGGTGTAGACAATTATAATGAGATTGGAAAGTTGGATTTATGCTAACAATTTTAAAGTACTACTTAGCGTTTCTGTAAATGAAGTATTTATTGTTATAGTAAACAGGTTAATACTTCAAAACCAAGATGAAAGTAGTGTGTTGAACAATGTGCTAAGATTTGTTTCTACCTTGGAATTTTTGTTCAACAGTAGCTTATGATTATATCATTAATATGCATGAAAAATTAAACATATCATTGTCTCATCTCATTAAATCCATAATTGGTATGATTCCAGGTGATCCACAAATTCACATCGGATGCATTGGTTACAATGAAGTTGAATGTAGAGGAAGCAAAAATAGATGGCAAAGAAATTCTTTGTGTCTTATGAAGAATTAGTAGAAATCAATAAAAAGAATTCTTTAAACAAATTGTAAACAAATTTAAATTTGCTCATGGTCAAGCAACCTAGTCAAAGAAGCAAAGTCTGTCTTCAACATGCGACCTTTCCAATTATTTAGTTTCTTTGTACAAAATACTATTTTTGAGAAACTTGATTTGTAAGTCTTTCATTAATATTTTTACCAAGAGATAAAAGGAACTAATTCAAAGGCTTGATGTAAAATACAAAGATTTAACAAGTTGTTTATCATTTAATTCCCAAATGTTAGTTTGTACATATAAATAATTAGTATTGGTAGCTGTAAGTTGTTTAAGCAAAACAGAAGAGTAGTAGTGCTCGAAGGGGTTAGCATTTTTGAAAAATTATATCTTGTTCTTGACATATATTACACAATTCCAAAAAACTGTAAGTAATGCACAATAATATCTATAGAACTTGATAAATTTCTTTGAACACCTACACTGTCAAATAACTATTTTGCCTTCATGCAGCAATAGACAGTGTTTTTGTCAGAGAAACCAATGCACTTTAGTTTCCAAGTTTGTAATTTCAATGGAAAATTAATGTAGTTCTGTTCAGTAATAGATCCAAGATTCTGCCAAGCTGTTTACAAAATACAAATTACCAAGCAACAGTGTCATGGTGTTTTGAATTTTTTTCTTTTTTGTAGCTCTTCTAGTTCAACATACTTTATGAGTTTTCAGTAGATTTATCAGGTAATGACAATACACTTATGATACTTATCCATGGGAAATTTTTAGTTGACTTATGTCGTAGGACTGAAGCAAACATTTTCTCGCTTCCTTAGGAGCATTTTTACACAGATTTATCCATTTGAAGCAAGAAAAATAGGTGCACCAAACGGTTTACAAACAGTCAAACACACAAAAGCATGAAATAATGTATAAGTTTGACGAGATTGACAGGTCTAGTAAAGAATGCCGTTTGATTTTCACTTTTAAAAGGCTAAAATGTCATAAAATAACTTAAATGTTACATCCAAAATATGCTTTTCTCTACCGTCGATCTTCTTTATTTTGATGTGTGTCTGTACTGTGTTTTTCACGCAATGCTGAAGCATTATTTTCACATGATATGCTGTCGGTATCGTAATTGTTTTTTTTTCTCACTTGTTTTCGTTCATACAAACAGTATTGGAAATCAGGAGGGAGTGAATATTGAAAAAAATTTTTAAAGTGGAAGTTTTGACCACCAAAATCCGCCATCACCGCCATGTTTTTGACCACGGGGTCCCAGTGAACTCCATATATATATATATCTGGAATGATAACGACAATACATTTTATAGATATAAAATTGAAGCCAAAGTCCTAGTCTCTTGCGCGGCTTGTACGTCAGTTCCAGTCCTTCAAAGTCGAATATTCACGCGGTTTGTACGTCAGTTTCATTCCCCTGAGTGCCAAACATACACGGCCAATATAAATTTGAATACAAATTGCAAAAGCATAACATATAAACAACATCCACCACAAACAACACACGAGGCCAACTCTTCGCAAAAGGTTATTTTTTACAGCTGAAACTTTACTACAGTGAGTTCGTTGTAACTTACAACTTGTAACGAGGAAAAGCCAATTGAAAACTACACTGTATTCTAAAAAGACAATACAATAGCAAATATGACGAGAAAATATTCAAGCATAAATTTTTCTTTCGTCGGAAGGTAAATTTTCAAACTGTGTCAGACAGTGTTTGTCTTTTTGTCATTTCAGTGGATTTTAAGATCTGTTTTTCCGAAGAAAAAAGAAACTTGAATATCCAGTTTCATAAAAAATATTGAGTCTATAACTCGAATTTTTACTTTTTACAGAGCGATTGTATTTTTCATCGATTTTGATAGTGCTTGAAATACTAAATGGTTGTCATCTCGATATCAATAATTGAATATCCTTAAAGACTTTGCATGTTTGTAAATGTAGATCGTCCAGGTTAGTATAGTCATTTTTTTGACTCTGAAGATGACTACCGCTAAGGTTGTCGAAAAGTCAGTCAACAACAACAAAAACAGTCCTTCTCAGGACTATACCAACCTGGAAGATCTACATTTACAAACATGTAACGATACTCCCGGGCTCAAACCATTTACCGTAAAGACTTTGATATGTGTTAAAGGAAAACCGCAGCGAAACAGCAGATCGACCAAGTTCACCTCACCTTGCTTCTCGATTTATCACTTTGATTCACTTTCCGTGAACCTTTTCAATGCAAAAATTTCGTTATTTTTACGCTCTGATCAAGATCCGAACTCTACCATTACCAAGGGACAAATGATTAAAAAAAATTAAAATGAACACGCGAGAAACTAGAGCCTGACGTGTAATGACGAATGATGACGACAAATATTATTTTGGCTTCAATTTTTGGCTTCGGTTATCATTCCAGTTATTCAAATGTCGAGTTCACTGCGGGGTCCAGGCCCCTTTGCCCCTCCAGGTCTTATAGAGCTCAATGGTCGGAACCTTTGAAGATTTTGTTGTCAACTTTTAGCCCGCAATCAGGCATCGCCGCCATGTTGGCAGCAAGATAACTCCAGCAGTTCGTAATCATTGAGTTCTATAATAACGGTTATTATAGAACTCAATGTTCGTAATAGAAAATATAGTAATGAGAAACAGTTCGGCGCGTCCTCGACAATTATATGGCTATTCCATTTTTGTTTTGTGTATGCAATGTCAAAGAAGATAATTTTGACAACTTAGGTCGAATCGCATCGTTAGAATACACGTTTTAGAGTCAAAATTTGTTATTGTGGTCTGATGCTTTTTCCAACTTGCCAACATTCAATCATGGTTATGCTTGTATTGCGAGTTACAATGAAAAGGATCATCAACTTTGTCTATGGAATTTTCCTTGTAGTAAGTTTTTACAATGTTACAAATGCTGGACTTTAATGTACTTTCGCGATCTTTTATTAGAAGAGGAAAACTCGCGATTTGCAAATTTGATGCCGTAATAAATTCGCATTCTTAAAAAAAGTTTGACCAAATATTGCAGTGGAAACTGTGAACATGTACGGAATGGCACTGGTATCATGTTAAGACTCTTCAAGATGCTCTTTCCAACATTCAGATTTTTGGTTGTGACTGAGAAACAATCCACGAAGGTGTCTTCAAGTTGCATAATGTAATTTAAATAGCACGATGAAGGAGCAGTCAGCCCACCAAAGTTGAGTTCTTTATATGCCTTGAAATAGCAAAGCAAATTACCATCATTGTTTATGTTATTTGAAGTCAAAACGTTCTTACATTGGAGACAGCTGTGGATTTTGAAAGCTTTGCTTAGCAAATATCCTGAAGCATAGACAGCAGCATTTTTGAGCAATAAATTGTTGCTAATATTTTGTTCTCGGAAGTCATTTTCACCAATCAACAGTGAGTTACTTGGAGCTTTTGCATGGGTAAGTGGCATACTAAATGGTTTGGGCTTTTTTTTGAAAATTGTGTTAGCAGAGTGTCCATATCTTTAGAACAGTTTCCTTTGGAAGAGGTCAAAAGTGAACTGAAAAAAACCTTTCGAAAAGCTCTGATAAATTGTATTGGTATGGGATTGTCATAATTACCTCCTTGCTGGCGTATTGTTCCAAAAAAATTCTCTAGAGCATCTGTGTTTAATCTTCTGGTAAGCAAGAATGCAAAATTATGTGAGGCATGAAGATAGGTCCAGAGACAGATAATGGCCTTTATAGATACAAGCTATCCCTTCAGTGATTTGATTCTGCCTGTGATGTTTTTACCATCTTTTACCACTTTGATTCCCTGGATAAAGGACATTGCTTCTTTTAGAAAAGCAATGTGATTATTGCTGTTGCTTATTCCACTTCTTTGTTCTTTTGCTGATTTCAGTGTGGAACTATTGACGCAATCGAAAAGCGAATCAAATTTGAAAAGCAACTCAGCTGTACCCAAGGCTGATGGTGGTAGTGCTCCAATTGATGAATATGTGCAAATCGATGCAGCAATGGTGTGGCTGAATATTTGTGTAGCATATTTAACTTGAAAATTAATCTGAAAATTAATGCAGCGACAGCAATGTAACGAAAATAACAATATATATATATTAATAGAAGCAAGAGGACAATTTTATTTCCTTACAACGTAATCAACACATTAAATTATCTAAAACATGACAAATATAAGGAACATATAGTTAAGAGCATCTGGAAGTTAGCTACAACCATACAATATAAGAATTTTCCCAACACAATATGGCATTGGCATTAAATACAATTGCACAAGTTTGCAATTTCTCAATGAACATTTATCGAGTGTTCGGGATATGACTAAATTTGTCTGAATTCTAAAGCACCAAATCCAATGTCATACGAAATATCTTTTTTAGTGTAGCCCGTCCGTTGATAAATTTCGCATTGTTCCTTCTTGTTTCTGATTTAAAGACGTTCGTTAAGCGCTTCTCCGCTTCCGTTCTTTACAAATAAATAAATACGAATAACCTTGACCACACGGCCACGGCACAGCATTTCTCGACGATTGTACTTTTTTTAAAATTTCGTTTTCCACCTGGCAAATCTACAAGCACAGTATTTTATACGCAAATTGCAGTTGCATCGTTGAATTACGTCATGCGATGCAAGGCTCGTCATGCGTCATTTGCATTAAAAATAGCTTCAATTCATTTTGCCATAGATGTAATGAGACTTTTCCAATATGTTTTTCTAACATGTAGAAGAAACAGTTCACAGTTTGTCATTGCTGCTAGTTGATGTTTTACTGTTTATCGTTTTTTGACTCGTCCAATAATTGGCGTACAATGGGATGAAAATCGTGAAATTTTGGAGAAATCCCGTAAGTTTCAATTTGCTCGGATTTTCTTTGCTCCCATAACAAATTTTGCACCACTTTGAGATGGTTATTGTGTATCAAGACAAATCCTATCCTGAATAACCTTATGCAACATGGTACCGAGTAACTTTGTGGAATGATATTGTTTTTCTTCAGGACTTCCTTTTATTCTGTTAAGATTTCTAACGCCTTCATAACTAAAGCAACATCAGAGTAAGATTTGATTGTTATCACCAACATGCTTCATCATTTTGCACTTGAGACAATTTGAAAATCTTTCAGCAGGCCATCTTAACTTCTCATGCACGTATACTCACTTATTACTTCCACACATTTCACTGAAACTTCGACTCCATGGTAAAAAGTATTTTTTTCAGTTTTCTATGCACTAAATTTTGTACTTTTCCTCGCTTACATAACCTACTAGACAATATTGTATATACGATACTGTATGATATTCAATGCCTCGGGTCGTTTTGTAAAATCACTAGCGGGAGTTTCAAGGGCAAAGAAATGGCGTGAATGTATACCTAAACAACCGCTTCAGCAATCAAATTAAATGGCGTCTTCTGGCTAGACTCTTTTCAACAACAAAATACTTCCAAATGACTTATTTTGGCTGTAAACATAGAAAGTAATATTGTAAAAGTACATGTACTCAAAAGAAAATTCGTCCCTTTTTCAATCTAGTATAACTTACATTAAAATTGACATTGAATGAGTTTCTTTCGTAATTTCCTATATGTATTCCGTCGATTACATTCATTGTGTTTCTTTTTCCCTATCGTACGTACGTCACGTGAATAAATATTGAATAAGAAATTAATTATTCTTTCAGAATATAAAAATACTAAAATTGATTAAATATCCTATTGACTTATTCGCTTTGCGAGTAGCTAAATCAAAGATTACGTTGTTGTTTGATCACCATCTCTCAACATCCTTCTCAAAATTTTCCCGCTTGCTGACTTAGGAATAACATCAACAAATTCTACACCACCACGAAGTTTCTTGTAAGCCGCTACGTTCTCTTCCACAAAAGTCTGCACCTCTTGTTCATTCAAATCTTTTGCCACTATAAATGCTTTAGGTAGTTCACCACACTCTTCGTCTGCTATGCCAATAACAGCAGCATCTTCAATCTTCGGATGAGAGATAAGCAGAGCTTCTAATTCGGCCGGTGCAACCTGCAACATGCATGGCATACAGACTAAAGCTACAGACTCAATACTTCCTGGTTATATAGCTTTGAGATACTTAAGCTCGGTAAACCAGCAATAAAGTTGTGTTGTACACGCATATAATTAATGAAAGAATTTTCCCGTGAAACGCGTGGACAGTGATTTTCCTAACGCAGGTACATCAAAATGATAGAAAATTTACATTTCTTATAATACATACACGCCATTGTGCGTGGTATTCACACCGTTTCATCACAATGAGTCACCTAATTATATATAACCAGTTTTATTTATTGTTATATTATGTCAATAAAAAATACGACATCTACGCACAGTTACATCCTGGTTACATAAACACACGAAATGTTCGGGTTTGACTAACCTGCATACCCTTGTATTTGATCAGTTCTTTGCATCGATCCACAACGAAAACAACTTCGTCGTCATTGTAGTATCCTATATCGCCAGTTCGAAGCCATCCTTCAGAGTCAATGGTTTCTTCGGTTGCTTTTGGATTGTTGTAATACCCTAACATCAAAAAATATTCTTGACGGACATCATTGATTGACTAGCACCCAGACTTCCTTCCTTAATACAATTTTGAAAAAAATATGCACAATATGGAAGAAAATGACGAGCTTCTAACTCATAAGTACATTTTACATTTGATAAGCAGGTGTAGATCTGGTTTTCTCCAGGTGAGTTTAATCCATTATTTTGGCAAATCATAAAATTCTATGTAGTTGGTAAATAACATATGGGAGTACACGTAAAAAACGAAACACCAAGTTCAAACAAGTGAAGTTGCGGTCAGTTGCAAAAAAAAGCAAGCAAATATTTGACATCTGTCTAAGTGAGAATTAACTTTGTTACTAGTTTCAAAGCTGTTTTATCACACATAAGAAAAATAGGCTACAAAAGGATAGGGCCTTTTCAGTTTTAAATATGAGATACATCGCTCAAAAATTGTGCTAGTCAAAATTGCTTGGTATGTACGCAGGAACAGTGCATACGTTAAAAGCGCATAACATGCAAATTTTACCATGTAATTGATTTAATTGTAGAAGAGATTTAAAAGATTGCACAAATTATACACGATAGAAAATAGAAAAACAAACAAAAAGGAGACAAAACATTGCATATACTGCCTAAATATTGTTGACCTGGGTTCAATCATTAGTTTTATTTGTCAGCTATATGAATTGAACTTTTTTAGTTTTTGCTTGAAATTTATGCTAAAGAGAGAAAATTTATTCCAAAATTGAACTCTGTCTAAAACGTATAAGGTAAGGACGCTCGGACCTAATTGCAATTCAAGTTTCGTTTGGACTAAAATACACCAATTGTTATTTATAGAGATCGAAGTTTCTGAAGTTGTTCCGAAGTTTGTTCGTTGGATGTATGTACAATGATTACAATGATTGAATTGATTATTTCTACAGTTGTATATATTTTTAAAAACATTTGTAAAATTGTAGAATTCTGTAGAAAATGTAACAGCAGCGCGTATGTGGTTTTTAATGAAATTATCTCATTCTCGGTTTTCTCTACACCAACGGTAAAAAACTACTAAAAAAAAGTGTATTGTGCAGCGATAAACGTGAAAGCTGCTGCAGAAGTAAAATGTATAACTTATGAAGTATATGAACTTCAATGTACTTCCAAAACACTACGTAGAAGAGTGGTCAATTGCGCACGCGCAGCAGTTATCGCCGCATTACTTACTTGGTATGCGCAAACATGATATATCTATTACGCAAGTCTCAAATCAACATCATTTTCGATATGAAACAAAGGTTCCATTGTTTATAGATGAAATTGCATTCATTCATTGATGTATCAGAAAAATGAGCGACGGAAATTTCATTTAAACCCTCTGCTGCTCACCATGTATGATTTCACGCTTCTAAAGTTTAAATAACTCTCTACAATTATATTTCTGAACCCCACAGCAAGAAACCACCATTTTATGTGTGGAAATTACATAATTTAGCAGGTAATTATTTATTCAACAGTATGAAATAATACACGTTACCTTTCATTATCTGCGGTCCTCTAGCACATATTTCACCCGTTTGATTTGCACCCAAAACTTCTTCAGTATCCAAATCAATCACCTGATAGGATAACAAGTTATGATTATTAAAAAAGTTGCACAATATATTACAAAAAAGGTCACTTCAATTGACAACCTTTAATTCAGTGTTCGGGAATATTTCTCCTGAAGAGCCATGAACTATCCGACCCGAAAAAGACATTACGATTCCGGGAGAACTTTCAGTTAAACCATATCCTAAAATATGTAATATTCAAAGAATAATTAGAGCATTTCAAAGAATAATTAGAGCATTTCGGTCAAAGTGAAAACATACATATATATTGCAAATTTACAATGTTATCTAAGATAAAGCCTTTTTAGAATTCATTTACCTCTATCATTGCAATTAACATAAAACTTAAAGTTGTAATGAAAATATCTATGATAAGCGCTCTTAACAAATGTTTAATAAAAATGACCTTAATCTCTTAAAAAGTATTGAAATGATATCATCCAAATAACGTAATGAATAAGATTTATGCTTTTACATTCATTAATATGTTCTTATAAGATATGTTGTGAAAATGCTTTAGTGGGTACAAAAACACACAGAATATTTAAGAGCCAGGATAAATTATAAGCTAGACAGTCAAATTTTAAAAGTTGACAAAAAAAACAGATTAAACACCAATAGTTTTCATGTAACATCACATAACTTATGCCTTACCTTGTTTGATATAAATATTAGTTAAGCGCCTTTCCAAAGCAAATTGCAAGTCTTTAGATAGAGGTGCAGCACCACACAAAATAGATTTCACAGATGACAAATCATACTTATCAACCAGAGGACTTTTGGCAAGAAACAAAACTAATGGAGGGACCAACACCAATCTCTCCACCTTAAACAGAAAAGATAATTTAGCTGTGACTAGTACACCAGTGAAAGGGATTAAGCCAGTCCTGGCGTGTAAGATATGACAAAAATGGTCCATGAATATTTCAGATTTGAAAGTTGAGGTGTGATCTAAGACAAAAAATACAAAACAGATTGCTTACCTTGTAATTTTGAATTGTTTCTAAAAATAATTCTGCTTCAAACCTTGGCAAAGTGACTACAGTTGCACCTCCATACAAAGATGCACCCAAATTTATATTGAAACCAAAGATATGGAAAAATGGTAGGACAGCAAGCACTTTTTCATCAAGAAATGCTTCATAATATCCTGGCATATTGCAGCCTTGTTGTATGTTTGCGGACAGGTTGAAATGTGTTAACATGACACCTTTTGGCAGCCCTGTTGTGCCGCTGGAAAATGGTAACATTGCTACATCTTCTTTTGGAGATATGTCAATTACATCAGGATAATATGATCCATCATCTTCAAAAAGCTCCTGGATTGATAAAACGCCTTCTGCTTCCCCAACAACTAACAACTCCATTAATCCAGTAAGATTGGCGGCCTCTTTTGCTTTTACAACAAGATCAGGAACCGTCACAAGAAATTTGGAATTTGTAGCTTTTAGCTGATGAGAAATTTCATTAACGGTGGCTAAAGGTGATAAGGTAGTCACCACACCACCTAAAGATAGTACAGATAGATAGATGATTGGAAATTCAATCACATTTGGACAACATGTGGCCAACACATCATTCTTTTTAAAGCCAAGTCTAGTCAATGCAGATCCCAATTTCAAAGCTTTCTCCTGTATTTCTGAGAACAAGTATTTGTTTCCAGTAATTCCATCAACCTAATCAATGAAAGCCAGAAATGTCATTCATTTGTTGGATCATGTCTGAATCGCTCGTGATCGATCTGCTAATGTTGATGCGTTACATAGTTTATACTTACAATGGCTGTTCGTGTCCCAAATGTATCAAATTTCTTGAACAAAAATTCTGGAAGGGATTTATCGTCAACAAGATCCACATCCGGACTTTTGCTCCTAATAATATTTGGAACGCTGGAGAAATTGCTTCCATAGAGACAGCCTGTGCTATTTATGCTCGCCCTAAAACAAGAATGTCGGTAAATTATCTTGACTATAAAATTAGACAATGACATCTTTCAACTTTTTTACCTCTGCTCGTTGTAAATGGTATCTAGTACCTTCAAAATACGACAGTGACTTATGCAGGATGTCACTCTAGGTACTTTCGTAAATACATATCGACTACTAATCAGTATTACAGAAGCCATGGTTTTTAGGTATATTTATAGCTAGCCAATTGTTGTCGTGAAAAGAGCATGCGTGATGCGTCGTCCAAGAAATTCATAAATTAAAACTACACAGTTACCTAATACCCAGACTCAGCTGTATTCCAATTGGTTTTTCCGGTTCTTAAAGTAATACGTTGTTCAAATATTCCAAGGCATCAAGATGAGACAACGCACTACCCAACACGAATCCACACTTTCATTATTTATTAACGTCATAACATTCTTCATTGGTTTTGAGTTCTGAAAACGGGTCGTAAATGAAGGGGCATAACTATCTGAAGGGTGTGTGACTCTCCCCTTCCACTTTACCAATGCTGACAGTTATTTTATTCATAAAAATCAAACTAATATAAATATATGTATACAAATAAAATTCATGAAGAGAACGGACTACACTACAGTCGCCTGTTTGCCCATAAACTACGATAGGTCAAGCTTATTACACACATCAAACAATTTTTCTTGATTTTCAAGGCAACCACATTGACTTGTACACTTTAAGAGTAAATCAAAGATTACGCTGATTGATCACCATCTCTCAACATTCTTCTCAAAATCTTCCCGCTTGCTGACTTAGGAATAACATCAACAAATTCTACACCACCACGAAGTTTCTTGTAAGCTGCTACGTTCTTTTCCACAAAAGTCTGCACCTCTTGTTCATTCAAATCTTTTGCCACTATAAATGCTTTAGGTAGTTCACCACACTCTTCGTCTGCTATGCCAACAACAGCAGCATCTTCAATCTTCGGATGAGAGACAAGCAGAGCTTCTAATTCTGCCGGTGCAATCTGCAAAATGCATGGTATCCATATTAAAGCTACAGACTCAATACTTCCGGTAATATAGCTTTGACCAAAAACCTTTTTCAGGCGAAAAATTAAAAAAATACATGATAAAACATGCACACGCCAAAAAACGTCATCTTGTAAACTCAGAATTTGATCATCTTCTAAATTCAAGTTGTAAACTCATCATCCCGTAAATTCAAGATTCTCTTGCTATAATAACTCGAATCTTGAGCAGCAATAAAGTTGTGTTTTACATGCATATAATTACTGAAAGAATTTTCCCGTGAAAAGCGTACACAGAGATCTTCCTAATGCAAGTATCCAAAACAATGAGCCATCTACATTAATTATATCCAGTTTTATGGATGTTACATTATTTATACCAATAAAAAATATGACATCAACACACGAAATGTTCGGGTTTGACTAACCTGCATACCCTTGTATTTGATCAGTTCTTTGCACCGATCCACAACGAAAACAACTTCGTCGTCATTGTAGTATCCTATATCGCCAGTTCTAAGCCATCCTTCAGAGTCAATGGTTTCTTCGGTTGCTTTTGGATTGTTGTAATACCCTAACGTTAAAAAATATCCAGACTTAATAAAACAGTGGAAAAAATGTGTGCCAGTTAGAAGAAAAAAACGAGCATCTAACTTGTAATTACATTTAATTATCGATAAGCAGTTGTAGATCTGGTTTCCTCCAGGTGAGTTTAATCTATTATTTTGGCGAATCATAGAATTCTACGTAGTTGGTAAAATACATGTGGGAGTACACGTAAAAAACGAAACGCCAATAGTTCAAACAAGTGGAGTTGCGGTCAGTTGCAAGATATAGATGAAAAAATGAGGAAATGCTTGATATCAGTCTAAAGGCTCTTTTCCATTCGTCGCAAAACGTACTCGCAAGCTCGCTGCGAGTGCCTGCGAGTTACTCGCAGCGAGCTTACCATGACTTGCAGCATAGTTAAATTAATTGAACAAATTTTTTTGATCGCGCGAACAGACTCGCAAGCTCGCAGCGAGAGCATTTTGCGATGAGTGGAAAAGAGCCTTTAGGATTGACTTAGTGATAGCGAATGAATATGAGATATGTGGCTCAAAAAATGAGCTAGTTAATATCGGTTGGTACATAGTTACACAGGGCATAAGATACAAATTTTACCTTGCAATTCATTCAATTATAGAAAAATGCCTGGTGAAAAGATTGTACAAATTCTACAGGATAGAAAATAGGGAAAACAAACAAAAAGGAGACAAAAATATTGCAAATTTTTATATGCTTTGGTCGCAATGCAAGCAGTATACATTCCAAGCAGCAGTATACAATTATCTATTCTCTCAAAATCAAGTTGCATTTGACCAAGACTCGAAGGTTCTGAAGTCGTTCTGAAGTTTGCTCGTTTGGATGCGCAATTGGTAATTGATTTCCTCGAAAGACAATTTGATGATTTTTACCGTTGTATATTTCTGAAAACATTCGTAGAATTGTAGAATGAAGAAAACATCAAGGTGGCGAGATATGATTTTCAATATATTATTTTGTCGTGTTCTTAGTATTCTCTACACGAACGACAAAACACTCGTCACTAAAACTTGAAATCTTACAGTGATGCAACATCTATTAGATACATATCTATTTGACAAGTCGAATGCAAATCAAGGTCTTTCAATATGAAACAAAGTTTCATCATTCAATGTGCGGAAATTACATAATTTACCAGGTAATTTCAACCGTATGAAATAATTAACGTTACCTTTCATTATCTGTGGTCCTCTAGAACATATTTCACCCGTTTGATTTGCACCCAAAACTTCTCCTGTATATAAATCAGTGACCTTATAGGCATACAAGATTTGATTGTTAAAAAATTGCACAGTAAATTACAAAAAGGTCACTTCAATTGGCTACCTTTAATTCAGTGTTCGGTAATACTTCTCCAGAAGAACCGTGAACGATCCTATCCGAAAAAGATATCACAATTGCGGGAGAACTTTCTGTTAAACCGTATCCTAAAATGAGAAATATTCAAAGATTAATGAGAGAATTTGAGATGGCTGCGCTTATATAAACGTATATAGCAAATTAATAGCGTTCTCTAAGATAAAATCTAATCCAACCGTGTTTTTGTAATTCTGTTACTTGATACTGGCATATACCACTAGCATAAAAGCTGTAATGTAGTACTTTTCCCATGTATGTACATTATGCAATAAAAACGACCTTAAAAAAACGTTAAAATAACATTATCAAAATGACGTTAAACTGTCTATTTCTTTTTTTAGACGAGAATAATCGAAAAGATTTCCAGCTACACAATTCATTAAATTATGCTCTTATAAGTCATGCTTCTAGAACGCTAACTTGAGTACCAAATCACACAGAAGATATAAGATCCAGGATTAAATAAATATAAACTAGACAAACCAAAATTAGACATAAAAATAGATTAAACACCACTAGCTTTGATGCAACATCGCGAAAATTATACTTTACCTTGTTTGATATAAATATTAGTTAAGCGTTTTTCCAAGGCTAATTCCAAGTCTTCAGATAAAGGCGCAGCACCACAGCTGATACCTTTCAATGATGACAAATCATACTTATCAACCAGAGGACTTTTGGCAAGAAACAAAATCAATGGAGGGACCAACACCAATCTCTCCACCTAAAACACAACAGTCAATTTAGTTGTAACTAATATACACCATTGCAATGGTGTGATGATGTTTTAAATTAAGCCAATCACAGCACATTGAGATTGGTACGTATCAACTAATGTAATATATGACAAAAATGAGCATATTTACTTAGTTTTGTTAGTGTGTATGGCATAACAAGAAATACAAAACAGATTGCTTACCTTGTAATTTTGAATTGTTTCTAAAAATAATTTTGGTTCAAACTTGGGCAAAGTGACTACAGTTGCACCTCCATATAAGGATGCAGCCAAATTAAGATTAAAACCTAAGATATGGAAAAATGGTAGGACAGCAAGCACTTTTTCATCAAGAAATGCTTCATAATATCCTGGCATATCGCAGCATTGTTGTATGTTTGCAGACAGGTTAAAATGTGTTAACATGACACCTTTTGGCAACCCTGTTGTGCCGCTGGAAAATGGCAACATTGCTACATCTTCTTTCGGAGATATGTCAATTACATCAGGATAATATGATCCATCATCTTCAAAAAGCTCCTGGATTGATAAAAAGCCTTCTGCTTCCCCAACAACTAACAACTCCATTAGTCCAGTAAGATTGGCGGCCTCTTTTGCTTTTACAACAAGATCAGAAACCGTCACAAGAAATTTGGAATTTGTAGCTTTCAGCTGATAAGAAATTTCATTAATGGTGGCTAAAGGCGATAAAGTGGTCACCACACCACCTAAAGATAGTACAGATAGATAGATGATTGGAAATTCAATCGCATTTGGACAAATTATTGCCAACACATAATTCTTTTTAAAGCCAAGTCTAGTCAATGCAGATCCCAATTTCCAAGCTTTCTCCTGTATTTCTGAGAACAAGTATTTGTTTCCAGTAATTCCATCAACCTAATCAACGAAAGCCAGAATTGTCATTCATGGGGTAGTACATATTTCTCATTACCAAGCAAAGGAAACTTCCAATCGACATTTGTCTGCAGAATATAAAAACATGCAATAAAACAGATTCTATGAAACTTGTTGGATCATGTCTGAATCGCTCGTGATCGATCTGCTAATGTTGATGCGTTACATAGTTTATACTTACAATGGCTGTTCGTGTCCCAAATGTATCAAATTTCTTGAACAAAAATTCTGGAAGGGATTTATCGTCAACAAGATCCACATCCGGACTTTTGCTCCTAATAATATTTGGAACGCTGGAGAAATTGCTTCCATAGAGACAGCCTGTGCTATTTATGCTCGCCCTAAAACAAGAATGTTTGAAAATTTTCTGACTATAAAATTAGACAATGACATCTTTCTATTTTTTCACCTCTGCTCGTTGTGGATGATATCTAATATCTTCAAAACACGACAGTGATTTATGCACGATTTAACTCTTGGTACTTTCATAAATATATATCGACTACTGGTCAGAACACTCCGATTTACCATCACTATAGAAGCCATGGTTGTACGTACTATGTACCCCTAGCCGATTTTTGTCGCGTAAAGAGCATGCGTGATGCGACGCCCAAGAAATTTGATAAATTAATTCTACCCCCTCCCCCCCCCCCAGGCTACCATTCTGCATTGGTTTTGAGTTTTGAAGACAGGTCGCATATGAAGGGGTATAACTGTCTGAATGGCGTAGGTATGCGACACTCCCCTTTCACTTTTGATGGCAAATTATTCCTTAAAACGTCACGTTCTGATGTTTTTATCCTACACCTACACCATTGAATCTTCTGGAGGCATTTTAAGTTCACAAACATCATCACTTAAAACAATAATTTTCACTTTCATATAAGATTTTTTTGACATCAAAATCCAATCAATGCATAAAATGCATGATTTGTTTGCGTGTTGGTCAGTGGACATAAAATTTCAATGCATAAGTTAAGACGTTTTTATCCCAAGTCTACAGGTAGCAACGTGCACTAGCTTCAAGGAAAAGATGAAAGGTTGCACTAATACCGATTAGCACCACTCGCTGTAAACTTTTTTGGTTTTTTGATCGTTTGGAGACGCTCTTGACTTGCATAAATCTGCAATTTAAACTTGGCTGACATTAGAATCAGGCAATCAGCATCCCTTCAGCGCAAAGTGTTTCAACATGCGCTGATGACTTTGATGGGCGTACTGGTCATGCCGAAGACGTCGTGTCACTACTTCCAAAACACGCTATATTTATTGATTAAAAAAGGAAGGGCCGGTCAGCCGATCATATTTTTGACTTTCACGAGTCTAATTAACGAGTCTGAAGTTGTGGAACAGAAAGTTTTACAACCAGTTTCCATAGTAAAAGCTCTTCTACTAAAAATATTTAGATATTAATTATTCAAACCGAAAAGCTGTACATCTGGAAACAACAAGACATATACGTTTATCCACGTTGAAAAACCAAAGAACTCGTCAGTTGTTGAAAGCACCTATAAGTTTGCGGTTTGACAACATGGCTTTCTATATTAATCTTCAGAAGAAAATATGCTAAACGAACAACTGCCTTTTCTTTTCTAGAAGTATTTGATAAATTGAAATATTCCATTGTGCTGAAATAAATTACTAACCACGTCGTGGAAAATAGCAAGTAAGGACCTTTTGGATATTTAAAACATTTACGACATACAACTGAGACTATTGTTAAAACCAGACCGCCTCAGTTGATGGTGTTTAGGTTGCAAAAATGGCAACTGCGTTTTGTTTTAACTAGAGATATATTGTTCAGCATCATACAGCATGCCTTCTTGGTTTAGTTGGTGGAACTGGATGAAAGACATCATGATATTTTTAGGTAAGTCCAGCGCTAATGGAAGTCCAGCACAAAAAGCTTTCGTGTGGTTAGTTATTGGCCCTTTCCGTAACTTTAGGTCTGGCAAGAAAGACAATAAAAATAGTTTTTCTTGGTTTGGATAACGCAGGCAAGACGACATTATTTCGAATGTTGAAAGACAACATGATGATACAGCACACACCAACTCTTCATCCAGGTATAAAGGAGAAGAGAAAAACGATTGATGATAAAAAGCAAACTTGAACGATTCAATGAAATTCAAATTAACTTCATGTGCACGATGTCCGTAGAAAGTATAGTAATGTAGCTTTTTTTATACACATATATAGACAGAGATGAGTTTTGCCTGGGTGGGCTAACATTTTTAGCAGTTGATGTTGGTGGTCACGAGCAAGGTAATTATTTAAAGACATTGGCTAAATTTGCGATTCATTCTGAAAGAGCTGAAATCTGAACATATAATTCATTTTCATTTTAGCTCGTCGACTTTGGCGCGATTACTACTGGGACATTGATGGTATAGTCTTCATCATTGATGCTTCGGATAAGGAAAGATTCCGCGAGGCAAAAAAGGAATTAGACGTAAGCGCATTAACTATAGACATACTTTGAATACATTTGTAAATGTAGATCGTCCAGGTTGGTATAGTCCTGAGAAGGACTGTTTTTGTTGTTGTTGACTGACGTTTTGACAACTTTAGCGGTAGTCATCTTCAGAGTCAAATGAGGACCACAAATCACTCCCGGGTTCAAACCATTTAAGTATTAAATTTTTTGAATACATTAAATTTCTTTGATGCACGAATTTCTTGTTAAAACATAAGTGACGGCATGCTTTAAAAAGAAAATTGACTTTTTGTTCACGAATTAAGTCAACTTTAGCTGTATGTGACGATGCTAGATCGTGCCCATACACAGATATAGTTGTCGTCTGCGTCATATGTTCGTGATGAAGCAATTCCATTCACGTTATCCCGTCTTGGAACTTTTCGTCTGCATAAATCTCACATTTGAAAAATTTGGTCAACATCTTTCGTGTAAAAACTACCATATCATGCATTTTAAGGAACATCACAAGACTCGTCGTTCATCACCACTTATACATTAGACAATATAGTTCTTTTCAGATTTTTTGTCAGTGGTGGAGTAGTACATGGTTCACAAATCAAAATTTTAAACTCAAATTTCTAAAATAATTGAAAAATAAAATGGGATTAATTCTATTACATACAAAAGTACCAATGGGAGTATTTTAGGGACAAAAATAGACCAATGTATGGACAAAAAAGGCTAGAACGCTAAATTTTTCCGAAAATAATTTTTTTTTATATTTTTGCAAAGTCATCCAATCTCATATCATGCGTGAATTCCGGGTCCAAATTTATCTTTTAGGACACTAAGTACTTTGTAGATTACAGATTGCCTTACATGGCAACATTAAGATTTTGTCGTGAGCTCTTTGAAATATTTGACTTTCTCCTCATTGCATTTACTATATCCACACGACGTATCTACGCCAATTTCAGCTTTTTTTTGTCATTTCGAGAATTCATTTTTTGAGCTTTTCTTCTTCTTCCAAGCTTTCTTTACGAAGTTAACTCACACATTTTAATCTTACTCAGGGATTGTTACGAGAACAGATGACAGACAAATGTCCAGTACTTATTCTTGGCAACAAAATCGACATTCCGACAGCGGCCAGCGAACAACAAATAAAGGAATACTTTAATTTAAATGCACTAGTAACAGGAAAAAACAATGTAAGTGATCGCAGGGGAATTAAACAGGGTAAATCAGAAAAACAAGAATGTGTTACTTGGGGCACATCTTAGGAAAATTATGGGTATCAAACGTGCAGTGATATTGTGCTTCTTGAAAATGGATGTGTCAAATAGTTTAAAAGAGGTGTTTTGCCCCCTCCATGTATCCCCATAAGTTGAAAGTTCTTAAGAATCATTAATTGAGATCATAAGATCATAGATGATAAGAACTAACCTTTGACACGAGTAATTACGGCAATTTTCTCGAAACATCACAAACCAATAGCTTATTCATCAAAGGGCTACCGTAGAGTATGATAAGTAGCCGCTCGTACTACTTTTGAAATTAATGGCCACAAGGGGCAGCTACTCTCGGGGGCGGCGGGCGGGAGCGGCCACTTCAGGAAGAGGAAACTTTCGAGACTTTACGGTATTTCTAAAGATAACTATCGAACATGACATTCTAAGCCATGAGCAGAATTTCCCAATGAAAAATCAAAAATGAAATTAGGTGAAGTCTTTGCACATATAAAAGCCCCTGATAACCACACAAAGTTTGTGAAGTTGGAAATACATAGTAAAGATTCTTGCCATAAACAATATCACTGTGGAAGCTCCAACGACTGCTTTTAGTAGCACTATGCATTCTGCCAATTCCAGGAAGATTTAAACGATAAAAACAAAACCAGATCAATCGACGTATTCATGTGCAGTATATTAAAGAAACAGGGATATGGTGCAGGTAACATAACTAACATGTTTTCTTCGACAAAAAATATAGTTTTGCCCAGATCTATCCATGTAATATTTTTATGGACTTTGTCCGTGTTTGGTAGGATTACGTTGGTTGGCTGAACATTTATAACCATGCCATTATTGAGAAGACAGTGTTTGATTAAGCCAATTCAAGAGATCAGTTACAAGGATCGCGAAGAGGACTGGGCCTCCCCATCATTTGGAAAACTATCGCAGTTATTTCAACAATATAATAAACTACCAGATTCTGTACATTCGTAATAAACCTTAAAAATCGAGATATTCGTGTACTTTGTATAGAAATCGGCTTCATTGCGTATATCTTTTTTTCTTGCTTTGCCTACACAGGGTCGGCCGTCATAATCCGTTTTCTCCACTTACAGGGCCAGCACGGTAGTGTCATTCTAATAATCAAAATATAACTAATCCCTTAAAACAATTAGCCAATCGAGGAACATTTCATAAACAACAAGTTAATCTACACTGCCGCCATAACTTCACACCGAAAACGTCACCAGTAATAGAGGAAGAGGGGGAAATGTTATGGCAACAGCTGTTGTGCTAATTGTAAGGAATAATCATCTTAAAATGCTTATTTGTAAATAATTCCAGCATATTTTCTTTGTTTTGCGAAGAAATGCTGCATAAAGCGTGCAAAGATTACAACTGCCGAATTTTTTATGTAATACTTTTTGTTATTATTTGCGTACGTCTCAAGCAGTTTTACGACCATCGAATCTAGCCTGACCTAAAGAAATCCAAAGCAATCACGAATCTATTGAATCACAGATACCAGATAATGAATTCTAGATCCCAAATGGTTCATTTATGATATTAAGGATTTCTCATTGTAAGCTTTGGATTTCAAATATCGATAAAGAATTAAACGTAACTTCACATTCTTCGAAATCTTTTCAGCGCAAAGTCAACGTTAACTTTGTAAAGAATCAACTGTAACTTCACATTTTTCGAAATCTTTCCATCGCAAAGTTAACGTTAACTTTGTAATCGTATCTATTCTGTTCGGTCAAAGTACGCATTTATGTCAAATTCTGGTTTGAAAAAAAAAGGAATCTTTAGATTGTCATGATTATAGGAAAACGGAATTGGCAACGCAGAGAGAATAGATAATAAAATTTTATGATATTTTACAACGAGGTATTTTCCCACCGATCTCATTTGAGAACGCTCCGTTCAGCATAACAAAGCTCTAACTTATAGAAAGAGAGAGATTTTCATACGTGGACTGAACATATACGGAGGAAACTAAAAACAATTGAGTAAAATAGAAATGCGCAGAATGAAGCAACCATTACGACGACTACTGTTAACACTGTTATTGTGTGCGACGAAAGACTATTGTAAATACAATAAAAGACTTAACTATAATCATCAATTAATATGACAGATTGAAGATTACGATGTTACGATTGGGGTTAGGCCATGTATATTAAATGCTCAGCAACCATTCAGCCAATGAGATGTAAGTAGAAAGCGTTGTTCCTCTGTTTTCACCCAATCCGTTATCACAAAAATGGACTTGTATCCTCTGAAAAATGTACTGTATCATCTTGGCGATAGAGAGTGAGGAATTTGACAAAAAAAAGGGATGAAAAAATACACACTTCAATACCTCACGTGATTTGAGAATTATTTCTTTTTTCTTCCGCGTTGAACAACCACCCAATCATCAGTCTCAGCATTTTCTGCATCAAGTAAACAATTACGTCATTTACGTCATTACGTTTTGAGACTGGATTCAATGTTAACGGCAGAAAGATGGTAAACGACTTTCGTCACCGATGCATATAAATAAATAAATAAACAGAGCTTCCTTTGACTTGAACATTACAACTATGATGAAAAAACAGCATATGATTTCAGGTTTCATAATCTGACCTGAGGTGTTATCTGTTTCTTCCAAATTCCCAATTTCATTTGAAGTCAAAGTTAGATCTTCTAGCTGTTCAGATATTTCCTAAAAAACACCATTTTAGTTTTTATAAATAAAAGTTTGAGCAGCCGTTAGAAACTCTTTTGCTCAAAAAGACCATAAAATTAGAAATGATGAGAGCGTATGGTCTGCACCAGTTTTGTCTTCTTTCCCCTCATACCAATAAAGATTACTTTACAGAATGTTAGAGCAACAAGCGTACACATGATTTGCCTTCTTTTTGTTCTCAATAAACATGACAATATACCAGAAAATAAAGCTTACATTACGCTGGCCGGGTTCTTCGTAATCTTTAGAGCTTATGTTCATCGCTGGGAGTAACACGGAACTAATTTCTTCTGCTACCTTTAAACATTCTCCTTTCTCACACAAATTATGATAACTACAAAGTTTTTCGGCCACCTACATAGTGAAAAGAAAGCTTTTGTGAACATGGATGAGAGACAAAATGAGTCAGAGCGCCAAGGATTACAGTCTATCTTAAAAAGTACATAAAGCAGACAAGATATTGATAAATCTGTGCACCGGCATATGAAAGCTATTGTTTTCATTAGGGGGGCAGTAAATATTCTCCCCTATTCACAATGAAATGTACCAAGCTTCTTGACTTCAAATTAGATGTCTGAATTTCTTTCTCTCAAATTTTTTGCCAAACTAATGCTGTACGACTTTTCCATTTTCAAACTTACTTTGGGGGCAGCTACCCACCTGCCTCCAGTCCCATATGTCTACAACTCTATGAACAATTTCTACTCTACATGCAAAGTAGTCAACATGCTCCATGTTTTTTCTTGTGAACCAATAACTTCAAACAGGATCTTGACAGGGTAAATTGCATAATACTATATGCTATAACTATCCTCAATGAAATATATGTTTCAACATAAAATTATAACACTAAAAGACCTTATACTCTTCACCAAAACATTAATTTACACAAGACCTGGTGAAATCAACAACATACTTTGATCAAACTGCCATCTTCAACTATGACATTAAATTCGTTGCTAAGAATTTCTGACAGATAATCTTCAATATCCACTGGATCAAGGTCCCCTGTAAAATTCCAATATATATAAATATTGTTATTTTACAATTACTTCATTTAATATTCAACATCTTCTGCACACACACATAGGTGTGTAGACTCAACCCATAGGTAAAGTTCATGCAATATATCATATACATATAACAACACAAGAATATTGCATTAAATTTTTAAAACTAGTCTTGGTAATAAACATAAATACATTGTTAGATGACACTGTGAGTGCCATAAAAAATCTTAATTGTTGAAACAGGCATTTCTGTAGACTAGTCTCAATTTATTACAGTTCAAAACTTCATCTCCTCACTAGCCGATGACATCATTCTTTCTTGGATGGGTGTATAGAACAGGGAGGGAGGCAACTGCCCTACCCCTCAAAAAATTTCAAGATTGAAAAGTGGAGTAAATCTTCCACAAAAGAAAAAATTATGAAGTGTAATTTGAAGTCAAGAAGTCTGGTTTTTCATTATAAGTATAAGTTTAGGAAAAATGGCCCTTGTACACCTTTGCTTTTTGTCTATACTAGTTACTAAATCACAACATTTTTAGTCAATGGCGTGACCAGCCCTCAGGTTTTGGTCCTGCTATGTAAATTCTAGATCATTAACATGATTTATTTCTTTAGAAATCTGCTGTTTTTACAGTGAGTGAACACAGAAAATTAAGATAGCACAACTAAATTTGCAGGCTGGCTACGCCACTGTTTACATTAGAGCATACATATGACCAGAAAAGATGTCTACAAAAATGCTTCATACTAACAATTAACATTTTTTCATGTCACTCATTAAGGTATGTGAGAAAGGCATGCTATGCTATTCAAGAATGAAATATGTAAATTTTCTAGTCTACGCAATTCACACATGAAAAATTGACCTCAGTCAAATCATTTGTGGACTAAACACAGTGCAGCCAATCTCATGCGCAAATATAACCCTTAAGTCTGTTTTGAAATTAGAACCGGGAATGGTGTTGGAATTAAGATACACGTGTTTTTAAATTTCACTTATTTGTCTCTGGAAATGTTTAATTTTTAAAGCTAAAGAAGCCTGAACAAGTAGTTCGTTAGTACGCTCCAACTAAAACTACGACGGCATAATCTCAAGATTAGTATATGGGTCAAGAAAGAGCAAAGATGCTCGATGTTTCAAAAATGAAAAGCACACAGAAATGATCAATCTGCATTAAATATAACTAACCGTTATCCATGAAGACATTGAAAATAACTTCTTCGAGCCACAGTTCTTTTTCTTTACTATGTGGCCCAGCTAAGCACTGATCTACAGACAACCGAACTATGGGCCAATTCCGCAATACAAACTGAATGGACTTCATAAAAACTTCGTCTTTATTGCTGTTCGCCATCTTGTGCCAACTCAGCCCAGCTGATTAGGTTAATCGAGGGATCAGAGATTAACGCTACAGTTAGTAAATATTGGGATTAACTCGGCTAAACTACAAATTGCTGTTGGTTTTGTTTTGATTGACAATGACTACTGGCAGATTCTCATAAAAATATCTATCTTCGCACTCATCGTCATTTTACTGAAAAATATTTTCAAACGGTATAAATTTTAAATACATCAAATTTACTCAATGATTCGCCATTCGTGAAATAAGGTCACTTAGTGATATAGACTATCCCTTTGCAAGTTTTCGTACATGGCAATAGGATAACTTTGAACTTAGCAAACTTATACACCACACACTATTCACCAACATACTACGAGTTCACACATACTCGTTTCGATTGTAATTGCTGCTCTCCTTAGAGTTTTGTAGAAAATTTTGCGGTAAATTTGGCCTCGTAGGTGGCACGCGTCTCACGCTCAAATCTAAACTATTGTAAACGTGTTGTTCAGATGATCCCGTTTCAGTAGCGTTGTTGCGTGGTAGCGTCCCATAAAGCTTTCGTGTTCTGTCATCTTCGGTGTATACATGAGATGGGACTGCATAATATTGCTGTGAAGCATCCCCAGTCTCAAGTGATTGGTCCATTTCCTCGACCAATAGAGAAGGAAACACGCCGATATGACCGTTCAGTTCACCTTTCCACCAGCCATCATCCACTTCTCCATCGTCTTTTCGTAAAATATTTATAATTGCTCCTTCATCAAACGTCAACTCTTCATCATTTTGACCGGCGTAGTCGAAGAGCGCTCGGGCGGTGCAAACTATAAGTTGTTCAAGATGCAAAATGAAAATGGTTTAGCAACAGCTAAGTTTGTGCAGGCAATGTGAAAAGCAGAATGTACAGTCCAGCGGCTAAATTCTTTAAAATATCAATATAATTCGACTCACTCGGCTGATTTTCGTTCTGCACAGTATCTTGTAAATCTTGAGATAAATTATCTGGAACTGAATTCCCTCCAGAAATGGTGGACGGCACACTTATTTGAACATACGATTCAGGAATATACCCAACCTGTCCACCTTTATTTCGACCCTAAATAAGGAGCACTATTTCAATTACAGACGCATTATTGCGAGAATTAATTCAATGACAGCAAGTTTCGCTGATTTACAAATCTAAAAAAGAACAAACTCCATTCCAGGGAAGGGACATATCACCCGACTCAAAGATTTCACATTGAGAAACTGCAACTACAACCTGAGATATCCAGTCCACACACATACACGATGTTTTTCAAAACAAATTCTCGCCTTCGCTACCTTCCATTTCCCAAAATTGCTTCACTGAACACAAACACAATAGTTTGCAACCAAAGGATACTAAGGACCACAGTTAAATCACTTGTTTTCTTTGCTAGTGAACACACTTGAAAAGCGTGTTTTGACCTACGAAATCTTTCAAAAATCTAAAAATTCTTCATATAACACATTTACCTTACACCAGCCTTCTCCGTCCTTCTCGAGCACTTCAACTTCTTCATTCTCGGTAATCGTCAATTCGTCAGTTGATGTGGCAACGTAATCATACAGCACAATAGCTGTCAATGGAATACTAAACACCTGTCCCGATGCAACACTACATTCATCCACATCTTTTTCGTTAATCGTATCTTCAAACTCGTCCCAATAATCGTCACTAGTGTTCATTCCCGCAGAAGCTTCATACACGTCGACATACTCTCCTGCGTCTGGCTTTACAGTCGTGGACGGTTGACGACGAGCGTTCACTAAAAAGTTATGTGTATAGTTAATATATCGAAGTAACAAAACCACCTTTTATTCAACATAGTAAGAACAGTGTGGACTTATATTTCCCAGATTTCAAGTAGCTCAATTAATGCATGTTTACTGAATTAGTGACAATAATCGTTTTCATTTAAGTTTTTGTTTCCTCCCATTAGAGCAATAAAATTATAATGTGTAACCTGTTTGTTCGGGAGGGAGTTGAGCTTCAGCACTTCTTATCCATTCATCAACCTTAACTGAAAAAAAAAACATCGAAAGGTTTTCACCTACTCCACGATACATTGCACGCCAACGGAATAAATACCGCCAGAATTCCGCAGAAGAGTTAAAGAAGCTTCGATTCTTTCAATGGCAGTCTACAACATGATAAAACCCTTGTTTTAGCTACATGAACTGAAAGGTGACTTTAAAACCTCATGTAAAACAACAACACGCAGGATCTACAAACAACATGACTATTTGATATTCGAAGGTTCTGCAAAGATTGGTTGGTTGTAAACACATTCACAGTCCACATAGAGTTGAGGAAATATGTACATAAATGATCTCATAAAAAATACAAAGGGATAGTTACGCGAAGCCAGTATTGCAGCGAACAATGGATATATAGCGACTTTTTTCAGCATGTTAAAAAGGCAGTTACATTATCTTCATAAAATTGAAACTTAGTCACCTTTGAACTATTATCTTATTCTACTAAAAATCTCTAGTTTAAATTGTATAGCTTGTGATCTTTAGTGAATTGATCAACAAATTCGTGTCCAGGCTTCGTGCCACCGGCCTCAGTTCACACGTTGTGGCGACTGGAGTCAAGCAATTGAATTTTCCTTTAGCAAAACGTTTTGCCCCTTAATATTGTTTTCATCTAGGGGTGTTATCCTTTCGGAAGAAAACCTTTCTGTCACATCAAAAAAAGTTTGGTAGTGACAGAGGGTTGTGCAATCACAACAACGTACATACCTCGACCTTACGTAAAGCTTCCTGTAACCCTGGCACTGTTGATTCAGGATTTTGCGTGTCTCCTGAAGAAGACGCTTCCTCAACCTATACAATTTTGCAGTGTTCAAATTCCCATTATTCAAAGAGTATATTCAAAGAACAATTATTTGAATCGAACATAACCAATAGATGATGTACATGTTATTTATGCTGGGCTAATAATCAGCTGATACAAATGAATTTCCATTTATGTTTGTTGGTGACCGCTGACCGCAAACTCTAACCAAAGCGTTGAAATGAATATAACTGGAACGCCATCCTCAGATTGTTTTAATGTGGCCAAAATTTGCGGGGCATTACAAAAATTATTGGGAAAGGTAGCGTTCCAGTTTATTCATTTCAATGGCTCAAGCCCAATTCTTTCCGATCCCACAATACTATCTCGTGCAAAAAAAAAAATCGATAGAACGCAAAATACCCTCAATCGAGAAATAAGAAATGATGTCGTGTCATTTTAGTGGTTGGGAACAAGTGAAAAACCCTAAATATCTTGCTGGAATAATGGCAGCCAATATGCGCGACACAACATGCGTAAAGACAAAAACATCAAAGGTTTCAACACGAGTGACTCTTCCGCATATTCTGTTTTTAAAGTCCGCCGTGCAAATATCTTTGATGTGGCTAATTATATGCACGTACCTGACTTGACCCAATGGAACTGAGTTTTGCAAAGTAATATTTCAACGCTCTCTGCTCGCGTACGTATTTCGATGCAAGTTTCCGCGCTTCTTTATCAACAGCAAGGGACATTGTTCCATCAGTTACGATTGTTTTTACCTACACAAAGTATAGAACAGCGAGATGCGAAGAATTTTAATTTTGCTATTTCATAAAACAAATTGGGATAAAGCAAAGCACTTTTAAACAAGGCGTGATTTTATCGTTTAATAGACTTTATATAAAAAGACTTAACATGAAAGAGTTAACGATTTTCTAACCACTTTTTACCTTATCTTCACCATAGGGTTCAAAATTGTAGGTAACGTGGCCTTGAAATATGGTATTTGTGTCGATAAAGTATCGAACACTGCCATCGCGTCCGATCTACATTTGATAGTAAAAAAGAAGAAAAAATCAAATTTAGAGAAAGCTTAGATGGAACACAAAATTTGAGGAAAAAATTTAGTGAAATTTTATGCGAGACATTATTTTATCGAAATTTTTACCATGGAAGCCTCGGATGTGATTTTGTTGAAGCTATCTTGTGAATATAATGCTGCTTCAACCTCCATAACACTTGCTGTCGTGTGATACTCTTTCATCTGCTCGTAAAAATCACCGTCGATATCCTACGATGAAAAACAATTATAACAAAGATCTTCCAGAAGAAATTTCAGAAAACGACTAGACATCGCGAAAGGTTTGTCGGCATGCTCTTCTTTTCCTGCAGCAATGGGTCGAAGTCAAATTTAATATGCATATGTATGATTAACACGACTCGTTAAACAATGGATGTTATAACTTCGAAGACTGGTTGTTACATAAACCATCCAAGTTTCTTCAGTAGTTTATATTGAGTCGTCTTGGTCTTCTGTACTAAGAGTTCTTGACAGAAATAATTCAGACGGGAATGAAACTACTCAGATGATTATATGACCACCATTCTTTGAAAAACCAGATCAATAATGTAGGTGGCCATGCAATATAGTATAACGATCATGCGCCCTTGGAAACTTTAGCACACAAACAGTTTTGTGCACCGGGGAGTATTTTACCGCCCAAAATATTAAGGAATATCTTATTTATTGATGTGTTAGAACGTAATAGTAAGGAATACATAAGGAGTACACGAAATAAGGAATACACAATACATAAGGAGTACACAACAAAATATTAAGGAGTACACGTATTGACGTGTTAAACATATGGTATTTAAGCTTGACGGTAGCTTTAAATTCTACACAAGTCAGATGCCACGTGCCTTACGTAGGAAATACTTATTTATAGAAAGAATCCAAGCAAAGGACAATACATTTTATCGTCTCGACTTCGCTTGAATCTCTTCAACAGTAAAATAAAAATAGAACAGCTTGATCAGAATCATTTAATGAAAAATAAAAGAATAAATCAAGTTCTATCTTCTTATATGAAATAGTCTATAAGTTCGCATAACTTTAGATAAACTTAAAGTGAATACCACAAAAACGCATATGTAGAAGACACTTAAACTGAATCAGACATGCATTCCCACTAACCTTGACAATTCCTACAAGATCAACATCACGAAATCTTTTCATGTGTCCGTTAAGTGCAGCAATTTCTAGAAGGTACGCATTGCGACCTGCATTGGATTGCCGTACGCACACATCTCTTCGCTCAGAGGCCTATAAACGAAAGTCGCACGAACTGCACCAGTGTTGTATTAAATGTTCACACAGAAATAATACTTCCTGCAAGTAATGACGAAGCAAGATGCATAAAGTTTCATGCAAAACTGCATTTTACTATGTGCCAATGATGAAAAAAGTGCTTAAAGAAAAAATTGTGATGAAAAAGTTTACTTTGTATCACTGATCTTATCATAAAGATCAAACATACTTAAACTGAAAAAACTTGGAATTCACTTAAGAAATAAAAGATGTTTACTGTGTTTGCACGGGCTTATGCAGACCGAGGAGACCTTTGGGAGAACTAGAGAGAAGATCACAAACGTCTCCGAGGTTTGCCTAAACCAGTGCATACACGAAAAACATCTTTTATTTCTTTTATAAAATAAAATAATGCGAAAAAGACAAATATTTCAATTTTCCCTCTAAAATGTATTCATGATCGTTTGCAAATTCTCTTTGACTGATTGACTGTTTTGATTGATTTGATTGGTTGAGCTCAGATGTATTTTGCACAGGATAATGCAAACACAGCTCTAGACCAATCAGCGCACGCGTTTCATCGTGTTTATTTTATAAAAAAGCTATGACATGCACTGTACCTTGGAAAAATTCTTCTCCAGGGTGGCCTTTGATTTGAAAAATGTTTCACCTTTCTTTAATCTGAAATAAAGACCATTTATTTTGGAAAACAATATATTACACATAATTCAAAATCACGAGCAAATACTTGTCCTGGGCATCTGCTGTTTCTTTTTGTGCAATCTCAGCAAGTTTTTGCAACTCCATATATGATTTTCTACACTATATGAAAAAAAGATCATAAAAGGCAAATGAAAATCTCGACAAAGCAATCCAACGAAACTTCGAAAGATTAGTATGCGCACATGATTTAGTCTAAAAGAAATGAGTATGTATACGTTAAATAGATAGCACGACCATCTATTCCCCATTTAAACAAAACCAATTGAACAATGCAAATGGCAAAATCAAAACAAATACGATTTTGCTTAGTCATCGAAGTTCATCATAAAAATCGCAGTACTGTAAATGTACCAATATCAAAAAATCCAAAAAATTCATTTTTCTTATCATCTAACATTTTGAGATCAAACTTTACGGTTCCACAAACGTTGGCATTCTTCTGTACCAATGGCTTTTCTTAGTTCTAATTTTACTTTAATAAGAGAACGGTGCAATCCCGTGTTTTAAAGGTATCCTTTTCTTGCTTAATACATCCTTAGCCACCATTTTATGTCACCCAAAGTGCTGGCGTAAAGTACAATTGATTTGATGGATCAAATAGTACGTAACCATATAAAGTTGAAAACTTAATTCAAACGTTACAAGATCGGACAATGCATCTACCTTTGACATTTCTCTGAAAGACAAGTTTAATTCTTCGTAAATTCGTTGAAATAGTTCCTGACACTACACAACATAAAAAATTCAAATAACCATTGGATAGAAAACTTTTAAAGATTTCAGCAAGTACCTTAAGCGATTTTTGCTAATTTTATGAAGCTAATTTTATGAAAGAGCAATGTCTTCTTACATGCAAAATTGCAGAACAAAGACGATTTACCTTTTTGAAAGTTGCCATTTTATTTGATTTAACAGATTTTATTTTCTCTACGATGTCTGATTGGGTTTTTTCCGCAACTATAATTCGTTGCTTTGACATCTCTTCCGCTTGATCTAAATAACTCTTCCATACTTTTAATGGAGACCTTGAAACAAAGTCGATGAAATCATAAATTTCTTTTAACGAAGTACGTAGTGTGAAATATGTTTCATTTTAAATCCTCTCAACTGAAAATTTAATCTATTCGTGTTCGTCACTGGATTCCGTCCTTCTTTCAATGAAAAGTATAAAGAGCATAATCTATTCTTACAGAATCTAATTTTGTTGCTTTTTGCCTGATAACGCTGATTGCCCATTTCAAGTACTCAAATCTCATCAGAACGACTTTTCAACAACGTTAGTTAATTGAGGGAAATGGGGTGTTTATATCCAAATAAATTATTAAGTTGGGCCAGGCTGATTTCTTTTGAAAGTGAACTAGACCAATAAATTTGGGGAGATTTTATAAAGAAAAGTTTAAGAGTAGAGAAAACTGCATCTAAACTTTCCTCACAAAGAAGTCCCCAAAGATTTCATTGGGATCCTATAGAGATGGTGACGGTAATTAAATGAACGAAAAGCTACCATGGCACCACAATTGCTATAATTACAGGGGGGTATTCACATGATCAATTTTCTTTTGTGGATTATGACATGCATAAATAAATACCCCCAATTATTAAGCTGGCAGCAAAACTTCAAATCTACCATTGAAATCAAAAACATAGTCTGCCATACATGACCTAAGCTGTCACAGATCAAAACAAATTTTGAAAATATTTTCCTGAAACAGAACATGATGCTCACTGCTACCCGATACAACCACAATGCCTTCAAATCGAAAAATGTATTTTTTACCTATGACTTTGATTAGATTCATCAGCAATGGAGTAATCCCTTTTTTGAATGTATTGCGAATTCAGCCTTTGCAAAGCCTAAATAATTGAAAAATTTTTTAAATTTTTACAGAAATATTATGGGATGTGGCGGTCATTTAGCATTGTTTAGGAGCCTACTGATGAATTAATTTGCAGGGTGAACATATACATAGATGACACAAGAAATGCTCGATAGTATTCAGCATGTGAGTAGAAACGAAATACTTTTAACTTCAGCTAATGATTTTTTCACATTCATTTCATACAGTGCATGTAGATATATAGCTAAGTATATTATATTAATGTACACATAAATAGAGTCAATATTATTCATCACATCAATATTATTGTTCACACTTTTACACATTGCTATCGATACTACCAACAAGGTAAAGATGTTGTAGATAAAGAAAGTGATGAAAAAGGCCTTATTCTTTTACAGTTTTATTAACTAGACAATACAACAACTGCAATAAAATTTCAAATGAATGAAAATGGAAAGTTGTTTTTTTGAAAAATTGCCAGACATGGCCAAAACTTCTGCATGAATTTTCAACTTGCTCAGAAACTTTTTGTACAATGTTAACACTGTCAAACTTAAGCTACAATATACTGCACATTTATTTTAATGAATATGAGCATCAATAACCCATATTGCTAATTCAGTGAAAGTCAAACATTTACTGTACATATGACACACTTACAATTTTTATATTTTATTAAGTATCAACTATGACATACAAACAAATTTGCTATGCATTTTATATCTATAACACTTGTCAATGGACAAATAAAAGAAAAGCAAAAGATTGCAATGTCTTCAAAAAAATAGACATAATAAGGCAAGTGACATTTTTTTTGGCAAAGAACATCGCAATTGTTACACAAATTAAATAAACACAATCGGGTGAAGTCGGGTGGCGACTTCATATCGCTATTGTTCTAATTGGTACTTTCACAATAGAGCAATTACTATCATAAAAAAATCCAGTTTCAGCACCACTCGTTAAGCTCACCTGAGCGTATTCACGTTCAATATTTGACTTTTTGTTCATGTACGACCTGAAACGATTATCAAAAGTGGAAATAACGGTTCGCGTTAACTTTCGTTTACATTCAAATCTCACACATCGTAAAGTCTATACTACCTGACATCTTCTAGTAAATCAATTTGTAATTGGTATCGCTGTTGCAATTTTGAGAATTGTTCGGTTTGTACATGGCGTAGAACTTGTACAAGTTTACCCTGTGGGTTGTGGGACAAAGATAACATAGTTTAAAATTGATCAAAAAGAAAACAATCCGTGTTTTATATTTCAGTGAAATATACCTTTCTCTGTGGCGGTGGCTGCATAATAATTTATTTTTTTTCGTTGAAAGGACAACACAGTTAGATTATTGCTTTGATCAATTGACCATATCTACTCCAAAATCTGTCTTCCGCCATATTGAAAGCCGTGCCATGACGTCACGAGAAAACGAAACGTAAACAAATAACGCAATCATCATAACATCATAACTCAAAAAAGTTCCTAACTGTATGATTGCGCCTGCGCACAATGCAAAGGATGTTGTTCATTTCCCGTGTTTTCGAAACACTTTAACACCTCGTCTTGGGAAATGTTTACGTTTAGACAGGGAATAAAAAGCTTGTAAACGAACATGCCATTTGAACAAAGAGTGGATACAAAACTACATGGATTTATGAGTTCCACGAAAGTTTTAGAAAATAGTTAAGGACACACAATTAATTCTGCTGCCAAATGACGTCACTGCGTTATTAAAAATTACGTAACAAACAATACAATTAAAAATTCCAAAAAAGGCAATGATTAAGAACAACACTTATTTGAACACTTGGGTACATCACTCAATTGGACATCACTCAATTGGTACATCAATCTAAGCATAAAAACGGCCAATAACATATTAGTCGACATTTCAGTGTTCATGCTTTTTTTTGTGAGGGCCAGCGGACTATCGTTCAAACACCAGTATCTATTTATATCGTAAATAACTTAACCAAGAGTAAAGCTATCTTTTCAACTCCGTTTGAACTTTGCTTGATCATTTACATGTGACTTTTAGGCAGGTTGTATCAAAAACAGAACTATTGAAAATGGCGTATTGTAACAATCCCAATACCTATGAATGTGCTGAGTCCAAGTGCCCCTAACGTATTGTCAGCAACATTCATATATTACTTATCTTTATAACTAGAACAAAACCTTTTCTACTACTCAAAACTTGATGTTACTTCTACGAGCGAAACATGCCCAGTAATGCACCAAAGGGATTGGCATAGTGATGTGATCAGGTATTGAAATTTCATATTACGTCAATTTCTTTGAAGTTCTTTTTTATGATACATCCGGTAGAACATGGGTGTAGGAAGATCGATGATTATGCCTTAGGCCTTAATTTTTCATGATATGCAATGTTAAGTTTTTTAAAATCTATCGTTTTCAATGGATTACAACATGCATATATGAAATATGACTCCTCCCTCCCCAATTATCAATATTCCTACGCCCATGCTGTAAAGCGCTTTCACTTCGCATCAAGCAGCGATGTTCGAATACCATTTGAAAGGAATGATTGAAATCTTCTCTTTCAATAACTGTCCAATGCTATATTGATCTCTGGGGAATGGATGAAAATACTTAAAACAAAAGTCGTGATCACGTGACAGAAACCAACGTTACAAAAAATTAGCAATTTTTCAAGAGTTTGATAGTTTCTTCAAAGTTTCATTAGTGAAAGTGCACTGTCTCCAGTCTTCTTCCACAATTCCCCCGAGCTTTTGATACACCGACTTGGCCATGTTGTTCCAGCTCAACACGTTACAACGGATTTTGGAGAGGCCACTGTCAAGCGACATCTGCATAGAGGATATTGAAGACGCAACAATGTGATCATATACTTACATATTCACAAAGATCTGTTTCAACTTACTCTTAACTTAACTTACTCTTAAAGCTTATCACTCGCATTTAGGAGGTGTATCGTCCAATATGTTACGAAGATATAGGAACAGTGTTGCACAATTACCTTGGCAAAACATTTTATAAACTCCTTTCCTATTCCTCTACCTGTAGTGAACACAAAAAATATCTATGTTTGTAGATGTAGATTGTTCAAGTTAGTACAGTCTTGAGAGTTAAAAGGACTATACTAGAAAGAAAAGATTTTTGGCATTCGAACCTCGGCAGTCAGCTCTGACGAAAATATCTTCAATCCAAAGTGCTCGTCCTTTCCATGTAGAGTAGGAATTGACGTATACCGCATATCCTAAAATGATGTCGCTATCTACAATATAAATTATGAATCTTTGAAAGTCTTCACTCCCCCCCCCCTCACCACACAAATTAATGCAATGTAAATCGCTGTTCTTTTGTTGACATTCAACAAACAACAATTTGAAGAGTTGCAATCTGTTTTGAGAAGCATCGTGTTGTTAAAACCAAAAATATAAAATGACTCATTCACTGAAATAACATGCGCGAAAAATTAGAAATATAAACGCCTGTAGCGAAGATTTTAATGAAAACGGACTATGAAAGACATGACGATGATTGACTGAATATCTACATGAATACCTATATAAAGAGTTTATAACAAATATATAGTCTGCGATGCAGGCCAGTTTATGATTGGTTCGAAATGCAAATCAACACACAAATCTAAAGAGCGATAACGTGTGCTCATTGTACTGTCTCTCGGGTTGTTGGGTTGTGCATTGAAAAGAGATTGAAGATGAAGAAAAGGGGGAACGAAAAATCAGCGTGAATTTAATGAGTGATCACAAACGAAACTACAAGGTCATAAAGTAGGACAATCGTGATATGTTCATCAGTCAAAGCACATTAAAAGTTCTAGACCGTTCAAAAAAGTTACTGAACGCCTGACATAAACTAATCAAAAGAATGACTTAGTTATTGACTTTTCTTTGGCTGCTAATACATGTTTCACAGCTTCTTATTCAACATACATAACTCACTCCAATGACTTCCTCCAATACTTGAGCAAATAAGTATATAAAATAATAAAAAGTATGTAAATTCTTTTCGGTAAATTAATTTTTCCACAAATACTCTGCAATTTCTAGCAACATTCTCTTAAAGTCGATAAGGATATTTTTTATTGCAAAAAGCTTTTTTTTTGCACATCATGGATGTTAATACCAAATCAAACTGTAGACTACAATTAAGATGTTTACTGATCACATGAGGTAAATCTTACCATTTTTGTCTGCAGCGACCAGACATCTAAATGAAGGAGACTCTCCAAAGCCATCTTGTCTGAAAACTACATAGCAAAAATGCTGATTTTATACACAACATTTATCACACATACACGGACACACTTCATTAGACAAGATGAAAAGCTTTGACAAGAATTCTGACCTTCATTGGTGATTTCAACCACAGATTCAGGCTCATTTTCAAACACGGCTAAATCCTATGATATTGAAATCAGAAACACACAGTGTCAAATCAGTGCAACACCATGACAAATTTACGAAAAAATTATCCAATATCGTTGAAGTATGGATTTCTTAGGATGCAAAAAGATATTGCAAAATTCTTATCTGATTTCATCATGAAATCTTGATCAGGATGTTTGTCAAATCTCCTCAATGAATAGATACATCAATAGATAGAATGAAAAGAACTTTGTTGACCCATAATACCTAGTCAATAAAAAGTCAATTTCCATAGAGGGCACACAGTAGTATGTATACTAACAGTTTCTATTTGGGGAATAGTTTTCTGAGATAACTAGAAATGCTAACAGCTGAGGCATTAATCATTAAGTTCTTTTAAAATCTATTGCTTCTTGTAGATTGTGGCATTTACATTCGAATACACCTCCTTGGCCCTCACCTTCCTCCCACCACCACCACATCCACCAACCTAATTATCAAGCATCCATGTCCATGGTCACCAGCAGATATAAATAATGCCAAAAACTATCACTTCTAAAGTTTGCTACCAAAAACCTCTTATCAAATGAAAACATTTACGTGAGAATATGAACAGCACTTCAAATGAAAAAGCAACATTTCAGTTGTACAGTTCACTCAGTGACTCGCTAGTCATGGAGCGCAGCAAATTTTTTAAACAATAAACATATCAGTTTTTCCATTCGACGCTATGTTCCAAGATGCAAACTTTGCAGTTTCCCTGCTCCCATAAATTGTATCATACCTTGATGTACTTCAGAATTGCCTCGCAGTCCTCAGGTTTTGAATTTCTGATGATGTACTCGTCTTTGACAATTACCTCGAGAAGTCGAGGAATATTATCGCACTTGCTTGTCATGAAAGAATTTAAAAATCACCTAAAAGCTAGATTAAGATCGGCTAGGATGCAGTTTTATTAGCAGCTTAGCGAACCCCAATAGATTAAAGATCCGAACGTTTGTTGTTATGAATAAATTATTGGAATTGTCATTGGCTAGCCGAGAGGTTGGGGCTTGGGACGAGTTCATTATGTATTGAACAAGCAACAATCTTAATAACTTTGGGAACTTTCAAGCATTTTATACAAAAACGTCGTGGTCATTGAACGAAACTTTTTTGTAATTACGATGCCTCCCAAAGTAATAATTAGTAATTTTTTAGCATTTTTACATACTTACTAATGTTTTGTAAAGTTTAGACGTTCGTACTTTTTCCAAAACGTCTATTTTATTATTTTCAGGCGTTCCATCTATTCCCATAATCTCATGTAGTCACGGACTGCTAAAAATAACCCACATTTGGTAACAGCATGTTGCTGAATGAAAGCGAAAAAATATTATAAGTGGATTAAGAATATCAGCATATGTATTCAAAAGATCACTAGAATTTTCGCCGGGATTATTTAGCTCCTTTTCAATGTAAAAAGAATTTTGAAACCAAAATGTTAAATTTGTTGCAAGCAAAAACAGCGACATGTTTTTAATGGTCTGTGCGTTCCCATCTTCTTTACTTGACAGACGGCGGACACTGACCAGAATAACTGTCTGTGCAAAATCTTCAAAAATTGCGAGTACATTGTTAAACACTTCGACTGCTTCAATATCTGTGTCTGCATGAAGAGCTAAACGGTAAAAATGAAATCCATTCCAAACAACGATACCAGCCAAACCAAAGTAAAGAAGACTGTCGTCAAGATTGAGTTTTGTTCGCTTACTATAAGTAAAAAGAAAGCAAAATAATGCACTTTTTCTACGAGCCCAATTTTGCAACATGTATTGAAACCTAAAATATGAAACTATATGAAAGTTTAAAAGAGCTAAACTCAAAAAAATAAGTCAATCTTTCATGCTCTTCTTAAAGCTGATCTAAAAAACGCTTACTGTCTTGTAATCAAATATATATTCCTGTGATTTTGACTACTGAAATTGCTTGACATTTGATACGAATCACTAACTCCAAGAAGTAAGTCGCTATGTTCATACCTGTTAAAAGGTTGCGATTGACTGCAAACCTTGATGGCATAGCAAGAAGCAATTTGGGAGATGTAAATAACAATGTTGGCCCATATGTAATAGAGATACCACTTCTTGTCATGGTCAGCGGAATCTGCAGAGGCTAAGAGGAAAGATACAAATACGCAACAGAGAACGACAGCAATCATAAAAGTCAAACCAAGACCTGAAGTCCATCTGTGACGTCGTCCAGATGATATTAGCCGAACAGGATCGTTTGAGTCTGTTACAGATTCTCTATCGTGATTCTCTTCGGTGTGACGAAGACGTATCGCACGTCGTTTAGTCTGGTAAGGCGTTTTCATGTCCGACCACAGTTCATACATCATTCCCGCAACCATGAGTAGATACTCAATGAATAATGGATAGAAATATTTTTCAGTATTGTTTAAATTAATTGCCTGGCAGTACATCAGCTTTTTAGACTTTCTCGATTCATCATACGGATCGTACACTTCTTTACAAACAATCCAAATCCACAAACTTAGGTTAGTGGCCATGATATGCGCAAGACTTAACTGATACATCCGTCCAGAAGATGGCGGCAATTTAGCTTGGTAGAAGTAATTAAGGAACAGTATTTGGCCAGCGATGAAGATAAACTTCGATAAATTAACAAACAAAACAAGGCCTTCGTCGCAACTCCAAGTATTGTATATAATTAAAGAGGAGTAAACCATACTTGATATACCAAAAACATACAAACCCGTTCGAAAATATAAAACAAGACGCCGCTCGTGAATTCTCCACTCTACCTGACCGTACGTCTCATATGCAATGCATAACATGGCAATCAACGTTAGAACCATTATAACAGCTTCAAAGTACTGCACAAACTGATATGGAAATTTTTTTGCCATCAATTCATTATGTTGCCCTTGTTGCACCCATAAATTTAAGACAATCGTGGATGCCATGATTACATAGAAGTACACAATTGCAATATTTGACATCTTGCTCTTTCGATTGCGTGAACGTTTAAATGGCGTTAAAATGATAGAAAATGGAAATAAAATGCACAGTAAAAATCCTTTGATCTTTGAAAGGCACGAGCCATGAAATGCTTCACATATAGCTGCGCAATGCTCGTTCCCAATGGATAAAATCGCTTTCCAGAAACCGTTGCCAGGAATAGTTGATTCATTTAACGGATCGATCAACAGCAAATTGACGGCACCATTTGCTTGAATGGAAATCGCGTCAAGCGAGGAAACAGAGGCGTCTTCATCACTATTGGTTGTCATCGTCTCAATTCTACTTAAATTATCCTCACTCATGGTTCCTCTTTTGCGACGTCTAACAGAATAACAGTACTTGTGCAGACCAACTATATAAATCACAAGCTCTTGTCGACCTCTAAACCTTCAAGTAATTCTATCCAAACGTTAATAAACTCTTATTTAACATGTAAAATAACTCGTCAAATCACGATCCAAAGTCAAACATCACCACAGCAGCCAGCATTGTCTTAAAGCATTTCTGCGAACCGCTAGGTCACAAATTTCGAGAATACGTCAAGCATAAAAATGCCGCGTGATTCCAAAAGTAAATTTTCACTTCCCGGTAAGGCCGGAAAACGGTAAATGATCGATGGTATAAGCATGCGTACTAGAAAATATGCCTTTGGTAAACGGAATAATTACTGTAACGCTTCCGATTTCAACTTTTTTCCGTGGAATTCCTATATCGTTTAACTTTTCAACCAATCGCGTGAGGAAATGTGGAGACATTTTGTAAGATATCCTCTTTTGCATAACTGTTTTTAAAATGTATGCCACAGCACAAGAAAATTGATAAACGGAAAATTTCTTTGATGCATATCGTTACAGTAACCGTTCACCGTTCCGTCTTTACCCTGAAGTGGAATCCATCCTTTAATCATAAAAGATGCGAAATAGTTAAAAGATAAAATCAGTAAAAAGAAACTTTGCGATTTAACCTACAACGCTAAAAAATAACAACCTTGTGAAACAAACATTTACGTAAACCTTCCACTCCTCTTCGTCAGTACCCATCTTAGTAGGTTTTCATAAACGTCGTGGGGACGGAATGCACTCACGTGGGATAATGATGTATATTATTATGACAATCAACATCTCGATTATTGCTGGATGATTAAAGATAATAGAATTCGAGATTTCTCTATTTGAATAGAATTATATAAAGTAAAAGTTATGTTCACCTAAACAGAGAGTAGGTGTTGGGCTAAAAATGACAATAAAAATTGGATGTTTACTTTGACCGTAAAATACATAATTTTTCTTTACAGTTTGAATCCTCTTAACTGTGCTAATTGGTGAAGATGTGTGACATGCTAAGAGAAACAAAAATATTTTGCTAAAGTAGTTTGTTCAGAGTTGCTCATTCATACTTTGTTTTTTTTTAAGTTCCTACTAGATTGTAGCATTTACATTCGTATACACCCCTCGGCCCTCACCTTTCCCCCACCACCACCATCAACCACCACCCTAATTATCAAGCATCCATGTTCATGGCGACCAGCAGATATAAATAATAACGAAAACTATCACTTCTAAAATTTGCTACCATAAACCTCTTATCAAATGAAAACATTTACGTGAGAATATGAACAGCTCCTCAAATTAAAAAGCAACATTTCAGTTGTACAGTTCACTCAGTGATTCGCTCGTCATGGAGCGCAGCAAATTTTTTAAACAATAAACATATCAGTTGTTCCATTCGACGCTATGTTCCAAGATGCAAATTTTGCATTTTCCTTGCTCCCATAAACTGTATCATACCTTGATGTACTTCAGAACTGCCTCGCAGTTCTCAGGCTTTGAACTTCTGACGATGTACTCGTCTTTGACAATTACTTCGAGAAGTCGAGGAATGTTATCGCACTTGCTTGTCATGATAGGATATAATAATCACCTAAAAGCTAGATTACGATCGGCTAAGATGCAGTTTTATTAGCAGCTTAGCGAACCCCAATAGATTAAAGATCCGAACGTTTCTTGTTATCAATTAATTATTAGAATTGTAAATGGCTAGCCGAGAGGTTAGGGTTTGGGACGAGTTCATTATGTATTGAAAAAGCAACAATCTTAATAACTATCGGGAACTTTCAAGCATTTTATACAATAACTTTACTGGGTTACAAGTGGTTACAATGGTTACAACCAACTCAATGGTAACATTCGAAACGGTTGAGCGGTGAACACCAGTGACTGACTGAAAGGTAATCGACTGTAATACCAAATCAGTGTTGCCAGATGAATTTTAAATAAGTTCATGTCGGCATGTTCAAAAGCTCACATATTATCCACCAATGCTCACAAAATTCTTTTTGTTCACAAAAATTCAAAATAAAAATCAAAAGTTCATAAATCTATGAACTTTGTTCACAATCTGGCAACACTGTACCAAATACCAACTGTGACCACGAAGACTGTGGGCACATAGAACAGTAAAGACTGCAGCAAGTTTTTTCGCTGATCAGCGATATTAGGTGTCCGTTACATGATAACATGCGTCAATTTATCTCGAATTTTAATAAATTTGTTGTTTTTGAAAGCCACATTAAATACCGCCTGTATTGTCTAAACTGCTTTTAAAATGACGTAAAGCCGGGAATTCTAGGTCAGTGGTTTTAAACAACTTATAAGTGAAGAGCGCACATATACACATATATACACAATATTTTTACTAGGTCATCCGAATACCATAGGTCAGTCTCGTGCGAGGCAGAAAAGATAATTACTGATGAGATGAGAAACAGGTGTGGAGGTTGAGCTCAGAATTTGGGAGATCATGACTGCCAACTCCCCAAAAAAAGAATGATCATTTTAAAGAACATTTCTAACAAACAAAAACGTCGTGGTCATTGAACGATTTCAAACTTTTTTGTATTTACGATGCCTCAGAAAGTAATAATTAGTAATTTTTTAGCATTTTTACATACTTACTAATGTTTTGTAAAGTTTAGACGTTCGTACTTTTTCCAAAACGTCTATTCTATTATTTTCAGGCTTCCATCTATTCCCAAAATCTCATGTAATCACGGACTGCTAAAAATAACCCACATTTGGTAACAGCATGTTGCTGAATGAAAGCGAAAAAATATTATAAGTGGATTAAGAATATCAGCATATGTATTCAAAAGATCACTAGAATTTTCGCCGGGATTTATTAGCTCCTTTTCAATGTAGAAAGAATTTTGAAACCAAAATGTTAAATTTGTTGCAAGCAAAAACAGCGACATGTTTTTAATGGTCTGTGCGTTCCCATCTTCTTTACTTGACAGACGGCGGACACTGACCAGAATAACTGTCTGTGCAAAATCTTCAAAAATTGAGAGTACATTGTTAAACACTTCGACTGCTTCAATATCTGTGTCTACATGAAGAACTAAACGGTAAAAATGAAATCCATTCCAAACAACGATACCAGCCAAACCAAAGTAAAGAAGACTGTCGTCAAGGTTGAGTTTTATTTGCTTACTATAAGTAAAAAGAAAGCAAAATAATGCACGTTTTCTAGGAACCCACTTTTGCAATATGTATTAAAACCTAAAATATGAAACTATATGAAAGTTTAAAAGAGCTAAACTCAAAAAAATAAGTCAATCTTTCATGCTCTTCTTAAAGCTGATCTAAAAAACGCTTACTGTCTTGTAATCAAATATATATTCCTGTGATTTTGACTACTGAACTTGCTTGACATTTGATACGAATCACTAACTCCAAGAAGTAAGTTGCTATGTATGTACCTGTTAAAAGGTTGCGATTGACTGCAAACCTTGATGGCATAGCAAGAAGCAATTTGGGAGATGTAAATAACAATGTTGGCCCATATGTAATAGAGATACCACTTCTTGTCACGAGCAGCGGACGTCTCCGAGGCCAGGACGAAAGATACAAATACGCAACAGAGAACGACAGCAATCATAAAAGTCAAACCAAGACTTGAAGTCCATCTGTGACGTCGTCCAGATGATATTAGCCGAACAGGATCGTTTGAGTCTGTTACAGATTCTCTATCGTGATTCTCTTCGGTGTGACGAAGACGTATCGCACGTCGTTTAGTCTGGTAAGGCGTTTTCATGTCCGACCACAGTTCATACATCATTCCAGCAACTATGAGTAGATACTCAATGAATAATGGATAGAAATATTTTGCAGTATTGTTTAAATGAATTGCCTGGCAGTCCATCAGTTTTTTAGACTTTCTCGATTCATCATACGGATCGTACACTTCTTTACAAACAACCCAAATCCACAAACTTAGGTTAGTGGCCATGATATGCGCAAGACTTAACTGATACATCCGTCCAGAAGATGGCGGCAATTTAGCTTGGTAGAAGTAATTAAGGAACAGTATTTGGCCAGCGATGAAGATAAACTTCGATAAATTAACAAACAAAACAAGGCCTTCGTCGCAACTCCAAGTATTGTATATAATTAAAGAGGAGTAAACCATACTTGATATACCAAAAACATACAAACCCGTTCGAAAATATAAAACAAGACGTCGCTCGTGAATTCTCCACTCTACCTGACCGTACGTCTCATATGCAATGCATAACATGGCAATCAACGTTAGAACCATTATAACAGCTTCAAAGTACTGCAAAAACCGATATGGAAATTTTTTTGCCATCGATTTATTATGTTGCCCTTGTTGCACCCATAAATTTAAGACAATCGTGGATGCCATGATTACATAGAAGTACACAATTGCAATATTTGACATCTTGCTCCTTCGATTGCGTGAACGTTTAAATGGTGTTAAAATGATAGAAAATGGAAATAAAATGCACATTAAAAAGCCTTTGATCTTTAAAAGGCACGAGCCATGAAATGCTTCACATATAGCCGCGCAATGCTCGTTCCCAATGGATAAAATCGCTTTCCAGAAACCGTTGCCAGGAATAGTTGATTCATTTAACGGATCGATCAACAGCAAATTGACGGCACCATTTGCTTGAATGGAAATCGCGTCAAGCGAGGAAACAGAGGCGTCTTCATCACTATTGGTTGTCATCGTCTCAATTCTACTTAAATTATCCTCACTCATGGTTCCTCTTTTGCGACGTCTGACAGAATAACAGTACTTGTGCAGACCAACTATATAAATCACAAGCTCTTGTCGACCTCTAAACCTTCAAGTAATTCTATCCAAACGTTAATATACTCTTATTTAACATGTGAAATAAATCGTCAAATCACAATCCAAAGTCAAACATCACCACAGCAGCCAGCATTGTCTTAAAGCATTTCTGCGAACCGCTAGGTCACAAATTTCGAGAATACGTCAAGCATAAAAATGCCGCGTGATTCCAAAAGTAAATTTTCATTTCCCGGTAAGGCCGGAAAACGGTAAATGTCGATGGTATAGGCATGCGTACTAGAAAATATGCCTTTGGTAAACGGAATAATTACTGTAACGCTTCCGATTTCAACTTTTTTCCGTGGAATTCCTATATCGTTTAACTTTTCAACCAATCGCGTGAGGAAATGTGGAGACATTTTGTAAGATATCCTCTTTTGCATAACTGTTTTTAAAATGTATGCCACAGCACAAGAAAATTGATAAACGGAAAATTTCTTTGATGCATATCGTTACAGTAACCGTTCACCGTTCCGTCTTTACCCTGAGGTGGAAATCCATCCTTTAATCATAAAAGATGTGAAATAGTTAAAAGATAAAATCAGTAAAAAGAAACTTTGCGATTTAACCTATAACGCTAAAAAATAACAACCTTGTAAAACAAACATTTGCGTAAATCTTCCACTCCTCTTCGTCAGTACCCATCTTAGTAGGTTTTCATAAACACCGTGGGGACGGAATGCTCTCACGTGATGCAATGGTATATATATTATTATGACAATCAACATCTCGATTATTGCTGGACGATTAAAATAATAGAATTCGAGATTTCTCTATTTGAATAGAATTATATAAAGTAAAAGTTATGTTCACCTAAACAGAGAGTAGGTGTTGGGCTGAAAATGATAGTAAAAGTTGGGTGTTTACTTTGACCGTTAAATACATAATTTTTCTTTACAGTTGGAAACCTCTTAACTGTGCTAACTGGTGAAGATGTGTGACATGCTAAGAGAAACAAAAATATTTTGCTGAAGTAGTTTGTTCATCCTCTCATTCTGATGTAATCAAACATGCATGATTATGACGAATCAGTCTTGCTAAAAATAACCCACATGTGGTAAGAGCATGTTGCAGAATGAAAGCGAAAAAATATTGTAAGTGGATTAAGAATGTCAGCATATGTATTCAAAAGATCATCCGACTTCTCTCCGGGATTTTTTAGCTCCTTTTTAATCAAGAAAGAATTTTGAAACCAAAATGTAAAATTTGTTGCAAGCAAAAACAGCGACATGTTTTTAATGGTCTGTGCGTTCCCATCTCCTCTACTTGATAGACGGCGGACACTGACCAGAATAACTGTCTGTGCAAAATCTTCAAGAATTCCGAGTAAATTATTAAACAATTCGATTGCTTTACTATCTTTGTCTGCATGAACAACTAAATAGTAAAAATGAAATGCATTCCAAAGAACGATGCCAGCCAAACCAAAGTAAAGAAGACTGTCGTCAATGTTGAGTTTTGTACGCTTGCTACAGAAGAAAGTATAAACAAAGAAAAAATAATGTACGTTTTCTGGGAACCCACGCTTGCTCTTTGTATAATCAAAGTTTAAAAAAACTCAATTCTAAAAGTAACTCGATGTTTCAAGCACTTTTTTAAAACTGATCTAATAAGTTCGTGCTGCATCTTGTGATCAACTTTCCCTTGTTTTTGGTGCATGCTTGTATATTAAAACGAATGTGATTTCGACTACTGAAATTGCTTGACATTTGGAACGAGTCACTAACTGTATGAGGTACCTCGCTATGTTCATACCTGTTAAAGGGTTGCGATTGACTGCAAACCTTGATAACATAGCAAGCAGCAATTTGGGAGATGTAGAAAACAATGTTAGCATATATGAAATAGAGATACCACTTCTTGTCATGGTGAGCGGAATCTGCAGAGGCCAACAAGAGAGATATAAATGTGCAACAGAGAATGGCAGCAAAAAAAAGAGTAACAGCAAGACACCAATCCCTTCTGATATCTCGCGGCAATATCGTTCTAAGAGAAAGATTTGAGTTCGACTCGAATTCTCTATCGTGATTCTCTTCGGTGTGATGAAGACGTATCGCACCTCGTTGTGTCTGGTAAGGCATTTTCATATCTGACCACAGTTCATACACCATTCCAGCAACTATGAGGAGATACTCAATGAATAATGGATAGAAATATTTTTCAGTATGAGACAAATGAATTGCCTGGCAATCCATCGGCTTTGTGTCATCAAACGGATCGTACACTTCTTTACAAACAACCCAAATCCACAAACTCAGGTTCGTGACCATGATATGTGCAAGACTTAACTGAAGCTTCCAGTCACGAGATGGCAATTTGGCTTGGTAGAAATATTTCAGGAACATAATTTGGCTGAGAATGAAGACAAACTTGCATGCATAAACCAAGACCGAAAGGTCTTTTCCGCAACTCCAAGCATTGCACATCTTTAAAAATGAGTAAACCGAGCTAGACATGCCAAAAATGTACAGACCCATTTGAAAATAGAATACAAGGACTTTGTCGTAAGTCTTCCATTCTACACGTCCGTGCGTCTCGAATGCGATGCAAATAATGGGAATCAATGTTAGACCCATCATAGCAGCTTCAAAGTACTGCAAAGCACGATACGAGGATTCTTTTTCCTTCGCATTATTATGCGGCTCCAATTGGACCCACAAATTTAAAACAATCGAGCATGTCATGAATACATAGAAGTACACTATGGCAATTTGTGTCACCTTGCGTTTCTGACTACACGTACGTCTAAATGGTGTTAAAATGATAGAAAATGGTAATAAAATGCACATTAAAAAGCCTTTAATCTTTAAACAAAACGAGCCATGAAATGCCTTACGTATAGCGTCGCAATGCTCAATTCCAATGAACATAATCGATTTAAAAAAACCGTCACCAGGAGCTGATTCGTTCACCTGTTCGTCATTGTCATTTGATGGAATAGCAGGAACGACATGAGATGAAACAGAGACAAATTCTTCACTGTCTGTTGTTATCGTCTCGATACTGCTCAAGCTATCGTGATTCATAGTTCTGTTTTAAAACATCTCATACATGAATTCTTATTGTGTCGACTAAATCTAATCTCGAACACTGGTCTATCTTCTTGGAGTATATGCTGCCAGGTAATTGTTTTCTTAATATTTTGACCATTTATAACTAAAAATGACTGAAATGAAGGCATTAACATTTTTGTGTCAATTGCTCTGTACTTTTATCAACTCAACATACTTTATAACAAAAGATAGCTAAATATATCGGAATATAACAAGGAAAACAACGGGATATTGCAATCGTCACAACGCCAACTGTGGCATTGCCGAATACAAGTATAACAGAATTTTCATGATTTTGTTGAGTAACAATGAAGCGTTTCGTGATCATAAAAATACGACGTATGCATCGGCACCTTTCATATTTATATAAAACGAGAGCTATACCCGAAGAATGTATGCAAGCTGGGGCACCTTAAAATCAAATTCGGAAAGTGAGAGACGCTTGACGCAACAAACAGCAAAAAAATTGACTCTCATGATTTGTTTGAAAAAATAAATCTCAGCGTTAAACATTCTATTGTGAACTTTAAAAATACTCAGACAACATATTGAAAATATATAATACTCTGCCTACGCTGACCAATATTCACTTGACACAAAACGCTTTTCGGCTTGTAGAGTTGTCGAGTATCCAACGAGTAGAGTGAAAAAACCAACTTCTATTTACATTTGTGAGTTGAAGCTCATTCAAAAATCAGAAGTCAACGTGATATTTTACAGTCAGTGTACATCATCATTAAATAGGTTAGCTGTTTGGTGACCAAATTCTGCCAAGTTTAGCTCTAATTCACTAGTCTGTTTTTCGCGACAAGTGTCGCATTGTTCAGTAGGATATTTCACATTTGCAAACACGTTAGGACAACATTTAAGTAGTTGGAATACTCGCTCGATATTCGGTCGGATCATGTCAACTTTCGACGCAATTTTCACGCGTCTCATAATTCGCTTGTCGGTCTTCGTCTTCATTTCAATGCAGACAGTCGCTGCTAAATCTAAGTCACTGTGCCGCTTGGTTTGGTAAAATTCGTGACAAAATAGTTCAAGAACGCTTTTGGGATTCTCACTGGAACTAACCAGTAGCTGTAGGCATTTGCGCACGATGTTATTTTTGTCGGAACCTCCGAGGACGCCTTTCACTGTATCTGGAAGCTTTAGAAGTTTGGCAGCGTTGAGATGAGGACCACAGCAACATCGTCTGTTCACAAAGTACATGCCTTCTGGGTGCAATGGTGTTTTCACTGTCGAAATAAATAAATACTATTTTTCATTTGAACTTAGCTAGAGTATTTCTTGCAATCTGATTTGTTGCGCCATCAGGCAAGTGAAAAATATCTCCTCGCAAAGAAAGTGTCCTTTTTCATACAAATAGATAAGACGAGACGAAAAACTTTTTTTCGACCAGTTTCAGTGCATATTCTTATTTAAAATTCATCCATCACAAACAGGGTTTAAGAAATGTTATAAACTGTTTAAGGGCATGTCGTACATGCCTTCACTCAACTTCAAAATCATCCCCAACCTTTAACCATGGCAACTTTTTGCCTTACAAATACTCCAAAAAATTATCAATAAAAATTTATTTAAACATATGTAACTACATACTGATAACAGCAGTTTTTTTTTAAAAATATGAGCATTGTACATCAATTATGTGCACACGGTTAAGTTCATCAGCGTTTTCTGGTAACGTGTGAGCTAAAAAAGTTACTTGTTTAGCTTGACTTGGCTACCTATAGCACACATTGGTTAAATTTTTAAGATAAGAATGATCACAAAAATACTACCATATGTTATTTTATACATATATTTTATATTACATTATTTTATATCTCCTATAATGACATCATTCCATTAAAGAATATCAGGAAATTTTATGTATAATATCATCAAAAATTTTTATATAGCTATATTATGTAATATTACATACTAAATATTATACGACCCTAGTATTTTTTTAATTTTATCGTTTTGATCATCATTGGCGTTTTTCCACAACAAAAATGGCAAAACAACTTAGGTGAAAATATTCCAAGCAACAATCGACCACGAATCAAAATATTTTTTGCCGACATCGTTTTCATCACGTTTTCGTGAGAACGACACAGAAAAACGAGACTTTGGTGATAGGTATTTCAGAAAAAAACGCTGGACAACGCGACCACGTTCATAATGTGGACTATAGTAAAGCATTGAAATTCTCTAAACATAAAATTTTCAATTTAGAAACAAGCTTATCTTAAAGATAGTAAATTTCTTGACGAATATCTCGATTACAAACAGCTCTGCATACAGTGATGACTTCAAAAATTAAAATTCAACCTGAAGACGTTCACACGAACCTTGTTTCACTTTGTTTATCTGCTCGTTTTTCAATGGTTTTGATACTTGATGTGTAGTTGATCCGCTAATATTGTATCCTGATTGTCCTTTAACGCTACTTTTCCGATATTGATAATCAGGCTGTGTGTATGGATCTGGTCTTGGCCTAAAATATTAAAAAAAAATAGTAAAAATTACGCAAGGTAAGTAAAAAGGTCTTCAGATGAAACCCATTCAAAGGGAAAAAACAATTAGCTAGACTGCAGTATAGCGGACACCCGAGCGCAGGCTCGTTTTTGGTTAGGATTACATGGTTAGGGTTTGGGTTAGGGTTAGCGTCCAAGGTGTCCGCTAAACTGCAGTAGTCCCAAACCCATGAAAGACTCTCAAATTAATTACACACTACGCTTAGGACCAAAGGCAATGAAATTACACAATCCGATCAGATTAATTCCACATCTTCGTTCCATTTGGAGCTTTGAGCGGCCTTTGGTTGAGATCGCATTTCATTTATCAGAAAGAGCGTGTTTTTAGAGAGCATTTAAAAAGTTCTCGTTTAACCTTAACAATTTCATCGTGGATCACGAGTATCAAGAGCACAGAGGAAGCTCCATGCTCATTTCGAAGATTAAAGTCGACAGATAAAATCATAAATCAAAATTTTATTTCTAATTACTTTTGTGCTATCCATCCCTCAAATTTACACTAGCAGCTAAACTCGCGTCAGACCCATTTTAACAAATTCATTGTAAAAATAATCGCTATATATATATATTACACAGTTTACGTTTCATGCGCCGTGAAACTCCACTCTAACTCTGACTATTAATCCGAATCACTCACTTTGTAAAACTGTGTAAACTCCTCAACTTTTACAGTAGCTTAAATAATATTCCACCACGTTATTTAATTGTTACATGGGAAACGACATTGACACAATTACCAAAATGGAAACGAACATAAAATTATGGAATTTGCATTTAATGTTAAGTACGTACCGCTACAATAAAATTAAGAGCCTTTCTTTTAATTAAGCACGTTACACTATTTCATACCTACATGCATGAAACAAGTATACTCCCGCAAATACGAGCAGAGGCGTAGAATGTTTGGCTTTCCTTACTAGGTATGCTTTTAACTCGTATTTCTGGCAATGGCAAAGCAAGCCCAAATGCCCATTATGTAGGCAAACTTTAAAACAGAATTTACCATTGAAATGAATTTCAGGCATTCTGAAGAATGACTAAAAATGGGACAGGCTCCGCTTTTTTTGTACAAAAGCAACTCGTTACCGTAATCAGTTTTATGATTACGTTAATTTAATTTATATAAGTAGTTATTATTTTTCAATTTATCAAGTTAATAGTTACATTTTATTTACAATTAGATAAAGCACATCTCGCCTTTGTTTAGTGTGGACTGAAGACTACAAAATGCATTCTATTTGTTTAGCGCTGCTGGGAGCACGATATGTTAAGAGAGAAAGTAAGTTTAACAAGTTAATATGTTATATATTAAAGATGATAAATCATTATGTGATGCATATATTACGAGACGCTACTTTCGGTTATTTGCATTTGTACAATACCAGAACAAACAACGAATCAAAATTCCTAATTTTACTTGTGAGTAAAATTTTTCGGGAAAAATAAAGCTTGCACAATACGTCAATTAACGTTCAAGTGTAGAGCAGGGGTCGGTTGCTCGAAGCCTGGATAGCGTTATCCATTGGATAACAAGTTTTTTTTAACTTTTATAAACCTTTTAAAAAGCAAGAAGTATAAGATTCGAACTGAACAATCGCTAAAATAAAATATTGTTTCGAAGATTACGAGATTTCTTTGTCTTTAGAAAAGTATAAACACCTTTTTTGCAAGTTTGAAAATTTTTGCTATCAAATGGATTACGCTATCCAGGCTTCGTGCAACCGGCCCCAGGGGTTTGGGGCCAACATCTTTTCATGGGAGATTCGCCGCCGTTCCAGTTTTATAAAGCTCCTGCACCACACTTTAAGTCAATTCTTCAAAATAAATTATTAATCCTAGTTACCCTGGAGGTTGGAGCGGGTGACCAGTTATTTCGCAATATCCAACTGGAAACAAATCGAGAGAGTCCATATCCAAGTACTGGTCATAGGTTACATCCCAGCCATCGAAATGAATCTTCAGTAATGGACCTCGCACGTCGACAACAGTTGCTGGACAAACCAATGCGGGCTCGCGTAAGTCCACAGCCTCCAATTTCATGCCCGGTTTGAAGAGATTATCGGAACGATGCTAAAATAAACGAAGAGGCTTTATTATTATATCTGCATGAAAGCTCGGAAAACACGTTGAACACGAAATTTGCTTACGGATTGAAAAAGATATGCGGAAGCTCGTCTTCCATTGGTATTGCCACAATAGCTGTCCCAGTCAAATGGTTTTTTTGGGTAATCTATAAAAGATATTATGTACATAAACACATAGGATGGCGTTCAGTCTTTCACAGTAAAGAAAACATTGCAAACGACGTCATTATTCAGTTCCTCAAAACATTTTTAGTTATTGTTCAAAATATTAAGGCATCAATCTTTTCATCTTCTTTTTTAGGTTGAATGAGTTTCGATAATTAAAGTTCCTCCACAGCTAACTTTCAAATTTTAAAGACCGAGAAGATAAATTATAGCGATATTAAAGATATTATGTCATATATAATTGATGAATAATTGCAATATAATAACATTTATACTACATAATAACCTCTTGGTGGCGTTAGTTCAATGCCGTGGGCCTCGCACCATCCAGGTGGAAAAATATTCCTCGAGTTGGCGTGAAAGCAGAAATACGCAGCTTGCGAATCGATGCCAGCGATGAAGTAATTGTACTTAAGTTCCTTGATTACAGTTAGCACACAAATCTGATTTGGAACGTAGGGGTTGATGCCTTCAAATTTCATTCCAACTTCGAATGCATACGGACCTTGCGCAGTACCAGTTGCATCCTAAAATTAATAACGATGTACAACGATGTATAACGATGTACAACTTAGTTTGACGTCAGTAATAAAAAATCGTTTGCTTACCCTAAATTTGATCGACACAAAGTTATTTATGAACATAGCTATGCATGCAAGTACATGCCCACTTTCCTACTAAAGCCGTAATACATTATAACTATATGCAAACTTTCCTATGAAGGTACATTTTACTCACATTTACATGACGACCCTTATTAAAGTACTTATGAGTACAAATACGTACGTGCGAACATTTTTACGAAGGTATTTCAGCACATATTTACATGGCGACCTTATTAAAGTACTTATGCGTACAAATACTTACGTGCCAACATTTTTACGAAGGTATTTCAGCACATATTTACATGGCAACTTCGTTGAAGTACTTATGCATACAATTACAAATATCCCAAACTATAGCTGTATGCCAACTTTCCTACTAACGAACATAGAACTATGTACATAAAACTTTTCTATAAAAGTCCTTACGCATACAATTACAAATATCCCAAACAATACCTATATGCCAACTTTCCTACTAACGTACATACGACTACGTACATACAACTTTTCTATAAACGTTCTTATACATAGACGACTACATGACAATATTCCTAAAATACCTCGGAAAAAATTTCCTGTGGTGCATCGCGATCTTGGGCGAGGATTTTTTCGATCAATTTGTTCCACTCAGAAATGCTGTTTTTCCAGCCTTCAAACAGAGAAAGTTTCGTAAACAAAACTAGACTGATTTCTGAATTGTAATGAGAATGCAAGTATACTTGGTTTTCTTTGCTATGAGAGAAGGGTATCAAAAAACAGGAAAATAACTTATGTACGCACATGGCAATGAATATACCATCATAACTATACCTATTGGTGGTCTTAATTGATGACCAACGAGAGAAGACCATCCAACAGGGTGGATATCGGTAGAATAATAATGACACCAGAAATCTTCAGCAATGTCCGGATCCAAGCCATCGTAACGTAAACGTAGACGGTCGCCTACGACATCAACAATTGTTGCTACACACATTACCGAGTAAAGATTCTTGCGATCAGCCACCTCGACTTTCATTCCAACTTTGAAGCGATTGTGGGGTATTTCTTGTACCTAAAGATACAAAAGGTACATAGTCAAATTGGACATTAAACTAGATGATACAAAATAATTACGTTTGAACATCTTTGAACGTAAAGAAATTTAAAATAGTAATGCTAAATTGGAGCACAGTTACAATTTTAGTGGGTACTAATTTATAAACTTGTTTAAGTCTGGACAATGAGTTGAAATCCAATCATCCTAGATACACTCATTTTTAACTTTAATACTTTACTAACAGTGGACGTTTATAGATAAAAATCAAAGTCTTTCTCATTTATTTAAAACCCTGACTGTCGGTATACGTAGAACTTGAACCCTCCAGCTGCATTGATTTAAATCCGAAAACGAAGAGCTAGCTATCGTAAGTAGACACAAAACAAAACTTGAATTTGAGAGTTACCATTATCAGTTTGCAAATTCGGAAAGTGTTCACAGACCTTTTGAAGAAAATCGGCCGAGAATGTCTTCGCACCAGATAGACGTTTAAACAGGTATTCCTGCCAATTGGTTATTCGCGTCTTTATAGCTGAAATACATGTTTTCCATAGAGCTATGTTAACATTTAAAGTAAACGTAAAAACTCATGAAACTGGAATAGAACAGTCACGCTAAGGTAAACATACATAGAAAGCAGCATTGAGAAACAACACAACATTATAAAACGTATATTGAATGGTGCAAAGGTAGATGGTACAGGCATAAGGTGTACGCGAAAATTGCAAAAGAGCAGGTTTTATTGCAAATCTGAAAAAATGGCATTGTGAGTTAAATATCACACGAATACAAATGAAAACGAAAAAAAGTGATTTAAATATTGTGTGAACATGAAAAACGCTGATTAGCTCTGTTTTTCTGAAGGTCATCAGTTCGGTACATAGCTAACATCCCGCTCATGAAATTTCATAGTTCAGATAACAGACGAGGTCTAATTGTGACAGTAAAACCTGCCCTCCGTCTCCAAGAACCTGATTGTGAAAACGATGTTTTTAAGAAACATATGAATTCCAATAATTATCACCTTGCGGGGGTATTAGTGGTTTGTTGATCCTGGCACACCATCCAACTGGATGTATATCAGGATTGCGAAGATCGAACCAGAAATCAGCACTATCGCTTTCATTATAACCTTCGTATCGAAGTAACGCCTTAAAATGCTTGAAGTTTATAACGGAGGCGACCCAGAACGTAGTATTTTCAGCATTATTAAAGCTTTCCATGCCATTGTTTATAACTTCCACTTTCATTCCGATGTGCACATCTTTTAAGCACGACATGACTTGAGCCTGAAACATTTATTCAATTTAAAATTCTGTTGGCCGTCTATTGTATTTAATCATACATAGGTACGTGCATCAATTGTAATCACCAAACAAAAATCAAATACTCCGACAAACATTGAAACGAACCATACAGGAAATCATACTGAGTAATTATCTTATGATAAATCCTGGCTGACACAAGGCTGGAGTAAAGTTTTGAATACACCTCGCTTAACTGTTGAATATACTTCAAAACCACAGAATGCTTATCACATATAGAAAGACATCTCCAACAACTTTTTGTAAGCACTAAATCACACGGATATGTCACATATCCTGGACAGTAAACAAATTAAAGATAATTGCTGCACTAGATAGTATTTTGTATAAGTCTTCTGTCTTTCATATAGAATGTAGTGCATTTATGGTACAGGGGGAAAACAATTACAAATGTCGAAGAAGAAGACATTTTGTGTGTGAGTATTCTATTTCAAATTCAAAATTTTTCATCTATTTTACAAAAATCAGACTTTTATTAAGACAAAGAAATGGAGTTTTGTCTATTTTTTGTCCAAGTTGGAATTTTAGTTCACATAAAGCAAAATACTTGGAAACTTACATGTCGAAAACATGTGGACGGGGCAGCTTTTCCATTGCAGGTTTTTAAGTATTCAGACCAAACAAATCGTTTCTTTTGCCAGTCATCTCCCATGACAACATCTGTAACTGAAATCCCAAGAAAACAACTTCAAGATGCAAGCAGCAAAATAACTCCTATATCAATCTGGCTATTTTGATAAAAGAAACATTTGCCGAAGCGTGTTTCTTTTCAATTTATCATTCCTAATTGTATTGATGCATAGCTAAAATTTACTTAATTGACAATTTAACAAAACTTCAATTGAGGTAAGTTATGTAATATCACAACTGACTAAAAATAACTTGTGTCAACATGCAAGTGTTAAATATTCCAATCATTCCTTAACATACTTTGTGGTTTCATCACAGCAACTTCCTTCACCTGAAATGATGAAATGTACAAAATTACAATAAAAGAGCATTTTTTATATTTTCCAGTAATATGACACGGTAAAGAGTGCCAAAGTGTTCATAACAAACCTTTTTATTAGGAGTAGCTTTTCGAATATTTTTTCGCTTTGATGGAGTTGACCGATCTGTTTTCCTCTTTTTTATGTTTGAAGCTGAATATTTTTTGGCACATTCCACCTTACAAAATCTTTTCGACTTTGAAAAGAAATGTTCCTTGATTCCATAAAATCCACAAAACTCACAATTACCTTAAAAGAGTCAGAATATCTGAATTCAATTCTTATGCTCTGAATGCAATAAAAGTATCATAATGTGGAGAGATGCATCAGTGAAGAATGATAAACTAATCCTACTTACCCATAATAGGTGCTGGTATGGGAGCCGTGGTTTCTTCTTTTGAATTCTGAAGAACAATTGAAATCCATAACTTGTTTACCACAGTCTATTGTTTCACATAAGACATATATGTATATTCATTAACTTCATAGACTTACAATCTCTTCAGGAGCTTTAGGCATCTTGGTATTTTTCAATTGATTATTACTCGATGATAAATTTGATTCTGAATCAGCACCAGAATTTTCTTTTGATTGAACTTCTTCTTCACCATAAAAGCCAAGCATTTCGGCAGTGTTTTCACATTTTTGACCAGCTACCTACATAGCCATTTCAATGGTATTACATGATTGTTGATTGATTGAAAAGCGTATTTTCTCACTATTGCAACAAAAGGTTATTTTCTCACAATCAACAATTACAGAATGCATACATTACAAGATGCATGTGTACTTACTGAATTGTCTTAAAATATTTGATTGTAGGACAAAACAAAGTAGAAACATAGCACCATTGCAAATTGCACATGGCCTTGATAGTATTTGCATGACAATTGCTTGAAATCTTTGTATTGCTGATAAATTAAGAAATTTCTAACTGTACAATTTCATAGCCTCTAATACTGTTATATTAATCGTCTACAGTATGTAATACCATTTTAAAAATTTTCTTTGGGAGGAAGTGCACCCTGCACCTCATAAAATCCACCCCTGGCTTTCAATTTTAACCTGTGTAATGACATGTGCATTGAAAAAGATTTTTGTACGTTTTTCAGTAAAAACAAATTATAACCGACAAAAATTTCTTAGGGTTTACATTTTGACTAAAGTAATTATCTTACTAGTGAATTTTGGTCTCCCACTGAAGAAGAAAGAAATTCTGTATGATTAACATCCATTGATTCCATAACTCTTGTCAATCAAAAGTGCACATGCTTCAGCTTGGCACAAATGATTGACAAACATACATGAAAGTTTCGGGTCAAAATATCTGAAAAAGAAATTAATATATGCATACAACAAATATTAATATAACAGGCAAAATTATATATTAACATTTACTACAATGAACAAGAATTTGGTTTGGTGTGTGACTGTGTGTAGTGACAACATACACACTAACCCAACTATTGTTGTGCCTTTGTCCAAAGATTTGAATAGGGTTAGGGTGAGGATTACAAACATATAGCACAAGATACGTATGTGAATTAATTTCATTAAGGGAAAGTGAGGCACTTGAGGTGGAATGTTTTATTACAAAAACATACACTACAAAAGCTGGTCCCAGAATGTAGAGCATCCTCAAATTTTAGGGGTGGTGTGAACACTGGAATAGCATGAATGTGCTTTAGTGAATACTTGTGCCACTCACAAACTATTTGCATACAATTAGGGTTCATAATATGAACATACAGCATATGATATACGTATGATACATCCTTTAAAGCATTCAATGAAAATCATGTTTGACTAACAGAAACAATTATGCTCAAAGTAACATACGATAATGAAAGAAGTATGATTCCCAAAGATTTGCAATGTTCTTCACTAAATACGTAACTTGACAAAAGCACAAAAGAAATTCTTCCTAGGGTAGTAAGAAATTTTCTCTGTATTGTCACACCCATGGATATCCCTACCATTTTTTCATAACAAATAACATGAAAGGAAAGAATTGCAGTCAAAAAACTCAATAAAAAGTTTATAAAAATTACTATAGTATCAAGTATACATAACACAACATAGTAACATTGAACATATAATTTTTGATAGACTGCTAAATTTTTGATACACTACTAAATATTTGATAAACGCCTTTGAAAGGGGTTTTTGAGTGACTATGATGATAGATCTGAATTTTAGTTGGGTACACTTGAGGGTTGAATACTAAACATGATAATTATATGTTAAGAACAATTATACTATGAACTAGTTAATTACAAAACAGTGAATTCAAGTTATTCAACATCCCCAAAGAACTGTTATTTTCGAGTAAACTGTAAGTATATCTCATGTTTGATTGTATTTTTTATGATCCAGGTTATTTTACAGAAGGTACTGACACATAAACCAAATTTGTTAGATCGCATATTAGAACATGAAATATCCTAAATTATATTCTTTTTTTGTCAAAGGATGAAATTTAAAAATGATTCATTCATCGTTGAAAACTAGGTATACCTTGATTTCATTTCATGAATTTTAATTATATAGATCTAGAGTGATGTTTTGACTTAAATGAGTGGATTTTTAAAAAACTCACCAGGTCATTTGTTTTACTTTTGTGTTCTTTACTGACGCCGACGCCATACTTCGATTTTCAGATAAACTTTACACGCAGGCATGCAGGCAACAAGCTGGCCTTGCATGTAGAAGGCACGGCGGGCATAACTCATTGAGTTCTATAATAACTGGAGCGGCTATCTCAAGCGCGGCCTTAGATATCTGGTGACGCCAAAAAAATGGCGGATTTCGTCCTTTGCCGCTGAGATTTACCGAAATTGACCGCTTTTCCGAAAATTTCACAATTTCCCACTCCCTCCTGAGGAAAGAGTGAGGTAAATGTATGTGTGTATTTGGGATTCGGCAAGCAATTTTTTGATGAAAATCACGATAAAAACCTACAATTCGTAACAGCGAGTCAACCTAGCTTTCCAGTTATCGGCTCCTACGAGGATGTATTTATAACTATCGACGAAAGAGCTATATGTCGGCTACACATCTATGAATGCAGATATGCGTCGTTTTCTTAACAGCGTCAAACTTGTTTGATCGATTAAACTCTTTAGTCTATACAAAAAAGTATATCATAGTTCATCTCCACAGTGGTTCACGAGAGAAGTTAGCTTTTTTATCATTGCTATTTTGCTTCTTTTACTTGTTTCTTTAAAAAGTAAATATTAAATCTCTGGATATTTACGTATTTTCTGTAATTGAGTTTCATATTAAATTTCAAAAGACTCAAGTCTGCATAGGTTTGGTAAATGAAAACAAACAATATTGTATAGAAATTACTTTAAGTAACCTTTTGTGATGTTCTGAAGTGCAACTGCATCAAATACTTGTAAAGTTGTAGCACATTTTGATTTTGTTGTATTGATATATAAATTGGGCAAAATGCAAATAATCATCAAAACACTTATGCTTCCAATGGTGTTTATAATTCATTTTAGTTTTAATACTTCTACCCTTATTTTTCACTTTGTTTTGTTTTTCCTATATTTTCAATATAAGTGCACAATTTGAATGATTAAAACAGTTTTCACTTCAATAATAAATTTCATAAGCAGTTGGTAGTGCATTTTGTTCTCTGAGTATCCACATTTGGTGTTTTCTTCATACATGAATGATGAAATGCATATGGATATGTCATAACAAGGCAATAAAACCAAATGAATTAAATACCTATAGTGTACTTTTATGCTAGAAGCTTAACAGCTTTCTAGAAATTATAAAGTTATTGGATTATATTACCTCTATATCATCAATCTCATGAAAGAAATAAGAAGCAAAATATTTGTAGAAAAGCTTTGAAAAGTGAAAAACATTTATTTAAAAAGCAGCAATGATGCATATGATAAATCCCATTCTGTACTCTAATAGGTAAATAAGCTCAAACTGTTTCTTAAAGAAATATAAGAAATATATAAGAAATATACAGTACAGTAAATTTAAAGGTTTCATCACTGAATCTTTAATGCTTCAGTATAGTGCATTAGATATTAGTAACATTTAAACAACACTCAACTAAAATATTTTGATAAAGATATGCCATGATTTAAACATTATGTTATATAAAACCCAATGGCTTATTCAGTTTAATGCTTCACATCTGCATCAAGTCATCATCAATCTCAGTACAAATGTTTACATAGACACAAACTTTATGGCCTTTCCATTTTATATGTTGTGAATTGACATTTAATTAAGCATCAAAACACACAACCTTCTTGCCATCTTTTGGTTCATGAACTTCAACTTCAAAGCATTCAAGGCATCATTAGTGAATCCATTGTCTCCATCCATAGAATTTGACCATGATCAAATTAAATAACTCTGGATAAGGCAGACAATAAATCAATTATCTTTACAGCATTATCATTTTTAAGACTCTGCCTGATCAATAACATCTTCCAGTCATCTTTACTTCTTGGTCTTCCTGCATGTTGTCAGCAAATACAACATGACAAGCTCTGCTCCAAATCATGGGTACTGTTGGGGCTGATCATTTCTTCTTGATACTTTTCACAGAGCAAAATGTGCAGGGTCTTTTTGCTTTAGGAAACTATTTTGCAAATAGATGGGTAAATTTACGACTTCATGCATTAACAAATGACAGAAAAGTATACAGAATTTTATAAACAAAAACAGGAAAACATCAGTATATTTGGCGTTCAAGTCAGTCTTAAAAAATACGATCGTTAATATGTATTTTATGGCTTTTCAAGTGCATGTATAATTGCTTTTCAATCGTTGACGGACTAACAAAACAAACAACTACCTCACCTGTGGGAAGCGATATGTACCTTTTGTGGAAACTACGACATCCAACAATTGAACGATTGAAGTGTTGGCATTATAAAAGAAATGCCAAAAAGAATCGTCACAGAATATGGAACTAACGATATCCATATTCTGTGATATCGTGTTTGTTTTGAAAATTCTTTATAATTTACTATAGACACCAGGGGGAGGTCGAGAATATTATTTTTCTGCAAAGCGATCATTTCAGCGGAAATACGTCCGTTGGCCGCCATTTTTTTGGCGACCTCGCCCCAGTAAAGATAGCCGCTCCAGTTATTATAGAACTCAATGGCATAACTATAGTTCGATAATCCGTGTCTAAGGCACTGGTCAAAGGTATTGGTCAGAGAACTCAAAGCGCTGAATCAAAGCCCAAAACGCCAGTGGTCAAAGCCAATATTGCCGAACTGCAATCACTCGACATTGCACCATTTCAAAAAATAGAAATACTGGCTGCATAACTTAATCGTCAGTCTCAACGGGTCAACGGGACTTTATTTATTGTCACGTGCATTTATTTTAAAATTAATTATTAATTTGTTTTGGAGACAAACGTTTTATGAATACAGTCTTATCTGAATATTATAAGAGTATCAAGTAAAACAGAATATAGCAAGGTCATCTGCTAATTGCTAAGCCAGCTAAGGTTTTACATTTTCGGGATGGAAGAACAAGTTTAATTTCAGGGAACGGTATGTGATTTTTATATTCCGTGAACCAAACACATAAAAATGTTGCAAAGTTATTCTGGAATCAATGAAATTTGAAGGTGAGTTTTCTAATCCGGATTTGAATACGTATACGACTGGAAACAGTGTTGTGCGATGTAATGCGGATGCTGTTTCTTTTTCGTTGCAAATAGTTTCGTCAGAAAGCATAGATGATCACCGTCTGTAAATACTAGAAGGAAGACATATTCGTTGAATAAAATCATACGTTTCTTCGTTTAAATAGTTGGATTGTGTCTTAAAACATTTACATATATTAAGATGACACTGGAATTTGTATAAATTAAACACCGTTTGGAGTTAGCTGTATGTACTGAAAGTGCCAAGAAACATGAAATAAAATGAAACACGCTTCGAATTTTGCGTTCAGAGTTAAAATCCGCCATTCTTGGGGACCGTTTTGTTGAGAGGTAATTGTGGATGAAACAAAGCCGTATTCTGTTGCATATTGTCATATAGCTTCGTTGAATTCCTTATTTGTAAAGCATATAGATTACGAAGAGGAAATAAGAGCGAAATAAAAGGAATTTGCTTGTTTTCGCGAGTTTAGTTTTACGAAACAATTTCTGTGAGGCAAATCACAGGAAATTATTTTAACATATTTTATTTGAAATCAATCTCACACGTTTTTATTCATTTTACTAAGAAACGCCTCTGTTTTATTAATATCCAACGAAGATAGCTCATCTCAAAAAAAATGACTAGAAACAAAACCGACCAATAAAAATCTTAGGAAGTCAATCGTCCGATTTGACAAGTTTTTTCTAATCCGAATAACGAGTTCAAATAAACATGAAAATTTCCTCAAAACCTGATATCAAAATTCATCCAAAGTTCTGTTGACCGTGAATAAGTCAAGAAAACTTCATTTTACCTACCAGTATAACACTGAATTTAGTCTTTACGTCATATTTTACAACAAGAAATTATGACGCCAAAATAGAGTTGATAAATTGTAAGTAGGCATATTCCAGTGAAACACTTTAGGTTTGTAAAAGCAAGGACAAACGAATGCAGACTTGGCATGACTTATCCTGCAATTCTTTTGTGAAAAATCAAGATAATATCACCACAGCAGTACAGCGTTTGAGTATACAAAACCTATAGTAATTAATTAGATTTTGAAAAACAGTAAAAGTGTGTTTCTTGTTTGACAAAAAGCTTGTCACTTCTAAAATTTTGAAAGTACTTAATTTTATTCATATTATGAAGTTGGAACATATAACCCTTTCTTGCGCGATGCTGCTCATCAAAGCAACATTCATGAAACAAGATGAAAATGTCGTCCAAACGTAATCATGAAAGTGATGATCTTACAATTTTGAAACGTGTTAAGCGTAAATTTTATGGTATGATTGAGTTGTAAAATTGAACTATTGGCTTAAAAGAACTAAAATAAAAGGAAGAAAAGCCCGAATTAAAATTTTAATTGTCATAGAATGGTTTTACATATACATATGCAGAACTACAAAATTTTGTTTAGATTTCGCAAAGAAAAATTCTTCACAGATTTAAAAAAATTTACGTGTCTAATGGCCAGTCTCAAAGCAGCACACAACATGCAAAATTGTGATGATGGTTTGCTAATGGTGAGTAATGATAATCACAAAACACGTGAGTTAAATGCTGTGGTATCTTTTTCATTCATATCTTCTCGATTCCTCTGCTTCATTGGACAAAAGATTTAAATGCGTAAGAGGATACTATGACTATACCGGGGCCTTTACACTTTCAAAAAAAATCTGTCGGTACTGAGAACAATCAAATATATGAATGAAAATCTAGCTACATGCCAATTTCACATTTACACCCATGCAATTAACGCGGGCGACACTGTACATAATCCGCCAAATAATCATTTCAAAATGTTGAAATAGCGAAATATTTTGTTAGGAAGAAACGCTGATCATTTTCAATACTATTTGTAACATATTTACTATTAGCTTTCATTTCATCTATACTTTAATTAAATAGTAAATGAACAATTAATGTATTTCCTTTAATTTGTTGAAATAATTAACTCAAAATCTGTAATGTGGGTTATTCAAAAATGCAGTTTTTTGACAAGTTCAAAATTGGTTATTTTACAATTGA